ATCCAGGTGTATGGCAGCCCTAGTTCCATTCTAAATAATAGTTGTGGCATCCCTTGTGCTCCCCTAAATCCACCTCTGGACAAACCTTGGCCCCTGGCCCTTTGTCAGTATCCCCTGCAAAGGTTAAGGGGAGAGGTCCCTACCCAGGCATAATGTTAGTGAATAATGCTAAAGGCTGGCTATATGCCTTCAACCCAACACAGTTACCCCAAGCTAGCTGTTTGGCAGTCAGAGCTATATGAAAAAAGGGCTTTGTTTGCCTTCTGCCCTGTTGTTAACTGTGCAAACAAGCGGTTATCTTATTTACAATGGAAATGCTGCACCTTTACTTACTAGGGGAAAAGGCTGTGTTAATAACCTATTCTGGGATTTCAGTACTATGTTTGGAAGTAGTCCAGCCTTTTCCGATGCAGGTCTCCTCTTTCATCACAACCTGCAACAGAGGAGACCTGCTTCTGATTGTTTCCTTTATGTGTCTTCCTCCTTTCTCTTTTATTTTCTTTTTTAAAAAGAATAAGCCCAAAGATTTTAATGATAGTAAAGACAAAATCCAAATGCTGGTGGTTTTCCTTAAGCTAGACCAAGATACACAACCAGACCTATCCGTTGAAGATCAGGCCAGAGCCATGGTCCCCCGTGGATCACTTGAACATTGTTGAGGGTCTTAGCAGACCGTTTTATGGCTCTTCTGCTGGTACTCTTTGAATTCCATAGATAAAACATAACAGAAATAGGAGAGGTAACAAAAACACAATTCAAAATCAATATGCATTGCAGTAGTCCAAGAGGGAGATAACCAGCGCATGTACCACTCTGGCAAGACAGTGCACAGGCGGGTGGGGTCTCAGATGGCTTATCAGATGGCCCTGGACATAGAACCTGTGTCTCCCTGGACAGCTGTGAATCCAGTATGACCCCCAGGTTGCACAGCTGGTCCTTCAAAGTATAGTTACTCCATTCAGGACCAGGAAAAGTACACTAAAGGGGAGGGGTAAAAAGCAGCTCTTTAGGACCACCAGAACTCCTATTGCCTAGTGTCCAAACTCACTTATCCATCAGACTCCTGAGGTCACTTGTTGGATGAAAGCACTGCAAGGTGGAAGCAGCCAGGCTGACTCATCTCAAAGAAATTGATAAGGTACCTAAACATTTTGCTTCGTAACTTTCTTTTTAGGAGTACAATACACACAGACTGTCTCTCTCTCTCTAACAAAAACTCAAAGTCTGGGGGCCTTTCTGGCTGTGGGTCCAGGACATCAGGACCCGCTGCTCCAGCTTCTCATCGGCCCTAGTCCTAACCACAGGCTTAGCCTAAAGGGCAGAAGGACGGGGGGGGGGGCACAAAAGTTAGACTAACTATTAGGGTAGCAGAAAGAACTGGTCACATGAAGCTAATTAGAACTTTTAATTAATAGGCACTTGTATTATCAGCTGGGAGAGGATTCTGTTGAATGGAACATTCTTATACAGTACATATGTTATCAAATATTATCAAAGATTGCTGCATTCCCTGCTGGCTCGTCTGCTACCGCCAGGAGTGTGTCACCTGTGTTGAAATAAAACTCAGTTGCCCATCTTGCCAGCTTCTTTGCACAGAATATGGGGTATGGCCAACCTGTCTCCTCTCAGGCAGCAAAAAGTCCCTGCAGAGTTATCCTTATGGGGCTATCCTCTTGCAGTGGAAATTTAAGTTTCTTCCTAGTGTGGAGGCTTGATTGGTTAATTAGTACTGCTACGGGGGGGGGGGGGAAGCAGAGTTTAAAAATAAGGAAACCTGGACCCATTTCAGGACAGCTGGTGAATGATTTATAAATCTACAAATAAGGAAGTGGCTGAGAAGAGGAGGGAGGAGAACAGGCAAGCTCTTTGATCCGCAGAAAATCACAAGCCTGGCTCTCCCCATTTATGTGAATATGAAGTTAGTGTGCTGATAAAAAAAAGGAGGAATGGAGGCATAAATACATTTATGGAAGAATGGAAAGGTTAACTGAGGGAGTTGCATGTTATATTTGTGGCAAAATAATAAAACAGTTTGCATAAGGCTGCAGCTGCCCTTTTATTTATCATTTTTGTTTTGACTTTCAGTTTTCTCCTGCATTTTCTGGTGGTGGGGGAGGGAATAACTATCCAGCCAGTGTGTTGGACCTAATTAAAATATACAAGTATTTAGCATGCATGGTTTTTATTCTTTAAATCTCAGTCATGGCAAAGGGAATAAAATGAGAACTTGGACCATGGCACAAGAAGGGCTTTTTAACCATTTCCCCACACACTGCTCTCTGAAAAATAATCCTGCCCCACGCTGTTATCCTATACTTGTTCATCTTGCTTTTTAAAGATATGGCAGGAAAGGTTCTAAAAAGAAGGAAACAGTATGCAAGATTCCATAAATTCCATATGAATTTAGCTTCCACATTTGACATTAGTGTTGTTCACTTATTTTGTTTTGTATGCCTATGACTCCTGCCAGTCTTAATAATATTAATAATATCTACCGAATAACCATTAGTTACATCACACTTATTCCAATATCTCCAGATAGGACCTATACCAAGACTGTGATAATGTGCACATTTAACTGAATAGGTTAAAAAGCAGATCGTCCATTCATTAAAAACTTAATTGATGGGCGGTCATAGTGGCAGTGCACCCAAGCTAAATAAAACTATGCACAATAACGAGATGAAATGTAATATACATATCTTTTGCACAATGAATGTGACAAAACACTTGTTTTTCTAAAAGGGGAAAGATTGTCTGTGTTCTAACAAAAAGGAACACTAGAGGGCACCAGACATCTCCCTAGAATCTCAACATCCCTATTTCAGGTACGTTTATTTCCTCAATACTGTATTTTGTTTACATAGATCTCTCCACTCACCACTGTGTTTTAAGAAGAGCATTGGTATGGTCTGGGGTGTTTTACCTGGACCCAGAAGCAGTGGTGTAGCGTTGGTTGTCAGCACCCGGGGCAAGGCAAGTAATTTGCGCCCCCTAACCTGTGGATTTTAGTAAGGGCAGAGAGCTGCGAGTGCGAGCGCGCGCGCCCCAGATGTTGCGCCCGGTGCGGCCGGCCCCCCCTGCACCCCCCACGCTACGCCACTGCCCAGAAGAGAAGAGTTCAAATTCCTGCTCATCCATTATTACCATTAGCAAGATACATCTTGGGCTCTTTATGGAACAGAGAAAATGTTGTAAATCTCCCTTAAATGGTTTTGAGGCTAATGTTGGTAACCGACTTTCCCCACTATGCAGATAGGGACAGGATAGGTTCTTACTGGCTGGTGTCAGCAATGACACAGACCAGGTTTATCCCCCACCTAATTAGTGGTGTCCCTTTTAGAAGAACATAGAACTGAGGATCAACCTGAGTTTTGTAGATTCTCCTACCTAGGCAAACATGTCCCATTCATTCTTATGGGATAGTTATAAATCACTACACTTGAAGATGGGAGAACTTGCAATTGGGAAAACAGAGTCCGACAGATCACCTGTTTGCAGATGTTTAATGGGTAGGGGCACAGGTGGTGCTGTGTCTAAACCACTGAGCCTAGGGCTTGCCGATCGGAAGGTCCCAGACGGCGTTTCCGTGCACTGCTCTGGTTTCGCCAGAAGCGGCTTAGTCATGCTGGCCACATGACCCGGAAAAACTGTCTGCAGACAAACATCGGCTCCCTCGGCCAGTAAAGCAAGATGAGCGCTGCAACCCGAGTCGTTCACAACTGGACTTAACTGTCAGGGATCCTTTACCTTTTAATGGGTGGTTAGGAGAGCTGTAGGGACACGGGTGGCACTGTGGGTTAAACTACAGAGCCTAGGGCTTGCCGATCAGAAGGTTGGCGGTTCGAATCCCCACAACGGGGTGAGCTTCCGTTGCTCGGTCCCTGCCTCTGCCAACCTAGCAGTTCGAAAGCATGTCAAAGTGCAAGTAGATAAATAGGTACCGCTCTGGCAGGGAGGTAAAAGGCGTTTCCGTGCACTGCTCTGGTTCGCCAGAAGCGGCTTAGTCATGCTGACCACATGACCCGGAAGCTGTACGCCAGCTCCCTTTGCCAGTAAAGTGAGAGGAGTGCCGCAACCCCAGAGGTCACAACTGTACCTAATGGTCAGGGGTCCCTTTACCTAGGAGAGCTGTGCTATTCCACAAGGCAGGGGAAGGTTTGGACCAGTTTTCCTTCTAGATGGGCTGCCTTCCCAGTGGATGAGCCCCATCTGCCCCCCACTTCCCTCTACAGCAGATGCAGAAAGCAGTTTCTTAACCACTGGACTCACTATTGGTCTTGTCCAACCTGCCAGAGCTTGTCTTCACATGAAAAGGAAGTCCCTAAGCCACCAAAGGTTTTAGATAACATTGGCTACCCTCACCTGGTTTAGCCAGCCGGTCAGTCATTCCTGCGGTGGGGCTGCTTCTAGGAGCCACAGGTGAGAGCCAAGTGCAGAGTGGTGACCAAAGGTGGACATACTACTCCAGCAGAACAGTGTCTCCCTGCCAGTTACTACCCCTGCCCTAGCACCCCAACTCTCAAGTGCATGAAAAAACTTGTGTATTCATTAGGCACTGCCCCAATTACTTAGGAAGCCAAAACATCCTTGCCTGACACCGAAATGAAAAAGTTGGCACCAGATAGATCTCCCTGGGGAAAGTGTTTGATAGATGAAGCTACTGCAGAAAAAGCCACCCCCCTTGGAAGTGATATGCAGAGCCTCAGGTAATGATCTCAGGCTCTGGGGCAGGTTCATATGCAGAAAAGGGACAAGCTGTGGGGGTGATAATGAATTGGCACTCTGCATGTGTCAAGCTTCAGAAGACCTAGCATGAAAGTGTAAGAATCAGAGAAACACTGAAGTAGAAAGGATTTGGTGGCTGCATTCTTTTTGCAATTGCTGGGCTTGATCCTAATAAGTTACAACTTGCTGCACTCCATAAAACATTTTTTTATGCACGGGCCAACACCTATTTCTAATTAAGCAAAACCGGTTATGAGACAATGGTTACAAAATGATTTTTTAAAAAAATTAATTGTATTTTCAGTTTCTACTTTTTTCCCTTGGTCATTTTGTGCATGTGATAAGAAATACAAGAATAGATTGGGCACTTTTTTCCCCAGAGGGGAAATGGTTCAACCCAGAGTGATTTCTTAAAACAATCTTTGTAGTGGCTTAAACTGCAAGTTCGTAGTTTGTTATGTAAGAATCCACTTCCTGAGCAGCAAGAGGCCTATTAATATTGTTTTGCATTTCCTGGGGCCGGGCTTCTCTGTCTGTTTATTAGAGGCACAAAAAGGCATAAAACTCTCTATACAAAGCTCTCCCATTCCCCACTCTTGCTTTTAAAAGAAACCAGAGACTGAAATGCAGCGTTGGGGAACAAGGACTTCAGTTCCACTCATCTGTGAACGTTAGCCGTGCAATCTGGGGGTGGTGGGAGTGCAACAATATTTGGGTCACAGGTACGTTATCACATATTTCTTCCTCTTTATACCTGCCAGCAGGGGAGAAGAGCAAATGAAGACAGGTACTGTAGGGAAGGAATGGCACAACCCTTTCTCAAAGCTCAGGAAACAATGGGTAACCTTTTGCAAATGTCAACTCGGCCACTTCGTGTGATCCACTTGGTTTATTTTATGCCAGTGCTGCTACACTGAGCAATGCCACAATGTGTTGAATAGCTGTGGGGCTGTATTAAAAGATGAGCAAACGGCTGTTCCTGTCGAGTTCAGTTTGTGCTTTGTGTTTACTTTTTTAACAAGACGGTGCCCTTAACCAGTAGAGGGCCCCATTTGTTTGCTTGCATAGGGATGTGCCAAGGAAGTTCTGAAATGCCTTTCCAGCTGCAGTTTCCACATAGCCCTTGAAAAATCAGATTAGAGGCACAAAAGCAAAGCCGAACAATAGGCATTCCTGTCAGCTGCTTCTGTGAACAGGATGTCTTGGGAGCTTGTGTGAGCTGTTTCAAAGTCCTTAGTAAATAGCCAGACACATAGACAGCATTTATTCAGTTTTATTGCAGGAAGGAGAGTGTATTTCTAACATCTTTCATTCCAGTTCTAAGTCTGTTATTATATACTGGCAGGCAATACTTGAAGGCGTAGCAGCTCTAGAGGACAGGGTGCCTGGATTTTCATTACTGTCTAGGAGGAATATCATCAGCTCTCAGCTCTTTGGTAGCCTATCGCCAAAACCATTTATTTGTGAAAATACATGAAAACAAAGCTGAAAAACAAAACTTCAGTTCGACTTACCATTTATCACCCCGTAAGGCGGCAAGTTTTGTGGTTTTTCTAACTTCCTGTTTACAAAACTCTTCACATTAACTTGTCTGCTAGGAAACCGCTGCCATGTTCTAGAGGGCAAATGCAGGATATCTGGGGTGTTAGCCAGACCTTACTGAATAAAATGGGAGTGCTTGCTGTTTCTCATTTATTGATGAACAGTTCAAAAGTCCGTGAATAAAAATTCTTATTTGCACTATTAAGGGGTTATTCACCCATGCATATGTATCACTTGATGACTTGCTGCAGGCTAAGTATGTTGATCTTTAGGTGAGTAAGTCTCTGCCTGGAACTTTCACAGATGCAGGTCATTGCTTGATGTTCGGGTTAAGTTCAGGTATGAACCAAGGCTTGGCAAGACTAACACATGTAAATTCCACTCTCTTTCCTATTTGCCACCATGCCAGAGCAAGCAGGACTGCTTTGTCCCACAGCCTCCAGAAGTGGAACACAGAGAGGCATAAGTTGGGAGAAGCCAGTTTCACTTTATGTTCAGTCTCGGTGTTCTTCGGCTATGCAAGCCAGCAATAAAGAAAGATGGGGGGTGGGGTCTGTAAGAGATGGAATTTAAAATGGAAAGTTTCTCTGACAAGTTCAGAGAACTCCCTTTGCTGCCTTCAAGAGCTCTGAGAAGTATGGGAGGGTAAGAAAGAGTTTAAAGTCTGCCTTGAGCTCACCCAGTGAGTTGAAAGCTGGACAGGGATTGCAATCCTTCCTCCCTGGTCCAAGGCCAAAACTCTTATCAACTCCCCAACACCAGTGTTTTGAAGTCTAGACATAGTTGAGAAAAACTCCCACCTCATTGTGGTAATTAAATTTAAGCAAAAGATAAGGAAATTGAGATTACGACAGCCTTGTCCAGCAGCAAGCACAGCGGTAGCACAAGCTGTGGTTTGCTCTTGCTAAAAGTCTCAGCTTTTGTTTACAGTATTTGCCTGCTTAGTTGCACAGGAAAAAATATCTTCGCAACAGAAAAATCAACTTCTACCTCCCCGTGGTCTTTTTTTTCTTTCTTCGTTTCTCTATCTTATTGTGTTATTGCTTCTCTCACTTGCTTTTAAACTTGTACTTTCTGTAGAATGGCTGGGTGCATTTTAGAGCCGTCAACCACGTAAAGACCTTTGGGCCTGCATTCATTAACTTGCCTTGTTCTTTTAGCAGCACAACAGCTTCTTCAAGCCTTCTAATGTCTGAAGAACTTAAAGCCTGCCTTTCGGAACGAATCACGTGTTCTTCTCCTTCTGTTGCATATAAAAGGAGAATACAGCTTACTCCAGCAGGAGAAAGGGGACGGTGGATTAATGGACAGGACCTTGCACAACTCTTCCTAGTAGAGCTTGCCCAAGTTTCATCTTTGTATGCACCACATATGTACCAATGCAGGCAGCCGTTTTACCTGCATGTATAGCCATATTTTTTTAATTTTTTGAGATATGGGTTTTCTGGTATATCAGACTTATACAATATAGTTTAATAATAATAATAAGTGTCACACCTGCCCCCCACCCACTCATGAAGGGGCACCCTCACCAAAGTAGCAGGCAATATAGTGTTAGATGGCACCCAGCAAAACACAAGAACCCACCCCACACAATTCACTTCAGTATGCCCACAGTTGAGCCATATACAACTGTATGCCCCCCCATACTGTTCAGAGCAGGAAAATCCACATTAAATTGGGGGAGGGGTGAAGGCTGCCAGTTGGATGAGGACATCATGTTGACGATGCAAAAAAACATGCACACATGGGATGCAATGAAACCAATTTAAACTGCTGTGTGTACAGTTTTGACAGCCATTTGCCCAAGGTCACCAGTAGCGCTTGAAGAAGAGAGATTTGAACCTGGTATTCAAATCTAAAAGCTGCCACTGAAAAGAGCAACAAAACCTGAGGCTACTTTGGTTAATACACGGGCATCTAGAATGTAGCTTAGGGCTGAAGAAATCCTCCTTTTACCAGAAATGAAATCCACATTGTTCTACTTTCAACTCTGCTAAGACAGCTGTAATAGAGAAGATGAAAGAGGGAGATGTCCTTCTGCGCTTTCAATGGGACAGGGCGAAATTAAACAAGTGTAGCTTTGCAACCACACTGATCGAGGTGAAAAGGAAATGTGCACCTCTTATGTTTCTTCTACCTCCAGCCATTATAATGGGTGAGGGGAAAATTGCAGCCCTTTGGGGGGGGGAAAGGGGGGCAGATGCTTTTGTACAGCTGCAAACACTACACTGGCAAATTTTCTTCATCCCGGTTTCCCCTCCAGTGACGTTGTGTGAGTGGCACAGCTAGAGAAGGGTAAGAAGCTGTGACAGGAGGCTGCCCGTCACTCAGCCTATGTACTGAAAAGGCTCCAAAGATGTAACAGGAAGCACAGCAATCTTGAAACTAGGCTGCCACCTAATTGTTTCCTGATGGCGGGAGGGGGAGAACATCTCTCAAAAGGAAATTCCCTCCTCAACCCCTGCTGCTAACATTCCTCTATGCCAAACAAGATTTCCATCTCTATGAACCCAGTATCGGTTTCAGCAAAGCCAACAAAGGAGTCTCAAACACACCACCACTGCCCCCAATATCTGTAATGAAACTCCGGTTCTAAAGCAGATACAGGGGCTTCCTGTTTGTTCCCAGACCCAATTCAAGGTGCTCATCTTTTTGTGCAAAGCCCTAAACAACTCAAGTCTTCTTAGTCCTCCTGGTAGTACCACCACCTTCACAGAAGGGAGAAGTAAAAAACACACACATTTAAATAGGATACATGTCCATGCTCCCAATTGCCAATTATGGATGGAAATAAAGCGAAGACATAAATATAGCTAGTTACAAAAATATTACCAAATATATTCTAGGACAACCATACACATGCTTCCTAGAGCAGCCGCCATGGTGGTGGGAGCAGCATGAAAGGAGAATGGACAAGGGGAGAAAGTCATTTCCCTCTCTCCTGCCCTTGGAGGGGGGCAAGAATGCAACCTCCACACAAATTGGGGGTTGCCTGTACACCAATATATCGTTCCATCAGTATTCATGGTGCTTTAACACATAAAAGGGGAAATGTTCCTGCCCAAGGCCCTTGCAATCTCAAATTTAATCTTTTTTTGGGAGGAAGCAGAGGAGAAGAAGGACGTAGAGGCAGGGCAAGAGCAGAACGAACACGCAATTGTTAGTTCCATTTGCTTAGGCTTGACTGTAATAGGGCTGGGGAACTGGGCTGTTGAATCAAAGGCTTTGTGGGAAAGATGGGCTTTGAAAGTAGCAAGCGAGATGGAATCGCACAGGTATTCCAGAAGGCAGTGCCAAGCTCACATGGAAGAGAACTCTTCCAACCAGGTGTAAATGTTTGTCACAAGAATGTCCAGAAGGAAAACACAAGTAGGGACAAAACTAGCAAGTCATTTAGTGTTCTGCACTTGGGGGCATTTCTACAAGTTGGAACTAGTGGATGATATGGGAGAGGCTCATGTTTTCTTCACACACTGTAATGGCAGGGCCTATTCACCATACACACCCTGCAACTGCAGGCAATTCAAACTTAGGTTGATGTAGCAAAATGAATGTTGAAATCTTGCATTTTTGCACACTGATTAAGGTGGTGCAGAACAGAAGTACACTGTTTATTTACAGTGGTTCACATAAGCAGGTCAGCTACTGATTCCCCCCCCCCATGCAATCTCTAACATATAGTGGTGCAGTTAGGTAATTTTAGATTCTGAAATTAAACATTGTTAAGGAGTGAGTTCAACTTTTCTCCACTATCTATCCTTGAAAGCGCATTGTTCTTGGGAGTATAACTCCAATTTTGTTTCATTCCACCTTACCTCCACCATAAATATAAAGGTAAAGGTACCCCTGACTGTTAGGTCCAGTCATGGACGACTCTGGGGTTGTGGCGCTCATCTCGCTCTATAGGCCGAGGGAGCCGGCATTTGTCTGCACACAGCTTCCAGGTCATGTGGTCAGCATGACTAAGCTGCTTCTGGTGAGCCAGAGCAGCGCACAGAAACGCCGTTCACAGAAACCAAAACAGTGCAGGCCTTGTGATCCCAGCAACTCCTCCCACTAGGTCTTGCTCCAATGAGGCAGTTTCAAGGACTGAAGGTCCCCGCCTTCCCAACATGCTCTAAGGCTCCTTCTCTCCAGGGTTTTTCCCAAGCAGTCTCAAACTGCATCTGCACACAACCAATCTCTGCTCTGCTCTTTTCATTTCTCCCTGTGTTCTAGGAGACTGGGGGGGGGGGGGAGAGAGCTGGTTGCAGAAGGGGGACACTCCCTGGATTCTTCAGCAGCGTGTCTCAGCTGTCTCTTGGTCAACCTCCTCTCCAGTCTCTGCATCTGAACTGCTCTCTGCTGCAGCCTCTTCCTTCTCACTAAACCCTGTTGCCTATTTTGTTTCCAACACCTCCTCCTCCTCCCAGTCTGCTCCCTCTGACCACTCATTATCATTGTCCCACCACCACACCCCTAGCTCTTGGGCCTTCTTCTTTTGCTGGTTCCCCAGCTGGTGCCTCACACGATTCCTGAATAGCTGACTCTAAAAATTCCCCATGCTGTACCTCTCACTGGCAGATTCACGCCTTCTTCCAGTCTAGCTGGAATGGGTCCTTGAACTCTGATAATGCCTTTTGTTTACCTGGAGAGAAGGGTGTGGAGAGAGGGGTGTGGAAACTAGCCTGCCTACCGTACAAAGGTAAAATTTGTATTTGCTGCTCTGTGCACCTTTGCCTCTAGCTCCACCCACCACAGTGGAATGTGACTCTTGGAAAGTTGCCCAGAAGGGAATGTAGCCTTTAGGCTTAAAACGTTTCCCCATCTCTGTTCTAGATCTCTAGAGTAGGGCCATCTATCAATAGCTAAAGCACCTTTATGGCTGCAAGGAGCAGCACTCTAGGGGCTGAGCAATTCCTGTGGGCTTTCACGGAACGGATAAGGCAACTCGTATAAGGAAGGCATAAGCAAACACTTCCTTACCTAACAAACACTGCATAAAAATGTTGCACAATTACACTGGACTATATTTCTAATGCTTACAGATTATGGGTTCCTACCACTTGTGGATTCACCCCACACACACACATTACACCACATGAACTATTAAGTTGTATTTCCCCCCCCTTAACTTTTGTTTTAAAATGTTTTTTGTTTCAACGAAACAGAAAGCCTAGGACACACAAAGGAGGGTTCAAGGTAACATATGGGGCTCTCCCCCCCCCCTTTTATCTTAACCACCACGAGAGACAGGTAAGAACAATAACTGGGCCAAGGTCACCCAGTGAGCTTCATGAGCATCCAGACCTATGCTGTTGCCTGACAGGTTCCTAGTCTGACACACTAATCATTATTCCAAACTGGCTTTCACTAGAACTAAGATAGTCCCCAAGGCCTATCCTGTCCTCACAAGGGTATTCAGATTGCTACTCCAAAAGGGGTTTCCAGAAACAAGAAGTTCAACTTCCCTGATGCCTTCCCAGTTTAGTCATGGGAGCTCTTTCAGGAAAGAGTTGTAGCCTTCAATATGTTACTGGATGGCAAGTTTTCCAAGCCTGCTTTAAGTCTTTTAGACACCACACACTTTCACTTTTGCTGCGAGCCCTTAAGAGATTAAGTGTGTGAATGCAAATGATATGGTGCCATAGATATCCCTACTTTTTCCCAAGTTCAATTTGAAGGTTTCAGTCTTGCATTATGTAGTGGCTGCACTAGTCTATGATAAACAGCATTTCCTTACCATTATAAATATTTAAAAGCGGCTGTATTGGATCACAACCATCGCCAGGTATCCTCAAGTCCAAATAATTTGGTATTTGGTACTTTTAACAAGAGGACAGATCCATTCTTTAAACAGATAGCAGTACAGTAGTTGTGTTCATGTTTAAGACTGGAATTCTGGCAGTAAGCACTCATGCTAAGTTCCTAACATTACTGCTTACATTTCCCCCCCTCTCAAAATAAGTTGAACTGGAGCCACAGAATGTTTTGAAGGCCATAATTCAAATACATACATCCAGCATGACCCAACTTTATCAATTGCTCCCAGCTGCAATCTACTAAACAGTTAGGAATAAACCACAATTTATTGTTTGTGGTTTGAAATGTTAGTTTGTTGGTAGATTGCCATTCAATTTACTTTACAATCGGAGAAGCTGTCTTACAGTGCAACCTTATACGTATCAACCCAGCCCAATCAAGCTGAATGGCACTTGCTCCCAAGTTAAGAGTACAGAATTGCAGTCTTACTTGATTTCATTCTCTTGAAGTAATTCAGGATTGCACTAGCTGGGATACAAGTGATTGAAGTTCAGAGGCTTTGCAAGATGCTGAGAACACCCTCATGCACTTGTATGAGTTCCTTTTCAAACAAGCAGCTTGGGAGCTGTTCAATGCTCTTGTCCACCATCACCAAGGATGCCTCGCAATCCAGGTTTGTCACAGTTCTGGATGTTAACCTCACTATGGAAATGTGATGCACCGTTATTTGTTCCCCAAAAGTTGCAGACTTATGTGCACATCTAATGATGTAAAAAACAGTATCTCAGATTATAAAGTTAACAGGCTATAGTTACTGGCATTGTTTTAGCAGCTCCTAAAACCCTGACGTGCGAGCAGCATGACCTATAAATGCTTCCAAAGTAGTCTGCTCATCCCTTGTGTTGTCAAGTGGGCCTTACATTTTCCCATAGCCTTAATAACAATGATAGAAGTAGCAACATGAAAATTGCTTTTAAACACCAGACAAGCTTAAGTTAAATAATCATCCAGTACCAAAAACCTACATCTAACCAAACCTCAGACTACAATGAGAAGGCCTGGTCATACTGCTTTTAGAATCCCATTGCCCAAATTTGCATTTTTTTTCTCGTCTTTTGTTTGTTTGTTTTGGCCTTGTTTACATTCTATGGTCTTCCCTGTCAGGGGGGCTCAAACTTGCTCACCGCAGCAAATCTCAGCCAGCCTCTATTAAAGGTGATGTATCCAAGGCTTCCTCACAGTCTTGGAGCTGCAGGAGGCAAAGAGAGTTCTCTGCACCTGCCTCAAAGGGGAGAGCAGGGAGGCAGGCAGGCAGGCATTCAGGGCACCTGGCAAATACAAAGGAAAGTTAATATTCTTCTCACCATCACCTCTGAGCTTGAGGGTGAAGGTGAAGCAAAAGCTTCTCTGCATTTGCTGGATGCTCCAAGTAGCCACCAAACAGAGCCAAAGCTACCCTTCACTCTTAATCTGCTCCAAGCTGGGATTGAAGAAGGGAACAAGGGCTTCTTCTTGCACTGCATGGAATGCCCCACTTTTGAAGCTGCGGAAAAGATTCTACACAGTAAAAAAAGTTGGGAGTAAAAAAATGGTAAGACATCACAACAGGAACACAACCAGCAGGGAAGAGTTAGCAGAGATCGCTAATCCTCAAAAGTATTTTCAACTGGTATGTAAACATCTTACAAGTATGTGCCAGACAAATTACCCTGGGGAGGGCATTCCAAAACTAGGACAGGGCTACTGAGAAATCAATTTCATAGTCACCCACCTAACCTCTGTAGGTAAATGCACATGAAGAGCCTCTCCGAAGCCTTCCTAAAGAAACTTGTCCATCTTATAAGGATCACAGTGTGCACAGGATATTCACATCTGCGGAATAGATTTTCCTGAAAATTCTCCAACACAACACCCAATCTGCTGCCACAATATCTGCATTTTTTCAGTAGGAAGATGTGGTCTATTTCTATTCCAAAACCATATTCTATGTTCTAAGGTCAGTACTTCACTACATTTGCTTGCCTGGCCATATTTGTTTTCAGTATATTCCTTCCAAACACAGTTCAGTACAAATACAAAAATGTCTTGTCCAAATCAAATGCACTTTTTTGGAAGCTGTGGTAAACATACAGGCAGCCCAAGTGAACTGTGCTGAGAGGAAGCCACCAGGTGGTTTCTCAATTCAGCTAAATATACCCACATCTTTTAAGGAAGGCGTATCTGAAGAGAGAAAACCAGCTTGAACCTTCTTTCATTCAAAATAGTCAGAAGACAGAATTTGAATACCTAGGGGTTTTTTTATATACTTTCTATATAAACTGTGACATTCTAGAGTTTAACTCTAACTCAAGGGTAGCTAACCTGTAGCCCTCCAGAAAGTAACAACTCCCATCATTGGCTGGAGATTATGGTTTTGGGAGTCCAACAACATATGGAGAGCCACACGTTCCCCACCCACCGTTCTAAGTGTTTGGCTCAAATGCCAATTTCACTTGACTGCCTTTACTTGGAAACAAAGAAATTTATACTGGCTTTATTTCAAGGGTTCACAGTGAACAGCAAGGTGAAGTATGAACAATTTTTGTGGTTCGAGTAACAATTTTACTATTCTATTACAGTCTTTTTACTGCAAACTATGTTACTCACCACCACCAAATTTCCTGTTACATTCACCCACACACAGAAAAGTTGAGCAAACTTATAGCAGTTTTGACAAAATAGGCAGTACATCTTGTTTTTGGAAATTCACAATGTCCTTCACTAGAGAAAATTCAGTAAGTTGTCCTGGGTTCTGGAACTGGGTTCACTGCATGGAAAGAACTCATTTGCATTAATTACACGCTATGTGCCATTCATGGCATGGAAGGAATTGTGCCCACTCAGGGGCACACTGCTGGCCCTTATTGTTGGAACACCAACTTCAGAAAGGTGTTTCCCAAACTATAGCTTCCGCTTTTCTGATTATCCAAATCAGATTGCAAGGAGGACAGACACAACTATTTGGAAGAGCATCTTGCAATACCTTTGAAGTACTGCCTGTGGAGGTGAATGCTTATGAGTAACTTGCAAATGTGACATGAATTATTTTGGATGCACTGCAGCATGCTGGATTGTGAAGCACTTCTCTTGCACTTAATTTAGTAACTCTTTCCCCAAAGCATTAGAAAACCAATCAGATGTCTAAAAATTTCATGAACTAGAGATTTGTCCCAAGGCCACCTTGCATTGCTCTTGGACACAGATCACACTCAGAGTATAAACAAATCGCCATATCTTTTTGGAAGTCACTTTGTCACTGTGCCGTTTCTCTCCAAAAACCTTGTGGGGAAGCCCAGAGAAGCAACTCAACTTCTCCCTGCTATTTCACCTATAATTACCAGCTCTCAAAATATACTGGTATATTACTTTTTCTGAATATGGGCATTTTTGCATAATGGCTAAAGGTTCACCAAGATACTCGCCTATCTTGTGGAAATTGAACATCTTGCCTTGATGATCTGGGTGTCCTTGGTTATGGGCTAAGATAAATGGCAATGAAACAGGATGACTGAAGCACATAAACCAATGGTGGTAGTAACACCCTGTGGCTGAAGTCAAGTCCATTATGCAGTTTATCCAAATCTGGATGTTTCTCCCACCCATCAGACACTTCTCAGTCAGGATGTAACTTCAAGAGTTCCACTTCACCAAATGGGTTTTTTCAGTCTGAACGTTCACATGAGCTGTGTCTGTCAGTCTCCACAAAAGCAGTTGTGTATCTTAGAATCAGAATCTTGAGTGAACTGGTTTAGTTCTTGGCTGATGTTTTTGGGTTGTACCTGATGATTCTGTCACACAAACTAAGAGTATTCCTTTGATACCTGGCAGAGTTCAAGACTTCTCTGTCTGAAATACTAATCATTTTTGGACTTACTGAAATTCCTCAAGGGTTTCTACTCTTCGTGTAACACTTAAAATAATCAGTTCTTATTCAGCTGTACTTCTCCGCTGTACTTGAATTGCTGCCTCTACAAATAAATAATACTATCATTAGCACCTGGTACATAACACAGTATTTATGGAAATATGGTGCTTTTAGTTAAACACCTGCCACTTTTCAATACAGTGGCTCCTCCTCCCCAAGCTGGGTATATTGGGATTTTCCATGTGGTTTATTACAGCTATCAAAGGAGCAGATCCTATCCTTTTGGCTTTTAATTCTAAGTGAAGAACTAACTTCACTCAACTAGTGGGCAAATTTCAAGATCATGATTGTGCTGATGATGACTATCAAATTTCATGCCAGGTATTACTGTATTTCTGTTGTGTTCACCAAGTCCACAAACAAGCTGAAGTAGTTTTGGTCACCAAGCTAGCAATGAAGGAGAATAGGTTTATCTAATTATCCGGCTTTGGGATTCATAAACAGTTGAAACTGCCAATAATACCACCTACAACAGACCAATCCAAGTCAAACATTTTTGGGGGCACAGTGGGCCTGTAACAAACAAAGTTAAAAGCAAAAGGTTATAAAATGGTTAGTAATCAAATGGGGGAAGGGTGAAATAAAAGAAACTGGTAAATTTGGTCCTGAACTATTCTGACAATAGGTATGAATGGTCTCAGAAGAGTTCGTTACCAAATTTACCAGTTTCTTCTTTTATTTCACTCTCCCCTCAATCATCCCAGTGTGAAGCAAATTTTGTAAGGAGGAAATGTCATGCAAGCCACTGTTTGTCTAACACTTGAAGGGAAGCTGGGTTTGACACTGGCAAGGTTGCATCTTCCTGAAACATTAGTCTTCAAATAGATCTACGACAATTTTAAAATCTACAAAAAAACCCCATGTTAAACGTTACTTCCTACAGTGTTTTAAAACTTGTATTCTGTTCGATACCATGGAAAAGCAAACAGCACTTTTTAAGAATTCCCCATTGTTGTATGCTATTAAAAAAAAATTCCCTTCAGAGCTGTAACTAAAGCAGATAACTTTAGCAACAAAATAAAGTTATGTAAGCAACTGGGCTTCACCCTCAGCTATAGCTTATATATTTTAGATTAATATCCCCAAATAGTCCTAACACTGGGGGTGGGGGAAGCCAAATGTTCAGGTGTCTGTTTTTAAATGTTACCACTGTAAAACCAAAACAATCCAAGATCCACCTATTGATAGTTAGGATTAATAATGCAGTTCAGCAACAAGTACATGCAGCACAACCTAATAATATTTTGGACTAGAAGAATGTAGGTTCTTCCTTTTTTAAGAGCACGCAAGTTCCAAGGGTATTTCCAGCCCTTGCTAATGATTAGTTAACAGCATTAAAAAAAAGTCAGGCCACATCCAGATATGGTCAAATATGTCCAGTCTGATGGGTTAGGAATGTGCCCTGTCACTTTAGGTTGCACCAAGTCATGTGTTTTCTTCAAAAAGAGTAAAGCTAAGAAGGTCTATCCTGTTACATTTAGCCTCTCCTTCACCACCGTCATCCTTGGAACCTAAAATGGAGATCAGAAATCTCCCTGCAAGGGGAGGGAGATCAGGATCTTCATCCATTAGTTTCACAGAAAGGCAGCTGCACAGAAAACCACCATGCTATCATCGATGACCAACTTCCTTCTTGCATCCCCAACACGGACTACGTGAAGTGTGTCATATTTTCCCTTGCAAGGCGCGGATGGGGCAGGGTGGGTGGGTGTCTGGAAATCCGGAAAACACTGAAGGATGGAGTCACTCTGCGCCACCACCAGCTGGCAAGAAGAAAGAGGCCTTAATGCGGGTCGCACAAGCCGGCTAGCAAAGTGGATCCCCACCCGTGGGCAGGATTCCTAACTGCAGGGGGTCAGACTAGAGGACCCAAGGGACCCCTTCCAACTCTACCTCTGCCTTGCTTTACAGAACCACAGAACTGCAAACTGAGCCGAGCTACACGAGCCCACCCTCCCTCGCAAAAAAAAAAAAGGGGGAAGTGTTTTACTCCAGAGTCCAACAGTTTCTCTGCATTCTCAGTCCCGCGAACGCAACGGGCTCGCAGTTCGCGTCCCTCCCCCCCCCCGCCTTTAAGCCGCCGCGGGCGTCACGCGCTCCCCCTCCCCCCCCCCGCGCGTGGAAAAAAAAAAGGGAGCGAGAACTTTCCCTGGCAGAAGCGGCGGCTGTGGGGGGAGGGGAGGTCCCTGTCAAAACAGTCGACGCCCTTCGAGGGAGGAAGAAAAGACGCTTCGCTGAACAGCTGCTCGACGCTCGACGCGGGCGGGCGGGGGAGGGGCGTGTATGTGAAAAGAGGAAGGCAACCGCCGCGGCAACTGCCCCGACCGCACGGAAAGGGACTCCCCCGCCCCCCTCACATCCCTGTCAAGCCGAAGAGCCACGGACGCCGCCGCCTCCTCCTCCTCCTCCGCCAGCTTGGTCCTCCGCCAAGCCCCACACAAGAATGCAACGCGGTCACATGACCTCCGGCGGACGTGCGGCTCCCTTCCCTCTCCAGGGACACCTCGCGCCATCTTGGACTGACGCAGTTACAGCCGCCGCCGAGACGCCGCCGAGCAGCGGACCTTCCTCCGAGCCCCGCCGCCGCTGCTGCCGCCACCACCACCCCGGCTCGGTCGAGGGGAGGGCGGGCGGGCGCGGTCGCCCGAACCCCGCTGTCCTTTCGGCCCCGCCGTCCCTAACGCTTCTCCGGAGAAGCCTCTGCCCCCTCTCCTCACCCACCGCGGCTGGTATCATGGCGCCCGTTTTCTCCCTTTGCACCAGCCACCCCCGACAGCTCCCCGAGCCCTGCCCAGCAGCTGCGTCTGCCCCTGCTGCAGGATGATGTCAGCGCCTGCCAATCGGAGCGCGCCTCCGCGGCCCGTCCGCAGAGCTGATTGGCTGCGCGGCCGCCGCCGCTCCCCACCCTCCCCCCGCCTCCTCCTGACTCAGTGCGCTCTCCGCGGTTCGCTGCGGAGAAACGGCCAAAGACAGGAAGGGGGAGGGGAGGGAAGAAGGGCAGAGGGAGGAGGAGGAGGAGGGAGGAGAACAACAACCTCGCGGCGCGACAATCACCAACCGCCCCGAGACGGCAGTCGCCATTTCGTATTACAACAGGCGGAACCCCCAAGCGAGCAGCCCCACCACGCGTCCTAGAAAGGGAGAGAGAGAGAGAGAAATAGATACACATCGGGATTAGACAAGGGGGGGTGAAGAAAATAATAAAAAAACAATAAGCACATCCACACACTCCACCATGGTCACAAGACATTTAATCGCCCTCCCTTTCTCACCCCTCTGCATACTCTGTGCCCCATGGCAGCCGCCTTCTGTGGGGTCCAGTCGGGCAGCCAGACAAGTGCCATTCCCACCTCAGCTGCTTCTTCCTCCTACCGGGAGCGAGCTCCTCTTATCTAAGCCTGTTCCTAACTCCCTCCTCCTGCCACTCGATGGTCTCGGCTCCATCAAGGCAGGGCAAGAGCTGCCAGCCCAGCTTTTATCTGGTGCCCCGAGCTTGCGCACTGAAGGAGGCTCACTCAGCCCCTGGTGGGCGTCGAGCGAAAACCCCAGCCTGCCTGCCTGCCTGCCTGCCTTCCCCTCCCTCGCTCGCTCGCTCGGCTCCCGCCGGAGGGGCTGCGAGCAGGCGGGCCGGGAAGCGGGCTCCGTGCGCAGGCAGAAGTCGAAGCCGGCGGGTGGCGGGGAAGGAAGGCGCTCGGCATTGACGGGGAGGCCGCCATAAGTGGTTGCCGCGAGCAAAATGGGGGACGGGACGGGGACGAGTTGCCCTCTGAGCCGGGACAGGTGTCCCGAGATTTCCAGAGAAGGGCCATTTCCTCCGCAGCAGTAATCGTTTTGAGGAAGCGGATCCGACCCTTCGCTCGCACCTGTCCGAGGGTGAAAACGAAAAAAAGAATCCCTCCGATGAAAGGCTCGTGCGGTCGGACGCCAGGAGTCGCAGCTGCCCGAGACGAGCCTCTCCGCGGCCGCCGAGCTGCAACCCTGAACCCTTGGCCTGGAAAACAAACGCAGTCGAGCGCGGCTCGAACGTATCTGGCCGCCCAAACGCTAAAGGGACACGTTTCTGCCAGCTGCTGAAAAGGACTAGTTTTCACGTCTGAAGTCCAATGCACGGCTTATACGCGTGCACAAACCCAGAGCCATGCCACTGGTCCCGAGATGACACTTTGCACGTTGCTCACCGAGGCCCCGCGAACTAAACCAGTTTGTTTGGTAGATCCTGAACGTGAACTCTTAAAACATACATAGACGGTCGGGGCTGCGACCCGTCAGCCTTCCTTAGGCAATCCTTAAGGCCGTCACTTGCGTCGGGCAACTTCCTCCTTTCCCTCACCGCCTGTCACAGCTGAAAGCCTTGCCTGGCCGCCCTGAATACGAACCCAAACGTCTCCCCCTGCCCTCGTCCCACCCGGCGCTTCCCCGACCCTCCTTCCCATCCTGCGCGCTGCCCCTATTCGCGCTCCCGTCGCCTGGCTTTATTAAGGAGACACACACACATTGCAAAAATGGACCGGGCGAGGGTGGGTGTCGGGCGGGGGGCGTCTTGCGCTGCCGGGCACCAACGGAACTCCAGCCCACAAGCAAAATGGCGGCTGTTTGGCTTCGCCCTGGTAACCCTGCCCCTGCCAGGCGGGACGGGTGAACCCCGTGCAGCGGGAGGAAGGGGGGGGGGGAGTGAGGCGACGCCATTTTCCCAGAGAGAGAGAGAGGCAGTGACATAGGAGGGAGCGTAGGCGGCTGCGAGGAGGGAGACGGGAGCAGGAGCAGCAGCAGCGGCGGCCGCGGCAGCAGTGGCAGTTAGGGGGTTTGTGCAGAGGTCCTGAGGCGAAGGCGCTTCTCCCTCGGCCGCCGCGGGACTCTGGTGCAGCCCAGCCGCCTTCCTCGGGGTTCCCTGCTGCCAGTGAGCCTCTCCCCACCCCCAGCTCCCCACAGGCGGCTGAGGGGCTCCGTCCTGCCCAGGCGAGGGACATCCGCAGTGGGACTGTTGCATTGTTTTGGTTGGGGTAAGAGAGAGGGGCTCGGTTAAGGGGGTGCTGCTTGCCTGGCCTGTGACCATTACAGGTGAGTCTGCCATTATTATCCTTATTTATTGTGGTTGTCATGCCCCGTGATGGGAGCCTGAGGGGGAAAGGCGGCGGCGGCGGCGGGGGGGGGGGGACACCTTTCAAAAAGAAAGGCTAAAAAGTGGCGGCGCATCTCGTTTCTTCTGGGGGGGGTGTGTGTGTATATATCTATATATACGCGTGTATTATATTCATTCTGGATTGTGGCTCTTCTTTTTACTCCGTATGCTCACCTCGCTCCGGTGGGGGTGGACTGGCTTAAAAGGGAGAGGGAGTCGCTCTATCTTGCGAATATGGCGCGTTATTGTAACTGGCGGAGCTGATGGGTGGTGTGTGTGTGTGTGTGTGTGTGTGTGTTTGGGGTGGGGGCCCCCGCTATGCCAGCCTCCTGCTAGAAATAAATCTCCCAGAGGTCGCTTAATGCGATGAAAGCGTGGTTCTTTTGCTTGTGTTGCCTCTCGCTTTAAAGAACAGGCGCGGGTTTTTTGGGGGCAAATATTTATGTTATTGGGAACCGAGGTTCCCGTAAGACGAATTCGGGCGCTATGTCCTTGTTCAACCCACCCGCCCCCCACCCCGGCCACTGTTATTTGTTGTGTTTTGTGGTACTAATAGGGCTCATTACGGGCCTAATCTTCCTTTCCACAGACACACACACACACATATATATACTCCTCTCTCATTTTATCTTCCATCTTCTCGTTTCCCCGATCCGTGTGGTGTATATAGTAGCAGGCGAACGGCGAACAGTTCCGAAGACTTTGAGGAGCGATTTAAAAGGGGGTGGGGTGGCAGGTGGGGATTTACCCCGGGGTCCCCCTTTTCAAAAACTGGTTGCATAAGGTTATATTTGCCCTCATCTTTGTGTTACCCTCCGTGCCTCCTGGCCAGGGCTGGCGTACCGGGAACGACACATAGGGAACCTCTTTCTTGAAAGGAGTTGGTGGCATAGACCCTACTGCTGCAGACATGGGGGAGGAGAAACAAACGGTCCACTGTGTAGTACTAAATAGGGTAGAAGAAACATAATATAGTCCAATTAGAAAGGTCCCGTCCTTCTCAGCACTCAATCATCGAGGAATGCGCGGTGATTAAAAGCCTAGTTAGTGGTTTTCAAATGATGTAGACAACTCTCCGAAATGCTACTCTTATAGTAAACCGTATGAATTTAGGGCTGTTTTCCTCCTCCGTATATTTAGATTACCTTTAAAGAGATTAATGGTGGAACACTTTTCCCCCCTTTAAAAGCATATCTAAAAGAAATCAAAGCAACGCCGGGAAACCTAGGTGACCTACAGAGGAGGTTTGATGACACACGCTATACTTTTAAAGTTACTTTCCATAAAAGTGGAGTAAAAACTGTAATTTCCCTCTTTTGTCCTTTAGAGATTCTAAAAATGGCGGCCTCAGGCTGATGTTGTGGTAATCTAATCAGCTCGGGTCCTCCACACCCCATGCAGTGCATTTGTCTGCAGCACATTTATAGGCTTAATATGCTTAAATGAAAAAAAGACTGCCGTCTTTAAGTCATGAACGAAACGTATCTCGTCTTTGCTACGATTAAAATGCTGTGTTCCAGCTGATTAATTTTATTGGTTATTTGTGTGAAAGGCACAAATCAACGAGACCAGTCTTCCTAGGGGAGGGGATTGATGACGGACTGGTGTAGCTGCTGTGGTCTATGTGTGTATGTTTGAAGTGAGTTCATATGCATGCCATATTAATCTTTTTACTTTTGTTTTTAAAATGGTGGACAAGTTCCTCTTGGCCTCTTAATCTAGATTTGTGCTGTAATGTCTAATGCTGGCATGCAACCAGCATTACAATGAGAACATGAAAATAATTTTTATCATGGCACTTCATTTGAGATTGTGATAGCCCTATCAAGCCAAATAATTTCTAATCTATTAATAATCTGTTGCTGCTGGACAGATTTTTCCAGTGTTTCTGCCTCCCCCAAGGAATTATACAGACAGATTTAAAACTCCCCCTTCTTCGAGGGGTGGGTGTGTTAAAGGTTACATGTCTTAAATGTGACTTTTCTACATGATTTGTTTGTTATACATTACATGTGAAATGCATATTTCACTGTGAAAAGGGATTGTTTGTAAGGTGCTAATTGCCACTGACAAATGAATAGTGATGATGCATTTAAAATACAGTAACTATTGTGCTGTTAAGCCTTCTCCTTTATCTTCCCTCCTCCCCTGCCCCCCTTCCGGGTCTGTTGGATACAGTTGAGAGCAACATGCTTATCTAAAAGTATATGAAAGTTTCACTTAATTATATTTTTAATATTTTTGCAGTTAGAATGACTTGAGGATCAAGTTGCAACTTTAATGTGTTTGTGTAACCTTCTGCAAAATATTATTTAGCAGTGGATTTTCCCTTCAACCCAGGCAACATTAATTTACATATATTAACTTGACTGCCTTGCATAGTTAATAACCTGCTTCTTAGACGTGTAAATGGGGACAAGGTATACATTACAGGGCTATTCATGTATGCCTTCAGTATGTTGTGAGGCCAAGAACATGTTAGTTTACACATGGTTTAATGTATGGGACTACAATCCTTTATCCATTTAGCTGGGAGTAAACACCATTGAACTTAATGGGACTTGCAGCTGAGTAAATGTGCATAGGCATATCTAGTCAAAACAATGGTCACTTTTAATGATTTTAATATTTTTCATACTGTATATACAGTCTTGTGAACCTGGAAAAAGTTGATCCTTGATTATAAACAATTTTGCTTAGGTGTTCATCTTCTCATTTGAATTATAAATTGAATTTTGTGTGCTGAAAAATCAAGGGTTGCATCTAACTAAGTTAGAGTAGAACTTAAATCCATTGATTTAAATGGGTATACTCGTGACTATCGAATAGTTAGTTAGATGCCATCCAGGTGGTTTGGTTTTATTTACTACTTATGATGACAATATTTGGTTTCTCCAAAATAGGATTCCAAGAAAACAGAATATTATGATAATTCAAAACCCACCATTAAAAGAGAATTGAAGCCATTTTAAGGCCTTTGTTCTATGTTGTCTGTAATGTGGAACTGCTAGTAATGTTGCATTCCACTAGTGGGTTCTGAACTGTACGTATCCTTATTCTAAGTTTTATTTTGTTCATTGAGATTTTTAAAGAAGGCTCACCTGGTTTAGTGGAGCCACAGTTCCTGGCTGTCATTTACTGGGGAGGGGCAAGGCAGTGAGCAGATTGCCATGGTGCACTGGCAGAGCCAACTCAATGCTTCCACTAGTGTTTGATGCAGGATCTCTTTGCCCCTCTCCCTCCCAGCAAGCAGCAGTGACATATCTTTTGGGAAGCAGCGTTGCAGCTCTACCTCATCAAGAAAGGCAGTTCTGCACCCAGCAGAATTTAGGATTGTAGCCTAAATGATTTTGTACTGCAGATTCATTTGTTAGAATCCAAAAGTGAGCTTCAATGGGTCACAAATCTGGAACACAACTCGTATATTTCATCCAGTGAACCATAGTGTACCTTTTGGTACGCTGAGAGTCACAGTAATAGGACTTAATAAAGTGTTACATGGCTTAAATTTTTTTTCCATATGTGGAAATCTTATGCATATTTATTCAGATATAAGTCCAATGGTGGACAGCATAGTAGTGTGGCAGTGCTCACTTGACCTCCTGGCAGCAGAGTCACTTCTGTTTACCTGGAGGAAGAGTGGGAGGGATAATGTGGCTGGGAGGTCAGCGCTGTGCAGATGCACAGGTAGAAGAACCATGTTGGCTCCGCTGCCTTGTTTGCATCGTGCTGACTTCCCCACCACCTCACCTCTACCACTCTTGCTTTTGGTAAGTAGCAAATCAGTGATCCAGAGGTCTGGTTATTACATTTTTCAGGAATTACATTCTTCCTTTAAAAGTGCAGCAAGGTCTTTGATCTGAGCTTCTGTTAAATAAACTTTGGTACCATAAGTGAGATGAGCCTTGGTTGAATTCTGAAACTTCTTTTCAGAAAACTTATTTTTGTAAATTGCTGAGTTATAGAGCACTATAAAATAGAATAAATAGAGCTAACCTAAAATTTGTTGGCATATTTTCTCTACAAGGAGGACAAATTCTTGTACAACAGCTAAGTAAACATATGGGGCTCCATTCTTCTCATAGAAGGAGCTTCTAGTTTACAGAAGAAATCTTCTGTATGAGCATATCAGAAGCACTGAATCCAACATATGACAATAAGAAGTCCACTGCATGCTGTTCGTCTCAAGCCTTTGACCAAGACAATGTCTCAAATAAAAATTCAATGTAATCTGTAGTACAGTTGATCCAAAATAAGTTGGTTTATTATTTCTGTTAAGAATTAAAATATTCTCTGAACTACACTGAGTGACATCCATTTGTGTCAGCCTGCTTGTGCCAACAGGGCTCCCCCTGTCTCCACTGTTGCTTCCTGAGAGCCCCCCAAATCTGCTCTAGGGGATTGGAGGATTCTCTGAAACAAACTGGGGTGTGGTTGGGTTGCAGGGGTGAGGAGAAGAAGGGGAAGTTCTGTTGCTTTTGCTGGCACAGCTGGACATCGTCTCCTGAGTCTTTAGCTCAAATTTTCATTAGTCTGTGATGTAATGGAAGCCTTCCCACACCCCGTGCTTTGTAACCTGTAAAAAAATACAATTGTATTTTATCTCTTTAAAATAGTGGAATATTCAGATTTTTGTTTTACTTAATTTTAAAAATGCCTGGCACCATCTTTATCAGTTTTTAGATGGCAGACAAACCCCCTCCCGTGAGCTTTTGGACCTTAAGTTGAAGAGTTTGAAGTGCTTCTCATCTCTTAGTGGGGCTGGTTCTGTGAAGCCATTGTGTTGTAGGTTTTTACTGGTTTGTCGTCACTCTTTTTAGTGTTTATACTTTATTGTAAGTCACTTTGGGTCTCTTTTGTGAGTAAAGCAACTACTTAATATAAAAAATAATAGAATTAATCTTGTGTACATGTTTTGTATCAGGGCTTAACATCTAATGAGGTTCAAAGCTTGTGTCTCAAATATTTTTTTGTGAAGTTTCCAAATCATATCCTGAAATATTATCTTAAAAGGAGCAGCACCCTCTGCATCTTGGACTGAAGGTGGGGAAAGTAGTGGTGCTTTCTTGTCACTTATTTAAATGGTGCAGTGCATTTCCTTTTCATTTGAATTGCAATGTAATAATGGAAAGCTTTAGCCGGAATGCAGTGAACCTGACACTAAGCCAAAGATTAGCCTCAAATGCACATTTGGAACTCCAATTTAATTTAGACCGTGATATACAGAAGAGTATATTTTGATTCACCAGTTACAATTCCAACATTTTCAGATTTCTTTGTTGTTGTTTTTTACTTATTTATTACATTTACAGTATATACCACCTTTCCCTCCAAGAAGCTCAAGGTGGCAGACGTGGTTCTTCTCTCCTCATTTTATCTTAACAACCCCTTGAGGTAGGTTAGACTGAGAGGCAGTGAGTGGCCTAATGGTCCAGTAAGCTTCATGGCTGAGTGAAACCAGACATTCTATAATCTTTGAAATATGCCTTTTTTGACACTGAAAAGAAACCACCCATTCTTCTACTGTTTATTGAATTTAAATAGTTGAAAGTAATAAACTGCATTATTTTTGTGGGATGATTTCAGCTTTCTCATGAGTAGAATTCTATTACTGGAATACTCGCACTGGAGGAAGAGAGGCAATATTTACTAATTCCTCCTTCCTGCAGTTCTCCTTGACCCCTGAAAAGCTGCTCTAAAAGTTTGATGATTCTCCCCCCTCCCTCTTTCCAGCAGGAAATCCCTTTGATTTCAGTCCTGTCTGTGAATGGAAGGAACACTGAATCCAATCTGATGTCTTTTAAATGTTTTAAACTACAATAATAGAATACCATTTTTCAGCATCACTTCCTTTGCAATGCATTGATGCAAGACTATAGGAGTGCAGCCTTCTGGGCAGTGTTAGAAACTCGGAATGTCTAGGCACCCACCCCCCCGGAGGGAGATTTATTATTATTATTATTGATTTCATTTCTATACCACTTTATATTTTAAATTAAAAAATCCCAAAGTGGTTTACAGCACATTAAAACATCAAATCAAACAATCCAGAATACAAATTCAAGCTTCAGGGGAAATATTTCAGATCCTTCTCCAAGTGACATTTTGTTTTCCACATATTTATTTTCAGACTTAATGTGTATAGCTGCCCCATAGTACTGTAGGAAGCCAGTGTGGTTAGAGTGTCAGACTTGGACCCGGGAGATCAGGGTTCAAATCCCCACTCCGTCATGAAGCTCACTGGGTGACCTTGGGCCTGTCACAGCCATGTAACCTACCTCATAGGGTCATTGTAGGGATTAACTTGGGGGGGGGGTGAACCATGTACTCATTGGAGAAAAATGTGGGATATAAATGTGATAAATAAGCTCTTCTGCTTACCAGTTTAAGAAAGCTGGAGAGCCAGCCAGATGGAGATGTCAGTCACCAACTTGGCATCCAGAGATCTCCAAGTGGTCGCAATTGGACCTGCGCCAGTAGCAAAATGCGCCTGGCTAATTTCTAACACTGCTTCTGGAGTAGTGCATATTTTTTAAATAAAGAGAAAAATATCTTCTCATCATCTTATTTCCAATGAAATAACCATTAGTAGCCACCATCGCAGTCAAGTTGCAGCACATATATTCCTTTCAATGTAGCATTCTGTTTCAGTGGTTAAAGAAAAGACAGCAACCTTCCTTAGAGACCACAGACTAGAAAGCTTATGACAACTGGTCATAGAACCATTTTCTCATATGTTTTGGGAGAAGGTTTAATTATTGTTTATTATTCCACCCAGTTCAGGAGTAAAAACTAGGAAAATATCTAAGATTGCAATCTTAACTACACTTATTAGGGAGTAAGCTCAATTAAACACAGTGGAGCTTACTTCTGGATAAACACAGAGAGGCTTGTGCTATAGTTTCTGCTGTCTTTTGAGAAGGTACTAATTTTGTCACGGCCTGCACAAGACATTTTGCTGCTTGAGGCAGAGCAGCAACCCCCCCCTCAAAAAAAAAATATTATGGTGCATAATATCCAAGGTCAAACAAGTTATTCTGGCAGTAAAAATGCAGCAATAATAAAATAATTTTAAAAATTGCTGCCCTTTCAAAACAGCCCAGATCAGCAGCCTAAGCATTGCTAACTCTTAGAAACATTAAGTTCATTTCATTGTTATCCCATCCTTCCATGGGGCAAAGTGTGGCATTAACTTCCCCCATTATCCTCCTTCATAATAACCGTAGGAGGTAGGTTAGAGAGAATGAACAGAGATCCCAGATGTCCTTGATTTAGTCCACCAATCTGACCACTACACCACACTGCCTTTTTAATATCAGGACCTTATAACACAAAATTATTTCACTTGATATGAAATGACACAATCTAATCCACATGTTAAAAGTACAGTAGTACCTCCGGTTACATAACCCTCTGGTTACGTAAACTCCAGGATGCAAAAGCGGCAAACCCGGAAGTATTTGACTGCGTTTCGCCATGCATGCGCAGAAGCGGTCCTCAGGTTGCGGAAACCTTGGGATCCGACCGGACCTCTGGAACAGATCCTGTCCGCAACCGGAGGTACCACTGTATTGGCTTTATTATTTTCCAATTAATCTGTTCCACTACCACCACACACCCTATCCTACATTTTCCTTACCTAATCACCACTTGATTCATGTTTGTCTTCCCTACCATAGCTAGAGAAGGGGGGGAATCTAGGACCACATTATTATATACTAGATTTACAGTATATCCCACCCTTCTTCCAGTGAACTAAAGTTGATGTATATTATTTTCCCTCCCCTTCACCGATATATCTCCACAACAACCCTCTAAAGTAGTTCTAGTTACACATAGGTAGCCGTGTTGGTCTGCCGTAGTCGAAACAAAAACAACAAATTCCTTCCAGTAGCACCTTAGAGACCAACTAAGTTTATGTGCATGCACGCTTCTTCAGATACCTCTAAAGTAGGTTAGGCTGAGTGATAACTTTAAAAAGAAGTAAGTGTCAAGTTCCAGACTGTATGGGAGAGACCCACAACTTAAAACGGGGACTTCAGTCTCACCTCCTCGTGCCCAGCAATGCACATGGTGTTAGGGAGAGCAGAAGTACTTCTGCTTCCTTGTGATGTATTGTTTTCTTCCTCCTCGTGCTGTTCCTGCTCTTCTACAAAACTGGCAGCAGGAGGAAAAGCAGAGCACAGGAAAGTGATGTTGATGGCAGAGTTCACAGGTCCCAACCAGTCTGCCACTTCTAAAGCTGCCCCCTATTGTACCACCTGAGTGGTTTGCTTCAATGTGCCTCATTATAGAGTTGGCTCTAATTTTTGTACCATCACAGTACATGGGATGCTAACAGAGTAAGAAACAAAAAGTTAAGTCTCTGTACTGAGGAACTTACAATTTGAAATTTGAAATTTGGGCTGCCAGGGGATGAAGTTTGGAAAAGAGATTAATCAAAAGAATATGTGCCTAGTTAAGTTAGACTTCACTTTAGTGAGGAGTATACCCAGCAATAATTTCATGGAAAAATTGGTTTTCCCAATTAAAACAGCTCCATACATTAATTATTCAGAATTTTAAAAGGTGGCATTATGAATGTATTTGTATCAGTACTTTCCATTGTGCAAGCAATACTTGGAAGTTGTAGATTTCCTGGCCTGGGCCTTGGTCACCTTAAATGCGGAGAGATCAACTGTTACAGTTCTTAGGAGTTTGTTTGCTTCCAAATCTCAAACTAGATTAGTCTTTGTTCCTGGATCTAAATTTCCAGGGCACAGGGGAGGCTTTAAAGAGGGTTAAAATTTCATTTTAAAAAATGGAAGCAGAATGATGCAGATTAAATTTATTTTGTGTTGCTCCTCCCCCCCTTTAAGAATTACTGTTTCCAAAAAAAGGCACCTAAAAAAAGAAAAATTAGCAGGACTGGAACGGAGACTGCTACAAAGAATGGACTGGGAGGAGGGGAAAGCCATAGATAAGTGAGTTAGGTAAAAGGGACAGGGAAGCCTTTCCCATTGGCCTCCAGTAGTTCTACATAGCTTGATATTCAAACTTAAAGATACAAACATGCATTCAGTGCATCTAATACCTACTAATCATCTTCATCATCATCTCCTTCTTTTACTTCCAAATGAAAGTTAGAATTCTAAGGATGTCAAATTCTACCTTGCAAGGTAAGCAGATATGAAGTAGGCTATATACACCCTAAACTGGACTGCTCTGGCAGGTCCTCCGCCTTTCTGCTTTGAAAACAAATGCTTGTTATTTCTAAACTTAGACAGCTGTTACTGCTTTAAATACCCTGTGTTCTAGAAGTAGAATAGAGCTTAATTGTAGGGAGGTACTATAGGTGCTTTTACTATTTGGAAAAAATGATTTCTCTTTGTATTTTGATTGCTCAGTGGAACCCACAGACTTGTGAAGGCCAGATAGAACTACATTTTTCAGAACGTCAACAGACATATTCTAACTCTTTATAGGTTGACATAAAAAGCTGAGTATGATATGCTGTAGAGTCCCATTACTTTAGTCAGAGTCATTAGCTCTTCTTGCTGTACATGCTAACAATTACAATATGCTTTAAAAAAAATTAAATAAAGGAATATGCCAGTTTCTTCTCCATCTCTCCACTTCCCTTCCTTGTTTCCTTTATTCTCTTCTAGAAAGGGGCTAGAGACTATGTAGGAGCCAGCATTTTCTTTAGATAGAACTGTTGGCAAAGCACAGTTCTATTCAGGTACAGGAGGGCATGCTGAGTATTGTCCATTACAGTCACTTTGAGCTAAGTACAGTGGTGCCTCACAAGACGAAATTAATTCGTTCCGCGAGTTTTTTCGTCTAGCGAATATTTCGTCTTGCGAAGCACAAAATCCCATAGGAATGCATTGAAATTCAATTAATGCGTTCCTATGGTCAAAAAGAGTCCAAACAAAGCCAAATTTGGTACAACAAGAGTTTATTAAGTGCTCTTTAAAGTCACACATACTGTAAAGAGCATTTCAAAAATTGAAGGAACAATAAATTCAAAAATTGAAGGAACAATAAAAATCAGAAAAATTCAGGAAAAAACCACACAAGCTCCCAGATTCTTGCAAACCCCTCCTCAACTGTTCCCCCAGCCACCCACCACACAGAAATTCAAATCCAGATTTTTTTTAAAAAAAAAACATGGCCCAATGGTCACAGAAAATCATAAAAATTCAAAAAAAACCCACACAAGCTCCCAGATTCTTGCAAACCCCTCCCCAACACCAAGTCCTTGAATTCCAAACACCCCAACCCAAAATCCAAAACCCCCAAAAAAAGTTTTAAAAGTTTAACTTACCAAATGGCTGCAAAAGAAGTTTTGGAAAAGCTTCAAAAATCGCCAAAGTCTTCAAAAACCTCACAAAGGCTACCACACCGCGTACTATGAGTTGCTCCTCGAAGTCAAGTCGCAACTGCACCTCTTCAAGCAATGCACCTTGGGTTTTAACGGTTTTACGAAAAGGAAACAAACTTGCAAGACGTTTTCGTCTTGCGAAGCAAGCCCATAGGGAAATTCGTCTTGCGAAGCAGCTCAAAAACCGCAAAACCCTTTCGTCTAGCGAGTTTTTCGTATTGCGAGGCATTCGTCTTGCGGGGCACCACTGTAAAGATAGATATGGATATAGGTGTGGGAAATCCACTGAAGGAGCCAACCATCTGGCTTAAAATACTGGTCCGGGCTCTTACTGTATACTACCATAACACCTTGCAACGTAAGATGGGGGTCTCCAGGTGTTGTTGAACTACACTTCCCATGATTTCTGGTCAGTGGGTGTGCTGATGAGGGCTGATGGGAGTTCGGAGACCAACAGCATCTGGAGTGCCAAAGGTTCTTAACCCTTGACCTAAGGAAACTGCTGGCCTGAATTGCTGTACTAAAGCAACACTACTGCAGATGGCTAGATAACATTATTGCAGCTTCCAGCCCACCTGAGTCTTGCTGATATGAGGAGCCAGTAGATTCTTATCTGACCTCATAAAGCTGCTGACCTTGGTCTGATTCTTCAATTAGAGATTGTAGGCTGATTCTCTGCTGAAACACCTGCCTGCCTCTAGACTCCTAGCCCTAACATATGGCTATAGTGTGAACTTGAGATTTTAGAATCTTATACCAAAACCACAACAGAAGTATCAAAAAAGCAAAGCAGAACAGAATTGTAGAACTGTTACCCTGAAATGTCATCAAAGCAGCCTTAAGTCTGGCACTATATGAGGTAATAAAACAAATTTGCAAAATAAACAGGATTCCTGTTTAACAGATGTGAGAAATTGAGAATAAGACTATAAATAAATTACCCATGATCCATCATTTTAATATTTTTGAATTAATAATTAATATTTTGTGAAGGAAAAAGTTGAAAATAAAGTGTATACTTTTATGCAAATATTTTTATGTCATCATTTGAAGTTCTCAAAGGAAGATCAAGAACATCCAGTGGATGGATCCAGATCAGGATAAACGGTGCAGGTTCTGTAAATAAGTTGCACTCTGTTTCTAAGGCTTTTGTTCTTTACTGAGTGCAATCAAGTTTATTTATGTTGCGTAGGAGTCAATAGGTGAGATCCAACTAAACTACACATGGAGTAGATCTGTTTAAATCAATGGATTTTGCTCAAGTTCATTTGTTTCAATGAGTCTGCATTGAGAATGGTGTAGTTGGATCCCACCCAACAAGGGTTTCAGATTCTCTCTTCATCAGCACAACTGTTCAATGAAGAGGATAAGATTGCATTTAAAGATAATATAATGGGATTTATACAGTTGCTCATAGTTCTCATTTTTGAATTCAGGGATTTCAGAATAGTGTGTTTTGTTTTAGGAAACTGTGTTGCTTTGGAAATTTATCCCTGGGTTTAGCGATGGTGGACAAGCATCCCCAGATGAGTGCTGCAGTTCATATTCACAGGGGAGTGCTCATGTGCCCTCTCCTGAAGCTTTCCTTGTTTGAAAACATGGTTTCACATGATATCCAAACTAGGAAGAGACTTGTTTAAGTGCTACTGCCAACAAGGATATTCCTTCCTGAAGACTTCACAGCCTAAACAGACAAGATACAAGGGGGTGGATAGGTAGAATATAAGAATAGTGGTAATTAAGAGAAGGGAAAAGGGCTAACCTGGAAGGTGAAAGCAGCTTGATAAAGAAGTCCTAATCTGTTCCGCTCTCTATCCTCCATTTCCCTTTTCAAATTGCTGTGGAGAGTCTATGCATTCGGACATATAATCTTGACCATGGTTTATGTTATCAGGAATGACCTGAGGCATTCCTCTGGCTCATGTTCCTTCTCCTCTCCACATAAGGAGAGTTAAAGCATCTGCATCATGCAACTTGGGGAACTATGATTTAACCAAAGTTAGTTTAAACAAAATAAAGGGTAAAACTGGTTTCAGATTCTTTTTGTGTTAACTAATTTAGGTTAAATCAAACCACAGTTGTCAAGAGATTGTACTGTTTTGCATTCAAGGGAGGAAGTTGGGGCAAGAGAGTGTGCAAGTTAAGATTCCTGCTGTTCATTCCAAATCACCTACACCAGGCCATTTCCATTCCTCCAAACCATAGAGTTTGTATTCTTGCCGCATCCCACTTCACCATATAATTTCAGTTTAGTTGATATTTTCCTTTATTCCAACAGCACTTTGCTGTTACATCTGAACCAGCAATCCTTTGAGCGAGCCTTCTAAAGCATGATTGCAAACCATAGTTTGATTACTTTGGTTCTATTTTAGTTGAATAAGCATCCAGTTACTTACTTTATGGGGACTCGTTTAATAATCCCGTTTAAGGACTGTTAGTGCAGGGAAATAGTTATGTTGATATTGTATGCAACTTTCCTGTAAATAATGAAGACAACTGGGTTTGTCGGCCAAGGGTGGTTCTTCTGTTTGTTCATTCAACATATTGTAGCATTTTGCTGGGTAAAGCTTAATTCAGCAAAGGTCAAGCTGACTCACAACCAAGTATGTCCTTTTGGGTTGGGATCTAGTGCTAAAAGTGAGCTTTTATAAAATACTTTCTGAGTATTCAGAACAATTAACATACACTATCTCAATAATCACAAATGTTCTATAATGTAGGCAGCCATCACAGTTGAGGGCTTGGGAGATAGTAGTTTGCAGTAGGCCATCTTGTGAGTTTGTGAGTGAGGTAAGATTTAATCTAGGAACATCCCAGTTTGTAACTCAAACTCTTAGCCATTGTACTATCTATACTAGCTAGTTCATAGATATATAGGTGCTATTTATGGAGTGGGATCAATGTTAGACAGTTTTGGAAATACATTGAGGCTAGGTCAGAATAGGCTTGCATACCTGTACACTAGGGCTGGGCGATACACTGGTTTGAAGTCCATAAGTTTTGACCTGGCAATATGTCGCAAATCATGGTGGGTGTGCTACACAAAAATCACAATGCAGGGAAAACCATGAAGCCAGCCAGTGCCTCCTCAGACATCACAATATTTCTGTGATATATCACAATGTTGAAAAACAGATATCGTCCAGCCCTACTGAATACTTGAAATACCATGTTTCAAGTGTGTTCTCCATTATGAAGTTTGAACCTACATGCAGTGAATATAGCTTTTGAAATTTTGGTACATGAGACTTACCTTACTATCGCTATAGTCTGTTTTGATAATTGGATTTCTGTGTCCAGTGTTAACCATAGCTTTTGAAATATCACAGCAATATGAACTCCTAATGGTGTTAGGAGTAGAATTTCATGTTTATTTTTATGGCATACGAAGCTGTTGGTTGCTACATCTAGGACAGTGCCTACAGAAGATGTAATGAATATTGCATCTTCAGTATCTTCTTAGTGTAGAGGGCCATACCAGGTGGCACTGACCGGTGGAAAGCTGTCACTGGAGATTCATTTGTATACTACTACAACATCTTTCTTCTCTTGCAAATCTTCCTTTTGCACTTTTCCTTCTCTGTACTAGGAAGATGGATAGGGTGTAAGACCTCATGCCAAATTTATGTTTCTGGCATGGGATGAGGGAAAGATAGGAAGCGGAGATTATTGGACTTTTGACTAACAGTGGCTCTGCAGCCACTTATTGCCTCCAGATAGCATAACTTTTTCATATTTGATGCCTCTCTCCTTCCTTCCATATCCTGCACTGCCTGATACAAAGAGGCCTGTGTCTGCTGCCTTGGCTCATTGCCTCATACTACCTCTATAGTACTGGTCCATCAGCAAATTTAGTTCCACACCCATATTTTAGTATGGTGCTATACTGTAAATATCAATATAATTCACTATTTCCTTGTTAAAAGTTTTTGAGGTGACTGTGACTGAATTAAGAGATTAAAACAATTATTGTTACTAATGTAGTTAAAGTGGGCTAGTTTTAACTTTTAGAGCTGTTTGACATTAACATCATGGTTATGAGATGCCTATTGCTTTCAGGTAATAAAGATGATTTACTACAGTTGGTTGAACAGCTTCATCCAGACAATAGTAATGAATGGATCAGCATCAAACTGGAAAGAGGTATCAAGTGGGATTCCACAGGGATCAGTTCTGAATGCAGTGCAGGTCGTCTTCATTAATGGCTTAGATGACTGAGCGGACCACAACTCTTAGCAAATAGGTTGGAAATATTTTAGAATATTCTACAATGGCCTTGATAAATTGGATAGCTTGCTAACAATAACATTTAGACTACACTTACATAAAAATTGTATGTGGGATTTAATAATAGGGACTAATATGTTTCTCATGTTCCCGGGTTCATTTGATGTGGCTCAAAATTTGGTGTTCTAAAAGTCTTGGCAAGAAAAATTCAAACCCACCAGCTTTTTATTTTCCTCTGGCTAGAGGTTCTGATGAACGCAGCTAGCCTATTGGCAGGGCTTTGTTGTTGTTTAAATTGAGTTATGAAAAAATATTTGATGAATACTAAGAAAATTGTGTGTACTCTCACTAGTACTGTCTTACAGTTTACCAATGGAGAAAAGTTCCCTGTCAAACTCCACTGTAAACACATTGGTACATGAAGGCAGGATTTTTGAGGCCTGCAAGTCTGTGTTAACATAACTTGTTACATTTGATGTGTTAAACTTTAAGATCGGTATTAGTTTTAGCAACACTGGGATGACAGGATCTCTGTGAATGTAATGACATTTCTTAGGAAGCTGTATATATAAAGATTCTGTTTTAAGTGACATCACTCAGCTTACTTTAAATATATATATCTTGCCCATCCTGTGTCTCTCTTGTAGATCTGTCTTGCAGTTAGCAACAGCCTTTTTTTAAGGATCTGTGAGGCTTTTGTATCCCCCACCACAAAAAAGTCAGTATCTTCCAGTTAGCTTATTGGTTGTTAAAAGTCATTACAGCCAAACAAGATCCTAGCCATAATTACAGTACCCTTACATTTCATATTGTGTGCCGTAAAAGAAAGAAAGAAACAAAAAAGCACAGGTTGACATCTTTAGTGGAGTACTACAATTTTTTTTTTAAGCAGGGAGCCATTTAAAACATGAGCTTTAAAGCCAGAACAGTGTTGTAATAGATGCACGCTTTCTGAAATAACTAGTGTCTCCTCCTCTTCAGATCAAGATTTTCTCTGCTTAGAAAACCAACCTTTTCTGCATTTTTTCTGGCAGATGTGTCAGTTTCATTCCTGCTGAGGCAGTCAGAACAGATGGTAAGCAATGAAATAGTTCAGACACACAAGAGGTTTGCTTATCGAACCAATTCCATATATATTTTACAACTAGGGAAAGTTTCTTAGCTGGGAGATTGGGTACAGTGACTTAAAATTTGTAATTCCACACTTGTTTACAGCACCATTGGTTGAGCAATACCTTTCTCTGAGATTTGGTGAAATACTACTTGTGAATGGGTACCTTGCTTTACAAAAGGTTAAATTACAGAGGAGGAAAAGGTTACAGAAATAAAAACACTAGACCCAAATGATATTCAGCGTGCACAGCTTAATGTGCTATAGCTCTAGCTACCTTACTAAAGAGAACTGTAACAGATACTGTCTCTTGTGGCTAAATTTTAAAAAAGGGAGAACAACTATTTCAACAGCTCAAGTAGTAAAGGTTTAGAAAAGGAGTGCTATATACTTTGTGATTCAGGCAGCATTTGGCGGCAGTAGATGTACACAAGTTGTTTTCAGGCTCCTCCTAAAAACAGCTGGTTTGTTTTACACAGGAAACTGCCTGTGGCATGAATGTATATTAAATATTATGAAGTGAGCATGCGTGCATTCACACACACACACACACACACACACAAAACTTAACTTTTTAATGTAAATAGTGAATCATGCACATACATATCCATCCTGTTGAGCTACAAATGATGCTGCATGTGGGGCTAGAAATGCAGATTAGGGTTTTTAAGATCTTCAATAACATTTTCCACCCTTCATCAAATCATCAGCATTATATAATACATTTAACTGAAATATAACTATCTCTGTTGATTCAAAACAGCATAAGAAACAGGAATTTGAATATGGTTTCAAGAGTTCTCTGTAGGGATTCTCTAAATGGCTTTTATATTGAAAAAAGTATTTAGTGTGCCTGTATTGGGGTGGATAGCTTGACTTCAGTTAACCATTTAGACCAGGCGTCAGCAAGGTTTACCTTGCCTGGGCCGGTTCACTCCAGCGGAGATCCCTCTGTGGGCCAGATTGCACGCCCGCGCCCACGATTTCCGGCGCCTGTGCAGATGTGATTTCCGGCGCTGTGGAAGCGAATCCCTGCTCCGGTTTAGCACAGGAACTCGCCGAGCGCGTGGCTCAGTTCTGGGGTGGCTCGTGGGCTGCTTGTGGCCCATGGGCCTTTAGGTTGTCTACCCCTGATTTAGACTGCAGTTCTGTACATGCTTATCTGGGAGTGGAGTAGAGTAGATAGCTCCATTTTGAGTTCTTATTTTTTTCAGTAAGTTTGCCACATTCCATATCATTTGTCAATTTTTTTCAAAAAAGAAAAGTCCTGCCAAAAAAATCATCAGCATATTTGTTCACTTTTCTCCTAATATACACTTCTTGCCTACAATTTCCCCTATATAAACATACAAAAACGCATTTTTTTAATCTAATATGTACATTTTTGCACACATTCTTTGGTTAGAAAACTGCATCACAAAATTAAGAGACGTACACATTTGGAAGGATAGCTGCATTTTGGTTTGCACATTGTTTTCAGAAATGTGAATTGGCAGGTTCACATTAAAATCTGAGCTGACATTCTCCATTCCTACTTGGGATTTAGCTCCACTGAATTCAGTGAGACTGTACATCTGTGTAGATATGTATAGAATTGCACTATTTCTTGACAGTATTAAATCAGTGATAACCTTTAATGCAGAGACTAGAAATCTAGGCACTGATATCATCACCCAGTTTCAGCTTGGGGGCTGGGAAAATATATTTGGTCTGTAGACTGAAGAAACAGGCAATGACAGAATCACAAGTAGCATAAGAAACTGGTCTCCACTTCCTCTGCTGCTGTTGGGACAGATGGAGGAGAGAAAGTAACTGCAGAAGACTTGATGTGGATCAGGGTTTCCCAAAATTGGGTTTCCAATTGTTGTTGGACTACATCTCCCATCATTCTGTGTCTAGGGCAGTTGTCTACCAGTTCCATCTGGTATGCTGGCTAAGATCCTGCCTGCCTGTTGTACCACTGAAGGATCAGCTGTGCAACCTGGGGGCCATATTGGACTCACAGCTGTCACCAGAGTGGTACATGCGCTGGTTATCTCCCTCTTGGACTACTGCAATGCGCTCTACGTGGGGCTACCTTTGAAGGGACTCGGAAACTACAACTAATCCAGAATGCAGCTGCCAGATTGGGAGCATCTGTTGGGACCATTTTACACTGGTCCTAAAGGCTCCCAGTAAGTTTCCGAGCACAGTTCAGAGTGTTGGTGCTGACCTTTAAAGCCCTAAATAGCTTTTGCACTCCTGAAGGAGTGTCTTCATTCCCATCATTCAGCCTGGACACTTAAGATCCTTTTCCAAGGGCCTTCTGGTGGTTCCCTCACTAGGAAGTTACAGGGAGCCAGGCAGAGTACCTTCTCAGTAGTCTCACCCACCCTGTGGAACGCCCTCCCATCAGATGTCAAAGAAATAAGCAACGATCTGACTTTTAGAAGACATCTGAAGGCAGTCCTCTATAGGGAAGCTTTTAATGTTTGATGTCTTACTGTGTTTTAATTTGTTGGAAGCCACCCAAATTATCTGGGCAACCCAGTCTGATGGGCAGCATATAAATAATAAATTATTGTTAATTACCATCAGGGATGATGGGAATTGTAGTCCAAAACCAGCTGGAGACCCAAGTTTGGGAAACTCTGGTATAGGCTCTCAGTTGGTCACCCTTAGTTTCAAAATTGGCATGCAGAGTCTTCATTTTAAATTATCTTAATGTTCTTTATTTTTGCTACATTTATTTGCTAAAGGAATCTCTAGTCCTGTTTACTGTGAGTAACCATTAAAGCACAATTAAAGCCTTAATACAGATGTTTGCACATAAACATGCACATTTATAAATGAAGGCTGCATGTATTTGTTGAGGGTATATAGTAATGATGCAGTTACTAACTTAATCAGTTTACTTTTAGCAGAAAGGGATGGAATTAATAAGTAACGTGTAAGAAAGTAGTTGAAATAGATTTTACCTTTTTCTAGGATTGACATCTGAGTAAATGTGCTTAGAGACTGTGCTTATTAGAGACTGTTCAGTCTCCAATAATTTAATGTTCATACTGAAATTTTAAAAAAGGTAAGCTCTTTTAACTCATACATTTGAAATAAAAATTTTAAGTTTCTCTTTTTCTCTTTTGGTTAACAGAGTTTGTGGATGCACTTAGATGTTTGCAATGAGCACTGTGGCTGGCATGCCCCAGTGTTTTGGATACCAATGCATAGAACTCCATAGTAATCGAATTTATCAGAAACGAACGTCATGAGCATAGTGGTCCCGTTGGGGGTTGACACAGCAGAAACTTCATATTTGGAAATGGCTGCAGGCTCAGAGTAAGTATTGTGGCACAACAGCAAATTTGCAAAATTGGTTCTATCTTACGTTTCATTTTCTGCATCTCTGCAGTGTTGCTGAGTTTCAGTTGATTCACTTCTGTGCATAATAAACAGAATCAAAGTTTGTTGAACTCTACCTGAAATAGATGTAAATTTTACAGTTCTTAGCTTATAGTTTTCCTTCTTAAAAGTCTTGACTTCACTTACATTTCAGTATGTATTGGAGCCCATTTGGTTATGTTCTGACAAAATTGCTATTTTTAAAGTTTTGGCAATTTTTTTTTCATATATAGTGTTCATTCATTTCTACTTTAGCATCTAGGGTGATTCTTAAATTAACATTTATTAACTATTCTCACAGTGAACATCCCCCCCCCTTGCTCTGAGCTATTCAGTTTGGGGTGAAATCAGAATACTGATACATAACGTGCTTATAATAGAAAATAAAGTAATCAGGAGCACCTTCCTTCAGGGTCTATCTTTATAGTTCCTTAGTACAACCTGTAAAATACCGGTACATCCTTTCAGGATACAGTACTGGCAACACAGGAAACCTGTGGTGCTGTGCTTATTCTGCCACTAGATGTCATAATTTATTGGGGTTTCAGATACTGCTAACAGCATATGGGCAGACTCCTACGCTGCATATGTGTTCTCAGAAACAATAAGAATTATTGATACTTGTGTACTCCTGCCTTGTAATCTTTTTTGTGCTTCTTTGTTTTACAACATTGTTGTCAGTGTTGTTCAAATGGATAGTATTCACTTGATAGTGCACACCCATGTCACTACAGAAACTTTAGTGTTGTTACTGACAGCTTGCCAGACATTTATTTATTTTTGACAGGAGCATAGCAACAAACATTTCCTTCTTTACCTTTATCATAATACCGAAATATTCAGCAATTTGGAACAAAAGGGAAATCTTAATGTTTGTCTTGCTTTTCAGACCTGAATCTGTAGAAGCTAGCCCTGTGGTAGTTGAGAAGTCAAACAGTTATCCACACCAGCTATATAACAGCAGTTCTCATCATTCACACAGTTATATTGGTTTGCCTTATGCGGTAAGTTTTGTTTTTAAAAAGTATTTCTTCAAGGTTCTTTCCAATAAAGAGAACTTTTAAATGTGCCTTGTTTGGTTGATTTTCCGGCTTATTGTGGGAAGTCCTCCACTAAAACAGCCGAAATCATGACACTTATATGGTAGAGTGGTTCTGATACTAGACGTCTTGTATTTACTCTTTATTACTGTCTTTTTTTTAACAAATGGGTTGCATCCAGACCTAAACTTTCACGAATGGAATGCCTTAAGATCCCCCCAGAGCTGGTTTTAGGGAGGTATGGGGAAGTGCAGTAGAATGGAAGAGATGGCAAAAGTTGCATCTGCGGAAGAGCAGTGACAAGATGGTTTGAGCATATAACACCAATCTTGGCCTGATTGTACTGGCTACCAATTAGCTTCAGGGCACAATTCAAAATGCTGGTTTTGACCTACAAAATCTTAAATGGCTGATAACCGCAATACCTCAAGGATCACATCTACCCATGCAAACAGAACCAGACCCTGCAATCATCATTTGAGGCCCTTCTCTGTGTGCCTGTCTGTGACAGTTCTGAAGGGTGGCAGCACAAGAATGGGCCTTTTCTGCGGTGGCTCCCTGCTTGTGAAATGCTCTCCCCATGGGAGATGACCTTGCTCCTTCATTACATATCTTTAGGTACCAGGCAAAAACATTTCGCTTCTCCCAGGCCTTTTTTTAATTAAACAATCTATGCTCTTTTAAACTGGGGTGGCGTAATTGTTTTTATTTGTTGCTATGGTATGTATTTTTGTGTTTTTAAATTGTAAACCACTCTGTGATCCTTGGATGAAGGGTAGTAATAATAACAGTCCTCAATTGTGTCAATGTGCACCAGTGTTTGATGTAATATGGCCCTGGGTGCTGCACCATAGAACATTAACTGACACTGATACACCTGATCCTGTCAGCTCTTCCTTCAGTGTAGGATAATGGGATCAATCTATAAATATTTTCAGAGTGATGAATAGGCTTGCTTTTCTTCCTGTAGATAAATGGCACCTAATTGGGGACAGTTGCTATACATGTATAAAATAGAAATATGTCATTAGTTAAAGAGGATAAGTCATGCACTTCACGAAAATGCACTCCATTTTGAAGAATTCTGGCATTTCTTCTAGCTAGGTGAAATCTGTATGGGTGCCGAGAAACAAGGTGTGCTTTGTGTCAGTGCCCTTTTTAAAATTCAGCTCAGATAAATTTCTCTGCTTTATTATGTCATGATTGGGGAATGTGAGTGTGCATGTATGCCTGACAGTTTTCCTAGATAAAGTTATTAGTGATAAAAAGATGTTTGCTGTTCAGATGAAATGTGAATATCGATAACCTAGCGTGCAGTGGAAATTTGAGGAAAGCAACGCTTTCTTCACTGTTTAAAGAATAGTAGAAGATTAATTAAATGAAAATACTTTTAGTGTATACATTAAACCATCCTCTTCTGATCTCTTCTAAGTTAGCCACACCCAGCTGAAGGTGTATGCCAAAATCATGTGAATGGAAATTAACTACTTCTGGTAACAAAACCAGTTGTAGCAGATCTCTCCAGTACACAAGTAATTACATTAGTTTTCAGATACTGATTTTATGTTTAGTGCCTTTCAAAACCAGAATAGTTTGTCATCTGTTTTTTAACATCCCCGTTAAGGTAGCTTAAGCTTCAAAGGTTTGGAAAAAAGTTTATATGAAAGTTATAAAAGAATGGAAGAGAGTGATATGTACATTGATTCTTTTAGAGTAAGCATTCACATGAAAAGAAGTAATATATATAAAACCATCTACCTTCTAAATATCATTTTCCAGGACCATAACTATGGTGCTCGCCCTCCTCCAACACCTCCAGCGTCTCCTCCTCCATCAGTTCTTATAAGCAAGAATGAAGTAGGCATATATACTGCTCCAAATTTTGATGAGACCTCCAGTGCTACTACTATCAGCACTTCTGAGGATGGAAGCTATGGAACTGATATAACCAGGTGCATTTGTGGATTTACACATGATGATGGATATATGATCTGTTGTGACAAATGCAGGTAAAGTAGTGCCATATATGCAAACATTCTTAAATATTTTTCTTCTGTACTACTGAAATCAGCCCTTCTTGTCCCTAATTGCTTAGAGCCATTTCCTTCCTCAGGCCCTTCATAGGCTTTGTAGGGCATTATGCAAATATGGGAGAAAGAGAAACCATCACCATTTTGTTATTGTGATAGCTGCCATTTTGCCTTCAGGATGGAGAGGGGAGGTGACAGACCAGCCAAGCCAGCAAAGACTTTCTGCAAGCGGGGGTCATACTAAGAAGGGTCACGGCTCACAAGTCATTGTTAACCCTGCAGAAGGGTAAGAGGGAGGACTTGGGTAGGAGGAGCTTGACCAACTGTTGGACGGGTTTTCTGGGCCAAGATTAATGCCGTTGGTATTTCTGAGGAGGCGACACATGACTAAAAGGGGTGCATGGAAATATACCAAGATGTGACATCAGTTTAATTGGAAACCCTGGGGAAAACGCAGTGTGTATTTTGGCTGCGTTGTCCCTTGGAACTGAATTTGTTTAAGATTGCTAGACTGCTTTATGAACTGCTCTTATGAAGGAGAATTCAAAAAAACATTTTGGAGTTTGGTTAGGGAAATTCTGTCATTCAAAAAGGTGCGTATGCACAACTGAACTTGTTCACAACAGTGAAGTGACTTGCCTTTTTGAATGTTCATAATTTATATTTTTTAATATTGTTTGAGGTGGAGTAATAGGGTATGTTGATAAAGCAGTGTATTAAATGAATGATCAGATAGTAGAATGGAGCTTTTGGGGAAAAGAACTTGTAGCAGTATATCCAATGTAAGAGAAATGATGGAAGCTGTGTGAACTTCCAATATCCTGCAAAAGTAACACTATTCTATTTTCTAAATCATTTAAGTGTTTGGCAGCACATCGATTGCATGGGGATCGACAGGCAGCATATTCCTGACATATACTTGTGTGAACGTTGTCAACCTAGGTAAGTCGCCTGTGGTCAATTAAAAAAACAAACCCTGTTGTTTGCATGAGGTTTGAAATACATAGCTCGAATGTTGAAGTGACTGTTGCAGGTCATCTTCATGTTGTTTAAGTAGATGTTTAAAATTCCTAAACTGTATTGCTAAATTAATCATTAATAGAAATGGAATAATAGAAATAATAGACTTGGGCTACAACCTGGAAATAATAATTCATTGAATTAGCCTATAATGGTGGCTTCCCTGCCATAGGTTATAAAAGTGCCTTTGCCTAGCGGAAAAAATAGTGACTGCTTTTTCAATGAATGACGGCTATTTTGCTATCTTTAAAAAATACTTATATCACTACATGGAACTATTATTGAAGATCACAGTAGATTTAACAAAATGAGAAAATCAGTTGTCCAAGTGCAGGTGTGAAATAAGGTTTTTGCATGTAGGTCAACTGCTGAATGGGCAAAAATATGGGCCTGATGCTGGGAAAAAGCTGCAATCTTGTACCCTCTTACTTGGAAGTAAGACCCATTGACATGAATAAGTAAGACCTGAGCAGTCATGAATAGGATTACACTGTTATAGTTCCACACAGGAGGTGATCGTATTTCAGCCATGCATACCCAAATGCACAACATACAAGTAGCTTTCTGCTACTACTGTTCTCTGAATTGGAACCATTGGCAATCAACTGCCATTGCTCCGTATCTCATCTGAGGCATAGTTTTGATACCTGACTCCTTCCTCTGTCTTGGGACAGCAGAAAGACATGCAATCCATGTGAGAAAGGGATTTGCTTGTTGCTGGCACTTGGAAGGCTGTGTTGAAAACAGCTCCAATAACAATAATTGGGCGGCTGAATGAAGCAGCCAATCTGCAGCACAGTTTTTGTTGAATGGCTGAAAGACCCTCTTGTTCACTCTCACCACTTATTTAATTCTCCCCTTTTCACAATAAAGTATTATTTATTTTACTTATATCATTTCTTCCCTGAATTTATGAGCCAGGAGAATCCCTTAGCTAAATGGTTCAGCAGTTTCTCCTCTTAACTATGAAACTGGAATACAGGAAGGGACTGCAATGTTTTGGTTCTGCTTTGTTTTGGTACAACTGTTTCATTCTGGGCTTTATACTAAATTGTAAAATTCCTAGAGCAGGGAACTCCTTGCTAGGGAGTTTAAATAGTTATTGTGAATATTGAAAATGAATTTTCATACAACAGTGAGTGGAAACAATCATTTTATATCTCTAATTATTCCATTTAATGTGTAGGAGCTATCTGTCAGAAAGTTTAGATGCTTCAGCAACAGAGTAACATGTATTCAGTTTTATTTCTTATTTTCTTTTTGTCAACAGGAACTTAGATAAAGAGAGGGCAATGTTGCTGCAGCGTAGAAAAAGGGAAAATATGTCAGGTAAGTAACAAAGTTCTTAAACTGAGATACAATTAGTGAGTAATTCTCCCAAAAGCTACTGACACAATGCTTTTGATTTATAGCCTTATACTGTTCAAGTTAACTGCCAGTGGTTATATTTCTTTTTAATTCTGTAGGAGAGCCAGGGTGGTGTGGTTGTTAGGGTGTCATACTTGGATCTGGGAGATCAGGGTTCAAATCCCCACTTGGCCATGAACCTACTGGGTGATCTTGGGCCAGTCTATGCCTCTCAGCCTAACCTACCTCATAGGGTTCCAATCCAAATTGGATTTATTATGTCCATAGACCAGCATAAGGTGATAGCACCTCCATACATAAATAAAGCATGCTAGATAGGCAATAGGGCAAATGCAGAAGTAGAGGATACACGTACTAATACTCTGTTACAGTAGACGAGCATAAGATGAAAACACATAGAAACATGTAAACCAGACCTTCCGTTTTAGACCTGCTGTGTGACACATACCATGCTCTGACGTATGTCAATCATAGCAGCACAGTATCTGAATATGTTATATCAGGATTTATATCTTGGAGGAGATATAAGGTTGTTGTGGGGATTAAATGAGGAGGGGGAGAACCTTGAGCTCCGTGGAGGAAATATAAATAAATAATCAGAAAGGATAATGGGTGCACATGGCATGCCAGGCAAAATTAGTTTCTCTTGACATTAAGAATCCTTTAACTAATAAGATGCGTATGCAATTTTTTGGAATTAGCCAGACTAACATTAGTGTTATTGCTGCACTTCAAAAATGTTTTTTCTCCTGAACCAAAAGCTCATGTTTTTTCAGGGTCCCAGTTTGCACACATTTTTTATGGTTTAACATGCCCCAATACTAAGTGCCTCCTCTACTCATGCTGCTGCCACACCAGGGTGAAAACAAGCCAGAGTCTGGTTCGTAATGACATGTGAACTTGAGCTTATTATTTGTTTCTCCCTAAGGAGTCCACAAATGGTAGGCCAAGAACAGAAATTGCCTCCTACTCATCGTTTGTTTGGAGAGAAACAGTGAGCTTAGGTTCATATGTCACAACAAGGAAGACATGTTTTTTTAAAAAATATTCTAAAATAAAGATTTATCCATACCTCTCATCCCTATTTCTATAAAAGAATGAAGGAAAGGGTATAGTTCAGGGGTCAGCAACCCGCGGCTCCGAAGCCGCATGTGGCTCTTTTACACCTTTGCCGTGGCTCCAGGGCGGATACTAGCGAGGGGAGTAGGCGCATTGTGCGCCCCGACACTCCCCACTGTGGCGGGCGCTGTACTGGCTGTGACGTCGCATGGGGGCGGTGTGTGCGTTAGTCACGCACCGTCCCGACGTCACCTTCCCGCCCACCCACCCGCTGCATTGAAAGGGGGCATGTACGCTGGTCACTGTTTTGAAGGGGAGTGAAGAACACACACACACACAAAAAGGTAACTTGTTAATTTAACGTTTATTTCTATGAGGAGGAGTAATTCTGAGGGGTCAAACAAAGAAATAATAAAAAAAAGTGACAAAAAAGTTATTTCTATAATGACGAGTTTTGCGGCTCCCGGTTTTTTTTCCTTCGGAAACGGGTCCAAGTGGCTTTTTTTGTCTTAAAGGTTGCAGACCCCTGGTATAGTTGATCTGATTATGAGACAAATTACTCTCTATTTTGCAGTTAACAAAACACTGATATCTTACCAAAAAGTGAGCCAAAACCTTTTGGGTGTCTATTTTTTAAAAAATCTTTTGTATTCTTGAATTCTTGCCACCCTGTGTCCTGATTTTTTCTATCAATTGTTGATAAAATGTGGGCTTGTAGTTATGCGCTTCCACAGACTATTAACCATATTTTGATTACTTTGATTCCCAGAGGTTCAAAGTGGACATAAAGAAGTTGAGACCACATGGTTACAGTTGTTTGGATGGTGGAGGAAAAGAATTAATCAGTGTTAGATTTTTGAGAGTTCACTTGGTGAGATAAGCCACATGTTAGGTGATCTAGCCTGAAATCTGAGAACAAATAAAACCTATATTTATGTTTGAGATGCAAGCAGCCATTTACGCACATGAAAGGGGACAGTGCTTGCATGCCTTTCTGTTTGGCTTTTACTGCCACCATTCCCACAGTCTGTGAAGCAACCAGTGTTTAGAAGAGGTTAGTGACTTGCTTGGTTGCAAAGGCTTTAGCACCAAACACTGCAGCTGTGGATGTCATTTCATTGCCTATTCTAGATGGCTCTTTTGGACTGTGAATAAAACAGTGCTTCAGGTGGATACCAGGCCAGAAAAAATACCACCCACTTCAGAAAAGGCTTATTAGCTAACTTAACAGTTTCTACATAATATTAGCATATTTCTAGGAATGGTTTTAGTCTTATTAATCCTTATTTATTATTACTGAAATGCTTCTCAAGGTCAATTTGTGTCATCATTTTTGTATTCAGTTTTTTTCTTTCATAAATTGATACTGACAAATTGATGCACACTGAGTATAAAACCCTTCTTGCAACCTAATATGTATTTTATTATGCTGTACATTGTGGATTAAGCAAATATAAATAAATGAATTTCTTATCCAAGCTTTGATTTGATTTAATGCCTTTGGAAATCTTGTAATACTTTTGAAAAAACATAAGCTCCCCTAAGTTAATTAGATTACTTGAGTAATCTAATGCAAAACTGGTGTGGTGTTCCCGTCCCTCAAAACCTGAACATGTAAATACAAATTTTACTGTCATTTAGTTACCAGTTTTATTACCATTTCCATAATATTATTTCCATAAATTGGTAATTGTATGTAAATACTTTTGGCAATTCAGGGACATGCATTCATTATTGGAAATAGTTTATAAGATATATTTCCTGGCTTCCTTTTTCTTTTTAAAGATGGGGATACCAGCGCAACAGAAAGTGGCGATGAAGTTCCTGTAGAACTATATACTGCTTTTCAACATACACCAACTACAATTACTCTGACTGCTACACGAGTTACCAAGGTCACAGATAAGAAACGGAAAAAAAGTGGGGAGAAAGAACAAAACATTGCAAAATGTAAAAAGGTAAGTTAATTCAATTTTCAATTTCTCTTTATGTTTTGGGAGGTTCATTGTGTTTGAAATTTTTTCTTTCTATTTGAAATAAATCTGGATCACTGCTCTTGAAGGAGCACAATCATTCTCCAATGGGGTTTGGAGAATTCAGAGGCATCTCAGTAACTGAGAATGGGCTATTGCAGAGTAGGACTGAAGGATGATGACGATAAATTCATTATTTATACCCCGCCCGTCTGGCTGGGTTTCCCCAGCCACTCTGGGCAGCTTCCAACAAAATACTAAAAATACAATAAAACATCAAACATTAAAAACTTCCCCAAACAGGGCTTCCTTCAGGAGGAAGCAGGAACAGAAGACTATTGAGATAAGAAAGTATAGAGAGGCAACACCCATGGCAAAACGAACAGCAAAAAGAAGGTGGTATTCAAGACCCAGGAAAGAAGTTGGAAGAGAAACTGGGGCTGGCTCCTAAATTACACCACACCCATTTCCATAATTTGGTGGGCATCTCCTTCCCTCCCCCCAGTCTATAATAAAGATAAAGTAGCAATATAGAACACAGCATTAAAGTTTTGTGCTACTGGTTAAAAAGCACATAGGTGAAGGAAAACTTCTGGATTTGTTTTCACAAACAACATTTTCTATTCTGCAAGATAAAATATTTTTGTGAAATGAATCTCTGTTTCTCCAGAGGAATATATATATACTCATACAAACTGACATTTTAAATTATATTACAGGCTTTTCGCGAAGGTTCTAGGAAGTCTTCAAGAGTAAAGGTAAAACTTTTGTGCTAAATTCTTGCTGCTGTTTGGTTTCGGACAATGAACCATAAATTTGTCATCCATTTTGTCCATTATTATAGGGGATTCAGAAGAGTCAGGGGGCTGGTTCACAATTCCTGCCTTTCAAAAAGTAATGCTCAAAGTGGTGATTCATGAGAGCACTAAAACCATAATAAAAACTGTATAAAAGCAAGCGGCAAATAAAATAACAACAAATATCCCAAAGATCTACAACACAGTTACAGCAGCAGAATATCCAGAAGATAGCTAAAAAGCACACTAATGAGCTTCAGGCAGCTTTGTACAGTATAGACAAAATGCTTTCTTTAAAAAGGAAGGTTTTCATCTTGCAGCAAAGCCCAGTAGAAAGTGGGCCTTCCAAAGAATGAAATTTGAGTACTGAAGTGCTCAAAAGGGGGCCCTGTCTGATTCTTGGGGTCGTTGACCTGTGGGATACCTGGTTTGTCCTCCAGAAGACTCCATGTCTTGTCTAGGCATTACAGTATCCTCATCCTAAACAGTAAAGGACTTTAAAGGTTATTCCCACACATTCAGTTGGGCCCAGAAACAAATTTGAGGCTATTAACAAAGTAGTTGCATGCCTCCGATACCTAGCACCAGTCAACAATTTGGCCACCACATTCTGGATCAGCTGCAGTTTCTGGACACTCTTGGACATCATTATTACAGCAGAGCAAATGTGATGCAAGGAAGGCATGTTTCACCATTGCCATACTTGGTTTTCTAGAATGGACACTGCTGATGCACCAGCATAAACTGAGCAGAAGCATTCCTGGTTGCCACTGTCACTTGGACGTCCATGCTCAAAGTGGGACCCAGGAGCACTCCCAGATTGTGAATTTGACTTTTCGAGGAGTGATTCCCCCATGCAGTAAGCATTAAACTCCTATTCCTAGATTGACATTCTTAACTGATCTGGAGCACCTCTATCTTGCCTGGATTAAATGTCAGTCTGTTTGCCCTCATCCAGTCCGTTACTGACTTGGATTGCAATTCATGTCCACAGCCTAGGACTAGGTGAAAAGGAGAATTAAAGTTAAGCGCTAGCCAAATACTAATGGCATTGCACTCTTATCTCCTAACAACCTCTCCCAGCAGTTTTCTGTTGATGTTAAACTGCTTTGAGTGACACTAGAAGAACCGAGAGAAGTCAGTATCCAAGGAATCGAACAGGAATCTATCCCCTGGGACCCACAATAAAATAGTTCAACACAATCCCATGCTGGCCAGTACATCCAGAAGGCAACAGAATGCTCGCCATGGTGCAGGTGGCACGTGAAACCAAGGCAGTCAGCTTTGTTTTCAGTTTAGCAATGGGTGTCTAGTGTCAAATTAGCCACCAAGCATTATAAGCTGATTTGCTGTTCCTTAACTGAATAGCATGGGGATTTAAATAGCTAATTTCTCCATACAAATGCATACTGAACTCAACATTCAGGACTTGTGTGTCTGTTCTATCCATCTTAATTGTACCCTACACTTCTCAGCCAAGGCCCAACTCCCCAAGAGGTTCGGACAGTGGCAGTAAGAGAAAGGGCCTTTTCTGTGGTGGCTCTCCAACTGTGGAATGCTCTCCCCAGAGAGGCTTACTTGCTGCCATCATTACATGTCTTTAAGTGCCAGACAAAAACAATCCTCTTCATCCACGCCTTTAGCAATTAAACAAACAATGGCCTGTTAAAGCTGTTGGTGGGGGACTGTTACTATGAATTTTTTACACATTTGATCAATTTACAAATTGATTAGCTAATTATTTGGCTGCAGAGTTTTAGTTTCATACCAGACATCTTGTCTAATTTTATATATCTTAACTGTGGTTTAGGGCTCAGCTCCAGAGATTGATCCTTCTGAGAGTTCCAACTTTGGATGGGAAACTAAAATCAAGGCATGGATGGATCGTTATGAAGAAGCAAACAACAACCAGTACAGCGAAGGTGTTCAAAGAGAGGCACAAAGAATAGCTTTGAGATTAGGAAACGGAGATGACAAAAAAGAAGTGATCACCAGCAACTCAGTCTTCAAACCTCCAGTAGAGGTAAGTGAAAATACATTCAACGCAACACCAGTCTTTTATAATAACAACATAGCACTCAGGTTTTGCATTTCTCTAAGCAGAAACATAGTTCAATATGTTGATACCACATCTCCTGTATTTTTAGTACAGGAAAACCTCCTTGTTTATTGATTTTACATTCTGAAGTACTCAACAGTTAATGAGGACCAGGTTACCAGTTATGACCATCAATTTTCAACATTTTGAATTTAACTGTCAGATCACTACTGCAGATGTCTGTTTTTCAGCTTTCCTGTTAAAACTTATTTTTTAAACAATGTTAGCAATTCGTCATAATCTAAATTACTCAAGTCTACCCGCAGAACAGCTGCAATGCCAGCTAAAACCCATCCCTTCCTTTGCCAGCTTCCCCACAAAAGCTTCTCCAGGGGGTAAGGGGACCTTGCTGAATAGGCTGGACTGTGGTTAGTAGAAAGGGGGATCCCCAAAAATCACTAAGATACACATTTACAGTTCAGGATAATGTTCAATATGTAGCTATACAATACTAAAATGGTTCTGGAATGAGCTTCTTTGTGCCGGGAGGAAGCACAGACAGTATTTGATTCAGTGCCAGCTTTTAGGGCTGCTGTTAGATACATGGACATGGCTTCCCTTAACATTATTAACAATTTAAATGTAAATGGGAGAAAATAGACTCTTTGGGTTGCTGTTACCTAGTGGGTACAGGGACGCGCGTAGTGCTGTGGGTTAAACCACAGAGCCTAGGACTTGCTGATCAGAAGGTTGGCGGTTCGAATCCCCGCGACGGGGTGAGCTCTCGTTGCTCGATCCCATCTCCTGCCAACCTAGCAGTTCGACAGCACGTCAAAGTGCAAGTAGATAAATAGGTACTGCTCCGGCGGGAAGGTAAACGGCGTTTCCGTGCGCTGTTCTGGTTCGCCAGAAGCGGCTTAGTCATGCTGGCCACATGACCCGGAAGCTGTACGCTGGCTCCCTCGGCCAATAAAGCAAGATGAGCGCCGCAACCCCAGAGTCAGCCACAACTGGACCTAATGGTCAGGGGTCCCTTTACCTTTTTACCTAGTGGGTAGCTTTGCTATGCATTTTTGTATTTTTATGTCTTGGGAAGCAGTTTAATGATTGCAGTTGCCTCAACTTCAACTTTTTACTCGCCTCTCCGCCACTGTTAATTCCAGTGGAACTTTACAACTGTATTCTGATGCAGTACAGTTACTGTCACTTCAACCAAGATTTTAAGTAAGTAATGAAGGCAAAAGCATATTTCTTCCAAAATGTGTTTTTATGTATCCAATTTGCCAGTTACAGAATGGAACAAATTATGTTTATGAAAAGAGAAAAACTGCCACGAGTTAACTTTTGATGAAAAAATCCTGTTACTATTATGGAAAGGTAGTTAAGGTTATTTGGTCAAATATGCCAACTAATAAGTAGGGTTAAGTGCCTTGGTGTCCTGGGCAGTCCACTTCTTTATTCAGAAAAACGGGTTTAATGGTGTGTACAGGAAAATAATAAAACAGTGTCCATAGATCTGACACAATTTGAACAGCTTCCATTTCCTCTTTGATACAATGTTTACTCTTGGTAACGCAATTAGCCAAATCATCTTGTGTGGTCTTGGAAGATCCAGTTTGACTCTTAGTAAAAAGTAGAAACTGTTTTCCCTATTCTTAATTTTTTGTACACATCTTTTAAAAACAAAAAGGAACACAGTCTCTGTCTTTTAAACATCTAGGTTCAGAGAAATGTTCAAGTATAAATACTAATTTCTTAAAGTAAAATACCCCTTTGATATAGCATTACAACTTCCATTCAGAGAGAATATTAATACTTTAAAATGATACAAATTGGCACTTTACTGCCTTTACTGAACTTTTAGCCCAAGGAAGCAATTTCTAAATCCTCTGTTGTTTTAATTATCAGTACACATCTGGCCATTAAATCCTTATAAAGAAAAGTGCACCATCTAATTTAACTACAATATTAACAAGGACAATTATTTCCAATATAAACAAAAAGTAAAATGTAAACTACTGTAATCTGTTAGGTACTGTAAATATCCCAACATTTCCATTTTTCCAGCACCCCATTCTTTACACATACTGGCAAATAAGGAGGCACTTTGTATACTTTGTACTCCGTATGCTATACCAGTACGCTTAAAAAGTACATTGTTTGATGAATGGCAAACATGGAGATAGTCACATCACCTAATAATGTATAGTAGTTCCATTCATTGTGTGCTTGTGGTTTACCAATGTCAGCCGCTTAAGAACTGACTGGAAAGTTCCTGTCCCTAGCAGAGCCTGTTGCCTTTTGTACCACCTAGATGTTAGGTTAATCCACCTTGAAAATGTCATGTGGTATTTCCTCCAAACCCTGAGCAAATAATTTGTCAGTAAGTTGCAAGAGAGAGAGTAGACTACAAAATGGCACCATCAGCCGCCTGCCATGCAGTCTATGGAAGGAATCTGCAAGCTGTTTGATAGATTAATGTTGTTAGAGAGAGACTAAGCATAAAGGAAAAGTTACATTCTCAGATCTTGTAATAAGAAGCATCTTTGCTTCTTTCCCTCTAGCATCAGCATGGCGCACGTGACGCACTCCTTGGAGGAATGTCCCTGCTTGCAGAGACCTTCGCCTAGATATAGGCCAATTCTCTTTTGCTCAGAAGTGACACAATTACAAGAGGTGTGAGTTCCTTAGTTGTTGTGTCAAGAGTACAGTAAGATTTTGCTTAGAAAGGTGTATTCCCACCTGAGGCTATTGAAATGCACCAGAAGTTTCCTTTTCCTAGAAATCAGCATGTTGACATTTTCGTCAAAATGCCTCTTACTTGGCATCTGTCCTTCTGCTCTTGCCAGCAGATTAGAGAAAAGACTGCATATTTCGTGTGTTGTCATTACTTGCGCACACCAGTTTCTAGCCTTTTTAACCAGAGGGTTTGAAACATCTTTTGAGGAAGGGGTTCCCTAGTATACTTTGAAAGACTTGTATTGGTTTTCATTTTTTAGATACTGTGGTGTCGTTGTTTTCCCCAAAATGTAAAATGTCTACATAAATATAATACTGAATTTTATGGTAGGAATAAAGTCAATTAGCTTTTAAAAAGAAAGAATATCATTGAAATTACCAAGTTGCTCCTTAAAGTTGTATGTTATAATCTGGTTTCTTAATAGCACTAATGCAATCAGCTTAATTAGATTTCTTACATTTTTCTTTTCTTCTTCTAGAGCTATATTCAAAAAAATAAGAAAATCCTAAAAGCTGCCAAAGACTTGCCTCCAGATGCACTTATTATTGAATATCGAGGAAAGTTCATGCTGAGAGAACAATTTGAAGCTAATGGATATTTCTTTAAGAGGTACTTTTCTTTAAAATCTAGCTTTAATTACCTATGATCCTACAGTTATTCTTTTGTTTTTCTCTCTGCTTCTGGCAAATCTTGCATTTTTATTGCCCTGAGAATGCAACTGCGCCTTCCGGTCTTTCATTACTTCACATCTCAACCCACTTACCTTTGAATATTCAGCAGCTAAGATTGTTCACTTGGGCTGCTATCCTGTACATACTGCCTTGGCAGTAGGCTCCATTGAACTCAGTGGGGTTTCCTTCTGAGTTGGCTGACATAGGATTGCAGAGTTAGTCCATCCCTTTGACAGTGTTACCCCAGTGTTGTGACAGGCTCTTCACAGCACAGTTTTGCCTCACCCAGTCTTTTCCATGTTTCTCACTTCAGCTCTTTGTCATTAGACTTCAGCTGGCTGCCATCTTCGGAGCCCTCCTCTTTCAGTTTACTTCATTCATTCTTCTTCTTTTTGCCTGGTACCCTTACATAATCCCCTTGTCTTTTGCCACATCTCTCTCCCCTTTCAAGATGATAATGACTGTTCGGAAGAAACTGAGTAATTGCCTAGTTAATGCTGCGCTTTAACACTGAACAAGATAGGAAGGAAAGGTTACTTCAGAGAAGAAGAACTGGCATCAGGGACCCTCACTGCCCCCTAGTGTGCCATATTGCATGAGCTGGCAGTGATCCTCACAGGGATTAACACAGTTCCCTTGTGGGTCTCATACACTTAGAAAAGCCCTTGAAGGGGAAGCACATATGTCTTTGTATTCACCTACAGTCTTGACATGTTACATTGCTTTTTGTCTATTTAAACAGGTACATCTTCCTGTATCTAGCCTTCAAGCACGTAGGAATACACAAAGCTTGCTTCCCTTGTCCAATGGGACGTGGCTTCATGCTTCCTCCTTTACAATGCCACACACATGTAGGATGCTCTATAATAGTGATTTTCTTCCCCTGCCTAAGATTTACCTGGGGTTGAAGCAGTCTGTATAAAACAATGTCCTAGTGGAAATGTAATGTTTGAAAGCTTAACAGCTAAAAGTGGGGACGTAAAAGCTAAAAAGAGCTCCAAAACTGCCTCCTTTAAAATCTCTGACTCTTACCTACTTTGGCTCTTCTTCTAAAGCATTTCTGTCTTTACCATATTGGCCTTCCTCATCAAGCTGATAGTCTGCTACAAATAAAGATGCGGGACGTGGATGGTGCTGTGGTCTAAACCACTGAGCCTCTTGGTCTTGCCAGTCAGAAGGTTGGCGGTTTGAATCCCTGCAATGGAGTGAGCTCTGTCCCAGCTCCTGCCAACCTAGCAGTTTGAAAGCATGCCAGTGCAAGTAGATAAATAGGTACTGCTGTGGCAGGAAAGTAAACAACATTTCCGTGTGCTCTGGCTTCCATCACTGCGTTCTGATGCACCAGAAGCAGTTTAGTCATGCTGGCCACATGACCCGGAAAGCTGTTTGTGGACAAACACCAGCTCCCTTGGCCTGAAAGCAAGATGAGCACTGCACCCCATAGTCAACTTTGACTGGACTTAACCGTGGGGGTCCTTTATCTTACCTTTACCTTTTACAAATAAAGAGCACAAGCCAGCAAGCTACCTAGCATCATAAGTACCTGCAGGAAAAGGAAACCATTCAGTAAAAACAATTCCAGATGAGGTATTCAAATATTCACAGGAAATCTGAAAATAAAAAGAAAGATCCCACCAAGGGTTAACAGCCAGTCTGACCTAAGAGCAAAAAGAAGAATCCTAAATATGGCAATTTGAGTTATTGTGAAAGCAAGCTTGTGCCATTAATATTCTCTAATAGACCTTGCCAAGGAAATGAATTGTCCCCATCAAATACCCTCTCTCTACTTCTGGGTGTCTGATTATATCTTGGATGATGACCAGGAAATTTCTGAAAGTTTGGGATTCTTATTGCACTCAGTACAGCATGGCTAAATAGGGTCACTATTTTAAGAACATTTAATTAAAAGATCAAGCCAGCTTTAAGATCAAGGCAACATCATGCCAATTTTAATTATGGGAAATCCTTGTAGTTGCATAGTGAATCTAAAAAGCAATTTGTGTACCTGATGGAATAATATTTGTTTCTACCAGCTGGAAATGAAGTTTGTTTACTCAGAAGGAAGTCCTTCTTTGTTCAGTAGGACTTACTTCAAATCTGCATAGGATTGCAGTCAAAGAGGGAGAAAGGATCAGCTAACATCTTGAAACACAGGAGAAATTCAACATTGTGCTATTGCAAACATTCCATCAGCGGAAGCATTTCTGCTTTCCCAGTGGAAAAGTCTCTCTTTCCCTCCTCATATACGCTGTTCTGGGGCTTCCCACAAACCCCAGCCCAATTTTAGGGGTGCAGCAGGGTGAGAAGAGTGGGAGAAGTCCTTTTATGGGAATTCGCTATTGTTGACAGTTAGCTCAATCCAGCTCACAGAAACATATTTCCCTATTTTTTCAGAATTTTCCAAATGTTTGAAAAACTAATTTTATATGTGTTTAACGCAACAGTGGTGATATGTCTTTGCTGGTTTTTTTAACTCCTTTAGGCCATACCCGTTTGTTCTATTCTATTCTAAATTCCACGGGCTAGAAATGTGTGTGGATGCAAGAACCTTTGGGAATGAAGCTCGATTTATCAGACGTTCTTGTACACCTAATGCTGAGGTAGGCTTGCAAGTTTTAAAATATTTCGTAGTAAATCTTTTGCTGAGGGTGGCAGAATACAATTTGACTGTGTATACATATTTTCTGGTAATGAAATAGCAGCTCAGTAAATTAAAAACATTCATTGAATATATTCAACATAAAGTTCCAGAACATTAGTGTTGCTAGTTTAAAATGAAGGCAAGGACAGTTGCTGTCATTTCACAGTATGCCTTTGTAATCGTAAAGTGTTATAAATATTTCCAAAGGTGCTATTTTCAGGATTCTCCAATTAAGTCTAAAAGAGGAATACATATTACTTAGTTGAAATCCTCATATATTATGCCTCCACTTAATTGTATTGGTAAGGGTGTGGAAACAGAAGGTCTGTTTTTAATTTTTTAACTTAAAGGACCTGACCTGGACAGATTTTGCATATGTGGGACAAAATATGCTCTTTTGATCTATGCACTAGGATATAGAAGACAACCACTTTAAAGTGATACATGATTTTTGCAACATCCCACTATATCCAGAAAACTGTTTTCCTATATTCATGTGCAAAGTCTAAAGAAATTTATTGGAATACTGTAAATTTGTCTGTAAGCAGTGGAATGGGCTATATATATCTTTATAACTTACATAAGTTGATAGTAATGATTACTATTTCAGTTGAGTGTTTCTGAACAGAGGCCTTTACCAAAGAAACAGTAACTGATTAAAGTACTTCGGTGGAACAAGTCTACAATTTTTGTTTCCAAATATATTAAAAACTGTTTAAATATGTTATTTTTCTGTGTTTAGGTTAGACATGCCATTGAAGATGGAACCATTCATCTTTATATCTACTCCATCCAAAACATTCCAAAGGGAACAGAAATAACTATTGCATTCGATTTTGATTATGGAAATTGGTAAGTCAGTTTGGGCACCAAATATTAGGACTGAGTTGTCAGATATGAAATTGGTTTGTTATTGTTAATCAAGTGGTCTCCATTCATTTACATTTTTTAAAGATTACAATAATAGGATGCCATTAAAATGCAGTGTTCTTAAACCCCACAATTTAACAGAGAATCTGACGTTGCTGTGATTCATATCACATTAGAATTGCAGGATCAGACATGTACATGTAACTAGCACATGTACTAGTTATGAATGCTGCTGGTAAGATTATCATTCCACCGAACACTGCGGAGTTTAATTCAGAGTAAGCCTACAGAGGATTGGGCTGCATAGAAAGCAGTTCAGTGCAAATGCTTTTTACAAAGTTTTTCCATATTTCATTTTTTTATTATTATTTTTAGCAAATACAAAGTGGACTGTGCTTGTTTGAAAGAAAATCCTGAATGCCCAGTACTTAAGCGAGGCTCTGAACCTACAGAAAACATAAATACTGGATATGATACTAGAAGAAAAAAGGGCAGAAAAGAGAGAGAAGCTTCAAAAGAGAAGGAGATTCAAAACCAGAACATCACCTTGGATTGTGAAGGAGCAGCCACCAAAACAAAGTTTCCAGACAACAGACAGAGAAAGCTTTCTCCCCTTAGGCTATCAATCTCAAATAATCAGGTATTCCAGCATATTTAAAATTAAACACATGACTCTGAAGCTTCCCATTTCCTTCAGGGTGGTGGTTGGGGCAACTCCCAAGAGCACAGATTTTGTGGGCCAAGACGCCGTATGCAAATATAAAACTCCCAAACCTTCAAGGAACTGCTGGCTTGGGGCATGGGGGTGGGGTTATATTAATTGGATGGCTTTGTAGAAGGTACCTCATCTTGAATTTTTAAAAATTAACTTGTTGAACAGCATCAGAATACTTTTCAGATCACAAATGTAAGAACATCATGCTGTGCCTTGGGATCCAGGATCTTACCAGGGTTTGTAGGCTGGTAGCATTTATATTTCATAGTTCAGATATAACACAAGGGTAGGGAACTGTGGCCCCTCCAAATGATAGACTCCAACTCCCATGAGCCCCAGCCTACACAGCCAATGGTTAGGGATGGTGGGAATCATAATGCAGTAACATCTAGAAGGCCACAGGTTCCCCACTCATGATACAAGCAGCTGTTGATAAGAAGTAACATTATTTGTGTCACATAGGTCATAGGATGTTAACTTAAAAAAAAAAATCCTTACAAAGCATTTATTTGTTGGATTGGCAAATGCAGGAGGGGTTGTTTACACAGTAATGTTTCTTTCCTTGGACATGGCTGAAAATTCACTTCCACCTAAGGAATGGAACAGGAGCATGATGTGTAGGTTGAGGATTAGATGAATTTGAAGCGATCATTAGTTGTACTTGTTGCTTTTCCATTTTCCTCGCAAGGCACAGCAAATGATTCCTTACAGATACTGATCTGCAGAGTCAAGTTACCATTGTTTTGCTTAGGGCATATCTGCACATATCTATGGAATAGGAGCCGTTCTCTTGCCACATGGGTATACTAGCTATTCTGTGGCAGCTGTCGGAGATATTCAGTGTCCCACTTTTTAAAAAAAAAAAGTTTAGATTGGTTTTTATATTCCATCAAACCCATTGAAAACAACAAAATCCTTGGGAGACTGTGCATGCCAGGAAAACCTACTGTATGGCACAACACTGCCATAGTCCTCTAGAAATCCTCTAGGGTAAAATCTGTTTTTGTACTGTTTTTTTCGGGGGGGGGGTGGAGTTGCACTCATATATTTTCAACTTTTGGGAAGCCTGGTACCTCAACCACAGAATTGTAATGAAGAGTGGTCATCTGTGCCCCAAGTAATATTCCCGTCAGGAGTATCTTGTATTTGTAATCATTTTCTGCACCCTTAAAACATCTAGTAGTTGTGAAAATTGGCTTTACGTGTCTGAAAACCTGCTTTTGAGGGTAGGATTCATCACATCAAGTACTTAAAAACTTTTTAAAAGGATCAAGCAGCTAGTATTATTGACTGCTCTGTGATAAAATAGAAATTTTCCATTAGGCAATTTTATGCACATACTAGGCATGCAGTCCTAGAGACACTTGGGAGTAAGCCCTACTGGTTTCAGTGGGACTTTACTTCTGAGTAGACATGTATGGGATTGTACTGTAAAGGAACAAATATTTTAAAAAACCTAGACTAATAGTGGATTAGCAAAGTTGCATATATATTATTAACTTTGAGGTGATGTTCTAGAAGTAACCCAAACAAAGATTGTCGTGCCAATTTTGGAGGCTAAACTGCCTACATTAAATCCTAGTTTCTTTTTTATTGTTAAAGCAGCTGACAGATTCAGGACACTTGTCTGACTGTACTAGCTTGCATGTGTTCATACAAATTAGTACTAAAACATATTTGGTTATTTCTTTAGTTGGCAAAAAAAGATGCTTTAGTCACTGGATATTTATTTCTAGATGTATGAAAGTTTGAATCGTTGCTTTTGCATGTTATTATGGCTAATTGGTTGGCTGCTTTTGCAGTGGTGATGCGAGGCTTTTTATGGTACAATTCTATATACATGTCTACTCAGAAGTAAGCCCCACTGAATTCAGTAGGACTTCTTCCCAGGTAAGTGAGTATAGAATTGCAGCATAAGTATCATATAGTATTTGGAGTTCCCTCGGTTATAGCAGCAGTAGTAGTAGAGCTTCTGTAAAGCAGTCATTTCCATCTTTCAGGAGCCAGATTTTATTGATGATATAGAAGAAAAAACTCCTATTAGCAATGAAGTAGAAATGGAATCAGAGGAGCAGATTGCAGAAAGGAAAAGGAAGATGGTAAGTTGGGAAGCTAGTAGCTGCTTAAAGCTGTCACTACAGATTGGTGACAGCTGCTCTTCCCATGCTAATCGTTGCTGCCTCTCTTAGGTGTTTAGTGTTTGAGAATATTTGAAATCTGCTCCTGATACATGCTAACAATATCTAAAACTTGAGTCTGTGTGTTTCTATTTTTGGCTTGAGTGTTACTTTCTGAAAAAGGGCTGTGTGTGTTTGCGTGCGCGTGCGCTTTCTTGGGAGTTTACATATTCTTGATTTTGCGCTGCTGAAGTCTTGTTGCAGATCAAAGAATGAACTTTCTCTACCTTGAGATAAGATAAAATCCCAGTATTTTCCATAAGTGATCAGCCAAGTTGAGTAGATGTCTGAAGATTTGGGGGGGGGGGTCCTCCTCTGTGTAGATTTAACAAAGAGAACTCAGATACCTTGCCCCTAATAAAAAGTTCACAAACTACTTACATTGCTGTATGAATGTTGGCTTATTTAATTTTCAAATATGGAACTTCAAGCCGGGGCACAGGCACATCAGAAGGGGTCAGGAAACTGGGAGAATCCTGACGTAATGAAACGTGAGGGTTGACTAAGCAGTTGAGAAAGTTTGGAGGAAGACATAACTGTTCACAGAACTAGCACAAAGCGAGCCGCTGATACACCTCTTATTCCCCACCCCCCCTTTCCCTTAATTTCATTGTTTTGCTGCTACTAATGTGGAGACAGCACACCTCTCTCTCTCCTCTGTTCCCCACTCTGAGGTCGGGTGTTCCTCCTTGGCAGGTGGCACTCTGGGAAAGGTGGCCTAGGAGAATGACTACATGCTGCCACTTTTCTACATGATCACATGCTGTAATTGGTTACATGTCTAGCCATCCCATTATCTCAGGCCACTGCTCCCAGAATGCCTTGCTCTGAGGAACAACGCCTCCCCTTTCCTTCCTCAGAGCGATGCAGGGAGGGGCAGGAGCTGTGCATCCATAAAACATTTTCATTTGGTAAATCTTCCTTTGGTAATCTTGCTTCTGCTCAGGGAAATAATTAACTGCATCAGCTTTAATTTTAATTTTTATTGTTTTTCCTTTTTTCTGATACACATCATGTTTTCCTGTCATACAGTGTTTCTGTACAGACTTCCCAACCTAACACTCCAATGCATTCTAGATATACCTTGTTTTTTCTGCCTATCAGTTACTTTACCCCTTCCTCTTTCATTCCTTGGTTGTAGTTAGCTGTTGCTCATAAGGTTGCCGCTACTTGGAATTTGATTTTGGTATCATATCTTTTTAAATACTCCCCAAAGCCTTCTCACTTGCCCCTAGTCTATTTGTTGTTCTGGTTCCTTATTTTGGGTGTCATGTTTTCTAATTCTGCAAATTCTGTCAATTTATGCAGCCGTTGTTCTTTCGTAGGAATTCCTCTTTCTTTCCAATTTCTAGCATATACTATTCTGGCTGCTGTTGCATAACACAATAGATTACGTGCCTTCATTGGTATGTCTTCGCCAATTATAGCCAATAAGAAGGCTTCAGGTTTTGGGTGGAATGTAAATTTGAAGATCTTTTTTATCTCTTAGATATTCTTGGGCGTGTTTACACAACCACCACATGTGTGTAAAAGATCCCTCTACTGCATCAGCTTTAAAGATCTGTCAGTTAAGTTTGTGTAGGAATATATATGGGTGAGGGTGGTTATTACCAATCACCAAAGTCACTTGCACAACAGTTTTGAGCTAGCACACAAACTAGTAGTTTGATAATTTAAAGATGTTTCTGTTCTGTTGGCAGTTTCCTTGAGTGAGGAGGCCTCATTTTTTAGGTCTCTGGAAAGAGAGGCTTATAATGTAATATACGAAGGGACGTTAATAGGAATTGCAAAAGTGTGAACGCTGCTGAGTGTTATGTGGGTCTTTCATTATTCCACTACTCTGGCATCTGATTGCAGGGTAGTGCCATGTTTCTGATGAAAGTTCATATTGCCTATACTAGGATGTTATATTCACCTGTGGCATCAGCATTTATTTTATGCTGTATCTTGATCATGTTAAATTGATTCATGTACTACCTTTTCTAGAAGTTCTAGCTTCTGAGTTATCTTTTAATATACCGTTAATATTTAAATGATTCCTTGTCATAAGGAAAAATACTGGTGCTAAGAAAAACCTGTGATGAAAGTAGCCTGTTTTCTCTGTGTTTCAGTAGCACAAGGATTAAAAACAGTAGGCAAATCTTGGGTCTTCAGCTGCTTTGTGCAACAGAAGATAATACATGCTATAACCCTTTTTTTAATGTTCCTCCAAGTTCCAGTTAATCATTTTCACCTGTATAAGGGTGAAGAGGGATCATGTTCCGTGATGAAATTTTTGTTCTTATATGGGGGAGTGGTATTATGAATAGGCCACATGCAATTTAAGGGGAGTAAGTTAGGAGGTCCTCCACCTTTATTGGTGAAAAGCTATGAAAATCATGTTACCACCAAGCATGACACAGAATTTCCAGTCATACTACCTTTATATAATGCATTTATTATCTGGAAATGAATTGGGAGCCCTACAGGGCACAGCATGACCTTGTAACAAAGTGATGAAACAGAACCAGTGTTATCCTTCACCACTGGAGACATGGGAGCCCTGACTGCAGAATGCAAAAATGCAAACACTGTGAGGTAGTAGCTAAACTCTGTTATCTTAAGTTGTGACCTGTCTCTCTAGTCTAGAGAAATAGAGCAGACTTGGCTAGTTCTTCTCCCTATAGCTAGGTGTACCAGCTGCATGGCTTAGCTGCCTTGACTATTAACAAGAGCGTTTGGAAGGTACTTGCTGATAAACATCAAAGTGAGATGGGGGCGCACAACACTTCCTAGCTTGCCAGGACAAAGAAACAAAAATGTTAAGGCAACTTTGTACCTGAGGCTGATACTTCCTCGGCTTCATGCAATGACGTGTAGGAACTGCTTCCTGGAACTTTTAAGACCTTTCTTAGCAGGTACAGATCCCACCAATCCTGGTGGAGATCTTTGCAATTCTATCGGTATAAAACCACATAGAAATATTGCTGAAGTAAAGTGTTTTGACACACACTCCTGAGGCTCTGTTGAAGGCGCACGGGGCCTGTTCCTGTGTGTGGTCCCTAGTTACAGTGGAAATTTTGTTTGATTCCTTGTAGTGTGATGCCATCTCTCCCAGGAACATATGCCACTGCTTCTCATCACTTGAAAGATCCCTGGTAGTTCAGCGATGATTTACTTTCATTTTTCCCTTCCCTTCACTTTGTTGTCTTATGAAAGAGTGATGAAAGAGTGATAAGTTAAGAGCAAAGACTCATTAAAATTGGATCCATGAATGCAGGGATCTGGTGAGTTATTGGTGATGCATAAAGTGCCTGTTGGAGGTCCCCTGGCTTACATAATCAAATAATAGTTTGAATAATATTGTTCATTCTTAAGACTACTAAAAAAAAATGGTAAAGTCAATATAATGGATAAAAAATTGGAATGCTTTGTCATATTAGATGACACTTAAATAGAAATTGGGATGATAAGGTCTTCTGGAACAAAATTTATTTTTACACATCAGTAGAGAACAGCCAGTGCACTAAAATGCTCCTTATCATCATGCATTACTTTTCACCATTTTGAGGAACAGAAGTTGGCATTTTGACTGGGCACCTTATGCCTTACTAACATGTGAAAACGTTGCATAGCAGGTTTAAATGAATGCATTTCTCATGTTCTAAGAAGTCTAAACCCCAGTATCCCACCATCACAGATTAATGTTGTCTGTCTGTACAGGCTCTGGTACACTCAGCGGAATTTGACGAGGAGCAAAATTACACTTTGTTAACTGTAAATTATAAACAGGTGTTTATAAAATAGTGTATTTTTAAAAAAATCATGGAAAGATGCTTTTTCATTCAACACAGGTTCAAACGGGAAGATAGCAATATTGATTTAAAATTGGGTATAATACAGTTTTAAAACAGCATTTTTCATATAGACGTGCACAGAAAATGTACATCATATACTTTCATTGCATCTTATTCTGTTAAAAATATTAATAAGCTTATTGTATTTTAATTCCAGTTAATATTCTTCTTTCTGTACCGTATAAGGAATTGACTGAAATTTATGAGTAAATATGGTGCTTGCACTAATACATAGCTGTTTATTGGCAGGTGTGTACCTAATTTGTTTTATTTTGCTCCAAGTTAAAAAAAACCACAGTGCCGTGCCTGAGTGTCAAACATCAGTATATAAGCTAGTATATAATGATAGCGCCGATCCTGTAACTTGTTTTGGCCGTTGTGCAGAAACAGTTGGAACATGGCTAAGTTTTATGTACTTTTATTTTATCTTCAGCATACATTGCTTAAAAATTAATGTTGCTTAATTCTTCAGACCAGAGAAGAACGGAAAATGGAAGCCATTCTTCAAGCTTTTGCCAGGCTAGAAAAAAGAGAAAAAAGAAGAGAGCAGGCTTTGGAAAGAATTAGTACAGCTAAAACCGAAATTAAACCTGAATGCAAGGAAACGCAGATCATCAACGAAACAGAATTTGTACAGGTAGTGACATATAACTTTATTAAGTTTAAGCTGACTTGAAAGATTAAGCTTTTCTGTTTATGTGATTTGGGCAACACTTTGCTGCTATAAGCAGCTTTCTTTCACATCATCAAGGCTTTGTGTTGACCCAAAAGAGTGCCTTCAAAATCCCTTATAAAACTCAAGACTTCTGAAATGGTACTTGGAACAATTTGCATATTGTTAAAAGAAGACTGTCATTATGCGATACCAAAGTTGCCTCATCCATTGCTGAAAATGAATATTTTGGGATAGGGGGAAATCACATTAAAAATCACTTTCAAATATGTACTTACTATTGGAAAAATTTCAGAGCGGTTATTCTTTCTAGCTATACAAGGTATGCAGTTTATCTGACGTTGGTGTTTCATGCATTTTACAAGGAACCAGCAAAAGAGGAAACTGCCACTAAGCCAACCCCTGCCAAAGTCAATAGGACAAAACAGAGAAAAAGTTTCTCTCGGAGCAGAACTCATATTGGACAGCAGCGGAGAAGGCACAGAACTGTTAGCATGTGTTCAGATATTCAACCATCCTCTCCTGATGTGGAAGTTAGTTCACAGCACAATGAGCCTGAAAACACTGCACTTTCAGCTGAGCCTGAAACTGAGACAACTGTTCCTGAAATAGTTCCTGAACCAGAACCCCCAGCACTTAACAAATGCCCTACTAAATATCCTAAAACAAAAAAGGTAAGTGTATTTCTAAGCTTAAACGGATACTTTCATTTGTGTATTAAATGTCTGCTGTGATGTTCTTTGCAAAGCAGCTCAGGGCAGCATTTAAGCAGGAATATACTGGTTATCAGCTCTGTTTTGGGATGAGGAGGAGGAGGGAGTGGCAGTGGTTTCTTGTTTGAGCAAGTGCAGTAATGCAGGGGTACCACAAGAAGACCTTGCAGGGTTCTGAGATGCGTTGTTTAAAGAAGGCAAGCGTGCTTTCTTCCTCTTGTACACTCACTTCCCCTAGGAAAAATAGGGAGGAACCTGGATGCTAGAAGGCAGAAGATGAGACAGAGTCTCTGGTAGGAAACCTTGGGTAAGGATCAGGGGCCCCTGTTAACAGGAGGGGGGCCCCACCCCCCATCCAAGACACCAGAATGCCATCATGAGATGGGTAAATAGGGAGAGGTGCAAGACATTGGAGAGACCTCAAAAAAGCAACAAAATATGTTAAGGTAGGTCTGCACAAAGCCCAAGAAACCTAAGTGAAGACCTCTGGGTGGTGGGACTACTCCGTCTCCAATGATTTTGGGCAGGGAATGCTGACTTAATTTTTGAAGTCAGAAAATGAAGGGAAGGCTATAAGGTCTCCATACTTCCTGATACCACCCAGGAGTTACCCTCCTATCTAGGAGAAGTGAATGCAATGACTTTCAGGGTAGGGAAGATCACAACACTGAATTATTGCACCTTAAGGGGCATACGTCATGATTTGAGTGTCTGTCTGGAAGCAGGAACAGTTGACATCTCTTATTTTGTCCTATAGGATGCATCTCCTGTGAGGACTCCTAGGTCTGGAGTTTGCCTTCCACTGAGAGGGAGAAAACACAGCATAGCCTCCCTATGAAGATATTGAAAGAGCTCATGTTAGGCTTTTTCTGTGAAACCGTAGGCCATGGCATTGCTAACAGTCAGTAGTTTTCTTGGGTTGGGTTTGCTTTCAGTTGCTGCTAGCTTGGAAGGAAATAGTGATCTAGGTGTCACAGAAATAGAGCCAGTTCAGTAGTCATATTGTTTTTCAGCGCTTCTTTTCCACTAAGTAGAAACAAAATCCTAAAAAGGGAAATGAAAGTTTGTGGCCATCTTTTAACTGCGGGATTGCTCCAGTTCAGTGCATGCAGAGCATCTATGGAGGGGTTTCTATAGTAGTCTGGTTTCCCTCTTCCTCTATGGTACATATGCATGGATGTTCAGCATACCTGAGCATTCCGGGAAGCCTATATCCCAGTCCAGCCTCTCCCTTCTCAATTCATTCAGGGAACACATTCCTTGCAGCTCACATTCCTTGACCAGAAGGATGGGAAGGGCTGGACACAAATTTGTGAGGTATGTCTCCCATTCCCTATAATGACCAGGCATATTCTTTTGTGTGCATGCCACCAGCTGTAGATTTATTGTTTGTAATATTTTTGTTTCTATCCTGCCTTTCTGTGTAAAATACCCAAGGCAACTAACAAAAACAAAACTGTTAAATGAAGTGAATGCAGCACAACAGCACAGCAATATTAAATAATGCAATATTACCAGTAAATAATAGGTAAGGATTCTGCCATAGCCCCAGAGGCCTCTAAATTAAGAGGGGGCTTTCATCAGAAGACCAGAGAGAAACAGGCAGGTTTCTTGAGGAGAGAGTTCTAGAGGCTGCAGTAACAACCGGGAAATATGTTTCCGATGTTTACAACAGCAGCTACATACGGATAGCATGTCGCAGTAGCCCAGTGTGGATATTAACAAGGCTTGAGTAACTGGATAAATTGAAAGGGTGGTCTATTCCTGGTCACTGCTGCCACCTGAACAGCTCCAGGAAATTCCCCTTTTTAAATTCAAACTTTTCTTAAGATAAAGAGATTGATTGGAACTTCAGAGAGGACAAGCCGCTTGATCTGGCTTAAACAGTCCAATCCTGTTCACGTTTACACAGAAATAAGTCTCACTGAATTAAGAGTGTGTTTTAGGTTGTTGCCTCAGTGAGCAAAGAATGGCAGGGCTTGTGTGTGGTAAAAATGTTGACACCCATTAGAAAAAAACACAAGGAAAGGCCTCTTGTACAAGAACACCACGCCACCCTGCATGCATTTAGACAGAAAAACTTAGGAACAAGTAAATTAAAAACGATTGCTGATGCTTGTAGCACACACATCACTTAGTTTAAGAATGCAGGTTGTTTCTCAGTAGCATTAGTAAAAAAAGCTGACATCAGCATCGCTGGCTAAAACTTTTAAACAGTGGCATTTTACCACAAATTTACCACTTTCTAGGATTTGACAGCAAATCAGCTCTTACCGTCTAGTATATTTTACCTTGACACAGCAGCCATGTCTACACAATTAAATGCTGGTTTAATAAGACAGAATACGCATGAGCTCTGGGTACCCACTCACAATTCCTTCCTGTGAGCAGGGAAACGAGCAAGGAAGCCCCAGTTTCCCCATTCGATCAGGAATTAAGGTTAATGGCTTTCAAACAAGCTATATGATGCAAAGCCAAGGGTTTAAAGTGGCTTACAAACTTGCTTGTTTAGAAGCCATTAACCTGATTGTGCAAACCTGGTCAGTTACTTGGATTACCAGTGAACCTATAAACGGTGTGTCTGTGTGCAGTTACAGCTTTCATTAGTTACTTTAGTATTTGCACTCTCCCATAGTACTGAACATGGTCTTAATGTACAGTTGATAACTACCTTCAGCAGAAGGGCTATGTTGACTTTTCCCTTTTCTGTTTAGCACTTGGTGAGTGAGTGGTTAAGTGAGAAGAACGAGAAGACAGGAAAACCGACGGACAGCCTTTCAGAAAGGCCCCTGCGTATAACGACAGATCCTGAGGTTTTGGCTACACAGCTGAATTCTTTGCCCGGTCTCACTTACAGCCCACATGTATATACTACTCCTAAGCACTATATTCGTTTTACATCGCCATTCCTTTCGGAAAAGAGGCGCAGAAAAGAACCTGTGGAAAACATTGGCTCTTGCAAGAAGGTAGTGTTTCCTTTTTGTTTTTCCTACTTTTGATATTAAGACAAATATCTTGTAAAATATCTACAGACTAGATAAGGCGGGTGGCTACTGGTGAAAGCCTTTTGCATAGTGCTACCTATTCATTAGAAGGGACGTGGGTGGCGCTGTGGGTTAAACCACAGAGCCTAGGGCTTGCCGATCAGAAGGCTGGTGGTTCGAATCCCCGCGACGGGGTGAACTCCCGTTGCTCGGTCCCTGCTCCTGCCAACCTAGCAGTTCGAAAGCACCAAGTGTAAGTAGATTAATAGGTAACGCTCCGGTGCGAAGGTAAACGGCGTTTCCGTGTGCTGCACTGGTTCACCAGAAGCGAACATGCTGGCCACATGACCCGGAAGCTGTACGCCAGCTCCCTCGGCCAATAAAGCGAGATGAGCGCCGCAACCTCAGAGTCGTCCGTGACTGGACCTAACGGTCAGGGGTCCCTTTACCTTTACCTATTCATTTCGTCATCAAATAAAGACCTTATTTTCCATGAACTGTTAAATAACAACTTAGTCCACTTTTTGTTCCCCTTGTAAAAGTTTACGCTGTGTCATGTCTTATATTATTTGGTAAAACAGGCCAGTGAGTTTTTTAAAAAATTGCACATGGCCTGGAAATGATTTAAATCAATAATTATAATGGATCTCACTTGGCACCCACGGACTAGACTTTAATTATATTCTTTTTTCCCCCCCAGCGTTGGTTGAAGCAAGCTCTGGAAGAAGAAAACACAACAGCTGTAGATAGGTTTAATTCACCATCTCATGAAAGATCTAGAAGTCCCACAGTCAATGGTGAAAGTAGAAGTCCCTTGTTATTAAATGACAGTTGTTCTTTATCAGGTAAGGATTTTTGTTATATGGTGCAAGCCATCCTCTGAAATGGTTTAACCCTTTTCATCAAACTTGCAGGGGATCTGATGCTTAAGCCCCGGTTGGGCAATCACTTCTCTCTACTTACTTTTGTACTAAATGTTTATGGTTCGTGGCATCTTTCCTGCTGGAGAATATATTCACACTCTGCTTGAAAGTTCAGTTGCTTCCACCAACAGAACACCCCGTACCCCCGTGTGTGACCAAGATTAAATAGAAGAGCGCTGCCCTGAGATATTTTGCTATCACAATCAGTTCGTGAAATCTGACATATATACCTTTCTCTCAAGCTAGGATCTATACCTCACCACCACCACCTTGTGGAGAACTGGGCTTGTTGGAAAGTAAATTGCAGGCCTCTAGTTATAATAATAAAAAAACAATTTATTATTTATACCCCGCCCATCTGGCTGGGTTTCCGCTTTCCTTCTTTAAGGAAAAGTACCTCTGAGCTCCATGTGTTTTGAAAGGCATTCTTTGTGGAAATGGAAAGAACAGAGTGAAGCATCTGGAAACCGATGTATTGATTTCTAGCCAACCATTCAAGTTTTAGGGACCCACTTGATGGACTGGGAACGTTTTGCCTGTTCTGCATTTGGTGGGATGGTGGGAGGAGGTAGAGTTGGGTGGGTGTGTTTCTCCAAGCATAGCTAGTTTTCCTTCTGTGGAATGAGTATTTTGTGGTGCTTTGTGGGGGCAGATACCTGGTTTGGCAATTGAGACTCATGTCGAATCTCTGTATTGTACTCAAGGTTCCTTGGGCAAGTTGCTATATTTTGTGACTAGTCAGACAGTTTCCCAGGTTTCCAAATGTGCACATGGACTCTGGATGCTTTAGTCGAGATTACTGCATTGCCAGGGGATTGGACAAAAACAGTTTATTGATGGAACCTAATAATTGTGTTCAAATCTTGATGGCTTAATGCGAAAGCATCAGTTGTTGTTTTTTGTTTGCCTTTGTAACATGCAGACCTGACAACACCGCTAAAAAAACGAAGAGTCTATCAGCTGTCGGATTCTGCCTATTCAGAAACATCTACACCTATTCCTTCTCCATACGCCACACCAACCCATGCTGATCTCTCTGCCTCAGATCCATTGCTGTTTGCAACTCCTCCAAGAATAAAAGCAGATGATGAAACCTGTAGGAATGGTTATAAGCCCATTTACTCACCTGTTACGCCAGTGATTCCATGTGTACATGGAAATGCAATGCACTTTGAGGTGAGCTTTTGTATATTCTATACTCTTACCTGATTAATCAACTTGCATTGACAGGTTTTTTATATAAAAAAAAAACCAGCTATCTTAGCAAATGGTGGGATGTGTGGTAATGGCTACCAATCCAGTCTTTAGAAGGGGGTTAGACAAAATTCAGAGAAATTTTAACTCCTAGCATATATTCCAGGGAGGCAGAATGAAATAAAGTAGTTTAGATGTTGTTTAAAAAATGAGATGCTTTCATTTGTATTTGCATTAAAATAAAACTTCCATGCTTAACTTTTTTAATGCAGAATATATCTTCACCTGAAAGTTCCCCAGAAGTTAAGAGGCGAACGTATAATCAAGAGGTAAGGAGAACTGTTAAGAAGTTACTGGGAAAGGCTTATATGCATTTTGCAAATCTTCCTCCCAGCTATGAACAGCTGCTAATAATTGGGGAAGAATTGGAAGCAGAGCACAAAAGGTCCTGCGTTTAATCCCTGGCATCTCTATGCAAAACAGGAAGAGTTCTATCTGAAACCCTGGAGAGTCACTGCAATTGAGTGTAGACAATGCAGAGCAATAATCTAGCTTGGCAAAAGGCAGCTTCTTAAGTTTCCCAGTATTACAAAATTATTTTTTCTTGCATTTTGCTGACAAACCTATTACAGAAAGCATGTAGTATTGCATAGAACATGAAAAAATGCATCTTGGTAAACCCACCATTGTAGCCAAACTAAATAATCCAGATCCTTTAAATCCTTTCTCAATATTGAGGATAATAATAACAATAATAATCTCCATCCCACCATGTTCATTGGCATAAGCAGTTCAATCTCCTGCCTTAAACCCATATTTTCCAAATATCTCAGAATTACTGCAAGGTCTCATTTCTTTAATTCCTGTAATTTACACCAGTGTTGAGTTCCAATATTTTTTATGAATTGACATACCTTCCATATATGGGCCACATCTGTGTTAAAGGCACAACAACCAAAAATTGGATGGCACATTAGGATTTTATAGATAAATAGATAGATTAAAAAATACTTCAGTGGAGCCATCAATGAAATAACATTCAGCTAGGATCATACGGGGGTATCATTTTCATTTACTTTTCTCAGACACTGTGTGTTACATCTAATTGCTTCTCTCTCGGTGTGCAGGGATTTGACCGGTCATCATCAGCAATGCTAGCACTCAACCCTTTCAGAAATTCCAATCTAACAGAAATATGCCTGCAAGAAATAAAGACTATTGGATATTCCAGTCCAAGAAACAGGACTGATGGCGCCAGGCAATGTTCCGGAGAAAACGAAACGGCCTCAGACCTCCAGTTGGGACTTGAAGCAATTGAGCAAAGTGCACTGCATAAAACTTTGGACAACCCCTGCCATGATAGGACTGATGCTAGCAGCCAGCTGGAAACTGCTCACTGTGGACGGGGAACAGTTTATCCAACTTGGGTAAAGAGTCCCGACAGGACAGGTGTAAATTTCTCAATGAATTCTAATCTGAGGGACTTAACTCCTTCACACCAGCTGGAGGTAGGAGGTGGATTCCGAATAAACGAATCAAAGTGCCTGATTCCAGATGATGCCAGAGGCGGCATGTTCATGGAAACACCTGTTTTTTGTACTTCTGAAGATGGACTTGCAGCTGGCTTTGGAAGAACTGTCAGTAGTGACAGCTTGATGGACGGAAATTGCACACCCCAGAATCCTCCACAAAAGAAAAAGGTTACAACCTTTAAGTATAAATTCACACTTTCATTTTTTTATATCTGTACCTTTTCTGCCAAGACAAAATTAGATAAGGTTCTTCTATTTACTATAGGAGACATTCTCAAATGGGTTTATGATTGTAGCCTTAGTATTTTAAGTTGAGCATTTAAAGTTCTAAGTTATCAAATTAACGTTAAGGATGCCTACGTTTGTCATTTAGTGTTTGCTCAGCTTCAAGAACAAAAATAAAATTTATAGTCTGTATTTACTAGTTTTGAGGAGACTTGATTTTCTTTAGCTTAGAGGAAATTCTTTGTACAATACATAACTGTTGCAGATACGGAACCTGGGATGCTTTTAAAATAGTTGAATAATTAAAAATAATACCTTTTGATCAAAGCATCTCCCAGTGACATGAAATTTAGTAGTGAATGGTCTAGAATCATCTCATAAATGCCGCATTGTTGAAGCTTAGCAGGTGCCTTGGATAGGTGACCTTCTGTAAGCCATTCTGAGATTTGCCAAAGAGGCACATGATTATGATATGAATATAAAGGCAGTGGCTTTGATCCTCAATTCTATGAGCAGAGTGTTCCACTTTTGGAACAGGGTTTTCCAACCTCCCCCTTCGTGCTACAGTCCCGCGAAAAGCTAATGCGGGCCAGAAAACCCTCTGGAATGGTGGCAAAGGAAGCTGCAGGAGGAAGGGAGCAATGGGAGCACTGCCTCCCTGTAGCTAAACGGGTGTCCTGATAAAAATGAAACACGTGGAAAGGGTTCGTTTTTAGCAGAAAGTTTAGCCATTAATGCTGGGGCAAATATTTTAAGACAGACAAACCAAATAGTTATGATGCATATACTTAAAGATTCTGAAAACTGTTACTGCCCCAGTTAATCTGAAAGGAGGGGAATTGCTCAGACTGTAAAAGGACATTTTCAGTAGTTATGCTTCACCGTTTGTTCTAATGTAGGAAGTCCAGTAGGCAGTATCCCAAAATTACTTTATTACGATTGCTGCAGGTCATTAGGTTGGATCAAAAGGGTGCACTTTCACTTGTGGAAGTCCTCTTCAGCCCACTGAAGGAGTGCTTGGTACCTTGTACTGGAGCATTGTGTTATAAAAGTAAAATGCAGCCAAATATGTTTTTCTGGTTGCACCAGTGGAAGTGGAAGAACTGTTACAGAATTAACCGCTTACCCTCACCATGCAAACTCTCACACAAGTATTTGCAGAACAGTGCTAGGAACTAGCCCGTCAGTTGCCTGCCCTTTCTGGTTTGCCAGGGATGAGGTGCATACTAGTGCACACTGCCTCGTTGCTCCTTTTTCATTCCTTGCTAGGCAAAAGCAAAATAAACAACCAGGAAGCCTTGGGTTCATGCTATGTCTGAACTAAGGACCGTGGATTGTTGCTTCCTAAATTGCAATAGCCACAATAAATCAGAAAGTCTGGGTCATCGTTCTGTGCAAACATGCTCATTCTCTTACTCATTCTAATTTTAGATTCATTTTTGCAAGAGAGTTATCCTCAAAACTAATGCCAGCCACTTTGCAACCAGATTCTGTGTTGAATTTTCTCTTAAAGATTATGCAAACTCCACTTTTATAATAGCCTAGAAAGAAATCTGGGGGAACTGTCAAAACAGTTTGAGTTGAGACATCCCACAACTGTTCTTTCCACTTTTTCCATAGGTGTCGCTTCTAGAATACCGCAAGAGGCAACGAGAAGCCAGAAAAAGCGGCTCCAAGGCAGAAAGCTTTCCCCTTCTAACCATATCGCCACACTCTGCTGGTGGAGGAAACAACGGTGGTTCTGCCGACGGGTATAACAGCAGCGAGAACGGGGAGCCAGTTGAGCGGGAGCACACGGCTAGCCTCCCTTTACCATTGCCAGCTACTGATTATAGCACCACTTCAGAAGAAACAGAAAACTCCTCTTCATCGAAAGAAGCTTCAAGCGAGAAGAACGATCCAGAGGTTCAGTGGTAAGCGCCTTCTAAATAAGTTGCTGTTAAAGGGACGCGGGTGGCGCTGTGGGTAAAACCTCAGCGCCTAGGGCTTGCCGATCGCATGGTCGGCGGTTCGAATCCCCGCGGCGGGGTGAGCTCCCGCCTTTCGGTCCCAGCTCCTGCCCACCTAGCAGTTCGAAAGCACCCCTAGGTGCAAGTAGATAAATGGGTACCGCTTTATAGCGGGAAGGTAAACGGCGTTTCTGTGTGCTGCGCTGGTGCCGGCTCGCCAGAGCAGCTTCATCACGCTGGCCACGTGACCCGGAAGTGTCTCCGGACAGCGCTGGCTCCCGGCCTCTTAAGTGAGATGGGCGCACAACCCTAGAGTCGGACACGACTGGCCCGTACGGGCAGGGGTACCTTTACCTTTACCTTTACAAGGAAAAAGAGGACTTTTGAGTAACACAAGTGTTCAGATCCTCAAAATAGGGTGGTGAAATTTCAGACTGATTAAAATTTAACAAGGTGCCCTTCTGCTACCATAAGAAATGTATGCGTCAGCCTTTAAGGGTTTGAGCTCTGTGGGGGCCAACTTCCATACAATTTGTGTAGTGGAATCAGGCAGAACACAAGCCGTGCTTGCAGGGGAAGTGCTTGCTGTGACCTTTCCCCCTTAAAGCACTAATCATAACTACTTTTGAAGGAAGGCTTGGCTGGAAAAGGCTGTATTAGTACGGCACGTTCCTTAGTTCCCATGGATTTGCTAACAGATTAAGAGTACTACAATCTATAAAAATAAAATAACGGATGTGGGTGGCGCTGTGGTCTAAACCAGTGAGCCTCTTGGGCTTGCCAATCGGAAGGTCGGCAGTTCGAATCCGCTCGACGTGTACCATGCAACTAAGTTTTCTCCTGAGCAGTAGGGAGATACATTTTTTTCAATAAAAAATTATCCAGCAAACTAAGACTTCATTCATTTTTGTTTTGAAGGACTGCTTCAACTTCAGTGGAGCAAGTGAGGGAACGAAGTTATCAGCGAGCTTTGCTTCTTAGTGATCATAGGAAAGACAAGGACTCTGGTAAGAAAACATTTGGTTGATCCTGAAAGTGCTCCTTTGAACTTTGAGGAATTTCATGGTTGTGTTTGGTCTGCTTCTGATTGAGCAGGAAGAAATGTAATTACTGGTCACCATCTGATCTTGTATTCATATCATTTTATTAAGAATGCTTCAAGCTTGATTTTTAAAATTCAAACTTGAAAGTTTAATCCATCCAGTCAGACATCTTCATGACCGTTGTATACTTCTGTCTATAGACTTACAGTAATTCTTATTGCAGATCCTGAAAATCCTGAGCCCACAAGTGAATGTCCGTCCCCAGATACTTCTCTGAAGGCTTGCAAGAGTCCTTTAAAAGTGAGCAAGGTACTACTATACAAAATATTTTCACGTTAGTGAATGCACACATACATGGCTTGAATGTCCCTGCTTCTTTCCTGGTCACTATAGCTTAAAACTGATGTTCTGAATTTTGCCTGAATGCAGATATACTCACTGCCAGATGCTGGCAAGAATCCATGTTTGTGAAATTAATTAATATAAGCATTTAAAAGCTTAAAAGTGACTCTTTATCCATCTGTCTCATTGATGCACATCTAAAGGAGGAACAGTAGCTAATCCAGTGAGTAACTACACAATATTGTTTACAAGCCGGGTAGTCACTTGCTTCTGCTGCTATTTATATTAAGCACCACAAGGTCCCATTTTTCTTTAAATTTGATTTCAAAGTTTGTGTTTGTCTGCTATCCTCAGGAGTAAGAAGTGTTGCATTGAACCCTGTAAACCTCACTAGTTGAACAAGCCTGCATTGCGTCCATAGCTCTGAAGATAAGGATATGGATATGCTTTAAACTGAAGTTACATGTTTGTTTTTCTTTTTCCTTCTTGTAGACTTCTTCACCAAGTCCTGTAGCTCCTGTCCAATCCCTTGGGAAAACACCCACAAAACAGGATGCCCAGTGGGAGACTCCAGCAGATGCTCCAGAGGCAGAGAACACAACTCACCCCAAACCTGACCAGCCACAGAAACCGCTGGCAAACAACGCCGAAGCACTTTCAAAGAACCACCAGTCCCAGCCCCATTCGCGCAGCGCAGCAGATCAGCTCTCGCAAAAGCTGCCTTCAGCACCATTGAAGCTACACTGTCCCCCTTCGCCCCAGGTAGAGAACCCTCCCAAACCCTCTACTCCCCACACCCCTGTTCAACACGGCTACCTTTCACCAAAGCCCCCTTCACAACAATTAGGATCGCCATGCAGACCTCATCATCCTCAGTCACCTCAAGTGGGAACACCTCAAAGAGACACTCACCGAAGTTTCTATGCGGCGACGCAAAGCCTTCAGCCTAGCACCCAGCAGCAACCCAGCGCAACGCTGTTTCCCCAAACCTCTTCCGTCTCTTACAGCCAGTTTCACCAACAAAATTTGAACGCGAGCGCCCCGCCTCCTCCCCCACCTCCGCCCCCTTCCTCTACTTACTATCAAAACCAGCAAGCCCCCTCAGGAAACTTTCAAAATTACAGTCAGTTAAAAAGTAGCATAGCCCCCCAACAAACTGTCTTTCCCTCTGGACCAAACCAAGCACTTGCCGGCACAACATGCCAGCAGTCAGTTTCAGGGCACCATGTAACCAGTGGGCATTTTTTGCCATCTCCAAACCCCAGTATTCACCACCAGACTCCAGCTGTCGGGGCTCCGCCGCCGCCCCCGCCGCCGCCCCCTGCTCCGGGACCCCATCTTGTGCAGCAGCAAAGTTCTCAGCAGCAGCACCCCGTGGCCCACGTGGTGGGTCCCGTGCACGCGGTCGCCGTGGCTCCGGGGTCACACATCCATTCTCAAGCTGCCGGTCACCATCTGCCGCCGCCTCCTCCGCCGCCTGGTCCCCTTCCTCACCACCATCCGACTCACCCCACCACAGGTCACCAAGGTTTGCAAGCACAACACCAGCACGTAGTCAATTCGGCTCCGCCGCCTCCTCCGCCGCCGCCACCTGCCACCGTTTTAGGCTCTGGGCATCACACGGCCTCGGCGCAAGGATTGCACCATGCATCTCACCAGGGGCCCCCGCTCTTCCCCTCCAGCGCTCACTCAACAGTCACTTCCTACCCCTCGCAGCCTCATCACACACCTTTGGGACCTGGACCTCAGCATCAGCCTGCTGGGACGGGACCTCATTGCCCACTCCCAGGTCAGGGTCCTCACATCCAGCCTCAAGGACCAAGCAGTATTCCAACACCAACCGCTTCCGGGTTCTGCCCTCATCCTGGCTCTGTATCCCTTCCTCACGGTGTGCAAGGACCTCAGCAGGCATCTCCGGTGCCTGGGCAAATACCTATTCACAGAGCACAGGTGCCACCAACTTTTCAAAACAATTATCATGGGTCAGGGTGGCATTAAAATGGACCCCTTGCTTCTAAACATTTTAAAAATGTTCTGTAAAAAACTGTATATTTCATATGTACCTGTTGAAGGTACTTTTTAAAGCTTGTACATGATACTTTGTATAAAAGCAAACACCAGTGCGCGCACTCTCATTGTATTCTTTCCATTTTTGCTTTTAAAAATTCCTGAAACTGTGCCCTTGAGCCAGTATTAGGTATTTTTTATTTTGTATGTGAACATTCCAGCTGTTCGTTCTGGCAGTAGATTTGATGCTGCGTAACTTTAAATTTTATTGTTGCAGTTAAATTCATTTAGTGAATGTTTTCTATATTTACTTTTTATACATATGTAATTAAAGTACACAGCTAAGTGATGGCACTAACAGGTTTTCCATCTGTCAAACAGTTTTTGTGTGCATATAGATAGAAGATGCAATACAGATTTTTATAGTTTGGTGTGGACATGGCTCTTATTTCAACAGTTCTTTGCAGACATTGTAATTTAATGTATAGATTGTTTCTAATGTCTCTGACAAGTGCTGTAAATACTGTTTCTTTTGCGTGTAAAACTGCTTAATGCTTCTCATTTGATATAGTATTGTACATACGAGTCTTTTGCAAAAGCGTGTGATCTTTGTGGAAGTAGTACAGTATATGAACTTTAATTTTTTTTAATATACTGTCACATTGCAGCACTGGTTGGGCATTTTAATTCATGTTAATAAATCACAATTATGTCAGTTTTAATAATAGTTCCTGATAACTTGCTGTTTAAGAAAAATGATATCGAAACCGTTGTGATAAGTAACATTCTGAGGAACACTAATCCAAGGAGAACCACAATTCCTATAGGAGAGTAGCTTCTCTCTCTACAACAGTCCAAAATCCTGGCCAAACACAATGTTCAGGAATTGGTTAAGTTGCAAGAAGCAAAGAGTAGGAAAAAATGGACAGTTCACCAATTGGAGAGTAGAAAGTGGAGCCCCACAAGGATTGGTACTGGAACCTGTGCTTTCCCAACAATCTAGAGTTGGGAGTGAGCACTGAGGTAGCCAAGTTTGCTGGTGTCATGGAATTGTTCAGGGTTATTTAAAAGAGATTGTGAAGAGCTCCAACAGACCTCTTCAACTCGAGTGGATAGGTGGTAAAATGGCAAATGATAATTCAGTGTAAACAAGTGCAAAGTTATGCATGTTGGGGCAAAAAAATATTAATTTCACATATACACTGATGGGGTGTAAACAGGCAGTGATGGACCAGAAACGAGATCTTGGGGCCATAATAGAGAGCTCAATGCACAGTGGCGAATTTCATGCTAGGGATCATTGGGAAAGGAATCAAAAATTAAATGCTGATACCAAAGTGCCATACTAATCTACAGTAAACCACGTTTGGCATACTGAGTACAGTTGCCATCTCATCTCAAATAGGATATTGTAGAGTTGAACAGGGTTCAGAAAAGGGCAACTCAAACGATCAAGGCGGTTGAGCAACTCCCCTCCGAAGAAAGGTTGCAGCATTTGGGACTTTTTAGTGGAGAGGAAAGACGAGGCAATGTCATAGAAGTTAATAAAATTAGGCATGGCATGGAGAGACAAGTCCCACCCCCACAAAGAAGCTGAACGTGGAAAGATTCACAACAGAAAAATAGTACTTCGTGCAGCACATAGTTGAGCGATGGAACTTGTTCCCATCGGAGGCAGCAAATGGCCATGAACTTAGATGGTTTTGAAAGAGGGTTAGACAAAATCATGGGGAAGGCTATTGATGGCTTGCTCTGCTTCCACATTTGGAGGCAGCAGTGCTTCTGAATACCAGTTGCTGGAAACACTACTCTAGAAAGGGAAACCGCAGGTAGGGAATCCTGCTTGCAGATTTTGAACAGGTATCTGGCAAGCCACCATAAGAACATACTGGACTAGATGGGCCATTGATCTGCCCCAGCAAGCTCTTCATATGCTTAGTACAGGAGGAAGTCTCATCCTGCCAGAGAAGCCATTTATCTAAGCCTCTTGCCCATTCCTACATCTCTAAGAGCCCCATTACCACGCTACGCAAAGGGTCCATCAGCAGCTTGCAACACTACCATATTAACAGTCGGGGCCAATGGCCCAGGGTCATTGCATCTACTGCCATCTCATAGGGCAGTGTGCTGGAAGTGGGTTACTTACAGGAGCAATTGTGACAATGTTAGTATGGGTAGTCAGTTCCATACCTGTTTAACCAGCAGCCCTTTACAAAATAGACTGCCGGCCATTGTTCTCTGTTCCATGTCTCATTGCTGTCAGTACTCTTACGGCAGGCATAGGCAAACTCAGCCCTCCAGATGTTTTGGGACTACAACTCCCACCATCCCTAGCTAACAGGTCCAGTGGCCAGGGATGATGGGAGTTGTAGTCCCAAAACATCTGGAGGGCCGAGTTTGCCTATGCCTGTCTTACAGTCTACTGCAGGTGCGAACCTTTAAGCCTCAAAGATACTGCTGAACTACTCCACACATAATCCCAGGCAATGCATTGGCTGTGTTTGCCGGGGCTGATGGAAGTTGTAGTTCGATATCCGGAGGAACAAAGTTTAACCACATTTGCTCTACCAGAACAAGCACTAACAGGGATACACCATAGAGAGTAATGGGCAAGTTAACAAATAATACACAGATTTCATATACCAGCCACAGTCCAGAGATCCTGATGCTGATAAAATGTAGAACAGAAATAGCTCTCACCCATGATCAGTTCTCAAATGCAGGATGAAGATTTCGTCCCCTCATGTGCTTCAACAGATGAACATGAAAACGCTTCTGAATAAATGCAGGTTATGCAGGCAGATGACTAAAGGCAAGATTTCTTCCTTTTACACAGCAGCCTATAGCGCCCCCAGAAGAGCAGACAGATGTTCATATGGAAAAAATACTGCTTGGCCCAAGATTTAGCAAGTGATAAGCCTTGCAGTTATAAGAATGATTGCAAATTAATAAGAAAAAATACTTTAATGAAGAAGCTGTATGCATTCCAGTTTTACGCTGTAAAATCTGAAGTTACAGTTAACAAGGTGGAACATCCTAATTTCAGAAGCTATGTTCAGTTTCACTTGTTTTATAATTCGGTGAAACGAGCTTGTGATAGCAATAAGCCGATTGTAATTTTTGCCCTTTGCAAGTATTTTAAAATAGCTTTGGAAAAAGTCTGAATAATTAATTCTAAGACCCTGCTTCCAGTATATTAAAATCTCTAAAAGATTTGAACAGATAAGAGGAACTAGGCAACATACAATGTGAGGCATGTGACACTAGCAGCCTTTAAGAAATGAAAATAAAATCTCAATTTAACCCAAGTTCTTTTCCAAAGACATTGGTAAAACACTGATCTATACATTCCTATATTGGATACCTCCTATAATCCTCAGGAGAAGAGTTGTATCTTCTTGACTAAAGGCATTTGCTATACAGAAGGTAATGTCACATGCCCCAGAAATTTAAATATTTTGCACATAAATATCAATGGCAGTACAGCTGTAACTTAAGATGAAACAATATAAAACATCGGCTTTGAAAGGTAAGCAACAGTAAATTACTTCTAGGTGTTTTTTTTGTCCACATATGGATTCAATCCAGTATTAGCCCTGCTAACTCCATGCCCATCAGTCAGTTTTTGTACCACAGAACTGAGTTTTAGAGGCTGCATGGTATTTTTTTCACACTTTACAAAGTTGTCCTTTAGTGAGACAGTGTCATGCACACATGTGCTGTAGGGCTAACATGTTAATGCTGGAAGACACTCTTGCAGCCTCCACCTCCTGGTTTGCGGAGCCCTTTGAAAGAAGAAAAACCGGGAGCAGGAAGTTTGTATAGAAAGGAGTGACGAAGCAGCTGCAAACAGCTGGAAGTGGAAGACTACACAAAATATTTATAATGCTGCAGTATACATCAGTGGTAGCCAAACTCGGCCTTCCAGCTGTTTTGGGACTACAATTCCCATCATCCCTGACCACTGGTCCTGTTAGCTAGGGATGATGGGAGTTGTGGTCCCAAAACAGCTGGCGAGCGAAGTTTGGCCACCACTGGTATACATTATTCACACCTATCACAGCATTAGCTTCGCATCACACTGTCTTTTAGAATGATAGTACTCTTTGGTATGATCATTTAAGGGATTTGAGATTACAGATTTAGAAATGTATTGAACTGTTAACTTCCAATTCAAAAACTCAGTAGGGCAGACTTTGAAATTGATTGTGCGGTCTGGAGCTGATCCCAGTAATGGGCTTGAGGTGGGGCTTACGCTAAAATTCCTTCCAGCTGACCGCAACAATATGAGAGAGGGCAGCTATAGGTTCCAAGTGTGTTTTGGAGTGTAGGGCTCTCACCTATGAGATTATAAGCGAGAGGGGCTGTGCTTGGGGATGTTTTATGCTAAAAAATAAGAGTCAGATTCCGTGTCAAAGATTAATTATGCATCAATGCACATACTGGGAGAAGCAGAATATATTAGGCAAACTAATAATGAGGATATGGAAGAGACTGCAAGCTTAAAAAGTTCCTCTTCCACCCCAGTGTCTACAGGAGCTATGTTATCACCATCCTGTACAGGATGCAAATAGATATGGGGCTGCATACAGTATGTAATGTTAGAGGTTTTGTAAAGCAGCTCTACAATAAATCATTCCTGCTTGCGTCCCATATATGAGCCTAACACTGAAGGAAGTTCAGTTGGTAGAGCATGAGACTCTTAATCTCAGGATTGTGGTTTTAAGCCCCACATTGGGCAAAAAGATTCCCGCATTGTAGGGGTTGGGTTAGATGACGCTTGTGGTCCCTTGCAACAATTCTATGATTAGTCAGTGCTGTTATTTCTGTCAACAGGTCTACAGAGTTGACTTCTCTGATTAGGATTTCTTCCACCTATTGAGAAGAATGTAGGGCTATCAATCTACTTTTAAATTCTGCAGATTTATGTTATATGAAACGGTTAAATTAGACCATTTATTTGAACATCTGCGCACAGCCCTGCCTCTCCTTGTCCTGTAACCTGAAATAATTTAAGAGACTTGCCACAAATGCTTCTTGCAAATGACCTCTGCAATTGAAAGTTGGTTACTCGTGACGCATATACAACTGCTGCATTAAACAAGGCCAGCCTTGTGGACCGCTGCTCTTTGGTTTTGGCACATGTGATTTGGGCAGCGATTTTGCAGTACATGCCTGTTATCTTTTTAGCCTGCTCTTTTCTTCAAAATGAAGCATTTGAAAAGGCAAAGGGGAAAATCTTATGCAGCAGTTGGCACTGGAGGACATTTCCAGGGAATAGATGACTCTAGGGAACCATTTGAATTCACGGCTATCAAAACATTCCAGGGAGCAGCACAGTTCTGGAAAAACAACCACTTTAATAAGACAACTGCAAGCACCTCAAACAATTGGTTATTGTTACAACACGGGGGTATTGTCTCACAATCTAGTTATTGCAAAGGCATGTGAATAAATTTAAAATGGACAAAGTCAAGAAAAAGTGGCACCATAATCAAAGTGTAAAACCAGAAATAAATTTACATTCATTCCACTGACTTCTAAAAGAGGCTAAAATACCCCTCCATATTTTACATTCTAAAATCTGTATTGCCTATGAGTTCTCTTTTGGAATCTACTTAGCTTTTTCGTATGAAAACACTTAAAATTTTGTGTGCAACTTACAAAGGAATATTAGTTCCTCGGTATGTCAATTCATGGGGGGAATAAGCTAGTGCAATTTGTTTTAGAAACATGTAAAGCTATGTATGGAAGGTGCATGGTCTTTCACCGTAATGTAGGTTTTGCATTTATTCTGTCCCTTTTCCTCAAGCGGAGCACCTTTTTTCATCCAATGTTAATAATTCTGCGTGGAAAATGCTGTACATGTGCTCTTCAAATTCTTAAGCCTAGCACAAAAACTATCCTTATGAAAACACAGTGCCAAGTTTCCATGCCCTTACCTCACAACTGTAAAGCAAATGACACTTCTTCTAAAAAGCACTTAGATATATTTTGTCCATTTGTCCTTTGAATTGAAAGTTTTAGCCTTCCTTCAAGATGTCTCCTGGAGAATGGAATCTTGCAAACTAGAGCCACTTCCTTTCCAGGTAAAATGTGGTCACCTCTATAGAAAGGAAAGTTTTTGAAACTCCTGAAGCAGTTTGAAATCCACTACATGCAATTTGTACACTACAAGTCACTCTCGATTTAATAGCTTTACTCTGAAAATTGTGTCCCCGTCCCATTTTTAATGGAAATAAACATTTACAAGGTGCATTTACATACACTATTTTACAAGAACAATGTCCCTTTGCCCAAAGAACTGTATGTTTTTTCTCAATTCTGACTTGATAATGTCTCACACTTGTAAATTATATAATACTCAGCTAAAATATTTTCCATAAATAGTTACAAAACCTGCCAAAACACATGAAGGGAGAATAAAGGATGTTCTGTTGAAAAAGTTGATGTCTGAATGCCACACAACACAAGAAACAATGCTTAAAGACACATTAGTAAGTGTTTTTTTTTTTCTTTCTGCAGAAAGTCTGTAAAACTACTAGCTGAAGACAAAAAGACTACCCTCCTCCCAGGAGCACAGTGCACAAAAAGCAAAATGTCAAACAGTACCTCAAAGCAAAATAAAGATCTGGGTTGAAGCCAGCTCATTTATGATCCTGTTAAGTGAATTTATAACAGTCACCATTTAAGTCTGATGTTAGGGGGGAGCGGGTGCTGGCCCAGCGTGGTATCTGGAGATTTTACTACGAATTCAACCAAGGGTGCCTAAGGCATTCGCCAGCCGAGGCTCTCTTCTCTGGAACCATTTCTAGCATAGGAACCAGAAAATCTGTAAACTCCGCAGCATCTTCCTGAGGCCAGCCGTACTTCTCCACGAGAACATCGAAGAGGCTCCAAGGTTTCAGTTTGGTAATGTGTCGAAGTTCTCCTGTATTTTTATTTTTTTTAAAAAAGAGGTAGGGAGGGAAAGGAAGAAAAATAATTAGATCTGCTGATAACTAGTCTCGATTCTCAGGAAGCACATCCAGGAAGATTTAGCCTGGCCATGGAAATTTTATTCAGTAGGCAACAACAATAAAGAGGCTTTTGCACATATGTTCATTCATTTGGGGTGTTGGGACCATCCTATATACAATTAATCAAGTTAGGTAACGTTTGATCAAAAACATATTTGATACATACACACCTTTGAACGGATTTTTTTTACCCAAACCTGGGAACATGCGAGGACGTTCTTTTTCTTCTGTTGAGGACTGCATTTCCTCAAGGCCATTTTGTGAAATCTGCATTGGGGCAGGACCAAAGCCAGTAATGGGCGGGCTAGGATCCATGACTGTGTGGGACCAGCCCTCTTTTGTCTCTCCCACTCTTCCTGCCTGCCAAGTGGGCTGCTGGGGAAAGGACAGATCGCTCTTGCCAGAAGACTCATCTTATTGAGTGTATGGCTTACGGGGGTTGGACTAAATGACCCTACAATTCTATTATTCCAGGCTTCCTCAACCTCGGCCCTCCAGATGTTTTGAGACTACAATACCCATCATCCCTGATCACTGGTCCTGCTAGCTAGGGCTCATGGGAGTTGTAGGCCAGAAACATCTGGAGGGCTGAGGCTGAGGAAGCCTGGATTATTCTATTGTTTGAAGAGAACTTTTGAAATTAGGCCTAGAGTCAGAAATTGCCTGATCCAGGTGTAAGCTATAGACTTCCAAAAGATCAGGCACTGGAGAACATCAGCTGATTGACAGGCTCCTATGGTTTGGGGAAATGGCCTCGTGGGCCGAAATGGACACCCTGGCAGGCCAAAGGGGGTCCTGCAGTAGGTAACATAGAAAGTCATTAGCAAGTTGGAGGAACAGCTGCGTGCAGAGAGAGTGTGTTATACCTTTCCACGGTGCTTTCAAAAACAAAGAAACCAACCAGAGAATGTGTGCCTTGTAGCAGTGGAGAGGAGGAGCATAAAGCATAAAAATCTAAAAGCAAAAAGATGCACAAAATCAAAGGGCCTTTAGACCAGAGCTGGGGGAGCGTAGCTGAGTTTGCAACTTTTCCGAAATGGCGGGTGGAGGTGTTCTTGTGTGGCAAAGTGCTAAGGCGCCGAGCTTCTAAAGAATTAATTACAATGAAAACTTCCGAGAAGTTACTTGTCTCTAGTGATGTCACAGGCACTGACAAAATTCCCCTGGAACTCACATTCCACCAAGTAGAATACGCAACAGCTGGATGGAAAGGGAATCTGATCTACCAGACACAAAATATTGCTATGTGAACGATAAGGAAGCAATGTCTTGAAAGACAAGGAAACAAGTAACAACAGCACACGTATTGTCAGTCAATAATTTGGTAAGGTCCTGTGTATTCTGTGTATTTCTTCCAGTTTATGTATGTAGGATTCTGTTTAATCAACAATCAAAGATATCAACAATATCAAACTAATTTGAAATGTTTTGTTTCGAATTGAAATGATTTCTGCAGGCACTGAGCATGTCTTAGAGTTGACCTCTCCCCTCTACACATACACCCCACTCCAGGTATATATAAACTGGTAGACTAATCACATTTGTCTGTACTGTATAACAAACTTGTCTTATGCCGTCAGAATTCTTTAGCAAACCTTTTTACTCAGTTAGTAGTCAACCTATCAAGGTGTGAAGTAGGAAACTTGATCAAGGAAGGGAAAGAGGCTGAATCTGAAGAAAGGGACTGGAAGTGGCTGCCGCAAACTGGTTCAAGTCAGCCCTGGGTACCAATGCTCACTACTGTGTGCTATTTAACTAAAGCAGCTGAAGAAGTGAAAAACTAGATTGTTTCGGATTGGTGGTGGGGTAGAGGCTGAATCACTAATATAAACACAGCAGAGGACTGCAGTGGAAGAGCCAAGGAGGCAACAGGATGCGCTCTGGGTTAGAGCATTTGAATGAGTAAGTGCATGGTCTTCAAAATAGATTTTTCTTTATATTATTATTATTATTAATGTAACATTAACTCATTTTATTAAGCTAACAAGTAAGATTTGGTAGGAAATACCAGTGTCATAAAACATATTATTATTATTATTATTATTATTATTATTATTATTATTTATACCCCGCCCACCTGGCTGCATCTCAGGACTCCATTACAGGGAAGGATTCACCACTGGTGTGAAACCTTAACAAAGGACGGGACAAGGTTAAAGGGAGCCAAGCACCATTCCTTAGGTGGCAGGGGCAAATCAAGGCCCTTGAAAAGACAGTATTGTATTGTTGCTCATCTCTTCTTTGACAACAGGTTAAGGAAGTGTAACGAAGAGGACAACCTTTGGGTATACATCCCTCCGGGTACAATTATACAAGGGAACTCGGCAATCTTGGCAATGCGTCATTGTATATAGCATGTTTCAATTACGCAATAAGCTATATCGAAAAGCATTCAAGAAATTTAGTTTGCTGAAAAGGTAAAAGCCACAAGGGGGCAACATGCAACCAGGTTTCTGCCTTCAACTTGTTTCAAGAAAACTACATCTCTTTCATTCTTCTACTTTTCTCTGGAGAAAATGAAGGTCCCATTTACCTAAGTAACAAAGAATACTCTTGGTTGTGGTTCACCTGTTTTTCCACCCTCTTTCTTGGTTCAAATTTCTCTGAGCTACCCATGAAACTCATGAAATGCTTGGTTCAAAGCTGAAACAGCTCTGTTCATAAAACGGATTCATTTCAGAATCATAGAATCACAGAGCTGGAAGAGACCACAAGGGCCATCGAGTCCAACCCCCTGCCAAGCAGGAAACACCGTCAGAGCACTCCTGACATATGGTTGTCAAGCCTCTGCTTAAAGACCTCCAAAGAAGGAGACTCCACCACACTCCTTGGAAGCAAATTCCACTGTCGAACAGCTCTTACTGTTTCAGCAGAGCTTATTCTCGAGGTACGGTATGCCCAGAAGGACATTTGAATTTTGATCTCTATGTATGGCGCATGACCTTGCACAGGCTTCACAACCTCTCCTCTCAACCACCCCTCTCATCCGCCATGTCACTGCAGAATGCAGTGTAACTGAGAGAGAGGAAACACACTGTTGAAGACAGGAAAGGGGGGGTGTTCATCAGAAGCGTTAGCCCCGCACAGTGGCTAAGTGATAAAACTACAAATGAGGAAGCCCCAAACTAAAAGCCTTGCCTTGCCATGAACTCGATAGATCTCATTTCCCCCCACATCAACAATATTGAGATAATCATACTGATTTGCTTTGCAAGAAGAATGTTTTAAGGATTACAACAATATAATCTGCTTCAACACACTTAACAGAGTGTGGCGCTGTGGTCTAAACCACTGAGCCTCTTGGGCTTGCTGATCAGCAGGTCGGAGGTTCAAATCTGCATGACGGGCTGAGCTCCCGTTGCTCTGTCCCAGCTTCTGCCAACCTAGCAGTTTGAAAGCACACCAGTGCAAGTAGATAAATAGGTACCACTGCGGCAGGAAGGTAAACAGGAGTTTCCGTGCGCTCTGGCACTCAAAATGGTGTCCCATTGCACCAGAAGCGGTTTAGTCCTGCTGGCCACATGACCCAGAAAGCTGTCTGTGGACAAATGCCAGCTCCCTCGGCCTGAAGCAAGGTGAGTGCCCTACCCCATAGTCACCTTTGACTGGACTTAACCATCCAGGGGTCCTTTAATTTTTTTTTTACCTTATCTGATAGTGCTGATGCCGGTTTGAAGCGAGAACTACATCCAGGCCTCCCCTTGCCCCTTATGTTCTCAGAATCAAATCAGGCACTGCCTGCTGGCCTAACTGAGCACCCGTTTGAACGTTTACCACATGAATTCTTACACCTCTAGTTTTCACTATGCAACAACCACCTTCCACACAGCTGAATTCTAGAGCAAAGCAATATATGCAAAGCACATCTATGCGCTTTATCATTATATAATGTACAAGTTCCCAGTGGACTGTGCCAAAGATTGCCTTTTATTGTTCAAAGAACTGCCAGAAAGAAATATAAGAAGCACTACAGTTTGATAATAAAAACATTAATTCCCTGAAATTATTCATTCTTCACATGTCCTATGTAATCTGATTTTATGTAGGACACCTACACAACACAGATGTGGAGGACCTGAGAACAGCTAATTCAGCTCAGGGCCATGCATGGGTATCCTTCAAAGGCCTATGCGTTTCTGTAACGGTATTTTGTCACAGCAAACAACTATGATTTTACTTAAAATCTGAGTTGAACAATTTTTGAGAAAAGGCTTTTGAAGTATTTTTACTTCCCTCTCCCATCCTATCAAACAGAGATAGGGTCCTGGCTAGTTGTATTTAATTGCCAAATTCCTAGGCTGAACTTTTGACTCTCCTCTGCTAAACTTCCTCTACTGACTTTTGTACCTCCTGGGCATCAGAACCTCTAAAACCAAAAGCATCCAAATGACAACATAAAACGCAAAAGATGTCAAAATACTTGTTGTTCTTGTGGAAAAGCAACAGCGCTTTGGGCACGGACTTCTCAAATGGTTATATCATTTCTAGATACAGTATTTTCAGGATATGAGCAGAATATATATCTTTTGTGGTTAGAGCTTGAACAATTTATTTATTATTATTTTGACTTGTTACAGCTATTCAAGTATTCAAGGTAAGAAGGCAACAGGGCATCTTAAATATGTTTTCTTTTTGTTTCAGTGATGCTAGGAAACTAAATTCTTTCCTTTATTGATTTCAGATAGAATAAATGGAATACTAAGCAGATATATAAGCCCAATATTTTGGATATTAAACACACCTGATAAAATAAATAAATCTGAATTCCCTGCTCTTCTTAAAAAATGGAGAACATTTACACATCTTCTTTAACATGATGTTTAAAAGGAGCCAGACTCTTCATTACCCATTAAAAAGTGTTCAGTGTCTTCTTTGAAAAGAGCAACAGTTTAAATTAGGGTTGCAGAAATACTGTTACCTTTTTTGGTGAAAAACTCCTTGGAATATTTCCCCAACATAGCGTATTTTCGAGGGATTTTCCCCAGCAGTTCAATGATCAATGCTATGTGATCTGCATTGGAGAACATTTCCAGCAAAACAGAAACATACAACAGTTTAATCAATACATTGCATGCACACACCAATACTGGCCCGGCACAGACAGAAACAGATAAGTCCTTGCTGAAAGAAAGCAGAAATGCTATTCGGTGTGAGGGTGAAAGCTATTCCCTTGTAAGACAATTTAGGGGAAAAGTTCGTTTTGCCAAAAGAAATAAATTACAAGGTGACTGCACTGTTTGTTTTTCGCAAAGTGAAACAAACAATTTGTCAATGCTGCTGCTTTTTTCCAGCATTTGTTTTGCAAATAGAAATTGTTTGCAGTGTCATCTTGCAAAGTGTATGTCAGCTGTACAGGCTACACTGAGCAACTGCCCGTCCACTTCTGTCTGCATCACGGCACCTTTCAAAAAGAAGAGGTACTACCTCTGCGATTGAAGAATTCCCGAGAATATTTTCCAGAAAGAGCAAAGTGCCTTGGGATATTGCCTAGCAGCTCTATGATGTGTGCTATGTGGTCTATGAAGGAGAGAAGAAAGGGCACAGGAATGGGAAGGGCAAGGGGGAGGATGGGGTAAAAAGAGGAGGAAAGAAACTGGAATTAGTTAAAAATTCCAAAAAAAGTTCCGAACACAACAATGTTTGCAGAAAACCCATGCGGAGGTTTCACGGCCAGCAAAAGACTGGCATCGCTCGTAGCACTTTGAAAGGAAAACCAAGTAACTGATGCCAGTGTTGTTACTGCTGCAAAGGACGTTACAAGCAAACAAGCGTGGAAAATGGACAGGTACACAGATGGAAGCCGGAGTTAATTGTAGCTGCTGCCTTGCTTTTCATTTAGTAATCAGCTTTCACAAACAGATACGCGTCAGTTTTGTTTCCAAAATGCTGCAATCGTGTTTCAAAAGTCCCACACTCAGATGCAGATCTTACAAGAGATTAATCCTTTCTTCCAAGGCTTAGGGAAAGGGGCTGTGTCTGCTGCGGGGAGACTGCCCACCTACTGCTACTGGCGGGACTTTAAACTAAAGAGAAAAAATGTGGTGTTTATATTCCGAAATGAGAACATTTCTGTCAGTAGACTACTTGAGCAAATAAACGAAGGCCTCTTTATGTTCTTCTGCGTCTATAAAGAGGTGCAGGGAAATACATAGACGTTAAAAAGATACATACCCTCGTCTCTGGAATAGTCTTCACCAGAATGCGGTTCAAACAGATAATCGCCAGTCGCGAGCTCAAATGCCTACGATAAAACAAGATATTGATGGGAGATCCAGGTGAGACAGCCTCAGACTTATTTCTACAGGTGATAATGATTTTAAATGCACAGAACAGGGAGAGGGGGAATTCCCTTTGAAAAGCAAGTATCTTGCTATATTGTAATCTCCTTCTGGGAGTATCCCTTGCATTAGAATGGAAATATGGACATAACAGCCACTCTGTACTTTTAAGTGATGCAAAGCTCTCCCTAAGACACACACGCCCTCACACACTCACACACTCATTCACTCATGCCCATTGTCTCTGTATAGCAAAAGAACAAAACCAATACTAAAACAACAGAGTCTGGAAAACACTTTGCAGGCTAAGACTATATTTACACAACACTCTTAACTGCGTAATGCTCACTGGGGCAAGGCAGTTTGAGCATATAACACCAATCCTGCCTGACTGCACTGGCTGCCAATCAGTTTCCGGCCACAATTCAAAGTCCTGGTTTTGACCTGAAAAGTCTTAAATGGCTCAGGACCACAATAACTCAAGGATACCTCTCTCTATGTGAACCGTCCTGGACCCTGCGATCATCATCTGAGGCCCTTATTCATGTGCCCCCTCAAAATGTCTGGAGGGTGGCAACACAAAAACGGCCTTTTCTGCGGTGGCTCCGTTTGTGGAATGCTCTCTCCAAGAAAGCTTGCCTGGCTCCTTCGTTACATATCTTTAGATACCAGACAAAAACCATTCTCTTCTCCCAGACCTTTTGCTAATTAAACAATCTGCGTCCTTTTAAACTGTGTTTGAGGGGGTATTATTTTGTTTGTTGCTACGCTAGGTTATGTATTTTTGTGTTTTTATATTGTAAACCTCCCTGTGATCCTTGGATGAAGGGTGGTACATAAATTAACAAATAATAGTAATAATATTAGTATCAAGGAACCAAACAAAAATTGCTATTTTGTGGAAGTTATGAGATTCCTCTGCCACAAACCTTTAGCCCCCTTAAAGTTCCTACAGTTTCTTGGGAGGAACTTACAATTCTATGAGTCTATGAGAGAAAGAAGCACACTTAAACCACCTTAAAAGAAAATAACAACAGCAACTAGAGCAACCATTTTCATTAGGTTACAATTAAGCATTCCTTCTCTTCATTTATTAAAATACCAGAAACCTCCAGAAGTCTCGGGGTCAACATCGTCCTGAGCACAGCCACTGAGACACATGGGCTCTGTGCAGTTACTGTGAAGCAAGGGCTATGCAAAGTATTGGGGACATAAAAACAAGATAGAGACACGAATTCACTATTCAACAGCGTTCTCCCTTTGTGTGGTCATCCCGTTGGCAGACTGGAACTGAACCACACAATTTAGTATCTTCTTTACTGGTGCATGCCTAAACTGTGTTTTGTTTGTAACTTAAAAATAAACAAACAGACCCTACGTGGGTGGTGGTGTTAGCTTATTTAAGTTATCATTCAATTATCTGAAAAATTATTTATGAGCCAAGGCAGATGCACAAATGTAACAGCAAAAATAGCTATGTACGTTATCTTCTCTCTCAATGGCCAATGAATACATTAATGCACCAACGAGAGTCTGAGGGTGGAGCTGCGATTTGCCCTGGCTTCAGCACAAGGAGTCTGAATAAAAACAAGTAATGGAATCACAGTTCTCATTCCCATTCCCAGCAGTGGCACAGGCAAACTACTGGCAGATGTGGCGAATTCCTATACATCATGGATTTCCAGCTGGTGTAATGACATACCTCACAGGACTGTGCAGTCCTTTCCCCAGGGAATCACCTCTTTCCCCTTCTTTCATATGAGCAAAACACAGTTTCATAAAATAACGGGGACTTAGTCAATGACAGTGTAGTTTCTGACACATTCAGCCCAGTTCTGCTTTTTTGTCGCAGCGGTTGCCATTATATTCCTCCCCCACAGGGTGGGGAGAGATCGATGGCCTCTGCTTTGACCACTAAGCAGACAGGGGCTCTCAGTAACATCCACAAGGCGCATACCACATGTACGGAGTAGAAACAGCAGAAGAGATCCAAGTCTGCACATATATCATGACAAACCAATATTACGCGCATTCCCAGTTACCGAACAGGTTTTTGTAACCAGGGCCCGTTCAGGTAAACCATGTTCCTTCTTAAGAGGGTGAGAAATGAACTAGGAGAGACTAAGCAATGCTTGCCACAAATCTCCATCTAGGCATTTTCAATGGCAACACAACCATTCACAAAAATCTAGTGTGCTATATGGATAACATGGCTCCGACTTTGCACAAAAATTGGCATCCATATCACAGCACAGGGCAGCACTGGTAAACAGAAGAGCTTGAGAGTCTGCGGACTGATGTGCTGACTCTTCAGCTATTGTGAAGAACCCTGTCAAAAGAGAAGCTTTCAGAGCATCAGGTCTCTTCACAGTGACGCAGCACACTTCAGAAGAGAGGGAGACTGTAGCCTGATTCCACTCCGTGAGCAAAGGTTAGCCATTGTGTCTATACCTGCCCTATGTCCAACTCACAACACATCTTTTTGTTCTGCAGCAGATGGTGGGCACAAGAGTTTGTCCCTTTGCATTTCTCACTGCATATTTACATAGATTGTTGGATCCCATGCAAGAAGACGAAATAAATTCAACAGCCACTTGTGAATAAGAAACAAAATTTATGCAGGTAAGGCCTAACATAAATGGAAGGCCTTAAGTCTACTCCTAGATCTGTCCAGCCTAACTTAGCACAACTGTAGTTATTTGCCTACCAGACATTACATTTGGGAAACACAGATATGGTAACAAATCCACTTACATAATTTTAGCTGCAACCCTACATTTGTTATAGGTGACACTGAAATCACTGGGAACAGAACAATACATGAAATACAATTTATGCATCATTCTGAACCAAACAAATTGCAGTTTAATTTATACATTTAGCTTTGAAAATATAAGCTTACACTCCAATATAAAGCTATTGCACTGCAAGCCAAGCCAATGTAATTATTTATACCTGCGGACTTGACACTTTTCAGCATAAACCAAGCAAAAACGGAAGAGGGGTTTCAAATGTCATTTGTAATGTGGGCAGGGGAATCCGCTGCACAGCAGACATTTGAAATATTCAGCTGGGCACACCTTAAGTAGCTCTTTAGATCCAGGCCAATGCTTCAGAGCATAACCAGTCAGCAATTCACAATTATGATCACTTGAGCTATTACCATCGTGTCTTTTTCCATTTAACAACTTGCTCAGAAATCCTAATACTCTCGCTGTATTTTCAAATGAGCAGCATAGCAATGAGGCACTGCAATCTCTTTCTTACCATGCATGCCGTACTCCAGATATCAGCCGGTGTGCTGTAACCTGCTCCTATTAAAACCTCTATTGATCTGTACTGCCGTGTCTGGATATCTTCTGTGAAGTGTTTATGCTAAGAACAGAAAAGACAGCAGTGGTAAGAAAACATTAGCATGTAGGTGGTAGACCAAAGAGCAAAGTCTTAAGACACACAAAATAAGTTATACTTACCACCCAGCAAGCATTGCCCAGGTCAGCAATTTTAACTCTAATTTTATCTGCATTTCTTGGATCCAGCGGATTCACCAGTAAGTCGGCAGCACGGGTTTTTGCTATTACAAGCAAAGAAGTAGCAAGAGTTAGTATCAATGGCATGTAATTCAGTTTCCACCTTAATGTGATTCTACTGGGCCTCTTCAGGTACAGCCAAAGTGGCAATTTATGCTATTAAGTGGGAAATAGCCTTGAAGCTCTATCCCACTTGCCATCAATATCTTCAGCTAATTTCTAAAATTTCACTTACGCCTGTACAAAGGAGAATTTCACTGTTTACATCCCATACTTACACAGGGTGGTAACTTGGTATACATTATAATATTAAAGACACTTTCAAAATGGCTAGTAACTTATATAATTTGGCAGAATGAAAACTTGCCTAGAATATCCTCTTCTGTCAACACTTATATTGCTTATCATTTCACACTGTCCCACCCCCCTTACAAAGTAAACCAACACACAGCATTCAAGGGAAAATTTATTAAGCAAAAATCAGGTAAGTGTTAGTCACAGATATAGCACACTAGTATCCTGAAAGTCTGCTGCAGCAGAGCACAGCGTATGAATTGATTTAGGGGAAAGCAATATCCTGTACAAGATATGACATGTTCCTCTTGCCATGCAACTTGTCAGCTATAAATTTTTACTGCAAGGACAAATATTAAGCCCATGTTTCACATTTCTGAAGTATCCATGGAATGAAAAGACACCCTGAAGCAGGAAAAAAAATTTTTTGCAACTCCTGATATTTTAGAAATTCTGAAGAGAGAAGGTAATACTGAATCCATAGGTGGCTCAATGGTAGAGCACGTCATTTGCATGCAAAAGGTCCCAGGTACAATCTCTGGCATCTCCAGAGTAAGACTGGCAAAGACTTGTTATATCTGAAATGCTGGAAAGCTGTTGTCATTTAGTATAGTAGATATTAGCCTGGGTCACATGTAATGCTAAGTCACAGTTTGTTCAACAAACCAGCAGTTAATCACAAGTTGTCCCTTAGACAATCAAGCAAACTATGGCTTGCTTCTTCAAAGTTTGATTCATTTTCAAGCTGCTCTTGCCTCATGCATCTCTAGCTTGGTTAGCTTCTGGAAGAGGATGGCCAAACAAACCATGGGTAAGTAAAGTTCACACATATCACCAAGCCATAGTTCAAACAAACCAATGTTTGTAAGCCAACAGCAAACAATGGCTTCAGATCGTAGTTTGTTGGCAGTTAGCAAACCATAGTTAACATACTGAGCAGTTCACATATAGAACCAAGCAACTGTTTAATCTCTAGCTTGGTTAGCTTCTGGAAGAGGATGGCCAAACAAACCATGGGTAAGTAAAGTTCACACATATCACCAAGCCATAGTTCAAACAAACCAATGTTTGTAAGCCAACAGCAAACAATGGCTTCAGATCATAGTTTGTTGGCAGTTAGCAAACCATAGTTAAGATACTGAGCAGTTCACATATAGAACCAAGCAACTGTTTAATAACTACATTGTATGCAAACTAAGGCAATATATAAAGAAGAAGAGAGTGAGAAGGATTTCTTTGTTTTTCCTCTCCCTTTGCCATCTAAGTTTAGGATAACCAACTGGTAACCCAAGAGATGTATGGGACCTCTGTCAGGCCCTTACCATGCAGGTGTTCCTCTCAGTAAAATTATTGTGCAACTGGGGCAAAACTCTTAAGGAGAAAGGACAGTAATGTAATAGCTTGGGATGGAGCTTACAGAAAGGGAACTTTAGTTTCTGATCATCTTAGCCAAGGAGAATCTGGTGATCCCTGGTGTGGTGATCCCTGGTCCCTGAACAAAACTTGAGTTTTAAATTTCTAAACTTACAATGTTGATCTGTCTTACCCTTGCTGAGCAACTACTTCTGAGTGGGATTCTTCTATCACCTAACACTAGATCAACTGTTCCCTGATTATTCTAATTCTCATAATTCATCAATCTGATGATATCTATTTTCAGAATCTGTTTGCTCACTGACAATTATTATCAGTGGCTGCAAAACCCGACTACATTCCACACCCACACATGTGTGTAATCATTATTCACAAACTTTCAGCTACTGTCAACGCCCACATACACCTTTCAAGCAAAGCTTGTTAAGACAAAATCCAAACAAGCTCTAAAACCTCCCCAGTTATCAGCTATTCATACAAAACTATTCATAACGCAGAACTGATCCTACCAGGCTGCCAGTCCTAAATCTGAATGCATTTACTACTAAGTGGATGGGTTTCTGGACAATTGAGGGGGGAGGGGTATGCTTTCTCGTTTATGTCCTTTTTCAATCCTGGCAAAGGAAGGGAGTTTTAAACTCCATGGTACATCTCCCAGTCCCAACCTCCTGTTCAAGAATCTTGACCATAAGTGGCTAGAGCTGCCTTTATCAACCTCAGGTCCCCAGATTTCTGGAACTACAACTCCCATCATCCCTGACCACTGGCTATGCTGCCTAGGAATGATGGGAGTTGTAATCCAACAACATCTAGGGACCCAAGGTTGAGAAAGGCTGGGTTAGATGCTTGATAGGGCAAATTCCTTCTCCCCCCTCTCTTTTTTTTCTTTTCCCCACCTCATGAGATATCCTTTAAATTTGGTGAAATTACAAACATTCTGAAAATTGCCTAACAAATGCAAACACAATCCTTTACCTCATTATCAAGAACAGATAGTGTGCTTATCATAGGCTTAACTATCACCAGAGCTGTACCAGAATTTTGTGTACTGGTAGGGCCCTATTGTGGCCCAAGTGTTTACAGTAATTAAGAACACAAGTTTAATATCAAAAGGTATGAACTTGAATATTATTTGCCCGATTTTAAAAACAACAGTAAAAATAATCCTAAAAATTACCAGCAGATCAGTTTTACAGATGTGTCACAAAAATTGTATGAAAACTTCCTTCTCCCAAAATCCCTAATCTCCATATTACAAGTTGGGACAAGTGCTGTGGGTGAAAGAGTAGCTTTCAACAATCTATTCCATTGTTAATACTGAAAGTTAGAGATGGATTTGAAGCTAATTTGACCTTGCCGCCCAAAATCTCCTGTACAAAACATCTCTGAAGTAACAACAAATAATAATCTACACTTCCAGTCCAACTCCAGTATCTAACCTGCCTGCAGAAACTTTGTGCTCCATTGAATTGCATGTAGCTGTACTGCAATTTAAAATATTTGAGCACTTTTAAAACCACATTTTTATATGTTATAGGACTCCAGTTAGAAAATGCATGAACTGGTCTCTATGCTGCTATCTCCTATGTCTGGGTTTTCCTACATTTTTCCATTGTTGTCTACAGGCGGCTCTCACTTCCATACCACAGTTGATAGAATGGGTTCTAAAGAACCCATCTCCATCTCTGTCTCCTGGATGAGAATGCATGACAATGACGACAGCACTCTAAACCAAAGCCATTACATATTGGATCACTGGCTATCTCATCTTTCTTTAAAGTGTCAGTCACTTGAATAAAAACAAGTTTCATGCTCAAGACAAGATTCTGAGTAGCTTCCCTTTTACCATCAGGTTACACAAAGTCCAAACAAAGACCACATATTATGCACTTTTTGCAAATGTCAACCATTGTTTTTAAAAAAACACCTTATTAATTCAGGATATCTGCTAAGCTCACATTAACAAACACATAAATATGAAGTTGCAGTACAAATGTACTTGATGATATGCCCTCCATTAGCACCGTGCTGATTTGAGGCAACAGTGGCTTACAAGGCTGGAGTTTATAATTCTTCAAGTGTTTTGAATGAATGAAATGCTTGACTGTTGAAGACCGTGCCACCCTTTTCTTCCGGCTTCTTGTATCTCACCAAGTATCCTTAATCTCTTTTTTGGGGAGGCCGACTATGAAAGCAGCGGTGCAACACTATGATCTGGGCTACCAGAGCAGTTTCAATCCCACGAAGAGGCTCAGCTGTACAAGAATATGAAGACATGGAGTGACTAGTGTTCTCATTAGGGCTATCCATTCCTCGCATCTCCAAAATTAAAGCTGCAAAATGCTGGGAGGTACTTTGCCAAAGACGTGTATCATCTGATCCAAGAAAGATTGGTGGAATGTAAACCAAGTCCCCAGGTCCTTAAACATTGAGATAAACTATGCTGCTGCTTTATTCATTTTGGCTATCCATGTTCCAGGTCTCCTTCTACTTTTATTCTCTTCCTTTGTTTGACCAACGGTTCTCAACACTCCTCCTTGGGTTGCTAGTGAAACTTGTTTATTCCATGGTAGAGGACTTCTGTCAATTCCTAGCTAGCTCACTGCAGTTCTCATGCCAGCCCAGGCGCCTCTTTTTTACATACAGCTAATATCCTTTGAACAACCTGTTGAGCCATGTAGGAGGGAAAAGAAAAAGGAAAACGGCATGTGTTAGATGTAATGAAGATAGTTATTGGGACATCTTTAAAGCATTCTTCTTCCCCCACCATCCTTTTCCAGCCCAATTATTTTTAAACAAAGCACAGCACACATTCAAGAGCGCTCCTACATGACTAACAAAGCTCAAAGGTAAACTCATCCCAGCTCTGGCCACAGAAAACAGCTCTATTGTCTCTTATTCAGAGTGGTACTCATTACGTACCACTCTGAATAAGGATCTAGGAGTCTTGGTTGACCACAAACTTGACATGAGCCAACAGTGTGACGCGGCAGCTAAAAAAGCCAAGGCAATTCTGGGCTGCATCAATAGGAGTATAGCATCTAGATCAGGGAAGTAATAGTGCCACTGTATTCTGCTCTGGTCAGACCTCACCTGGAGTACTGTGTCCAGTTCTGGGCACCACAGTTCAAGAAGGACACTGACAAACTGGAACGTGTCCAGAGGAGGGCAACCAAAATGGTCAAAGGCCTGGAAATGATGCCTTATGAGGAACGGCTAAGGGAGCTGGGCATGTTTAGCCTGGAGAAGAGGAGGTTAAGGGGTGATATGATAGCCATGTTCAAATATATAAAAGGATGTCACATAGAGGAGGGAGAAAGGTTGTTTTCTGCTGCTCCAGAGAAGCGGACACGGAGCAATGGATCCAAACTACAAGAAAGAAGATTCCACCTAAACATTAGGAAGAACTTCCTGACAGTAAGAGCTGTTCGACAGTGGAATTTGCTGCCAAGGAGTGTGGTGGAGTCTCCTTCTTTGGAGGTCTTTAAGCAGAGGTTTGACAACCATATGTCAGGGGTGCTCTGATGGTGTTTCCTGCTTGGCAGGGGGTTGGACTCGATGGCCCTTGTGGTCTCTTCCAACTCTATGATTCTACGTTTATTCAAACTCTGAGGGGGGAATATTTAATAGCTCCCCAAGCAATCGTTTTTAGCAACATCTCCACTTCCCCAATGAAATCCCCTTCCCAGTCAAAGACCCTAGCCTTCAAAAAGTATAATACTACCAAACAGGAACTGAAATTGTTGAAAAACAAGATCTTACCTAGAATTCCTGCTGGAGTGCAGATTTGAGTCAGTACTTGGGATTAGGCTGGCTTGATTATCCAAGACTATGTTGCTCATTTATCTGTGTCAGGGTCAATTATAGGGACATTAGCAGACAAATGTACATCCTTGTCCCGAGTACTAGATAAATGTAGGGATCAACAGAAGAGGTAGGCACACTGGTTGCCTTTTTAAATCACTGGAACAACTGTTTACGTTTCTTACAATGTTTTCACTACTTCGAATCCTTTTATTTTGTAATTGTAGACTGGAAGTGAGTATTTAAAAAGTGGGGACATTATCCATCCAGCATGAGGCATCAAGGTGCAGCTAAGATACTCTTTGCTAGGAAGACTATAACTGTCAAGCACTGAGGTTGCAAATTAAGCATATGGACTTCCCTGTGTCCAGAACTCTTTTTCAAGCTTTGGGACTGGAATCGTGGCTCTGAATTCTCTGTAGGAGTGGAGGGACACAAAAAATTATTTCCTCCTATCCCCAAAAAAGCAACCACATAAGCACTTACATCCAGAAGAGCGTGCAAATCACAAGGCAAGCCTTTTGGAAATTCCTGGAGTGTCTTGTTGTGTTGCACAGCTTGATATTTCACTCAAAGATTCTTAGCCTTCTGCTGGGATTGTCTGGTAATCTGGCAAACATCCTGCTTCTCAGCATTTCAGATATTTTTTGAATGGGATTTCTTTTTGGAAATCAAGGTGCATAGATAACTGTATGTCTCCAATTAGCACTAAGGGTTCCGACGTCCACATCTGACCACTTCTGTTGCCCAGCAATGCTCGCTTTACTGCCTCCAATTTTTTATTTTTATTTTTTTAAAAATACTGTTTCTTTAGCATGGTTCCAATATCTAACACTGGCGAAACTTGTCAGGATTAGGACAGAAATAAACAACAAGGAGAAAATAAACAGCCTAAAATGCAGATCCTTGTCTTAAAATAGCTGTGAACCAGAATTACAGATGGCATGTTTTTCCAGTGGTAAAAGAGGGGACTCTCAAAACAACAAAACCTTGCCTTAGAAGAGCCTGAAAAGCAGCAAAATCAATTAACATCATGGGAGACCAGCACAAGCAAAGCTTATTGTCTGACATATTCTCAAACGCTAAGATGGGATCCAAACAAAGAGCTACTTTAGGCATGCCCAAGAGCTTGGAAAAGCCCAGTGAGATTCGTTTACTTTTTTATTATTTCCACAGCAGGCCCTCACATCATGTCTTTTGCTTCTCGATGCCCCCTCCATTATTTGCCACATGACTTGGTAGGTTGTTTAAGAAATACAAGCCCAAAAGGCAGCCCAGGTACACAGGAAACAAATGGTTTTGTGGCTCCCAGGCTTAACAAGCAGTGCTGTGCTAATAAGAGAGCAACTCACTTCTAAAAATGGCAAAAGAACAGTTATGTAATGCAAAGTTCAACAATATGCACACAGAAATATTTTTAAGACCACGTGTTTTCTACTCTCTCCCTCTCGTTTTACAGTGAATAAATATCTGCCAAGTACAGCAATGCAAAAATTAAAAATGGGTAACGCTTTAGATAAACGGTCACAAATTTCTGAAACCAAAACACTTACTTTTTGGCAAGTCTCCAGTACTGGATGCTGAAACTGTCCTGCTCCTATCATGAGATGGAGTACTTCCGTCTCTTTCAGTTACAGCTGATTCTTCAGAAACAGCTGAACCACAAGCTACAGAATCTAAAGCTCCAGAGAATACGGAAGCCGAGAATTCAGAAAACTGTGACTCAGAAATTTTATGACGTCCATTTGGCAATTCACCATTAAATTGTTCGTAGGAGCTACTATAGCTGTAATCATTTTTTGCATGTGGCTCATCAAGATTATATTGCTCAGTATTTGGGCATTCCTCCTCTTCATCATCTTCATCTTCAATCTGTTCTTCCAGCAAGAAAGGACCATTTATAACGTGGCCATTTGTTTTGGGGGATTCTATCCAAGTGGGATCTGTAGATTCTGAGTTGACAAGTTCTTGTTCAACATCATCGTCTTTCTCTGTGTTTTCTTTTTCTGTATCTTCCTTTTCATCCTGATCTTCCGTTTCACCTTAGGGATTAAAATATATAAAGACTAGATTACACTTTCTCTCAGAAAATTATGACCTCTTAAAACCAAGTGGGGTAAGTATTATGAAGTATCATTTGAATTTTCAGTTTCAGTACATGTTATGTAACAATACTATTTCATCTGAGTTAGCAAAGGCAAAGTAAAGGACTGCATAAATTTATGCTTATATAAGTAAAGCAGATAGTCTTCTATAGCTTTTGCCTGGAGGGGTGCTATTACCTTGGGAAAAACTTTTTTATATCAGTGGCTGGTTACTTCTACAGTTGCCCTCGCCAACAAAGATGTCTCTTCAGCATTTTATTTTGGCACCACTCTGAACAAAACTTAGTGTGCTAAGCCGGTGGTGCACCATAATAGTAATGGCACTTATTGATTTCCATGTTCCTTACGCCCTCCGTATCAAAAAGCACCCTCCACTTGCAGAATGGAATTGGGGGTCTGCTCTTTGCAGAAAAGACATGCAAAGCCTTTTGCAGCTCATGGAATGAGTTTCGTGGTTCTTTGGCTCTGACCGATGCCTTTATAACAGCAGCCTATAAAACAGATGGTGCTCAGAGCATCGTTGCAACAGCATCTCTGGACACACTGCATCTTTTATATCAAAATTTAAGAAGACCCAACACTTACCATCCTCATTCCCAAGTTCTTCATCTGCTACCTCCTCTAACTCAACAGTTTTTAGCTTGACTTCTGGATGGTATTCATCCTCTTGTTCATTGGACGATACAGTAGATGTTACATTTTCTTCTATTTTTTTTCTTTCGGCTTCTCGCTCCAGTTCCTCTATTTCCTGCAAGCGCTTTTCTAGTAGCTCAGCCTGTCTCTTTTGCTTTTTTTTCAATTTCTTCTTTTTGTTTTTAGATATTTTTCCAATCTAAGAAATTTAACATAACATTGCCATTTATTGATCCTTATAGCCATCCAATGTGAAGGTTAGGTTACCCTATAAAGTCTGGCATCTGTGAACTGAGAACACTAATGCATAGTACTGCACAACTGACTTTCTATAAAATTGAAACTCAAGAGCCAGTTCAGAGGATAAAGTAGCCTCAAGCTATAATTACTTTGCTGACATAAGATATACAAGCTGAATAGAGGGCCCCCATTATTTCTCACTATATAAACCATTGCAAGCACAGCATACCTATCTTTTAGGCTACAAATGGAACATACTGCCATCTGCACTAGACAAGTTAGTTATTGGGTGCAATTAAATGTGCTAGGATTATCCTTTAAACCCCCAATGAAAAGTTTATAGCATGTAAAACACTTATAAACATTTTAAAGTAGTATATAGGTAAAGGTAAAGGTAAAGGGACCCCTGACCATTAGGTCCAGTCGTGACCGACTCTGGGGTTGCGGCGCTCATCTCGCTTTGTTGGCCGAGGGAGCCGGCGTACAGCTTCCGGGTCATGTGGCCAGCATGACTAAGCCGCTTCTGGTGAACCAGAGCAGTGCACGGAAACGCCGTTTACCTTCCCACCGGAGCGGTACCTATTTATCTACTTGCACTTTGTCGTGCTTTCGAACTGCTAGGTTGGCAGGAGCAGGGGCCGAGCAATGGGAGCTCACCCCGTTGCGGGGATTCGAACCGCCGACCTTCTGATCGGCAAGTCCTAGGCTCTGTGGTTTAACCCACAGCGCCACCCGCGTCCCTTAAAGTAGTATATACATCTTGCTAAATAACTGGTTTGGGGCCTGACCATCTGAAGGATTGCTTCCTCCCTGCCCAGTCCCTAAAGTTCACTTTCAGGGGCTCTTCGCTAGGCGCCCCCACTAAATGAAGTGAGGCAGGTGACGACTGTACTTTATTTTATCATTAAAAAACCCCCTATGGTTATAGCTTAAACAAGTGAGGTTTAGAAACCATGGTTTGAACTTGGCTTCTTTTAAACTAAACATAATTAAAGTCTTCCTTCGTTTGTCAGTTTGGATGGAATGGCAACCCACATGGTAAAGCAGAAGCAAACAAGAACACTTCAGAACTCCTCCTCCCAGCTATGCAGGAGGAAAAGGTAATGCAAGATTAATTTAGACAAAAGATCCTATTTATAAACCAAAACTGTAGTTAAATAAGGATCATGGATGAAATTGAAAATGCTAACAATTTTAACTTTCAACTCTTTAAACAGGAGCCCTGAATACTCAAGAAGAATAACACAAGACTACTTACGGGTTTTTGCTGAGGGGCAGTACTCACTAAAAAAGAAAAGAAAAGAAAAGAGGAAAGAAAGAAAACACTTAAGAGTCAAATTTATGAAGTGATATGTGTAAATTCTGTGCAATAATCAGAAACATCTTCTAATGAGAGGCTGATGGTCGGGTACTACCTTAGATCATCTTTATCCAACCTAAAATGTCTAGAGGAGGAGGAGGAGGAGGAGGAGGAGGAGGAGGAGGAGGAGGAGGAGGAGGAGGAGGAGGAGGAGAAGAAGAAGAAGAAGAAGAAGAAGAAGAAGAAGAAGAAGAAGAAAAATCTGCACAATTTCTGTGAGACTCTACAACCTTGTTAGGGCCAGTGAATGGGTTTTAGGTTTTAAGCCCAAAGAAAGTTCTTCATCATGAACTAACAAAAGATGAAAAATATTGAAATATTACTCTTTTCCAACCTTACAATGTTAAATTATTTGCTTGTAAGTAATCCAGTTCCTAGTTCATCCATTTTACTGATACAGACTATAAAAACCTTTCAAAATTCTAATACTACCAAAGACCACATAAAAGAAACATGGAAACAATGCACAGTGGTACCTCTGGTTATGGATGGGATCCGTTCCGGAGGCCCTCCGTATCCCGAAAAGTCTGTAAACAGAGGCGCCCTTCTGCGCACACACACAGTGTGCAGATCGCTTCTGCACATGCGCGCAGCAGGCAGGTCGTTTCTGCGCATGCGGCGAAACCCGGAAGTATACACTTCCGGGTTTGCTGTGTTCGCAACCCAAAGATTGCATATCCAGAGGGATACATAACCTGAGGTACCACTGTAGTATTAAAATATTCCACTTACAAACCAGTCAAAGCTAAATTTTGGGGGCTTCAGTTTAGTAAATAAGTAGTAAAGGTAAAGGGTCCCCTGCCGGTTAGGTCCAGTCGCGGATGACTCTGGGGTTGCAGCGCTCATCTCGCTTTACTGGCCGAGGGAGCTGGCATAAAGCTTCTGGGTCATGTGACCAGCATGACTAAGCCACTTCTGGCAAACCAGAGCAGCACACGGAAATGCCCTTTACCTTCCCGCAGGAGTGGTACCTATTTATCTACTTGCACTTTGACATGCTTTCGAACTGGTAGGTTGGCAGAAGCAGGGACCGAGCAACGGGAGCTCACCCCGTTGCGGGGCTTCAAACCGCCAACCTTCCAATCGGCAAGCCCTAGGGTCTGTGGTTTAGACCACAGCGCCACCAGTAGACATTAAAGGGCTGCACACAGCCTGACATTACACTTAGATGTTACAGAATGCATGCCTTTTCTGAGAGACTACCACCTCCACGTGATACATTCATTATAATGTATTAAGTGTGAGGAGTTAATATGGTCCACAGTATGAGATGGCCATTACAAGGTGGCACTGACAAACTGACAAATTGCTTATTCTTTTTTTAGTATAACTGATTGATGTCCTGAATAATACACAAAATAGTAAGAAAACCAGTACTGCTTGTTCAGCTTATTTAATTAAGACTTCATGCATTTCAGACAGGACTGAACCCAGTTTCACAGCTCAAAGGCAATGAAATCTAAGGGACTTATTTGGTGTCTCGTTTGCATGTAGCTATATATATATATATATATATGCGTGCATATCGCTCTCTGCACATATAAGAAATCCCCTTCATGTATGAGGAAGTGGGATACAGAGGGCAATGTCTTTAAAAATGTTTCACTATATAAAAGTGCACACCTAAAACACAGTTTAAAACTTAAAACTGGGGAAATGTTCCAGATCATGTTAGCTCATATGAATGTTGCATTAACAGCAGGAAACCAGTATAAATAAAGCTTGTAATTAAGGTTTTTCTGCCTACCAAAAATGCAGAAGTATATGAAGAATTGCAGCACTCGGATTGTTTTGCTACATTAAAATGAACACTTCTTATACATTATTCATATGCTAATAACATTCTTAAACATTCAAATTAACCACGTTTAAATTTACTCTTCCCATTAACTAAAACTAATTAAATGTTGCTGTGGCAAGTATGCGATCTGTTTTTACTTACTGAGCGTTTAAAAGTACGGCCGTACCTGCAGAGCCAGAAGGAGGAGGAGCCCCTGCTTTCTGCCACTCCGTTGCTTCCGCAGCCATTCGACGCACATAGGTGTCATCCACACACATCAAGATGTTCTCTGGCTTGATGTCTGTATGGATGATCTTGCACTTGCTGTGGAGGTAATCTAGACCCTGCAGTACCTGGTTTGCAGACCAATAAAAGGAAGAATAATTTCATTACAATGAAAGTTTCCTCCACTCATTGCGTCACAAGAACTCAAAAGGCTACATTTGGACATCACTTTAAAATACATACATACTTGGGAAGAGAAATGACTAATCTAGTTCACAGAACTTCAGTTCCCATCATCCCTGACCACTGGCCTTGCTAGCTATACCCCTTTGTTGGATTATGCACATAAACTATGACTAAAATATTCTTAATAAAAATATTAGGGCACCTTTTTCTTCTTTCAATCAGATGACGTATGTTTTAGTAAAATAACTGGCACTTTTTCAGAAACTAACTTCTTGTGGAAAAAGCATTTTTCACTTCAGCTACGTGCTGTTAAGTGATGAGATGAAATGCACATAGGATATATTTTAAAGCAATTGCTACTTAAATTGTTCAGACTTAAACAATTTAATCAAGCAAGTAATTGAAGACATCACATGCAATAGCAGTTTTAGAGAGATTTCTAAAAAAATGTAGTCCTATCAGACTGGGTAGTTATCAATTTTGCAAGCAGAACTGAAGTATTAGCACATTTGTAGCTTTGTTGCATTAAACATCTTACCTGTCGAATTATACTTTTCACACAACGGATAGGAAGGCCCTGGTAGTTGGACTTAATTATCCATTTTAAAAGATGATGTCCAAGTACTTCAAAAACCATACAGACATCTGAGATTCAATTAAGGATAAATCGTAAGTAATTTAATGACTTTCTAACCATCCTTACAAGCCCACCACACAAGAAAATATTTCACATTTCAACTGAGAACATTATCCTTTGTTCTTGTGTAACGTAAGTTTTCCAAGAATATATTTCAAGCATTTTGGTTTCCATCTTCTACTAGCAACTGGGGCATATCCTATGGTCTCACCAATCCATAGATGGATGGGCTATGCATACATAAAGCAGTTGAATCAGATAATCAGCATATCCAGTTTTGACAGAGCCTATTTTGGGATCTTCCCTACCCTCTGTTTCAGAGTATGGTAGGCAATGGTCTAGTGTAACACTGAACTGTCCTGGAGAAATGAAAGGGGTATGTGTGGGAATGTTCAGTTCCAACCACTTTTCCTTAATCCCGGTTTACATTATGTCTTTACTGACCTTGTACATATTTTAGCAGTAGTCAGTCATTCCACTTTGAACCCAACAGAAAAACCAAATCAATGTAAGCCTGCTAACTCATTCTCAAAAGAGACCCACTAAAATTAAGCAGGTCATAGATACAGTGGTGCCCCGCAAGACGAATGCCTTGCAAGACGAAAAACTCGCTAGACGAAAGGGTTTTCCGTTTTTTGAGTCGTTCTGCAAGACGAATTTCCCTATGGGCTTGCTTCGCAAGACGAAATGTCTTGCGAGTTTGTTTCCTTTTTCTTAAAGCCGCTAAGCCGTTAATAGCCGCTAAGCCGTTAATAGCCGCTAAGCCGCTAATAGCCGTGCTTCGCAAGACGAAGAAACCGCAAGACGAAGAGACTCGCGGAACGGATTAATTTCGTCTTGCGAGGCACCACTGTACCTGACCATTAACTTCAATGGGTCTACTCTTTTATAGCTAATTTTAACATGGAACTGCAACAGCAAAACAGAGAAGCCCAGAAGATTTTTGGGTTGTAGTCAACTTTTTTACTTATTAAAATAATGTGTTGGCCATTTTTACAGAGCGGAAGGAAAATTTATTTAATAAGAATTTCACAGAGTCAACATTGTCAGAAGAAGCCAAATATCCTAGACTAGAGTTTGAACTTATGTTCAGATCATAACCTGAAATATGTTTTTTTTAAAATCCAAACCAACAAAAATATACAGATAACTTACTATAAAAGCAACAGAAAGAACAGGTATGCCTTCATTAAAAAAAAAACCCATAAAGATAACAGCTTACAGGTTTATAAACAAACATGAAGCACCTCTCAAATACACATTGTTTTCAAGTCTACCACAGCAGCTCATTCTAAATATCCATATAATATTTTCAGTATTTCCTTCACTGTTATGCACTAATAATAACAACAATATTTCTGGGTTGGATCCAGACTTGCACTCAGCTAAGTTCCATTAGTGCTGGAGGAATGAGGCAGGGTGAGATTTTTGCCAATTCCCACTTCTCATTGGAATAAAAAATAATTGAAGATACCCATTTCCTACAGTTCAAAGGCTGTGTTGAATAAGAATCCCCTATGTGAATGGAAGAAGCCCTTCCATTTGCAGAATATTATGTCTGGAGCCAACCCAATGTCTTAAAAAATTACCTGCTAGCCTAGTGTTTTACTTGAAAAAGCATAAAGGTTTTCCTGTCTTTTAAAATCAAGACACTGGGCAATCAGCAAGAAAAAAAAAAGATACGTATGCCATTCATGCCAGAAATTTTGAAGTCATCAATTAATTGTACAACCATGTCTTTATTTGGATCACTAGGGTCACTTTCACGAACCTAAAAAGAGAAATGAAACAAGTCACTTAAATTAAAACTACCGTTTGAAAAAAAAACTGTAAAGTTATTTTTAAAGATACTGCAGCTAAAAAATATTACATGGTAACTGCAATTTTACTTACTATGTTTGTTTTACAGAATCACAAAATTAAACACACACACAAAGAAGCAATTTCATTTACACTCAGTCACTAAGCTTGGGAGTGTTATCATAATACTTACACATTTAAGTAACTTTATTTCATCCAAGGCTGTCTCTGTATAATGTTGAGCACTTTTCACAACTTTCATTGCAACAAACCTTTTCCCCCTTTAAAACAGGAAGTAAACAAGCTATCAGAGCCAATACTTTTTTTCCTATTTAAGACAGACATCCAATGCCCTACTGGAGAATAAGTACAACTTTAAAACAATTTGTGGCAAATTTCAATAATATTCAGGTAAGTGAATGATAAATTTAACCTTTTTCTCAATTATTATTTTTCAAACAGTTAGAGAGCAATGTCTCTTAAGGGTTATTAAAGACACATTTGACTCAAGGCAAAGACAGCATTAATATCCCTATACAATGGTACTTATGTAGGAGATAGACTAGAAACATTTATATAACCTCAGCTAGACTCCAACCCATTAGTTATTCAAAATAAATCAAAGCCACCATTTACATGAATTAGAACAGGGGTAGCCAACCTGGTGCTCTCTAGATGGGATAACTCAGTTGGTAAAACATGAGACTCTTAATCTCAGGGTCATGGGTTTGAGCCACACACTGGGCAAATGTCCCTGGATTGGAAGGGGTTGGACTAGATGTCCTTTGTGGTCCCTTCCAACTCTACAATTCTATGGTTCTATGATTCCTATCATCCTCGACCAATAGCCACACTTGTTATTGCTGGTGGGAACTGTAGTCTAAAACATCTGGGGAGCACCAGGTTGGCTACCCCTGCTTTAGAGAGCTAACATGCAAAGGAGGAAAGTTGTTGTTTCTTACTGCATATCCCAGCATAGCCAGACTGTAGAGAAGTGTCCCCATCCTAATTTCCTGATAACATGATACCGACCATTGAAAAGATCTCCAATTTTCACTGGATGATAGCCACCTTTCAAAAAAGAGTGGGGGGTGGGAGGCAAAATTAGCATTAATTTGATTACCTATACAACAGTGTCTTAGCATTTCCAAGTAGCTTTAAGCTGTACAGTGGTACCTTGGGTTACATACGCTTCAGGTTACAGACTCCGCTAACCCAGAAATAGTACCTCGGGTTAAGAACTTTACTTCAGGATGAGAACAGAAATCGTGCCGCCGCCACGCGGCAGCAGCAGGAGGCCCCATTAGCTAAAGTGGTGCTTCAGGTTAAGAACAGTTTCAGGTTAAGAATGGACCTCCGGAACGAATTAAGTATGTAACCAGAGGTACCACTGTAATCCTAAACGTACTTACAAGATGTAGTGTCCAATATGGCAATTAACAGGCCCGTTAGTAGGCCCATTACAATGAATAAACATGACTAAGTTAGGTCCATTCATTTCAATAGGTTTAATTTCAGTAAAACTTTGCTGAATACCATCCTAATGAGCAAGTCTCACTGAACTTGATTTCAAGTAAACATGTATATGATTGCACTGTCAAACTTGTTCTTCAACTTTAGAAAAAATATCAGATATGTCAGGAAGTTGCTTGTATAGTTCAATCTATATTTGCTTCTATAGAAAGACGTCAAAAACAAGAAAATCCTGTTGGAACCAGGAAATTAATAGGAGTGTGAACTCAGTTTCAACTAAGAGTATTGTGTTCAGACCAATGTTCCAGTTTAAAGCTGCATTTAAACCTGATTTTCTTCCCCTACAACTGGGATGAACAATTTTATCAGGGTCCAAACAGTGGTCCAGAAATTAATTATGTGCAGGCGTCATAATAAATCTGGCACCATCTAAGAGCACTAGGCTTCCCAAGTCTGAATCACATGCTCCCAAGCATTGCATTACATACAGGAATTCTGATTGACATATTGCACTCACAAGGTTTATAATATTAATGTATGGAATCTCTCATTATATATTTTATAAAACCTTTTCCTTGCTAATCAAGCTGCAGCCAGTTCCACCACCACCATCCTCCCCACACCCCTCTGTAGTAAAATTTGGCAGAGCACCAAGAACTGGAGTGGGCCAGCAGACTGCCAATTGGCCATCCCTGCTGTACAACCTAATTATCAAGATGATTTTCTGCTGCACCACCTCAATTTTGAGCACAGAACATATTGTATCCAAAGTTCAGTACTAAGTTTCACAAGAGATCACACTTTTATTGAATTACATCAACAATGAATCAAGTATAATTCAAGCCAATGTTTTTTGAAAGGAATTTCTGCTTCTGACTTTGGGCTCGTCCACAACTCTGCTTGTCCCACCACTCTCCCCTGAGAAAACCTGCTCTTTACCATGGAATCAGAGCAATTGACAAAGATTGACATCTGCTCCAAGTGAGCGGTAAAGGTAAAGGGACCCCTGACCATTAGGTCCAGTTGTGACCAACTCTGGGGTTGCGGCGCTCATCTCGCTTTATTGGCCGAGGGAGCCAGCATACAGCTTCCGGGTCATGTGGCCAGCATGGCGAACCAGAGCAGCGCACGGAAATGCCATTTACCTTCCCGCCGGAGCGGTACCTATTTATCTACTTGCACTTTGACGTGCTTTCGAACTGCTAGGTTGGCAGGAGCAGGGACCAAGCAACAGGAGCTCACCCCGTCGTGGGGATTCAAACCGCTGACCTTCTGATCGGCAAGTCCTAGGCTCTGTGGTTTAACCCACAGTGCCACCCGTGTTCCTTGAAGTATTGAGCAGTAAAGAGCAGGTAATCCAGGGGAACAGAAAGCCTCTCAGTCCCGTGCTTTCTAGGAGCAGGACAAGCAAAGTGTGGTCGAGCCCTTAAACTAACTACTTCAGATGTCCAAAGCTTCAGCAGCTCAATTCACCAAACAATAGTTTGGCGAAGCTCATCTATAACTAGGAGCTTTGTCTGAGTAATGTAAAACATACAATGGTTTACTATTAGCTGACAAGCCAGAATTAAAAACCACAATTCTACATCATGCCTGCAAGCTATGGTTTGACATGACATCCAAATTCAAAGGCCACAGTTAGGGCCATCACTTGCCTCCACAGGCAGTTGCAATGTAAACACATCAATGATAAGTACATGGAGAACAAAAGCATAAAGCACCACCACCCCCGACACACAACTCATCTTCAATAGTCTAATCTTGCTATAGCCGTGGCTTTTACTGATTGTTTTCTGCATGGCAGACACTGCAAAAAGGTTTCCAGTACACAAGAAAGAAATTAAAATAGAAAGAGACCCCAAACTATACGGCCACAATGCCAACATGTTTGCTACCAACACATGCAGACTGAGAAAAGGTACATGCATAGTAATTATGGAATCCTAAATCCATTCTGCTCAAGCCTTTTCATGATGAACTCAGCTGTGAACCACTGTGTTCTTAAGTTTCATTCCACTTTTCTATCCAGCCCTCAACTGAGTACAAGTTCAAAGGTTGCATACAGGCACTTTAGGATTCTGAGTTAGCATCTGTGGTGAGACAGTAGTGAGAGAGGGCAGAGGATTTCCAAAACTTGCTACCTAAACTCCTTTTAAATGCCGCGGATTGGGATTTTCTGCATGCAGGCCCTTTACCAGAGAGCCATATTCATACTTCAATGCCAGTTGCTGCCATCCATAAACAGTAAGACTTGATTTAAATCATTTTTTTACAGAAAGACTCATTCTTGCTGGTATAATCTTAATATTTACAACCAGATGTAGGTTTCATTTTTGGAATAATAAATTTTCAGTGTAGTTTTTACAGTTATACCAAAAATTACTGATTTGGATATACTATTATAAATACATAGACAATTATTAAATTATTGTTTATATTTGGACAACTTTTCTGCTGTACTTTATTGGAAGGAGAAAAAAAATCATTTCCTTAATAACGTTTAAACAACTTGTAACAACTTAAACATTATAGCATATGTATCCATGATTGTTAACTGTAAATGGTTTAAAAAACAACAACAACCAGACTGAGTTTTAGCACAGGTGAAAAACTTAAATCAAATCCTTATTTCCTGATGAATAGCCTTTGGACTATAATGTAACTTAAATAGAAAACTATCTTTAGAAAGATTTTTCCTCCAAAAGCATTTTATTTTAAAAATCCGATTTTAAAAAAATAAATCCAAAATCTTTTATTTTTATCCACCCTGCTCTGTAATTTTCCATGGCAATGTCAATCTGCTTTTACAAACACTGCTCTTTCCCACAGTTAAGAGGGAGGGAAATCTAATGAGAAAGGTTTTCTTTATAAGTTATGGGGTTACGATGATAAAATAATTTAGCTTGATGCTATTTGTCTTTAAATGGTTCAATGGGTATCATCTATCTGTTACTAGCCTGAATAGATACACAAGTTAGGTTTCTGCCAGCATTCAGCTATGAATGGGTACAACTACACTATCTGGATGAGGAGAGGCAGTACTGGAAAGAAAGTGACGTTTTAGGACAAAATGCTTAGGTGACAATTGTAGGGGACTTTGAAAGAAATTAAGGTAGAGGGGCAGAAACTTTCCAGAGACCAGTGCCTAAAAAAACAGGAACATGCTGACAGCTGCCCTAAGTGTTTCAGGAGACAATTAGTCTGCTCTCATGAGTAGACTAGCCAATGATAACACGGTAGTACACATGTCACCACTTTGCCAGCAGTCAAGCAAAGTAAGGAAGAGTGCTTTCTGATCACATCCAGGGACTCCGGTAGGACGGAACTGAGACAAAGAACAATGTATGCTTGGAGCCTCAAACCAACATTCGGCACAATGCCTAAATTGAACACTGTTACATACTAAGGGTTTAGAGTGCCTGGTACTGTGAAAAAGAACAGAATCTGAAAAAGTACAAGGATTTCAATATACAGATCAAGGACCTAGATCAGTGGTGGGGAACCTCTGGCCTGAAGGCCTGATTAGACGCAGCAAGGGGTCCAGCTGCCCCACACCAGACATCATTTATGATATTGGATGTGGAGCAGATTAAAGATGTGGCTATAAAGGAACAATCAAGAACCTTAAAGTATGCTCCCCATTGTTCCTTGGCAAACAGAAACTGTATTTGGCCTTTAAATTTAGCAGAAGAAGAAAACTCTGCTGGGATGAGTTCCACTCAGGAGCTCCCAACTGAAGCCGATCTCTGCCAAAAGCAGGGTGTGAAGCCACAGCCAATTGGCAGTGGCTGCGAATCCTGCTTCTTTTGCCAACATAGTTTTAAACCAAGCCATGTGGGTAGAGGAACAGTCAGCAAGCCAGTTTGCAAAGGAAAACACTTCAACTAATGCCACTATGATTAACAGGTGGGTGGATCTAGTTTCCCACTCTTGAACTAGATGCAGCTACCTCCAAGAAAAAACACTTCAGAAGCCCAGTTGTAACACACTGGCCACATATCACAGCAGCCTGGATCACATTTAAAGTAAACTAATCCGAACTATGGCTTACCATGGCCACACAAACAAGATGGCTCCTGGAGAACAGCTTGCAGCCACTTTGCTATCCCCCAGTCCTTTTATCTCAGCATGGCACAGCAAAGTTTGGCTTTGTCCTGTGCTTTCTAAGCAGAGGTCAGAGCAGTTTGGCCTGTACCCCGCTGCTTCCCCCCGGAAAACCTGCTCTTTAGTGCTAAACTGGAACAAACAGCAATCCATGGAAAACCTGGTTGTTGTTTGTTCCGATTCAGTGCTAAACCACAGGGTTTCCTGGGGGAAAGCAGCGGGACAAAGTGTCATCTGAATCCCATTTCAAAATTAAGCTTTCTCTCCTTAACCATGAATCAGGTTTGTTCTTGATTTGGCCTAGCATTACATGTGACACAAGTGATGTCTTACACCGATTGCTTCACTATATATGCTTTGCTGCAGCACATAACACCAAACCTTGCAGATGTACAGACAAGCAGCAGCACTCCATATCCCCATGCCTTACATACAAATTCACGAGACTCACTAGATTGCCAATGTGTGCTGCCACTGCCAATCCAAGTGAAAATGATTCCATAAATACTCCTAAATTTGTTTGAGAAGCCCATGCTTCAAAGTTCTTAATAAAAGTTTTGGGGTTCCCTGGCTTCATTTTAATCCAGACTGGTGAAGGGCTTATTAAACAATGCTAAACCCAGGTAATAGGGAAGCCAAAGGATTCAAAGGGAGGAGACACAGAGTGGTAGGGAGTGAATAATCCTGTGGCACAGTTTCCAATCTCAATTTAATTTTTACATCTACACTGGGCCATTCTTTATACCACTGTGTTTTCTTCAAGTGCTGGCATTCTATTTACACTACCCACCATGTTAATTTCTGGCTATCTATTCTAAAGAGTCATTTTTTACATTCGTATCTTACTTCATGTGTAGAATTTATGCTCCTACAAAGCATACAAAGAACCAGATTGTGCACCATGGAGTGCGGGGAACGAGTCGTTTGGAAACAACAACATTGGTAACCTGAAAGTGTCTCTTTAAATCTGGCACTCCAAAGGTTATAAAGAGCTGTTGTGCAATTTAGCTCTGTATTGAAAATAATGTGATGCTTCATATGACGACTGAATGCTCTTGAAGCAAAGAAATCGAAAAAGCAGAGATTACTCTTCCAGAGCATCTCATGAATGTACCAGTATCCTTAGCTGGCAAATGCTGGAAATTCCTGCCTTTGTGAATTGGATGAATGGGAGACATCCCCAGAGCTGGACCAACATTAGCAAAGACAAGAGTTGACAGAAAAAATAATAAACTCTCTTCAGGCTGTGCAGTTTGCTCACACACACTAACCTTTGCAATAATCTGCAGGGTCTTCTTGCTCTTCATCATCGGATCCCAGAATCTCCTCCTCTGGCTCTGGAGGGGCTGGCTCTGGCAAAGGTGGTGGAGGAGGTGGCGGGGGTGGTGGCGGGGGTGCAGAGGGAACTTTCTGTTGAGGCTCTGGCCTGCAAATGCAAAATGGTACATTCAGTAAAGAATACTCTTGCCAAAATTACCCTTTGAGCACTTTATATTTCCTTTCTTGCCATTTAACAGTGCAATCCTAACCATGGCTACTCAGAAGTAAGTCCTATTAAATTCAATAGAGTCAGCATTTGGAAACTTCTTAAAATTCAAATCCATCTAACCGCCAGGATGAGAAAAAGCAAGAACTAGTATATATTTAACATAACCTGGCTGTGAGCACCACTATTTTACTGCATATTGGCTACAAACAATTGCACTGACAATGCTAAGGAATATTGCAAAATGTAGTGTAAGTACAAGAAAAGTCCGTTACAAACACCAGAGTAGGATACAAAAGGGCCTTTGAAGATGAGTTCCATCTTCATTTTTACAAAGTTTTGAGGAGTATGTTAAAGGAACAAGGCATTAACAATATTTAGAAATCAGCATAGCAGATTTTTAAATCTAAAAGAGGATCTAATTCATAGATTTCCTTCACAGATTTTTATAATACCAAGCTAGCAAATTAAGAGATTCATCCAGCAAAATGAAAACCAAATAAGCCAAATATTTAAGACAGCAGCAAAAAAGAAACAAAACCCTCAAGATTTTTTTTGTAAACTCAAGATTTCTGTGCAATGTTTCAAATACAGAATTCTTTATTAAATCAGCCAAATATTTATATGAGAAGAAATCTACAGCAAGTCATGTTTTCAAATGGACCTACTGAACCCCATATGCAAAACATGTTAGATTTCCTATATTGTTTATACAGTAAGTTTCAGTAAGTTTTGTGATGAAAAAGATAAAGCCAAGTCAAACTTGCTTTCTTAGATAATGTTCAAAACAAGGATCTCCTTAAAAAGCAATTAAGCAACACTAACAAAACTTGTTGAGTGGTACTGAAGGCTATTTTGTACAATTAACTATACATTTTAGAAAGTAAAGCATATTCTATGGTGTTGCCTGACAAACCTGATGAGGACTTGAGGAGCATGTTAGAATATAAACACATTGCAATTGAATTAGAGTATCAAAATCTTATTCTTCAATTATGACAATGGATTAAAGACAATCTATGTTAGTATACAGTTGCAATGAAAATTATTCAACCCCCAATACAAATCAGGTTTATTATCAAAATTTACAGACTTTCAGCTGTTTGCCATGAGCAAATCAAGCAAAAGCAATTGAAATAGGTCAACCCAAAGGATGCTTCAAGTGGTTTCCTCAAATTCAGCTGAAAATGCAACTTATACTGCAACTTAAACCTGATTTGCAATGGGGCTTGAATGATTTCAATTGCAACTGTAGCCTTCTAATAAGTTCACAACTTGGTTCCTTCTTAAATTTGGACAGAGGGTAGAAAGCACAGAAGGAATCTTGATGCTCAGGCCAGTTACGTTTCAGATGTCACACAAACCAAGATGACAAGGAGCCTTTGACTGACGCCACCTATGTTACCAATGATGCCTTCACTCTATTCCTAGTTTGAGGCAAACTATAGTTGAAGATTCTTTTGGGGGGAAGTTCTTCCTCAGGCAGAGGCAAACTCGGCCCTCCAGATGCTTTGAGACTACAATTCCCATCATCCCTGACCACTGGTCCTGTTAGCTAGGGATGATGGGAGATGTCCCAAAACATCTAGAGGGCCGAGTTTGCCTATGCCTGTTCTTCCTTTTATAGGCTTGGAGCAGACTAGTGTGAAACACCTTTCTTTCTCATTGATCCCACAACTGTGGGCAAATCACAGCTGAGTACAGAGCAAATCTCTCTTCATTCAACTACCTAATCCACTTCCACCTCAGCCTCTCATGCCTGAAGAAGGATCTGAAGTTATCAGTTTGTTAGAAGGAAGATATAGGCAAAACAGAACAATGGCAGCAACTTCCCAGATTATGGAAGCAATCAACTCATTAATAATGTACACACCCATTCATAAAATCCCACTAACCAACAAAATGAGTACATGAAAAAAATGCTCAACAATTCTTCCCAGCCCACCAATAAATAAAAACTCAGTTTCACATTTAATCAATCTTGCATAACACAGGAGACAACCTCGCAAACTTAAATTTTCACAATTTAAAATGCTTTTTACATAATAATGCTAATATATTTCAGTAGGTTGCTGTTCCATGTATTTTAAGAAGGTGTGAATTTTTTCTGTGCACAAAAACAGGAGTAATAGTATATCTAAATAGCAATACCGTATTAATATTGCCTGCTATACTTCAGTGTTCCTATGGCAACTGGCTCAGATTTCTATTCCCATCACCAACCGCCAAAGACAACTCTATGTAAGGAGATAAATGGCTTTAAGTGTGTCTGTTCAGAAAAACTTTACCAGGCAAAGTTAAAAATGAAAGCTCTGGAATTTTGGGTCTTGAAAGATAAATGACTCTTCTGTAGTTCCCATGTATTTTGTTATCATCAAACTCTAAATCAAAAAATTGACTTATGTTACAGGATTTTTGACCATTATCATCAGGGTGGGTTACAACATTAAAACACAATATTAAAAACATTTTATAATGTTATGATTTTTTCCACCAGTCCAGACAGACGCACACAAACACATCAGGTAGTGTAAATACGTGCTAGTAGAATCTGAATTGCATTAAAATAGACTAGGAAAAGCCTTATTCTCTAGGGAAATTGAATCTAAACTACATTTCAAAACCAAAGCACACGTTGCAAGCATAAGTACATGTCTGCAGGAGAAATGTCAGTCACTGCAGCCAACCATCTCATAAATGGATGTTTTAAGGAGCAAACAGGACAATGTAATTCAGTTTCACTGGGTGACATCCAGCACAGCATGTGCAGGCACTTGCTAGTGCAATGGCACTTTCCCTTCCTTTTCTCTCCTCTCCCTACAGCCCAGTGGATTCCAAAAACTGCTCTGGGGGATAAGGGCATGAACAATGGACCGAAGGAGGAAGAAGAGAAATGGTAAGTTCTGCCGTACAAGCTGATTTTCACTGTTCATATAGGTGGACATCTTTAGAGCTTGCCACTTTGTATTAGTAACCATAAAATTTCTGGGTGAAAATAACCTTTTTCCTTGGTTTTTCAGTTTTACTTTTCAATTTTACTTTACAGTGACTACTTTCTTCAGAATTAATTCTTCACTACATTGCATTAGTGTTAAGCTGCACTTAATAGTTCAGCCTTTTAGTGGGCTTTAATTATCATACTCCCACACTATTATCACTGTTTACAAACATTAAAAACTCCCCCCTCCAGCTATTCTTGTGATTAACAGAAAAACACCAACAACAAAAAATGCTCTAATTAGTTTTGGTTAAATGCTTGCTCACTTTGTCTATAATCTTGGATCTTCTTGCATCCTCAAATACCTACTTCAGCTTAATTAAAACCCTTGTATATTAGTCTGATACCCCAATGCAGGGCATACTTATCTTTACATTAAATTTGCCAATGTGTTCTACTTGTTGCCAATAAATAGTTCTTTCTGATCTTAATAATGAACTTTTTAGTTGCAGGGGCATTTGGGAGAATTTATCGAACAAGAATATGTGAGTATAATAATAACATGTTGCATACTTCAAAGGATTGAAATATTTCCTTTTGCTCCCAAGCAGAAACAAGGAATTGTATACTTCCAAACATGAACTGGCTTTCCCCTTGACCCTGCTGAGACGGTCACTAAAAGGAAAAAGGAAAAAAACTAGCTAAATCTCTCAGGATCTGTAAATCTACTCAATCTCTCCCCCTTCTCTAGCGACAAGATGAGCATCTTTTCTTCATTCAAAGTGCTACAGCTAACTGTTATTTTGCCAAAGCTTACTTTCAAAGAGACAAAATTATTATTGGCTGCTGTTTACATGTTCCTATACTGGCTAGCATTCTGTTACATTGCTCCTATAATGTTTGTGTAGGTATTTTGGCTAGGATGCTCTCCTGGTTCAGAATGGAGTGCCACCTTCCCACCATGCCTGTTCCATTTTGGACAGCATAAACAGGCAAGTAGTTGCTTAAGGATCCTTTAGTTAAACCCCCAAAGATGCTAGGTGAAAAGAAGAAAATAAAAGGTCCCTTCCTTTTGTGCCCCTAATAGGCCAGATAGCTACTGCTCCTCCAGTTGCTTTACTTATTAGTATCAGAAGAACCACAGAGGTGCAATGCTGTTTCAATGCTCTTTCAACAAGAAGTACAATTGTCTTGTGCACAGCCCTGCTTCCTTCGACAAGCCTAGTGGGAGGCAGGCTACATAGATTTCCCTTGGAATGGGAAATACTCCTCAAAGACATATGGATTCTGAACAGTCCAAGCCTCACCAGATAATGGTCCAATCATGGCAACAGAATGCATTACACTACTCCTATAAGCAAACCAAACCTCACCAAACCAAACTCATCCCAGGTGAGAGTCAGAGACCTGTCTCCCCTGCCTACAGTTCTACATCCTGACTCGGGGAGGGGGGGTGAGCCCCTGCCCTGTGACTCCATGAAGTGTTGACCTAAAGCAATGAACCCTTTAGGATGATCCCACCACCTAGGGCAAGGTCTGGACCACACCCACACCCCAGCTGTACTGGCTCAGCCAGTAATCAAACAGCACCTACACTACAATTAATAGTATGCAAAAGAGGCACTGAGAAAAATTGGCTGGGTGAAAAAAGCTGCATTTAATCACAATTATAGTGTGGCATGTATGTAGGAGGAGAGAGAACCTAGTGGGTGTCATGCAGGTTTCAAGCTGCACCTGGAACTGATGGGACAAAGAAGAAAAAACAGCTGATCCCACATGGCTCCTTTGGGAGGAACAGTAGGATATAAATTCAGTAAAGAAATAAATTGCTGAAATTATAAAATCCAGCAGTTTGACAGATCTGTCTCTAGCCTTAACCAAAGAACTCAGGTTCCCTGTAAGAAAGAGAACAAAAACAAAGAGAAACACGGAGGTATTTTATAGCAGCAAAGCTAGGAATTAAATTTTATGCGGAGAACAAGGTAAAAAGTAAGGTTGACAGAAGCCAAGTAGCAAATACCCTGTGGCTGGAGATAACATAATCATCCTCAAAAATAAAAATACCATCTTGACGTAACAGATCATCAGTCCATTTTAGGAACTCAATCCTGAATGCCTAAACTTTGTATTCTTAAGGACACAAAAAGCAAGAAAGCTGTGTTGGACAATAAGAAAATCAGACCATAGGGGTTTTTTGCATGGATCTACATGGCTTCCTTTGTTTTGTGGATGTCAAGGGTAACATTATTCATGGGCAGAGAGCCAGTGTGGGCCTGAGATACCAGGGTTCAGATCGCCACTCAGCCATGAAGCTCACTGGGTGACCTTGGACCAGTAAAGCAATCTCAGCATAACCTACCTCACAGGGTTCTTGTGAGCATAAAAAGGAGAGAGGAAGCACAATATATGGGACTGTGATGCCCTTGTTTCAGTTCACATACTGTTTTGTAAAGTCTGATTCACCTTTAAATGCAAACTGGATTGAATTTCTCAACCTCCCATATAATTAACATGGACAAGGGTAGTGTTCCTACCCTCTAGTCAGCAGGCCTGAGACCTCTGGAGTGTGTACACACCCTACTCTCTAACTGATTCCAATCAATTCAACCTGATGACATACCTGTTGATTTACAGCCCTTAAGAGGGCAGGAGAGGGGGAACCGTACAGGAAACACTGAGCAACCCAACCGTAGAATACCGCTAATACAATAAATGCATGAGCATCCATTAAGGTTAGGACTCACACCTAAAAGGATGTGCACGAAAACCCTTTGGCGTCCCAATCACACTTGAGCATTCACTGCTTGCTGTAGGTGTGGTAGGAAAAGGCTATCAATACCCCCTCCCAGTTAATTGAAGCTTTAAGAGGACTCCTCATGCTAGAGCAAAGGTTCTATTTTATTCTAGTCTTTTGCACGTGGCCTTCATTTTCCTTAGTTTTCCCACTCCTCCATCTTCATTATTTTTGTATTCTGTTGTCCAAGGTCTCTGAGGGACCTTGTATCCTACCAGTGCTTTTGTTCAACCTCCATGACTTTCTCCCAAGGAAAGTTCCAAACGTTATGGAGCTCAAGGGAAGGATTTGCCTAGCCCCGTTTCTCCATCACAGTATTTTCCTTGATATTTCTTGACAGCATGCTACACTTTGTAATCTAAGGGTGCCTAGACCTTTGAGAAGTCATATGGAACAACCCAAGCAACTATAGTGCCCCAGCGCGAAGGAAGATCTCAAGATCTAAGCAGAACCCAGAAATAGATCACGTTGCCACTCGGGCCTCCTGTCACTTTCTAACTCTCCAGGCAAGCATGTCACAAACACTGCCCCAGGCAGTGTCATTTATATTTGGCTTCTTTCTCTAACCTGAGTCAGCTCTCCATATGTGTATCTGGTGCCCACTGCCTTCAGATTTTCTTGCTTAACATTAATTTCCCATCTCCTTTCTTCACCTGCTGCTCTGTCTCAGTCCTTTCCATCTCCTCCTTCTATAGATTTAGTGAAGCAATTATCAGTCCAATATGATTGCTGTGCATGTATCTAATATGTGTATTTTGTAATAAAATGAATATTTAATTACTTTAAACTCTGATTCATCATCTCCTTGGGCTTTTTTTGGGGGGGGGGGATATAAACTTAATAAATAAATAAAATAGTGTCTTGGAAAATCTAGGTTTTGACATGGCACATCATAATTCTTGGTTTTAATACTTAACACACATTCCTTGGGTATACATTTGAAGCAGAGTATTTGCGTAGACAAGGACACATGGGAGCAAATTGATGCTCATCCTATGGCCTGCCCAAGCCATTTCAGGTCCTCAGCTCCAGGACAGATTTTAAGGAATATGTCGGATTAGAAGCTGCAGGTAGAGAATGTTATAGTATGCTTCATTAAAAGTCAGCTAGGAAACTGTAGGAATGAATCGATCTCTCATTATTGAACCTGCAGACCACCCTGGAAGTTTCTGCTGAAAGGTGGCTTGTGAATTCTCTAAAACAAACAAACAAACAAACAAACAAACAAACAAACAGTTTTTCTTCTTTTCTACACACCAGCCTCCTATCCAGGCTTGGGATGATAACCCATACATTCCAGAATGTCACAGGAGATACAATAAGTTAAAAACTATTGGGAGCCAGCTCATCAGCGCATTAACATTATTTCTCAACAGTACTTTCTGGCATGAAGGCCTATCTAGCAATTGCTATTTATGGATTCTAAACCTTGATTCTTGACTCTCCTGGTTCACAGTACATAGGACTGTCTTCCAAAGCTTTGTAAATTGTGACTGGTGCAGAATGTTAACAGCTACCTGCTACTGGGGTGAGTATCCCACCCCCCGCCTGCACCTCTGAACATTTTATTTAAGGCTTTTACACAAACATGTCAAACATTAACATTGAGGGGTAGCTATCCTGGCACACATATATGTATGTTACATGACTGCACTGGCTTTCAATTGCTTTCTTGGTAACAATGACCTGAGCAAGACTATCTGGAACACCATCGGTTCTTATATTCCTCATCACAGTGTCGTTTTCTTGGGCCACAATCCAGCTCAGAGGAAGAGGAGGCAGTGCCTGGGGAGCCATATGCCCAGGCTATCCAGGCCAAAAGGTGTGCCCTTCCTTGACTCCTCTAGTTCAGAAGGCACTGCATCTAGGTAGCACTCATCCTCAAGCCAAAGTTGGGCAACAGCCTGTTAAAACAAGACATAGCTGCTTAGAGAGGGTAGGGAGTCAGGTCAGCTAGCTCTCATAAGACTGAACCATGCTGCCAAGGCAACAATTCACTCCTGGTGAGTTTGGGCCTACAGGGAGCTCTCCATGATTCTGCTCAACTGTCTTCTGCCCCGCCCACTCTTACTTGGTTGATTCTCTTGAAGACCTAACAACTCTCCTAAAAATGTGGGTGCCCCAGACTCTATCCGACACCACCATCCTAGACCCCAACCCAAGGATAGACCAAATACACAGTAACGACAGTGGGAAATGACATCTGAACTTCAATGTGCCTTAAGCCAATATAGGCAAAAGCACAAAGAAGGCATTCCCAGTAGCCACTCCACAACTACTGAACTCCCTTCTCCTAGAGGAGCTTGCCCAATCTTAAACATCCTGCAGAAGTACTGGGAAAACCCCTTTGCAGCTGATTAATTTATTTTTAATCAATTAAGTTTCATATTTTTGTCCCATTTGTTTAATGGCGTCAGCTACCCCAACTCACGTTAACTCCTCAAAAACAAAAGCATCACAACATAGCTTACAATAGACAATATTCCAATCAAACACAGCTCCTGGGATGTCAGGTACAGAGAGCAGGTCTGTGTTGCACCATAGAAAGCCCTCAAGAGAATTCAAACACGGCACTGATAAGCTCCAGAGGGAACAACCCTGCACTACGTTGGACAGTGATTCACTGCCTTTACGGTGAGCGGAATATAATGAGCAAATAAAATAAAAAAATCAATCACACTCTGGTACAGAACTATTAAATGCAGTATATTTGCTACATTTACAGCTGGTTAGAGTTGGTTTAGAAAGTTCCAAATTAAAATGCCAAGCCTAAATTTATGTCAGCTCATCTGCCCTAGGATGTCAGGATGTTGTTACGTTTCATAATAATTTATAATTCACTTTTCTGTAAACCCTCTCCTAAGAACTTACAATGTGCACAGAAAATTTCAAGCGTGAATGTTTGAGCACTAAGCAAAAAAATGCACATTTGTTTTTATAGCCAATATTTCTGACCTTTGGAAAACTTGTGCCCTGAGTGGCACACTGAAAGCCCATTAATTGTTTTCACTGCACTGTTGTCTAAGCGTAGCAATGCTAACATTGTAAGATCACAAGGACTGCAACATGAAAGTACAGCTGAATCCAACTTTACAGTGGTACGTCTGGATGCGAACGGGATCTGTTCCGGAGCCCCATTCACATCCAGAACCGAACGCGGGTCGCAATTCGCTGCTTCTGCGCATGCGCATGACGTCATTTTGACCGTCTGCACATGTGCGAGCGGCGAAACCCGGAAGTAACACGCTCCGTTACTCCCGGGTCACCGCAGCGCGGAACCCAAAAATACTTATCCCGAAGCTACTTCAACCCAAGGTATGACTGTACTGACTTTCTAGCATCAGCTAAAGACACATCTTCTTTATCCAGGCATTGCAAGCAGGGTTTAAATTGTGTTGTATGTGTCTTGGGATACAGAGGATTGTTTTTATATATTTTCTACACTGCCCTGGGATTCCATGGAAAGAAAGGCAGTCTAAAGATGCAATAAATAAATTCAATAAACAAATAAAACATTTCAGTAAAACATCTTGGAAATCAGCCAACCAAGACAACTCATACGAACTGACCTCTGAACATCTTGATTATATTTTATTTTACAATCACTACTTCCTAGTCCCTCAAAATTAAGCAGTTTCCTTGATGAGAGGTTTAAATGTAGCCTGCACAAACAAAAGTTATATCATAACTGTAAATAGCTATTTGACCTTGATCAATATCGAGCATGGCCAACCTACTTTCATTTCTCAACTGTTTTCATGTGCCCATCAAACCCTCCCTCTAATAAACAATTACTTTGCTCTTTTAATTGAAAAAGTCAAAGCTGGTGACTTGCTTTCACTCACATTTAACAGCCACAATTCTAAGCAGCTGTATTTATTTTAGTGCTCTATATCTCATACCTGAGTTTGCTTGTTTCCTCCTTCCATTCTCCATTTGTGCTATTTCTTTTGAGTTTGGAAACTGAACTGATTGTAATTGTGCTAATTCAGAAATCTGTACTTATTTCATAGACTATGAGTCTATCTTGGAAGGGACCCCGTGCATCATCTAGTCCAACCCCTGCCACGCAGGAATATGCACCCAGACAGGAATCAAACCTGTGACCTTGGCATTAGCAGTACCAATATCTAACCAACCAAGCTAATCAGATTTATTCATTTTTTCTTCCACAAAGAAGGGCTCCCAGAATGGCATGCAGATCATTACAAACCAGACAGTCCTTACTCTTGGGTTTACAATATGGTAGGTCTTCAAACTATAACACTTTAATGCAGGTGTTCTTAAGCTGTCTCACATCAGGCCTCCCCAAATCAGGAAGTAACTGTTTGAAGCTTCTATCAAATTAAAGTAAGTTCACTTCACTTTTTATTCTGTACAGTGGTACCTCGGGTTAAGAACTTAATTCGTTCTGGAGGTCCGTTCTTAACCTGAAACTGTTCTTAACCTGAAGCACCACTTTAGCTAATGGGGCCTCCTGCTGCCGCCACACAGCCACAACACGATTTCTGTTCTCATCCTGAAGCAAAGTTCTTAACCCGAGGTACTATTTCTGAGTTAGCAGAGTCTATAACCTGAAGCGTATGTAACCTGAAGCATCTGTAACCCGAAGTACCACTGTATTTGGATCCTGGAGTACATGATATAGGAGCCAGCTATCAAGTATGAAGGTAGTGTGTACACACCCCTTTGAAATACTTTATTAGAGTACTGAGGAATTGACCCTTAGTTTCTAAGTATTTTTAAGTAAGGCATCTCAAAATATTTGCTCCCTATATACTACACAGGAAGCCTTTTATTAAGCGTTCAGCTGCAAAATTTAAAGTGAACACTGACTTTAAAGCAGAAGAAGACAACTGAGCTGTCATTGTTCATTTTCATCCCCCAGCTACATGGCAAGCAATTAAATAGAAAAACGAAAAAGAAGAAGTCAGGACACATGAATGCATAGGATGAAGTGCTGGAGGAAAGAATCCTACAAAAGCAAAGCTATTGGAAAAATAAGTAGTTGCTTCATTGACCCCAGTACTCAATCAAGAAGATGAGACAGGCTGCCTTCTACAGTGTACCTCTTTAAAAGTAATGACAGAGTATTCTGCCTAACCCAATCAGGGGCATAGCTAGCTGCTCTGGCACCCGGAGCGCGCCTGGGGGGCGCGCGCACATTGAGCTGCCCATGGAGTCCGCCTGGTGGATGCAAGCCCCACGCTGCCATTTCAGGCAGCGCGGGCCCCAAGCCACCGCATCACTCCCAGGAGAGATGTGCGTTGCAGGCTCGGGTGCGTTGCAGGCCAGGCCCCACGGTAAGGGCCGACCCCCACGGTGTGCCATTTTGTCACCCCCCTCAAGGATGACACCCGGGGCAGACCGCACCCCCTGCACCCCCCTTCCTATGCCCCTGAACCCAATCAAGGCAAATGTTAAGGAACCAAAGATACTGTTCGGTTGTCCCCTGGCCACTGCCAGATACGCAAGAGTTTATACATGTATGAGAAACTGAGGCTCTCTTTCCAATGAACTTTTGTGCATTCAATACAAATCAGGATTTCTCATTGCGGCACTTTGGGTAGCACCCCGCAGCGTTTCTACCGTGTCTTAAGTGAAAGTGAAAGTGGCCCCCCTTGGATTATCTCTTTTCCTCAATAAGCAAGTAAACAGCAACTGAGGAGAGATTTAAATTTGGAACATGGGACAGGAAGAGGTCCAGGGGCTCAAACTATAGGAGGCTCTGGGTGCCTGAGCACCCATAAAAATTTGTTGTGGGTGCTCAGCCCCCACACCGCAGGGCGCCCAATGCAATTTCCAAGGTCTCTCAAGGCCTCTGACAACATCTCCGAGGCCTTGGAGATTCTGTCCGAGGTGTCACAAGGCATTGGAGAAGCTGTCCAAGACCTTCCGAGACCTTGGAACCTGACTTCCGGTGGTACCAGAAGTTGGGTTCTGAGGCTGGGGGGGCGGGTGCATTTAACATCACGACACAATGTGACATCATGACGTCATGCACACCGGGCACCCAAGTCGGCTCCCCTGAAGAGGTCAAAAAACTTCCTTCAGCCCCAGTCAAGATCTCTCCCAACCCCAGTTCATGTAGCTGCTATTATGGGAGAGACTGCGGATCAATATCCTGCGTCATTTATTTATTTCTAGTCTGGCCCTGAGGTAAGAATTCTAAGCTGATCAACTGAGAACCGTGATAGAAAGGCCATGCTGCCTTAAGAAGATCCACATGACACTTTGAAAATGACTAAATTGAATATAATGCCAACCAACACCACAACTTCTAATTCTCGTATTGTTTCACTTTAGGCCAACAAGGCATTTGATATTTGTCAACGTAAAATGAGCACCTTAAACACTACAAGTAACTGATAGCAGCAACATAAAAGTTATCAAAGCCAGTCAGTGTATAAAAGGTACCCCTGCCCGTACGGGCCAGTCTTGACAGACTCTAGGGTTGTGCGCCCATCTCACTCAAGAGGCCGGGAGCCAGCACTGTCCGCAGACACTTCCAGGTCACGTGGCCAGCGTGACAAAGCCGCATCTGGCGAGCCAGCGCAGCACACGGAAACGCCGTTTACCTTCCCGCCGGTAAGCGGTCCCTATTTATCTACTTGCACCCGGGGGTGCTTTCGAACTGCTAGGTTGGCAGGCGCTGGGACCGAGCAACGGGAGCGCACCCCGCCGCGGGGATTCGAACCGCCAACCTTTCGATCGGCAAGCCCTAGGCGCTGAGGCTTTTACCCACAGCGCCACCCGCGTCCCGTGTATACAGTCAGTGTATACACCCGCCACCCGTGTATACAGTCAGTGTATACACACATACAAATTACTACAAGCAGAACTCAACTGTGGGACTACCACACAAAGGCCAGGAAGAAGACCATCAATGCAAATCCCAACATATGACAATATGCGGCAAGTATTAGTACTAGTCCCGGTTCAGTAATTGCTGCATCCATAAGTAACTGTGAAAACATCACTTACTCAGCAGCTGCTCAAGAATAAATGTACCAGGGAAATGACTGTGATAATAATGGGAGAATCATCTGTGTAATTTCTCCTTCACAGAAGGAAAGAGCAATGAGCAAAATGCTCAGAATCCACCTCACATTGTGGATTCTCATGAATACTATAAATAGAAGCTGAGGGTATAGACACAGTTGCTGAAGACCCTGCTTAAATGTTCACCTCTTTTAAAATATCATTTTGGAAATAATTGTTAACTTATATGCCAACTGATTACATGAACTATTTCCATTTTAGGGAGTGTTAAATGTTTACAGAAAATCTAAGTTTATTACATCATGCAACCCTTTACGTCCGGCTGTTCAAATACCAAGGAGAACAGGAGTTTTTGAACAGGAACCTGCCTTTTATGTATAGACAAGTGGGAACCCACAACAAAATGTTGCAGTGTTATTCCTAGTCCTTAGCAGGTGTGCTCTGGCTCAGGGTTTTGGAGTTTTGGAGTGCTAAGTACTCGTGGAACAGGTAAGTCTCAGGAGGGAGAAAGGAGTGAAAGACATTGCTTCAATTTCTCACACTTGGGAAACTTTCTACACCTAAATTGGAGGGAAAGATGGCATGAAATTATGCTCCTGAGGGTAGAATTACATAGGAAGTTCAATCTTATGCAGATTTACTCAGACGTCCGACTAAGTTCAATACAACTTATTCACAAACAAATGTGCATAGGATTACACCATTAATCACCAAAACTTTAGTATTTTCCAAGTAAATTTTTATTTTGAATATACACACCATACTGCTTATATTTGCATATTTTATTGATTGGAAACACTTCAAATATGGATATGTTCATATCACTTGTTTCAAGGAGGTGAATCCCTATATTTTTAAGGCTTTATGTGTGAATGTGTAGCACCCCACTCCTTTTCATGGAAGTACAAAGAAGAGATTCTGCAGATTCTGAATTTGGGTTCAGAGATACTAATTACCCCTTTTCATTCATCAAAATCTTCACAGTAGCTTCAATGTTAGCATTAAACAGAGCAGAAAGTCAGAAAGGAATGAAAATTTCTGTTAATATGGCCATTTTAAAAAGGACAAATAAAAAAACAAGAAGATAGCTGTGTGTCTAAAGTAGGTATTTTCTTCAGCGCTGATAATAATACAAAACACAAAAATAAGCAGTACTGTACTAAAAAGCCACTGAAAACAAAGTGGAAATAAACACGCATGAAGATAGAAAGCTGTTTTGAAAAGGTGAATTTATCTTCTACTATAAATGCTGAGGGGGGGAATTGGGGGCTGGGGGGGGGGAATCAAGGAAAGTAGAGCTGGAAGGGACCCCAAGTGTCATCCAGTCAAAGTAATGAAAGTAAAGGTAAAGGGACCCCTGACCATTAGGTCCAGTCGCGGACAGCTCTGGGGTTGCGGCACTCATCTCGCTTTACTGGCCAAGGGAGTAATGGAAGTAAGCTAGGCTAAATCATGTAAAATGTAAAGAAAAAAGTAACAGGCCATTATTTTCTAAAAATGTATTTTGCTCTTTCAAGCCACAATCGAATCGAGCAAGAGAGATGCAGCTGGGACTACTGGCAGTTTAACCAGTTGGGGTGCCCACAGCAGCCTGCAAAGCGAGGTGCTGCTCAGTTTTGAAAGCTGCTTATTTGGCAATTGGATCTGTACTTTTGAAAACCACCCAAATCTGTGGGTGCATTTGCATCCCTTCCGCCACAGTTATATTCATACACCTATACCATACTTCCCAAATATATAGTGTAACTAAATTATGCCTGCTGCTACAGGATTAAAGATTATGTATATTTACCCAAAAGACAATTTAATGAAGAAGTAGGGTATGAAAGGGACGCGGGTGGCGCTGTGGGTAAAACCTCAGCGCCCAGGACTTGCCGATCGTCAGGTCGGCGGTTCGAATCCCCGCGGCGGGGTGCGCTCCCGTTGTTCGGTCCCAGCGCCTGCCAACCTAGCAGTTCGAAAGCACCCCCCAGTGCAAGTAGATAAATAGGGACCGCTTACCAGCGGGAAGGTAAACGGCGTTTCCGTGTGCTGCGCTGGCTCGCCAGATGCAGCTTGTCACGCTGGCCACGTGACCCGGAAGTGTCTTCGGACAGCGCTGGCCCCCGGCCTCTTAAGTGAGATGGGCACACAACCCCAGAGTCGGACACGACTGGCCCATATGGGCAGGGGTACCTTTACCTTTTTAGGGTATGAAATGCCTTCTTGGTTTCAAAAGCATATCCTAAACCAGTAATTCTGGTGCATGCACTTGCACACCACACAGGAGCTCCTAAATGCAGAGGAAACTTTGCATAAGAAAAGCTGCTCCACTTGCTTCCATTTTGGAGAATGGTCAGTAGCTACAACTCTACAACTCCTGCAACACAAGGTTCAACAGTGGAGCTCTAGATACTAATAAGAACACATGAACACTGGACCACAGACAGTGCATCTTGAAGTAACTGCCTCAGAGTTCTTTTAGCATCATTTTTATTAGCTCTTTCTTAACTTGAGCCCCAAGATGGGGCAATCACTTGAGTTGTAGAAGCAGCAAGGAAAGCACGCATCTCATTTGCTCTGAAAGATCAATTACTTCCAATGGGGGAAAATATGGAACATATAGGGAACACTGACAGTAAGTAAATGTATATAGCAGAGAAAAAGTACTCTCTCTCAAACTCCTTTTTATTATTATTCATTTATATGTAGTTATAGCCCATCCTGCACCATGAAATCCCTACCTTTTTGCGCATTTTGAGTACTAGTCTGAGTATTTTTTCAGGTCTGAACCACCAATTAGTTTTGTAGCACAACATTAAAGCACTCTGTGACCCAGGATAGTGTAGTGGTCCCTATTTGGTTTTTTATCTGGGAGATCCAGGTGCAAATCCCTACTCAGCCTATTTTTATGTTTAATTCAGCAATAATTTGGAATTCTGAATAACTTGGGATGGGAAAACAAAATGAATGCTCCCTTGGTGCAGGCAATTCACATTCCCTGTTCTTCATACTCTCCTTTCTCTACAACTCCACAGCCTCCTGCTGCAGCCATCATCCATCCCTTGCCATTTTATCATACTTTTCTGATAAGAAACAGTGGGGGAAGTAACAGCAATGCAGAGGCAGGCAATGGTCCCAGCAACAGTAAGAGGGTGGGTGGTAGCAATATCAGGAGGAGGAAGTTGCATGCTACTTAGATGTATTCTCCCAGGGCAGTCAGTCAGTCAATTACATTTATATTCTACCTTTCCTCCAAGGAGCTCACAGTATTGTACATAACTCTTTCCCACTCAAAGCACTACACCACGCTGGTTCACTCTTACCCGCCCTGGGATAGCAACAAGCCACATTAACAGCCAGAAATCCTCTTCACTATGTTTGGAGGAGGCAGATCTACGATGGGTGCATACGATGGGAGCCAACATCATAATCTATTTGCGTAGAGAGGACGACGACATTAAGGCTGCTTCTAGCTGTGCTACTCCCTGGGGGCGAGTGAGTAACTGCAAGCGTTTTCCAGATCACTGCTCAAGGTGTCTTGCCATATTTAGGTACATGCATGAATGCCAACTGGTAAAGTTTTGGGGGAGCTGGGAAGTCTGTATTTATCTGAAGGGATAATTTACTACTAACTTCCAACAGAAATGCCAAAAGAAAACTCCACCACAATAATCCCAAATACAGAAACATATTGGACACCCACCCACCCCATTATCTGAAGCATTCATCCTCTATTTCATATAATCCTAGAAGGGACCCCGAGGGTCATGTAGTCCAACCCGATGCAATGCAGGAATCTCAACTAAATCAATTCTCACTAAGGTATTAATCATCTTTTGTTGACACCTTTTATAGAATGGCTGGCAGGCAAGAGTCCAAAGGTCTGTATTTTCAATTTTTTAAAAAAATATATAATTCATTTCACTAAGTCTATCAATCAAACAAAAAGCTGATGCAAAACAAGGAAGCAAAACCCATTATTGACAAACAGATCAAGCCCAGTTTTAAAACCAGAATATAGCATGATCAAAGGAAGCAAAGAGTATCATGCAAGTTAAACACTAGAGTGTAAGTGTAAACATGGCTTTCAAAAAAAAAAAATAGATGGAGAAGGGACTCTTAGAGAGCCAATCCTGATGAGTCATTTTCTCTAGGAACATAGGTGCTGTCAGAGTGTTTATCAACATTTTGGATGACATGGATTAGTTGCTTTCCAGCACTACAATCTTCAACTCTAACAAATTTGAAGCCTTCCAAATCCAATGCTCTTCTTATCATTACTCTACTAGGTCCCTTTCCTATTACGGCATAACTAATAGCATAATCCTATGCATGTTCACTCAGAAAAAAAACCAAGTGTGTTTCATGGAGTTTAACTCAAGGAAAGTACGCATAGAAACGCAGCCTAAATCTGAAAGCTTGCAAAGTGGCAACCATGTGTGCAGTGATATTAGGCAGAACATTTTTCAAGATGGAAATTTTCCCAACACTATATTCCACAGAAAAAAATCCATTTCTAAAAAATGTGTTGTTTTATGAAGGTAACATAATGGACACAATCCCAGTAAAACCAGACAATTTCAGGTGACTATCCCTATGAAGCATGCATTTACATTACCGCTTTGGGTACACGCTAAAATTCATGTTCTCTCTTTTTGTTGTTAAAATTTAGAATGTGTTTGAGATGTGTATGCTATTTATCTGCATTTCTTGAACTATTACCAAATATTCCAATTAAGATAGTATCAATTTGTTCAAAATAAATCACGTCAGGGCCTGATTTGCACAGCACAGGTAAGTCAAACTCTGGCTTACTGTGAACAAGCAAGCATATCTTTTCCCAGAGTGCAGAGAAAACCAGAGTGTTGGTTTCACACATGTGAACTATAAAATGCAGCTTCTTCTCATAGTTAATTCGGAGATAAATGAACCACAAGCACTGATTTGTAGGTTTCCACCCACTTGGGAATAGCAGTATGGACACAATTTTAACAAGATATGTGAACTGGGCCTATATGTGCTTTATTTTTTTAAAAAAATCCAAATGAAAAATATCAGATCAATGTCAGCTATTAGAAAAACCTTTGAGATATTTATACAGCATGTAAAATTAACGTGGTGTATTTTAACATTTTGTTTACTAAATATAAGCAAAACGTGCTAAATCAGAGCCTAAAACACAATTGATTTAGGAAATCAAAGGCACTTCTGGAAAACCCCATCACTGTATGATCAGACATCTGTATACTGTTCCAATTCATGAGAGTTTAAATAAATGTGTGAACAACACCAATGACTGCAAGCATTCACATGAAAGAATGGAGAGTATGCACAAACTAGCAGTGTGAACAGCATGTACGGGTTTTCACACATTGTCCAATAGTCGTGAATGTGCATAAGTCAAAGATTTTTAGCTCTAGGTCTAGAACAAGGGTGAGGGACCTGCGGCCCTCAGACACCATGATCCATGGTTATGGATGAAGGCGGATGTTAAGTCCAACAATATCTAGAGCAGGGCATCCAATTTTTCATACTAAGTGGGTCGCAAGAGTACTTCAACATGGAACCTGTGCGTCATACACTGCCTTGTCATGCAGGCACGGGGAAGGCCAAAATTTGACGCACACACACCCAGCTTTTGTGCTGCCTTCCAAAAGCCAAATAACTGGCCTTTGGAAGGAGAACTGAGGCTCTGGCAGCATTCTGGAGCCCTCCCACATCCTTCCCAAAGCTGGGAAAGCGGTAACTAGGCTTTGGAAAGGAGTTGGAGGGACTCTAGGACCCTGTCATGACCCTCACACTGCCTTCCTAAAGCCCAGTGACTCACATATCTATCTTTGGGTAGCCAAAATGAGGGCTTGGCAGGGGGCATAAAATGCTGTCGAGGACCAGCTAAAAAGGTCTCCATGGCTGCTCACTGGACCACCCTGGTCTAGAGGGCCACAGGTTCCTCAACCACGCTCTGGAATGCTCTGAAGATGTTCAGTGCAGGAGCAGGGTTTTCCATGTGAGTTCTGACACACAGACCACAAATATTATCCTTATTGATGTTGTCAGTTTGTACAGAGTCTCCACACACCTTCATTTGAGTTTGCAGCTTTCAGGGCTTATGTTCGCTTTACACTAATCCCAAACTTTAGATTTCCTACCTGCTAGCAAAATAAAGAAATAATAGTAATAATAGTGCTAATCTACATTTCCTAAGTAATTGATTTAAATAATGACACAGAGATTCTGAAATACTATTATCTCCTGTAGTCAGTAACATAAAAAATACATTTTTAACTTACACAGGACCAATCTAGAAAAAGTTGGTCTCGTTTAGGTGTAACTAACTCTCCCTACATTGGGAGCAATGCAAGAAAGACATACTTCTGCAGTTCCGTGGTTTTTATAAAGTACATGTCTATGAAATTATATCAAAAGGCTAAAATATCTAGGACTTCCTGTCTGACCATGTGCTAATCCACAATGTGGTCTTTAAAATTTACAGTTTGTAAAAATATACCTATACTGTACATTCATTTATATTCATATTATGATATATGCTGTTGCTTTCCTTGCCAATCAAGGACATTTCTCATGGTCCATTAGCACAATGTCTGCCCTTAAATTTACTTCCTCCCTATCTTATTATGTGCATTTATGCATTAAGGAAGAAGATTAATTCCAATTAGATGCCAGTTTCATCTCACAGTTAAAATGTATTCCTGAACAGCATGAGCTATCAGCTCCTTCATTATGTATATGTATGTGTATATATATTATATATATACACATATATATCAAACACAACAATGCTCTCATTAGTTTCACCCCAGTATTAGTGCCATTCTTTTTAAGAGAAAACCTAAAATCATAGTTGGCATTCTTTGCCTGTGCTATTTTCATCTCCATCCTCTTCCCTAACGTCATCACCTCCATTTTATTGGCATAACATTTATAGCTCATATAGAACCAGGTTAGGGATGGAAAAACTGAACACAACCCAATTAGCATTTTAATTCCGAGTTTCTATTTCTACAGCAAAACGACTAAACCCTTTCATTACATTTCTCCATTCTGAAAATACATCTTAAAAAAAAATCACCAAAATGAAAATGTGCCTTCCTTGATCCCCTACTCCACCCCACACACCATTTTATGCATTTTTCTTTGCTGAGAATATCTTGCATCTCTATGATAAAATTAAAGCAATCCTGGTTGATTACAGTAGCTTGCTCTCCCTTTTAAAATTTACAAATCAAATTAAATGCCTATTATTGTAAAGCTATACAAAGCATACAGTAGAGGCTCTGTTTTAATTATATGCCCTATATCCTCCTGATTAGCTGAGATACATCTACTGCATTGGAACTGTGCTCTCTTATGCCCATTTTGATGAATATTCAACATAAAATCAGAATTTAGGTTTACTGAATCAGTAATTATGCCATCGTCTCCTATAAAAGAAATGGATATCACAATATAGATCTGAGATGGAAAGATTAATGTAGGTTTAGTAACAGAACTAGTGTTGCTACATATGAAACATAATTTATTTAGTATACATTCTAGTGTCAAAAATTAATCTTACAGCAAAGATGGTTGAGCAGGTTTGATACCCATGCTACATACCAAGAAAACCAAAAGGTTACATAAATAATGCAAAATTAAATTACTAATGGATATTAGAAGCAGATTGACAGAAAAAATGATTGTTCTAAAAACACTTCTGAGTCATTTTGTCCTTACTTGCAGGCATGAACCATTACTGCATGCAGTGACTGCTCCATTTCCTAGCACAGACTTGAAGCAGCATCACATCTCTCACACGGAATGTGACTAATTCATAGGTTTGCAATTCCTAAGCTATTAGCAAAGGACACTCCCTTTCAACCTAACATACTGCTTTTAACAGAATTTATTTTCTCTTAACCTAAATTCAAGTACAATCCTATTTTTAAGTGACATTATCTGATATATGCATGTGTATGTATGTACATGTGTGTGTGTGTTTGTGTGTGCGTGCAACATCTCTCAATCTAGATTTAAAAATCAAGATGCTTTCATGGGTGGAAACACACACGGAAACACACACACACACACACACACACACACACACACACTGCAGCAACAGTATAAACACGTATGTACCAGACGATGTATTATGGATTTGCATGCTGCACAGATTAGCCCTCATTTTAAAAAAAACATGAAATAATAAGCATTTGCCACTGTCGCAAAGCTTAACCAGCAACAGATTCAATTAATAGATTACAATGTCAAGCATGCAATACATCAACACAATTGGCACACTGGACAGGAAAAATACCCTATACTGCGTCTTAGCATTACTACACCATTAATTGTTCATGCAGGAGATGTAGCTGTACCTTTCTGAAGAGGACGACTTCTCAGAGTTAACTGACATCAGCAGCTCAATCTTCTGCTTGATTTCTGGAAAAATCAGAAAATATTCACAACCAAAGACTGCCTGCCCTTGTTTTCCAATGCCTTATTCGAGAGAGATCTTTCCCCCTAATAATCCCCTTTGTTCCAAATGAAGCCACAAGATTCACTGTACTTCTGCAGAGGCAGATTCTATGGTGCTATAAAAGAAAAAGCTCCAGAGGCATCAGGCCTTGCTAAACTATGCACATGACTGTTTATGAAAGCAGGAAGTACCATTTCTTTTACACAGAGGGGTGTTTCCTCTTTTGAGGTTGAACAGACATTTACCAGATGATTCTGAGAACAGACTGCATGCAGAGGCACATTCCAGCTACTACGAAAAATCCAACAAATGGTTTATTGAGATACACAGCGAGACAGCAAGAAATCTTTTTGTTGAAATATGCCATCGCTTCAAGAGATTCCAGGCTGGGGGAGGGGGACTGAATCGCTGTCACAAGGAAGGTGTTTACATGTTAATATATGGATTGGAAATATGAGCAGTATTAAATAACCTGCATTTCCAGATTCATAGGGCACCAAATCATGAAAGTAAAAAAAAATATTTTCTCCCTTCTGAAGCTTCCCCCTTCTAATGCTCTCAACCAACAAACAGCAACACCCTCAGACCTGGGCTGGCATATAATATTTCCCCAAGTTGAAATTGTCTGAGAACACCAACTAGATGTTAAAAGGATAATCAATTTTACTCTCTTTTCTGGGAAGGGTGGGGAAGGGAACTGCCATACCATCTGTGATTTCCATGTCAAAATCAAAGCTTATACATTTTTTTAATGTTTTCAAATGTTCTATTTTCTAAGCGGTTTCTCATTAGTTTTATGACAACTGTATGAAAATTGCAGCATTGAACTACACACTTAATATGTATGAAATATGCTTCAAATGTTAACAGGTTTCCTGCAAAACATACTGAAACATTCAGCAACATCTCAATATGCTAGATACCTAGAAAAATAACAACTAAAATTGAATTTCAGCGAGGAAGAGAACCAGTCTTAGTGCCAAATATGGCCACATTGAGACCATACATTTATTGGAAGTGATACCCCTTTGAACAGTCATGGCCTCTCCCAAATAATTCTGGGAGTTGTATTTTGTAACTGGGGTGATAGCTGTTAAGAGACCATTATTTGCCTTACAGAGCTGTGATTCCCAAAGTTCCTTGCAAAGAGAGATTGTTTATTAAACCCCTCTAGGACTTGAACTCTGTGAGGGGAATAGGGGTCTCCTAACAGCTCTAAGAGGATGGGGGTGGCACTGTGGGTTAAACCAAAGAGCCTACAGCTTGCCGATGAGAAGGTCGGCGGTTCGAATCCCCGCGAAGGCGTGAGCTTCCGTTGCTCGGTCCCTGCTCCTGCCCACCTAGCAGTTCGAAAGCACGTCAAAGTGCAAGTAGATAAATAGGTACCGCTCTGGCGGGAAGGTAAATGGCGTTTCTGTGCGCTGCTCTGGTTCGCCAGAAGCTGCTTAGTCATGCTGGCCACATGACCCAGAAGCTGTACGCCAGGTCCCTCAGCCAGTAAAGCGAGATGAGCGCCGCAACCCCAGAGTCGTCCGTAACTAGACCTAGTGGTCAGGGGTCCCTTTACTTTTACCTTTAACAGCTCTATGCACACTTAAACTACAGCTCCCAGAATTCTTTGGGGAAACCCATGACTGTTTAAAGAGCTTTAAATGCATGGTATGATTGTGACCTATGTTAAGCACATAAGTTTGACATGGCACAATTCTTTTTTACTTTTAAAATGGAAGCCCGAGGGAGGACAATTGGGATTAGGACTCTAGGGCTCGGGGTCCATTATTTTCTCCTGTGTGGTAGTCCCAACAAATAATCACACACACACACCCCTCTGCAACTCTGAAGTTACTTAGCCTAGGAGGGAACGCTACTGGTGCCACTGGCATCATCCCTCCCACGGGGCGGGGGTATCTATTAGGATCGGAGTTTTCAAGCCACTCCTGATTCCCCCCACAGCCCCTTTTCTAAAAGTTAAAAACATTCATACAGTAACCTATCTGTTTAAGGTAAGATTCAGTTTGGACCAAAGATGGGGAATAAATGACTAGGTAGCAACAGTTCTAAAGAAAATTTAAGAAATCTAGTAGGCACCAACTAATTGTTGACGTGCAAAAGTTCAAAGACATTTTAGATTACATTCAAAGAAGTACTGTTCCGAAGATTCAGCAAAAAGCACTGTTCAACTCAACAGTTATCAAGCCTCATTGTGAGAACAGTGGTACCTTGGTTTACGAACTTAATCCGTTCTGGAAGTCCGTTCTTAAACCAAAGTGTTCTTAAACCAAGGCGTGCTTTCCCATAGCAGCGGGGGACTCAATTTACAAATGGAACACACTCAACAGGAAGCGAAACATGTTCTTATTCCAAGGCAAAGTTCACAAACCAAAACACTTTCCGGGTTTGCAGCATTCTTAATCCAAGTAGTTCATAAACTAAACTGCTCTTAAACCAAGGTACCACTCTACTGTGTTCACTTTCAAGTGCTACATTTAAAATGATAGACAGCTGGAAAACACTAATAGAAAAGCTACACATATGGGTTTAGCTTCAATCCACTCAAGCAAAAGTTGAATGAACGAAGTCTGCTGATCCAACGTGAGGGGGGGAGGAATTCTGTCAGCTCAAAAATATTTAAGAAGGTGAAATGAGGGAGAAATAAAGAGGTAATAATAATTTATTCCATTCAGTATAAGACGGGAAACTACCCTTTATATTTCGAATTTTATTCCTCAAGGGCAGCTAAAAACAGAATCATAGAATTTGAAGGGACCATGAGAATCATCTAGTCCAAACCCCTGCAATGCATAAACATAAACCACGACCCTGAGATTAAGAGTCTCATGCTCTACGGATTGAGCTATCCCAGCAGTCAAGAAACCATGGATTCTCTTTCAGAAATTATCGAAAGTCTTGTTAGGAATGCTTTTGTATCGTTTCGCTCCAGCTCTTTGGGCAATACTCGGAGTCATACTCAGAGTAGATCTACTGATTTCAGCGCTGGATATCACCCTCTAATCCTACGATTAAGAAAGCAAAATGGAGAGAATGTGTGAACAAAGCAGAACTTGGAAAAGAGTGGTTACAAATATATAGATCACATAGATCAGGGATGCACAAAAGGTAGATCTGGATCTACTGGTGATTAGCAGTAGTTCAGAAAGGCTTTCTGAGCCCCAGTTGTTTAACCATGGCAGCAACAAAATGGCCTTTCCCTTTAAATTAAGAATGCTGAAATAAAGAAGGCAACGAGGAATGGACTTTTATGAGGTAGGACTGTGAGCTCAATTCTGGTACCCAAAACAAATTCCTGATCTCAGCAGCTGCTCATTGGCATCCTGTTCTTTAATTTATTTTGTGCCTCGGCCCAGCTGATGGCTCCTGAGGGTTTAACACCACACAAAGCAGGTCCTGGAAGTCTGCCCTCCCCCAATCTATGAACTGCTGTTCAAAGGTGGATTTCTAACCTAATAAAGGAACGAGCATAAGGAGACCCCATTGGATCAGATCAAGGGCCCAGCTAGTCGAGCATTCTGTTCTCACAGCAGCCAATCATAAGTTTGTGGGAAGACTATAAGCAGGTCCTGTTTAAAAGCATTTCCCCCCCTAGTGATTCCCAGAAACTGGCATTTAGCACCATAATGCCTCCAACAGCGGAGACAGAATATAGCCATCGTAGCTAGAAGCGTCTGATAGGCTCATCCTCTTTTAAAGCCATCCGAGTTAGTGGACCTAAGTTCATGTTATGGGAATGAATTCCATACTTTTGCTATGTACTGTGTGAAGAAATACTTCACTCTGCCTCTTCTGAATCTTCCAGAAATAAGCTTTATTGGATGGCCTCAGGTTCTAGTTTTACGAAAAAGGGAGGAAATAAATCTCCCTATCCACTTTCTTCACAGCATGCATAATCTTACACCTCTACCATGTTATTTGCCTTTTTTCTATTATAAAACAACCCAAATGTTTTAAATTTTACTCACAAGAAAGTTGTTCCACTACAATTTAGGTTGCCCTTTTCTGAACTCTGCCCAACTTTACAATGTCCTTTATGAGATGAGACATTCCCAAGAGTAGTCTTAACATAGATTTTTTTATCACAGCACTATTATATTGGCAGGTCTACTACCAATCGCTTTCCTAATGATCCCTAACATGGAATTCACCTTTTTCACAGCTGTTCCAACTACATTGAGCTATCCACTATGACCCCAAGGTCCTGTTTCTGGTCAGTCGCCCCCAGGTCAGACCCCACAAGTGTATATGTGAAGTGGGGATCTTCACCACACACACACATAGTGTGCAACCCTTTACACTTGTTTACACTGAATCTCATTTGTCATTTTACTGCCCATTTACCTCCTCACAATCTCTTTTTCTTTCAACAACCTTGAACATTTTGGGGGGGATCATAAAATCTGGCAACCTCATTGCTCATCCCTAACTCTAGGTCATTGCTGATCATATCATCTAAACACCCCCAGACCAACACTTAACTACTGTAGAACAAGTAATACCTATACAGTAACTTGCTCCTTAGTCCCATTATACATGTATACTGGAAACCTACAAAGGCATTTTATTTACCTAGCAGTAACATGCATGTAAAAACCAGTTTTCAGTCTCAAGATCAAGGCAGAACAATCTAACAGTAGGAGAACCAAGAAAGAAAGACTGGTAACATATCTGACTTTCTCTTAGTTTTCAGAGATAGGTTGAAAAGGTTTTAGGATGCATTTAAAAAATAAAAAAAAGAAGAAAGCATTGTGGTAGGTATCTTAAAGAGTAGGGGAGAAATTCACACTTCCTGAAACAACTCAAACTGCAGCTATCATTCAAGGGAACACCAAAATAAGTCAATGTCTTATGTACCCTATCAGTGGTTGAACTCAAGTTGTTACTTTACAAGCTACTACCTTCTGCAATGATTATTTGAATCCATTAAATACTGAACTCAAACATGTTATATGGTTTGATATACAGTGTGACTGCTTTTTAAGAGTCCAAACAGAGAATGAGATAAATGAATACATAATGTAGATTATGAATTATCTACAAATTGTACTATTTAAGATAACAGGAATATCAGTGAATAGCAGAAAATAGTTTGAAAGTGGTTGATAGTTATACAAAATGCTGATGGAAGCTATTTTTTCAGCATAATCTGAGACTACAAAGCCATATACCGTATTTTTTGCTCTATAAGACTCACTTTTTCCCTCCTAAAAAGTAAGGGGAAATGTGTGTGCGTCTTATGGAGCGAATGCAGGCTGCGCAGCTATCCCAGAAGCCAGAACAGCAAGAGGGATTCCTGCTTTCACTGCACAGCGATCCCTCTTGCTGTTCTGGCTTCTGAGATTCAGAATATTTTTTTTCTTGTTTTCCTCCTCCAAAAACTAGGTGCGTCTTGTGGTCTGGTGCGTCTTATAGAGAGAAAAATACGGTATGTTATAAGTTACGGTATATATTATAACTGAAGGTTTTGCAGCATGCTCAGAGTTGAGATGGGTCCTCTGAGGAGACAGGTTGTGCCATTTATCCCAGCACTGGCTGGCAGGAGGCAGAACCCTGAGAATGAAGTGTCACAGAACACATATGGTTGCTAACACATAATGCTCTTTAGAAGAGCAGCCCACTACAAGAAGCTGCCTGCATGTCTGGCACAGGGAACAGCCAAAAAGTTATAATGAGGGCTATAGCATGCCACTTAGCTGGTGTCCTGAATAATTCCTGAATAACAAATCTAGTGTAGATTTTTAATTCACATACAGTTCAATTGTACAACTGGATACCCAGATGAGTTTAATGGTACTTGCTCCCAAATAAGCAACCACAAGGAAAAAGTCTAAATCTCTGAACAGTAGCATTGACTATGGTAGATTATTTGCAGGTTATCTGCAAATATTAGGTCTACTTTATACAAATGTCCTGCTCATGGGCTTCCCATAGACATCTGGTTGGCTACTGTGAAGGTAGGACTAAGGCTCTTGATTTGTTGCTCTCATCATTCTCAAGAATGAATCAACCATGCTGGCTAGAGTTGATAGCAACTGGAGTCTATTATCATCTGGAGGGTCTCTGGTCTAATCAGCAACATGAGTCTTACGTTCCTAATCAGCAAGCTCCCTTAAATTAGAAACAGGTTGATCGGGATCCTGTGCATATGGACTCTGAAGAAAGTCCCACTGATTTAACAGGGTTTATTCCAATGTAACTCTGCATAGGTATCAGAAGACACAAGGAAACCTGGTTTGTAGAAGTACAACCCCTGCCCAAAACACCACAATGAGCACTGAAAACACTCAGTGGACATGAAATACTGACAGACATAAACTTGAGTAGCAGAATTCTACACAGCAACGTTTTGCTGCAGATTCACTTTTTTAATGTAAAGTCATCATTCTGGCCTTTTGTACGGTAATTATATAGCTTTTAATTTAAAAAAAATGTACATTTTCTGGTACAAACCAAACTCTGCATATGAAGTTGTGGGTTTGGCTTTTGCTTCTGACAATAAGGTCTACCCAATTTTATTGCTGCATGCCATACTGTAGTGGAATTAGGATTTCCAGCAGGCTATTAGAAAATAATGACTGATAACCATGCCTGGACCTGTTTTGCAGCTTCTGTTTATACATGAGACCACAAATCAAACAGGAAATGGCCACAGAAAGCTCCTGACAGTATTAGTAAGTAAGTAGTAAGTACTTTACCTAAAGATATATATATTAAACATTAAACAGGAAAAAAACGTTCCTATTCTCCACTCTGGAGGGGAAAAAAACAAGTTACAAGAAGAACACATAAACAACCTCCAGAAAGAAAACATTCCTATTCTTGCAGGCTTGGCTAATTAAAACTGTACAGACATTGTTTATTCCTATGGTATGTATTTATTGTTTTTATATTGTAAACCACCCTGTGTTCCTTGGATGAAGGGCAGTATAGAAATTTAATAAATTAATTAATAAATACGATTTAGATAAATAAATAGGAAATATCTGACAATGTCAATGTTTTATTGGAAGCAGATGTTTGTTTGGATTACAAGCCTGGCTCCTACAAAATTATTCATTTGAATTAACTACAAAAAGCGGCAACACATGCTGGCTTAATACGACACTGAAATGTCATAAAAGTTTGAGACATTTTTCCATGCAGGAAAACTAATTTGCCCTTCACCTCCCAAGAGCTTTGGGTTGCATCGTGCCTCTGCCTCTCTGGTTTAGCTTCTATAGTAAGCAGACCAAAAACTGTAACTGGAGCAAACCCACAGGGCATTTTGTATAGTCCTTGTTATTCCTCTTAAGCAATCGATTATGCATAGTTAACCCAAACAGAATGCCTAAGAAGTAAAAAAAAAACCAAAAACTGTGTATATTGAGTTCATAATTATATCATCTCATTATAGACTTCCTGATCTTAGCTACCCTTTTTAATTAAAACTATTTTTTTTAATAGCAAGAAAATGCCAGAGGAAAATTTGCAGCTAGTGTTTTGGTGGTTCAGCTAGATATGAGGTAGCAGTTGCTTGGAGTCGCAAACAATTTGCACAGTTCACCTAAAACTCTTTAAAATCTCATCTATTTAATTCGCACCTCACCTCTCCAATTGGAACCAGCACAATCACAACCATAATAACCCTAGTGGTGCAGCAATAAAACTGCTAGCATGTTTGCAAAGCTAAGCAGTGTTTGGCATGGTTTCAAATTGGATGGGGGACTGTGTGTTGAAATTCCTGCATTGCAGGGGGTTGGTCTACATGACCCTTGGGGTCCCTTCCAACTCTACAATTCTATGATCCATGATCTATGTTTACTTGGAAATACCACAATTTAATGGGCTTCAAACCCAGGTGAGTGTGCTTAGAATTTAAGGGTATTCAATTTTAGCTAGATAATGGTCCACAACTCCAACAGAATTGGGGGGAAATTAGAAAGTTAAAACTTCAAAATAAGCATTTAGCAAATTATCAAGATCATGATTTTTTTATAAAAAAAAAAATTATACCCCATACATATCACACCCAGAAGTTTCTTACATGCTTAACAGTTTCAACAATTCTGCAGTAAGATCTGAAAATAAGGTCTTATCCGTAAGGATGGTGACTCATTTTTGGTAAGGTGTTCTTTATGGTTCTGTAACACATTCAAACATTCAGCTAAAACAATCTGAAGAGAAGGGGCACTGATATTTAAGGAACAGATACAGAAAAATAAAGAAGAAAATAACATGTTGGAAAGAAGTGTTCCAACTTCCAAAAAGGTATATCCTGAAGCAATATGGAATAGATGAAGAAGCGACTGCTTTTACTAAAAGAATTTATCATTAGATAAGATCCACACGTTTTTAGAGTTGGCAAAGGTAGAAATAAGCAGAGGTTAGCCTGTCACAATCATGCTCATTTTCTTACTGAAGCACCATAAAAATGGATGAGGAAAATAATGCTAGTTATGGAGCTCTTGAGTAAAATTGAGATCTATTGGTAAGTCAAACACTTGGGTGCAGAAAACAATTCAAAAAAGTTTGTGATAAGAACAATGTTGTGAAAATTAAATCTAAGGAGGAGACTATGCTGAGAATGAATAGGTAGAGAGCACAATGCCATATGGATAAGGCTGCTCATGTGAACGAATTGTGGCTTCTTTCAGAATAAAACTCAGGCGATGCATGCAGGGAAGAGAGACAAAACACAATGCTTGCATTAACATTGGTTGGCCTAGCCCCTAGGTGTTCTCATTTCTCCTTCAAGCAGAATGAAGACCCAAGAGAAATTATTATTGGTTTCCAAGACTATGGCTGCATTCCTAAACAAACTTACTTGGGAGTAACACAATGAAAAAAGTAGGGTTTACTTATGGGGACATAGGCTGTCACGTCCATGTCATATAATAAAACAGGGTGGTCCAACCTCACATGGCCTTTTTTTGGTAGCCCCAGACATGGCAGGGAACAGGAAATAGTGGTTCCTGGGATGGTGGTGGCATTGGGAAGGAGGCATCAAGGCTCTGACAGGTCCCAGAGTCCTCTCACCTCTTTCCCAAAGGCTACTTAGCACTTTTCCAGCTTTAGAAAGGAGGTAGGAGAGCTCTAGGATCCTTTCAGAACTCTCACATCTCTTTCCCAGTGTCACCACCATCCCAGGAACCACTATTTCCTGTTCCCTGCCCTTCAAACTGGAACAGTAGCTAATAGACATAACCAAGATAGAAGACAAAGCATTGATCTCAAGGACTGGATCCACATTACAGCCTCTTGCATTTGCAAGCTGGTGCAAAAGCTAATGATGCTCATGAAGTCCAATGTATGGAACACCACACTGTAAGTCCCTTGTTTATAATGCAGCTCCATGCAACATGGCACTGAGGTGCATTAAAAAAAAATATTTTGTTTGATTTACTGTTTGTTTTTATTTGTATAGTTGCACTGTTTCACTGCTTGCTCCCCTGAGCTACTTTAAGAGGAAGGGTTGGGAAAGCAATTGAATGCACAAATAAATAAAAATAATAGTGGGAGGATCTACCCTTAACATGCAAGTTCCAGAATATACACAATGTAAACCAAAGTAGCCAACGAGGTGCCCTTCTAAGATCCATCAGTCCCAGCCAGCACAGCTAATGCTCAGGAGTTACAGGAAACATACTCCAAAACACATGGAAACCATCCATTTGGCTACCCCTGATCTAAACCACAATTAAACAGTAAAGCTAAAACAGCATAAAACAAAATTCAGACATAAAGTAGCAGCAGTGACAGAAATTCAAATGCACAATACACCTCACCCTGCTCAAAAAGTCTGGGCAAAGAAGTGTGTCCTTCACCTAACAGTGAAACTACATCAGTGGTCATAAGTACCTTCCACTGTTGGAAACGGAATGCTACACTAAGTGGAATCTTGGTCTGATCCAATTTCTTGTGGGTTTTTGGAAAAGGCTGCGAACATGGGGCTATACTGTACAAATTTATAATCATGTCTGAACTTTGATAGCTCATTTACACATATAATTCACCACCCAAATGATTAATGTGTGCATGCATGAACCATTCTTTCAACAGTGAAGAGTAACAAGCACAGAATAAAGCATTCAAATGTCTGTAAGAGCTAAAACAAAGTAACTAGATCAGCATCCAAGGTTATCTCCAGATGGAGAAACATACGTACAGTGGTGCCTCGCAAGACGAAATTAATCCGTTCCGCGAGTATCTTCGTCTAGCGGTTTTTTCGTCTTGCGAAGCAACCCTATTAGCGGCTTAGCGGATTAGCACTATTAGCGGTTTAGCGGCTATTAAAGTCTTAGCGGCTTAGCGGATTAGCTGCTAAAAGGCTATTAAAGGCTTAGCGGCTTAGAAAAAGGGGGGGGAGCGGGAAAAAAATCTCAAGCCTCGCAAGACATTTTCGTCTTGCAAAGCAAGCCCATAGGGAAATTCATCCTGCGAAGCGCATTGAAAACGGAAAACCCTTTCGTCTAGCGGGTTTTCCGTCTTGCGAGGCATTCGTCTTGCAGGGCACCACTGTAATATGTAGTGAGGTTCTAGGAGAACTTGTGAGAGTTTGATTCCTTGTTGCTGATGAAATACATTTTGATAATGATAATTAGCTTTACCTAAGAACATATCAAGGAATACAGAGCTGTTTTGTGAATTTTCCATGATTCCTGGGTTCTGAGGATTCAACGTGCTTCTGTGTTGTTGTGGGTGTCCTTCTCCCCAGCCATTTCTTCCTTCGATCTTCCTCCCTCTTTCCATGTATTTTCTCTCTCACTGTTCTGTAACCATGTGAATTCTTCCTGAACTTACTACCTTGCCTGAATACTTAACTGACAAACCACCCTTTTGTTCACTGGACATATTGTGACATCAGAAGGTGCTGGGGCCAGTTATTGAATATGTAGGCCCCCACATGCAGGCTTTTTGCATATGTATTAAAGCTACCCTAAGGTTATTGATTTCTGTATGAATTGGAGCATTGTATTAATATTGGTGAGTCTAGCTCTATAGCATTTCTCTGTCACTGTTCGGCTACGTCCTTATGGAAGGTCTCTTTAAAAGTTATTTTATGGATTCAGCAAGCTCCACTGGTGTCAAAGGAAATGATACTTTTAACATAGGGTGTCTTGCCTGTTTCCTACTATTGATCAGAAGAGAGTGAAAGGAATTCTGGAACTCAGCATGCAAGAGAAAGTTCATATAATAGAAATAAAATTCCTAAAACATATTTATTTGGGGGGTAGGGGATCTCTGGATTTGTTCCAGTAATGAAGCTTGTGTATTTCCATTAAATCTAGACTGGCCTACCCTTCACTTCTCCCTCTATGTTTTTCACAGTGACTTCTCTCTCTCTCTCTCTCGGAGATGTCTGTATTTTAGGGTGTGTGATATATGGCATCATGCTATGTGTAACATGTAGTAAGAAATACTGACCTTTTCTACCTCATAAATAGTGTGAACTGAAACAAAAAGTTGCAGTATATTCCTTCTAAAATACCGTATTTTTCTGTGTATAAGACACCCCCATGTATAATACGCCCCCTATTTGGGGGGACTCCAAATTAGGAAAACACCCCTCAGCACTACCCATGTATAAGACGAGCCTCAATTTTAAACCTATTTTTTTGGTTTAAAAAAACTAGTCTTATACACGGAAAAATACGGTAAGTTTGCTTGTTTGGGTTCCATAAGAAGAGCCCTGCTCGATCAGAACAAAGGCCCATCTAGCCCATCCTGTTCTCACAGTGGCCAGCTAGTTGCCTATGTGATTCCCACAAGGTCTGGGTGCAACAGCGCTTTCCCCACTTGCAGTTCCCAGCAACTGGTATTCAGAGGCACACTACCTCCAACAGAAGAAGTAGAACTCAGCTACTGTGGCTTGTAGTGTCAAGAATGCAAACCAGAACCAGAGGAGGAGGGCAAAGAGACAAAGGCAATGGCACCAGTTTTCAAAAGTGCCTTTTTAATTTCATCTATTCATTCTCAATCATACAACATGTCCACACACACTCTGCAGGGATACAGCTACCAAAGATAGTTGCTCTGTCTTAACTAGATGGCCAGTCTAGTAGCAGAGGGATGAAGCGGGGTGATAGTGAAGCTTCACATTGGTCCTTGCAGTGCTGCAGAGGTCTTCACCCCAAAGTTCTTATATTCTCTCTGTCCTTTCGACTGATGTGTTGGCTGTAGGGTTCCTTTTCGATTGTGAAGGCTATTATGTCTTACCTTATCAGGGTACCTTTACGCAAATGGACACAACCATCCAGAAACATGATATTTCTTCTTCTTCCAAAGAAGGAAGTTAATAAAGTCCTGTTTATAGCCACAAGTGACTTTTTTTCTTTTAGCAACCCTACAGAACCCCAAGTATTTAGACATCCATCTCATATATACAATAATTTTTTCTCAAGTTTTACTGCCTGTGTAACTTTTTCCAAATGCCGTTTAAAAAAAGCACATGAACCTGACCTTTAAAGAGTTTGTAAGTAAACCAATTTTAACTTACCAGGCCACCCACGACAATTGGGATGAAGCACCCGCTCAGGTGGCAGAAGTGTAAGAGGCAGCACTCTGCCCATTCCACTGCTTCTGCCACTGAGAGGGAGGCATTCCCAGGTGTGTCACTGCTGCTCCTCTTCCTCACCCTCTGGAGGAAAAGCCAAGTGAGTGGCAACACTCTGAGGAGCACCTGGCTCCTGCTGGATTCAGCAAGAGCCAGAGTGGGGCAGCAGTGGGGCACAGGAGGAAGCAATTTCCATTTCACCTCAGATGGCAAAATGGGAGGAGACATCCTAGCCCAGCTTGTTCACACCAAAAATTGTGACACAGTCACTCAAGATGATTGACAGTTTAGAAAAAGCCTTTGGATTTACAGAGATAGCAATGTCCTACTAGTTATTTCCATTCCACTAGGTTTCCATTATGTGGACGATCGATATACTCTCCTCTAAGACCAAGCTCTCCAGCTCACCTGTCTTGGCTCTGTGGCTTATATAAACAGCCTCTTTCTCCAAACATTTTCAGCACATATGTTTTACCCTAAGGTATAATTGCTACAATGTGCTCCTGCACCCTCCATGCCCAGTTTTACCCCTCTCCACTTTTCATTTCCCCTCTAATTCTTGGGGGATCATTTGTTCTAAACTGGTTGCTCCTTAGTTCCCATTGCCTACCCCCTGCAATCAGTTTAATAGTTGCTCTAACTATAAAAAAAAATATCAGCATCAACAGTCCAGTTCCAACCCTGTTTGAGCAGAACCTGTCCTTTTTCTACAGACCTAGCTTGTCCCAAAATGTTCCCCTGCTTCTAAGAAATCCAAACCACTCCTCCTGGCACCATTTCATCCATATACTGAGATGACACAGCTGTGCCTGTCTAGCTGGCCCTGCACATGGTATTGCTAGCATTTCAGAGAAAGCCACACTGAAGGTCCTGGCTTTCAACATCCTTCCTAATAGTCAAAATTTCACTTCCAGGACTTTATAATTCCCCACATCACTGGTGCTAAAAGGCACCATGACCACTGACTCCTTCCTAGCACTATCCACCAGGCTATCTAGATGCCATGCAACATCTGTAAAATCCTGCCAGCATGGCCAACAACATGGGGGGAAATGACAGCTTCCCCACCTCTGCTTTAAAACCCACATCTGGCATATCTGGGAGACATTTTCTCCCATACGTCACTTCACTGTCTGTTGCTACACTTGCACTGTACTTCCCAGGGGAGCTCAGCCTAGTTACTTCCCTGGCATTACTTTATCAGTCAAGTTTAAAAATAAAAAGCTTTGCCAAGGCTTGAGTGGAAATGTGCCAGATAGTAATTTCAGGAGCTGACTATCGGGGACTATTGATGTTAACATTTTTCACCACTGATTTATTGGATTTTTATTGGGTGTTTTTTATTCTCTTCATATCTGCATTGCATTTTTAAAAGTAGTAAAACATCTCAGCTGCCTTCAGGAAAAGAACGTGTGGTTCATACAATATTTCAACTAAATAAACCTGCCATCTGTTTTGCATAAAATTTTTGAAGAGAAAGTCTGAACCAACAACTTAATCTCAAATAACAACAGATTAGCTAAGATAAGTAAAGGTTGTAGTTGCCATGGGACACGGCATGATGTCACTGCACTGCCATGGTAATCTCTAGGGAGACATTTATGCTCCTCTGGCCTACTTATTTTAAAACTCCCACCAATGATATAGCACCATGCTGATAGCACCCCCACATTAGCATAGAGAGAGACAATTCACATATGGCGATAGGGAAAAAACCTCTGAATTGCTCTGGGCAGCCACACAAAGAGCAAACTGCCAGTCTGTGATACACCATAGTGCCCTCTAACCAACCTTCCACAGTCTCTGATGGCAGAGAATGCCTTTCATCCAAGCAAGTAAAAATGTCTGGTGATCAGATGGCTTATATTTTGCGAGACTTGCAGCCAGATCCCATACAAAGTTAGATATGCCTAAACTCTCTCTTGGCACACCTAATTATTCATACTACCAGCTGCTACCACAGCAGCAAAAACAACCTGAACAGTGCACTGAGAAGGAAGCTGTGCTTCGCAAGGCAGTAACAGGGAGAAGATGAACAGAGATAGAGAGACCTCAAATGGAACAATTTGCTGTGCATATAGAAAGCGGGGAGTGTGTGTGTGTTATTCTGCTTCTTAATGCTCCGGCAAAGGAAGAAAGGGGTGGAAGTGGGCAGGGTAATCTTTTTTAAAGGGGGGAGGGGGGAGGTGTTTTCTCAGAATGCAAATAGGATGGGGTCAGGTTAGGAGGGAAATTCTGCTCTTTAGCCCAGCAACTAAAGAAGCAATAGGAGGAAGCAGAAGGGCAGGTTCCCTTACTGGAAGGATGGGGAAGCTGTGCCCATCCAGATGTTACTGAACTACCACTCCCATCATGCTGTCAGAGGCTGCTGGGAACTAAAGTCCAACAGCATCTGGTGGGGGCACAGGCTTCCCATCACTATAGTAGGAATGGCCTTGCTGCCCCCTCCTGCTTCTTCTTTAGTGAATTTTGGTGTACAAAGGCTTGCCTGCCTGTCATTCCCTTCGGGAACACGTCCCACTGCATAAAGGTGTATATTTGCTTGCATTCCCATCCCGTGGGACAGCAGGGCTTGTTTGAGGAAGACTCTCCAGGGTGCTCCCCATTTTTTGCAATTTCACGTATGCGCACAGGGGCTCAGAACGGAACCCCCGCGTAAACAGGGAGTCACCCGTAGATTGAAATTGATATATAGTTCATATCATTCCAGAAAAACCTGCAGTTCAAAGACCACGACGTGTTCAAAGACCTTGCCCAAAAATAGAATGTTAAGAGACAGGCCAGAAATTCTCCAATTCAGGGAGTTTCTACAATAAATTTATCATCATAACCTCTTTCAAACTTGCTGAGACCTCACCTTCTCATAAAGAGGCATTTACCACTCCCACTAGTTGGATACTCAACTAGTCTTGCATGTTTAATACAGGTAATTTACCTGAAAACATGTAATTACAACTTTGAAACAGCCCAATCTGAGTGGTATTTTATCTATTGTTACTAATTAATTTACTGAAACAATGCATTTTTATAAACAGAAAATGTTCTGTCCCACTTCACTACCTGACAAGCAATATCAATGTCTGAGTCAGAAGAGGATGGGCAAGCAGGACTAGAACCCACACTTCACATAGATTTCTAACCCTTCAGCCACGATAGCAGACAGATGAACACTGTGTCACTTAGATCATAAGTGATTTCCACAAGAGACCCTAGATCTGTAGAATACCACAAGTCTGAGATGCAAGAAGTCTCGGGTAAAAACCTTGGATATGATCTCCCACTAGAAAAGGCTAGGATGAGCCCCAATATGACATATTGTGATAACCTATCAGGGAAGCAATGCATAGGCCAGCTCTGAGGCTTCTCTCGTAGAAAACCCCATTCCAAAAACAGCCAAGTCATGTTTCACAGGGAAACATGGCAAACTGGCAAACAGGTAAACATTTTACCAAACATAATACTGGAATGAGTTCTGAATCAAACAATTACAAATAATTAAATCAAAACATGGGCTTTTGTAAATCACAAAGTTAAAGTATGGAGGGGAGAGGTTTCTTGCCCTGGCTTTTCTGCAGCTATTTTTAAGTTCATATTTCAGTTAATCTCACATCTGAGTCATCAAACTGGTCCTTCAAGATAATGAAATCAGCAAAACCTCACCCCCTTTGTATTTCAGAGGGGAGAAACAAACAGAACACACCCAAAGAAAACCCCATACTGTGCATTTACTTTAAAGCAAGAGCACAAAATCTAGCATTTCCTCCTTTACTGTGAAGCTTAATAAAGTAGGAATGAGACAGGTTACAGTCTGAAGAAAGAAATGTTATACAGTGGTACCTCGGGTTAAGTACTTAATTCATTCTGGAGGTCCATTCTTAACCTGAAACTGTTCTTAACCTGAAGCACCACTTTAGCTAATGGGGCCTCCTGCTGCCGCTGCGCCGCCAGAGCACGATTTCTGTTCTCATCCTGAAGCAAAGTTCTTAACCCGAGGTACTATTTCTGGGTTAGCAGAGTCTGTAACCTGAAGCGTCTGTAACCTGAAGCGTATGTAACCCGAGGTACCACTGTATTTTGAACAATGATGAGAGATCACACATTGGAACAGGTGCTATTTTTACCACTTGATACCTAGACTACTACTCCTGGTGATTTCCCCAAAGACGGCAGAGGTTTAGGATCAGATGGGCTGCCTTCCCAGGTTGACAAGAAATCCTGACCCTCACTTTCCTCTGCAGCACAAGCAGAAACCAGAAAGGCTTAAAGAGATGTTTCAATGGAAATACCAGTTATAAGCAGCACAAATGAAGCTCCAGTTAGTTAAGGAAAACCAAGCTTATTATTGCAATCCTATATACAGCAATTCAAGAGCATGTCCCATTCAACTTGGGGGCTTACTTCTGAGCAGACATGTGGAGGATCACACTGTAGAACACTGTAAGGACTTCTGTAATCAGAGGTACACACACTCTCTATGGGGCAGCATTTTGAGATCATTCTCTAGTCTTTTCATATTCAGAAATCTATAATAAATATCACCCAATCAGCTTTCAGGCACTAATAAGAATTAAAATCACTTTACATTTTATAGACTATTTATCTGTTCAAGAGATTAAACCTATCCAGTCACTTCCAGATGATCAGCTAAAGAAAATTTACAGAAAGCAGGACTTTTGTTGTTGTTTAAAGTCTGCAAATGACTAATACTGGCATGTTTTGACAAGAATGCTAGTAAAAAACTAGGTAAGGTTATAACATCTATGGATTTGAGGTTAGCTATTGCACTCAATATATTTTGAAATGGATCTTTTTTCTGTCTTGAACTGGACTGAAAACAGATACCCTATTGTGATTTTTAAAAAAATATATATTAAATCATTTATTCAAAAGTTACAATACAGCTTTGTTCACTGCCATAATATCATGGAATGTAATTCTCTCTCTCTCTCTCTCTCTCTCTCTCTGTGTGTGTGTGTTTTACTATAATCTGTTTCCTGCCCTATGTCTTTTTATCAGAAGGCACATTAATGTTATACTAAGAAATAACTTTATATAAACTGAGAGTTATATTAAATGTAGGGTTAAGCAGATCATTCTTTCAACGCAAGAATTTCTCCTTCTGCAACAGAGCATACTTCCCCTCTCCTCTCCCATGCACCCCCTAAATCTGTTCTAGGATTCTCCCAACCCTTTGTAACTGATTTAGAGACAGCACATGATGTATGCAAAAGGGGGGAGCCCCATTATGCTAGCACTAATCCTTGTGCTGGTGCAACTATTTAGTTGAATACCACCCTGAACATATATTTGATGGCATTCTCAAGCTCATTCAACTGTGTTTAGACTCGCTACTACACATTAAGAAAGCATATTTATTTGTCATCTTAACTACCTGGTAATGAATTTAACGTGATTAAAGTCTTCCCCTAAAAATCCTTCACTGTTCACTTTTCTGGACTTCAGGAGCTAATGCCTCCCATTAAGTAGCCAAAATGGCAGCACCAGCCCAGAACAGGGAGGGACCGTTAAACTGGAGGGAACCCCAAAGTTTGCAAGGTACAAAGCGTCTTACAAATAAGCATGAATACCCCAATTAAGATCTCTGCGCCATGAGGTGTGAGGCTAAGGGGGGAGAAAACTGACAACTTGAATGGGAATGGGGGGGGAGGGAGAGAGAAGAGAGAGAAGAGAGAGAAGAGAGAGAATGAATGAGAACAAGTGGTTGGATTGGAACAAGAGGGCAGCACTCAGAGCTGAAAGAACCATTGTCTGTACAGGTCAGTTCCTAATACATCCCCAGAGACAACAGTGAGAGCTGCCTAGAGACACCAATAAAGAAATCCAGTATTTTAATGTTGCTAGAATTGAGTACCCCAGGGTGGAGGACCCTAAAAGGTAGCAAGCAAAGAGAAGAGTTCCTGCTCTTTCTAACTCAATTATCTTTTTTGTGTGAAACATCTGAAAATGAAATACTGCTAATTTTAAAGCAAGTGCAATTAATTGTCCCTGAACAGCAGGCTGAAGACACTGTGGCTTCAGAAAGAGTGTCTTCAGGCAACTGTGTAGTATAAGTTACAGAGAATACTGCAAGTCTGGCTCTGGGTAGTTTACAGCACTTTGTTTTTGTTCAATGGCAACAAACTCCTATTACAATGAAGACTGGCCTGAAGATTAGGGAGTACAACAACCCTTCAATATTATCCATTGCTTTTAGCCCAGCCTGCAATCCTGGGATGAGAGTAGTCCACAACACTTGTGTAGTGTTACTCAGTATTATACCCCTATTGAAATTTGGAAGGTTGTGCTGAGAGAAAGTAACCTTGCAGCACATGCCACTGTTAATTTTGCAGGTTAGAGGTGAGGCTGAGGCTAGTTTGGATTATAAAATATCCCTCATGCTTTTCAGGTTGCAGCAAAGGTCAATTCATTCAAAATGACCCATCAGACCTCCTCCTGGACCAAAGCAAGCCCTCAATTGCACTCAGAAGACTGATTGCTCATTAACATACATGCAGAGGGATGCGCTATTTAAAAAAACAAACAAAAAAGCTTTGCACATGAATAACCAAATTAGAACACTGATGATAATTTAGGGTTACCAGACGTCCCCGTTTACCGGGGACAGTCTCCAGATTTGCGAATAAGTCCCCGGACAAATTCCATTCCCAAAATGTCCCTGGATTTCATCTAATGTCCCCAGGAAACGCAGCAGCGGCAGTCTCAGCATCCCAGAGCAGTTGGCCCTGGCTGACTTCAGAAGCTGTTCGGAAGTCCCCATATGATGGCGGTGCAGTGACTCTAAGATACAGCTTCCAAACTGCCTCTGCCTTCCCTGACCCCAGCAACTAAGCTGTGAAGGGAGGCTTCATGCTGCCTATCGGAGCAGCCTCCCAACTCCTACTTGCGTGCAAGCAGGAGCGGGGCGGGGATGTCTCAGTTAGGCAAGGGGAAGCCTCCTTTCCCAGATGTGGGATCCCTGCCCCCTCCTGCTTGCACGCAAATAAGAATGGGATTGGGGCTGCTCTGATGGGAAGGGAGGCATTGCGCTGCCCAAGCCTCGCCGCTACCGCCGCTCTTGGCCCTCCTTCTCCGCCTTCCATGCCTGACCCACCAAACCCCTTCCCCACCACCACCACCGAAGAACCAACAACTCAGGGGCTGCCCAGGCTCATGGAGAAAGGAGACAGAAGCCTCGAAGGAAGTGGAAACGTGGCGGTTGAGGTCAAGGCGGCGGCTGCCCCTCTACCACCAAATAAACGTGTAGTATGTATGTATTCATTTATTTAAAGTGTTCCCCGGATTCATTGAAAAAAAATCTGGTAACCTAATGCCAATCCCCCCCCCCCCCAATCTCTCTCTCAGAGATTTGGTAATACAGGAACATGCTGCAAAAGTCTTATTGTAACCAGGGATTTGATATACATTCCAAGAGGGTTTTGTTTAGTTTTATTTAATAGTTTTTCAATCTCATTCAGCGACTTTCAAATTAATATGTTGCCACCTAGTGGCTTGTTTTGACATCTGCTATCCAAACAAGCATGACAGTGCCTATTTACAGACAGAATGCCTATTCGAAGTCTTCACATCTTTACACTGCTACTCCTCAAATCAATTTATTTTTGGTTCTGCTGCATCAGACCAATGTGGGGATTAAATAAGTGTCTTTGAACCTAGCGTTTTAAAAATTCCCAATATGTGATAGCATATAGATTTAAAATACATTAAGCGCTTGGGGATTACTTTCTTTCTAAGGTCTTGAATGAAAAACAGTAGGTCATAAGGAAGGCTAATATGTAAGTTAGCAAATCAAAAGCATCACTAAGACAGTATGACCAATATAATCAATACTTGACACTTGAGCTTGTTTCCCAGATTTAAAAAATCACCACGGAAAAAAAGCTTGCCAGTTTTACTACCAGATCCAGCACAAGTGTTTGTCTTTCAGACAGCAAGCCTTCCCTGAATTCCAGTTAAAAACAGATTAAAGCAAGAAAAATAAGTACTTAAATCCAATTACACACTACAACATATCAGAGGGGGTGGGGACAACAACAACAACATACTGGTTGCTAAACCTTTCTTCCAAACAGGGGCACCATCTCCTAGGGGCTGACCCTTTTGGGGGCCCCAATAGTTTCTGGGAGGAGCCGTCCCCACGAAAAAGTTAAATGGTGGTGAAAGCAGCCCCAGGCCAGTGGCGGAAGGAGGAGAAGGCACAGGTCTGCTACTGGGCAGGGCTCTGCCCCAATCCTCCAGAGGAGGCCAAGTTGAGCCGTGGCTCCTTTTCCTCCTCCTACTGCCGCAGAGGGGAAGCAGCCCTAGGCCGGTGGCAGCAGCAAAAGGAGGCAGAGCCATGGCCTTTAAAGCCGTGCTGCTGCTGCTGTGCTGTTGCCACGTTCAGCTCCGCCGCTCAGCTCCTCAGATGCCCTGATGTCATACACACGTCAGGACATCATGCACACAACATCGCATGCCACGCGCTTCCAGCCCCCCATTCTTCTTCGGAAGGTGGCTCCTACGCTCCCATACATGCTAATATGCCGGAAGTTGCCAACCTGTTGGAGCCAATGGGCTCATTTGAAACCTGGGGGAAAGGGTGTGAGTATCCTGAGCTCTCTGCAACTATGCACACACTTACCACAACCATACATATGCACACATTTTCACCCCACTAGCAAATGTTGTTGTTTTTTCTCTCTCTCTCTTTCTCTCTAATTGCTTTTCCAGGCCTAATTTTGGGACACAGGGAAATATTCCTAGAGAATGCAGCTGGAGAGGCAAGAGTTAACCTTCCCTCCCAGTTGCAATCTCTATGAAGATCAGCCCACATCACATTAAGCTTTGAAAAAAGACTTCTAGTGGAAACAGCACAAGGCTTATGTCCAAGCCTAATTTCAGAGTGGGGAGGGGTGGGGGAAATGGGACCCTGCGGATGCCAGAAAAAACCTCTGTGGGTGTCTGTGTATCCAAAAGCACCATGGTGGTGATCTATTATATTTGCACCAAAGAGTTTTTCACGTACTGCCACCAGAGATTCCTAATACAAGTGAAATATTGGCTTTCTTTACTTACCTGAATGGGATATGAATCTGTACGGTAGTTGCAGTGAAAGAATAGTTTTCAGAACCACTTTTATATAGTGTATTATTTTAAATGAGAAATAATCAGATTAAGCTGCTCATTATTCTTTAAAACAAAAGCATATCAGGAAATAACTTCTTATAAGCAGACTCTCTTGCCACAAGCATTTCATTTGCAAGTATCAATATATTTACTTCATTTGATTACACATAATCAACTTCACAAACTTTCTCGGTAGTGGCACCCACCCTGTGGAATGCCCTCCCATCAGACGTCAAGGAGATAAATAACTGTACAACCTTTAGAAGACTTTTGAAGGTGGCCCTGTATAGAGAAGTTTTTAATGTTTGATATTTTATTATGTTTCTGTATATGCTAGAAGCCATCCAGAGTGGCTGAGGTAAGCCAGTCAACTAGGTAGGGTACAAATAAAATTGTTTTTGTTGTTGTTGTTATACAAAACAACAAAAGTTGTTAATCTGTATGCCAAACAGGGAGGATGAAGAGAAATATTGGGCAGTATCCAATGAAGTGTTTTAACTAGTGCAAGGACTTTTGGCTGAGTGATGGAATTTCCCTTCCCTCTCCTCATGCATCCCCTAAATCTGTTCAGAGGTTTTTCCCAATCCTAAGAAGCAAATTTGAGGAGGTGCCAGGGGGTGGGACACATGAAGAGAGGAGAGGGAGGGGAAGTTCCACTGTGCAAGTGGAAATCCTTGCAGAAGAAAAAGCACTTTGCTGAACACCTCCCATACTAATTGGATAAAATATATATATTAGCCCAACAGGCCTCAGTTGCCTTCATTGTTGACAGAACCATAAAACAAATTGTGAAAACAGGAAACTGCAGCATTTTATGAAGTACCAAAGAGGGATTCATCTTTCCAGCATGACTTCAACAATATATGGGTATATTGACTGATTGATAGCTATTGATAAATTGATAGGTTTTTTAATAACCATAATTTGATCATTCTGGTCCAACACCATGGAATTCTAAGACCAATGCTTTGGTTACTTAAGGCAATCCAGTTCCAGCATGTATGTCCTAAATTTCTCACTTTACTGCCTTTCAAAAGAAAAACCACATTTACATTCCTGGAAGATGTTCCAAAAGTATATGCAATGACAATAAATGCTTTATTTACTCCATACATAAACAGGTCTAAACAGAATGCGAACTTGCTTAAACAATCATAATATAAATTAAAATCTAACCTTAATGTTAGAACTATTTAGAGAGAGAGAAAATTCAGTGGACTTCTTGATACTACTTGTCTCAATAAAATGGCTGGAAGGGGACCGTAACTGCTTTTAAAGCAAATACATCTCAAGATAGCCAGCTGAAGTTTGAATTACCTTGCAGGTTTCTTAAAAATTATTACTTTAATGTAACACTCAACTAGTCACTTACCCCGCAAATGACAAGGCAGCCCTATTGACCCCGTAACAGTCGGCAGTAGGAAGTGTTAAATGTACACACTCACACCTATGGTTGACCTGTATTAAATAAAAGTGGCACACAGCACCCTTTCATTCTCTTTTCTAGCTTTAAAGAGGTACTAGAAAGCTGGATTACTATATTCCACAGAAGCACAAAGTGAATCAGACCCTCTTTTTAACTCCTTCCCTCTTTGTTTTTTAAAGGTCAGTAAACAGAGAAGAAGTTGAATCTCCAGTAGTGTTGTATAAGAGAATGGAGGTAAACAGGAAAGAGGATGTATAACTGCCTAATTATTTAAAATGCTGACCTGCATTAGAGGAGAAATGCCACAGAATTAGATCATTTATACAGATAGTAGCATAGACTGTGGAAACTTGATCTGTTCAAACTTCTAGAATGCCTGTGGGTATTTGCCCAAATGCAGTATTTATTAAGAATAAATCTTCAATCCTACACAGAAGCCATAGTATTATTAGTAATGAGTTAATGTGAAACAAGAAAAGTGCAATGTAATAGCATTAATCCAAATGCACTCTAAGAAATGTGTCAGTACTCAGCAGGAGTAAGCCAATGTTATAAATAACAGGTTTCACTGTAAAGCCCAAACTGTAATGTGAAAGGAATAGGATATTTAAAAATAAATTCATATTAAAAGAAAGTCTCAAACAGCTACAGAAAGCTGTTTCTTCTTGTTACTGAATATATCAAAGTGTTCCATTTGGCTTCTAAATAGCTAACAAATACATAAAAACATTGTTTTATGCTGAATTAAACTACTTTGGCATAGTTCAAGAAAAATATACTTAACAGCAGTTCACCAACCTTTTAGTGTAAACTGGGCCAACAGAGCTCACTCTCATTCCATTAATAAAGGACCCATTCAATCTTTCCCCATGTAACTAAAACACTTATTTCCTTAATGTTTACTGCTCAACCCATTTAATCAGAATTTTAATTTAAACTTGTTAGCTAATACAAAGCAATCAAAGTGATTCAACAAGATTTCAAGATGCAAGCAACAATTATATATATATGCATGTTAAAAATCACGTCTCTTCAGATTTTTATTACATTGAATTTCTAGTGTTTAAACCAGAAATTTATTTAAGCATTGTCCAAGACCCAGAATCTTCTCAGTCACTACAGAGCAATACCACAAAATCGAGACATCCAGCATTATTTAAACAGTGGTGTAAACAAACATAGAAAGTGACTTTTCTGTTTACACACAGCATTAGAATTCAGATGGAGAAACCAAGTGTCAAACCCATGAATAAGAGTTTTCCAGCAGACAGGCAGCACCTTCTGTGCAGATGAGGCAAGAAGAAAAAATACTAATATATGCTGAATCAACTCATTTGCAGTTTAATCCTTCCACTAATACACCCAGCAGGAATCCTCACCACTAATCCTTGCCTCATTTTCTATGCACTCTCACAACATTTGGAGCAAAGCACCACTGTGGGAGAAAAGGATTTGATTACATGTATCTCAATTTATGTTCACTATTGCTTGATATATATCACATAGGAGCTCAATATACACGTAATCTATGATTGCCTCTGATGAATGTGTAAGGATTGTAGGCATGCTGAGCCCTGAACCACAAACACACACAGTAATACCTGCCAACACTGCAGAAAAACTGCAAAGTTTTCTATTGGTAATACACATAGATCCTGCTTACCAAATACAATGTGTCCCCTGGAAATGATTTTTGTTAGGCGTTCACATAACAAGTCCGTGATTTCCATCATTTCCTATGAAAATATTTCTAATCGGGGATTTGTCTGCTCTCTTTCCCCCTCTCTCCATGGTTCCTTCCTGAAATGGCTGCAGCAAATCAGCAAAAGAGAGGCAACAGAGGGGGAAACTGATTTGTCCTCTCTCTACTGCTCCCTGATTTGTTTGATTTTTCCTGCTCTCTGATTTGTCCAATCTTGCTCCCCCACTCTGTGGTTTCTGTCCAAAAATGGCTGCTGCCAACTAGCAAAGCACAAAAAAGGGAGTAAGGAAATCAGCTGTTCAGATAAGTGAATTTGTGGAGTTTATAGCGAAGTTTGGGCAGAATTCTATAAGTATGAATAAGTGAATTTTCTGATAGAGAGTGTGCAGATAGCAGGACCTGCGTGTACATGCTTTCCCCTTCTGCAAAACAGAACACATGAACAAGCCCTAGGAACTTAACTGGTTGAACAAAGCAGTGACAAAGTACAATTCAGTTCTTGAAATACAGGTAAATAATTTAAAGTGATTTTCAGACAATAAAATGGAACTGATTATTGAGAATACTAATTTATCTCAAAACATGGCAAACATTATTAAGATAGTTCATATTAAAAGGGGTATATGAATTTTCATAAAGGGAGTTATTACATTAAAATAAAAGAATTTTTAAAAATAAACATTGTACGTATTCCAATGAAACCTCGTAACATTCCATAGAAGGGCATCCAAGAAAACAAATTATACAACTAAATGTATTAAATGAGTAGGCAAATGTATAAAATTATTGACAATGCACAGATATTTAATAGCCATGTTCACATGTACTGCCATAATTTAGCATTATATGAGTGAGCCTTAGAATTATACATTCTCTGGCAAGGTCACAGAAGCTGAGAGGCATTATTAACGGAACATGTTGCGGGAGACACATGGTAACAAAACTGCACAAGGAAACTTGTTTTGGACATTAGTGTTGCTATTACAGTGGTGCCTCGCAAGACGAAATTAATTCGTTCCGTGAGTTTTTTCGTCTAGCGAATTTTTCGTCTTGCGAAGCACGATGTCGGAAAAGTTTTGGAAAAGCTTCAAAAATCACCAAAAACCTCAAAAAAGGCTACCACACCGCGTTCTATGAGTTGCTCCTCGAAGTCAAGTCGCAACTGTATTAACGGTGTTAAGAAAAAGGAAACAAACTTGCAAAAAACGCAATACGTTTTCGTCTTGCGAAGCAAGCCCACAGGGAAATTCGTCTTGCGAAGCAGCTCAAAAACCGCAAAACCCTTTCGTCTAGCGAGTTTTTCGTCTTGCGAGGCATTCGTCTTGCGGGGCACCACTGTATTTTGCTTTGTGGTCAAAACATTTATACTGGTATAATACTGGGTCAGATTCAATCTGCTAATGTTATTTTTCAAACTAAGGATCATGTAGAGGGAATCTCTTAAATGAAAATGTAATACAAGCAAAAAACCTACTATGGATCTTGTGACAGGGACCTCTAGACAACAACTATATTTTGTTTGCAAGAAATAAGCTAGTCCTGTGTATTCAATAGCAAGAGTCTTTCTCTAAACATCAATACATTTGTTTCTCAGGAAAAAATGTGTTTTGCAAAGCCTCTTTAGTTCAGCAGCAATACTCACTAGAAGATGGGAGTCAGCCTTCTTGTAACTTATGCTGAGCGAAACATTTAGGGCCAATTCTATGCCACAGTTGCACTGGCAAGGGTAGTATAGCCAGATATGGTACTCTAAGACAATAAAAACAAATGCTATGTACTGGGACAATGAGAAAAAGTAAAGAAATCCAAGAGAATAGCGTAACGGATAATAACTACAACTTCAAAAAGCAAAATGCAACTGTCTAGAATGCAAATTTTGTAGTAACATGCTGCACTAATCGATAAGGTGACCACCCAATGGACTCCAAATCTTGTGGAACATCTAAGAAAGAAAAAATAATCAGTGGTCAATCCAGCAGGAAAGGTGACAACACAAACTCAGCAGAATTTGTCCTGGGAAAACACAGTTACATTGAGGACAAGCAAATTTCCCCAAAGAACAAGTTGTAAACATTCTGATGTAGAGTAGTGGAGGATTATAAATTAACAAAACATTAATCATGTAAAAATGACGCACTCAAGAGGAATGACTCTTTCCTAAAAGCAGAAGTCCTCTATTAAGAGGGAGACAATATATTTCATACAAATATAGAAATATCTCAAAAGAACCCAAGAGACAAGGGATAGAACAGTGGAGATGGTAAAGAATAACCAGAAGGAGAAACGGTACATCAGGCAGCTATGTAAAATAAAGTTTCCTTATAAAATAAGACAGAGATTTATTTATTCTGATTTCTGGAAATAGCACTCAACAGTATAGAAAAGCTGTGTACACATTACTAGCTTAAAATGCACATAAATTGTTCTATTTCTCAATTCAGATTGAAGCTGAGGGGGAAGCATAAGAATGCCATATTTCATAAGAAACAAATAGAAATGATACAGGATAGATATGGATTGTGCCTAATGTGTATACACCACTTCCCCAACCAGGGATGAAAGTACACTATGTACATATTAACTGGGTGTACAAAGCTTAAAAGAATAAAATTAAACATAAGCGCATCCAAAAAGTCAAAACATTAAAAATCAAGACATAAAACAGCAGCTAAAATTTGAACAGTACAGCTGGCAGATTAAGCTGGTTAGACTAGATGACCCTTGGAGTACCTTCCAACTCTACCATTCTAACCTTAGGCCATAGGCTTGTCTGTATAAAAATGACCTTGCTCGGTTGGGAATCAACAAAAGAGAGAGAGCTTAAAGAACCTATTGAAAGAAGAAAGTTTAAAATATCAGGTGCAGCCACTGAAAAGGCCCTTTCATGTTTTTGGCAGGTCAGAGAAAGGCCTATATGGAAGATTTCGAAGTTCTGGTAGTCTGGATAAACTTCAATTTGTTTGCTCTCGTCCAGTCCATTACCAGCTCCAGGCACACAATTACAACAATCTCCCTGGATTGAGATGCACAGGAGAGACAGAAGTTTCATGCAAATGTTGACTTGCCTGAAACAACAAGACGGGATACCAAGAGGCAACACCCAGTATCAAAAAAGAAATTCTACCAGCACCATCAGGAAATAAACAAAAACTGCAGGAAAGGGGTGATGTTACTGAATGCTTCTCTAGACAAAAGAAAGATTGATCTCGAAAGCTATAATGTCAACGAGAAGACTAGGCTACACCACCTCTCCCTCTGTGGAGAAAAAGCAATCAGTAATTGAATCCCTTCAATAGTGTCTGAAGTTGTGCTGCCGGGATACAACTTGACAACTTCAGCAAGAACTAGGCCACAGCAATATGAAAAGTTATCCTATTAGTAATATGAGTATCTTATTTGAATTATTTGACTGAAAGGTACATAGATAATGTAGCAATTAGTGTATAAATACATACTACTGAAAAGAACTATGAAACACCTCTATTCAAATACAAAAGATACAAAAATTAAAGCAGACTAAAAAAAAATTGTCCGGTACAGCCAGCTGTGCGGTAAACATGCACTTGAAAAGGAGTTCAAATACTCCACAAGTTTAATTCTGCTTGAAAACAGCACATCTATTGCTATATATATATATATATATATAGATTTTAATTTTATTTTATTGCTTCTTCTGTGTCTTCTATTTTATTTATTAAAATATTTATTCTATAGAATTCAAGTTGTAATGCAATAAATGCAATGCAATAAAATACATATACACAAAAAGCAGTAAAAATATAATTAAAAATTATACTGCATCTAACACAACTCACACAATGGTCCATGGGAAAGAAGTTTTGGAACTACTAGATTGATGGCCAATGGATATAGAGCTAGACTTCAAAACTGAGAAGTCTCAAGCACAACAACAGATTGTTTTGGAAGGCTAGCCATTCTTGCTCCATCTTTGTTCACCACAAAAACAGTGACCTAATTCATAGAATTGTTTTCAGACTGAAATAAGGAAGTACTGTAACCGGTCATCAGCCTTAGGGCTGGGTATAAGTATAGCATAATGTCCGAGGGGGGGTGTTATTGCTTTGTTTTTGTTTTATCATGCATTTTGTTTTTTGTTTGTATGTATTTTGTTTTCCCATTTTGTACTTTGTGCTATGAACCACCCTAGGATTTCAGATGCAGGGTGGCATACGCATTAATCCTTAATACATATATGCAATAACATCAAGAAGGGTAGCATCCGATTGTAAGGAGCAGCATGAGAAAAGTAGTTGTCCAGGGCAGGAAAGGAACATGTATGCACAATTTGCAAGAGCCAATATGTATAGAAGAGGGAGAAAGAAGGGTTTGTTCTGGAAATCCCAGCATCAAGTCGTCTAGCGAGCCTGACCCACAAACACAGAAAATCCTCCGTGCCCGTTGAGATCCGGCCGCCCTGACCAGAAACGGCTGCTGCGGCGAGAGGCGCAAACACGCAAAGATCCCCAACAGTGCCAGGAAAAGGAAAACGCGTGTCAACGAGGCGGCAGAAAATATATATAAAAAAGTACGGGCTCCCACCGCCAGGCGGGAGAAGAGTTTGCCCAGCAAGGAGACGGAGCTTCCCGGAGGAGGCGACGGGGCCGCGAAGGCGCGCAAAAGGCGCGCTCCCCCCCCCCCCCAGGGATAAGAAACTCACTTTTTGTGTGGCGGCGGCGGAGGCGGCGGGTGCTTTTCTTTCCTGCCGGGCGGCGCAGGGTGCTTGGCGCGGCGCCTCCGGGCCTGCAGGGCCAGCACTGCTGGGCGAGAGAGAGAGAGAGAGGCCGGTGAGCGGAGAGGCGGCGGCGGCGGCGGCGGCGGCGGCGCCTCACGCTCCCCGTGAGGAGAAGGACGGGGAGACCCCGGCCACCCACCCACCCGCCCCGCCAACCCCGCGTCCTCGGGGGACCAAGACGACCCCCCGCCCACGGTACCTCTCCGGGAGCTCATAGCCGAGGACACCGCCGTCGTCGTCGTGGGGCCGCCGCGCCGAGCGCCTCACGGCACATCGGCCCCGCTGCTGCTGCTGCTGCTCCTCGCCGGCTGAGGAGCAGGAGCTCCCGGACTCGGCGCACATGCGCAGTTGGCCCGCGCCGGGCGAGCGAGCGGGAGGCGGCGCTGGAGCCGGAGGGGGATGGTCGCTAGGCAACCGGAGGGAGGCCTAGAGAGGGCGGCAGGTGCCTGCCAGGGAACCCCCGAGGTTTCCTTCCCACCCCGCCTTGCAAAGGCGTTGGCGGCCGCTGCTGGCTTATTATTAAACCCGCGCTGCTTCTGTCGCTGGTGTGCCTGAACACGTGGGCTGAGTGACAGAAATGAGCAACCCGGAGTGAAAAGTTGGCAGCCCTCCTTTCTTGAAAGCAGTTGCTTAAAAGCATGCGCGCATGGTTTCGTTTCGTTTGCCGCCTTTCCACTGTTCAGAGCACGCTCGAGGCGGCTCACAATGGAAGGAAAACTTAAAAAAACAAAGTGCGAGACTGGCTTCATTATGATCAAATAATGGAGGCATACGATCTGGACAAAAAAATTGGCTTCCAGGTGGAAAAATCAAAATTGGAAACAGAACTGTTGGATCCCAAAACTAAGATTTTGTCAAGGATGTATAACTTGCTGTTGAAATGGAATACTCAGGATGAAACGGTGAAATCTGCTACGATTAAATGGGCACAAGATGTTGGACATAACATTATGATGGCTGACTGGGAACAGTTATGGACCACAGGTATGAAGTTTACGGCATGTAATGCCTTAAGAGAGAATATTATGAAAATGATATACAGGTGGTACATGACCCCAGTCAAGCTTGCAAAACTCTACCATTTGCCCGATAATAAATGTTGGAAATGTAAAGAAACTGAAGGTACATTCTTTCACCTTTGGTGGACGTGCCCAAGGATTAAGGCTTTCTGGGAGATGATATATAATGAAATGAAAAAGGTATTTAAATATACCTTCTTGAAGAAACCAGAGGCCTTTCTCCTGGGCATAGTCAGCCAATTGGTGTCAAAGAAGGATAGAACTTTCTTTATGTATGCCACAACAGCAGCAATAATACTTATTGCAAAGTATTGGAAGACACAAGATCTACCCACCCTGGAAGAATGGCAGATGAAGGTGATGGACTATATGGAATTGGCGGAAATGACTGGCAGAATCCGAGACCAGGGAGAAGAGTCGGTGGAAGAAGATTGGAAAAAGTTTAAAGACTATTTACAGAAATATTGTAAAATTAATGAATGTTAGAATGATGTTGGATAGAAATTAAGTGGTTTTTAGCTGTAATACTATAAGGGAATATGAAAAATGGATTACTAACAGGTAAAAATTTAATGTTACAATATTTTAAGATTAAAGACTAGGATAAACAAAGAGGGGAAGGATTTGCTGAACTAACAAACTGAACTGGAATACAAAAAAGGGAGGCGTGAGGAGGTCCGGGAAACAAGCTAATGAAAGATAAGTAACGGAAAGATTGAGTTGTTTTTAACTACTTTTATTTTGTATTTTTCTTTTTTCTTTTTTCATTTTGTAATATCTTGAAAATTTTAATAAATATCTTTTTTTAAAAAAAAGGAAAGTAACGTGACAACATCACGGAATTGTGAAGTTGGGAAAGGACCACGAGAGTCATCTAGTCGACCCCGTGCAATCCAGGAATCTTTTTGCCCAAGGCGGGGCTCGAACCCACCACCCTGAGATTAGGAGTCTTCTGATTTACTGACTGAACAGTAAAAAAACATTTTAAAGAACACAACCAAACAGAAGAAGTTCCACATACAGTGGTACCTCGGGTTACAGACGCTTCAGGTTACAGACTCCACTAACCCAGAAATAGTGCTTCAGGTTAAGAACTTTGCTTCAGGATGAGAACAGAAATCGTGCTCCAGTGGCGCAGCGGCAGCGGGAGGCCCCATTAGCTAAAGTGGTGCTTCAGGTTAAGAGCAGTTTCAGGTTAAGAACGGACCTCCAGAATGAATTAAGTTCTTAACCCGAGGTACCACTGTATATCGCAACATGATCGAAAATGCAAAAAGCCAACAGCAACGAACAACAGCCTAAAAGCTCAAATAACACCCCAGCCCACTGCTGAAGTCAGTCAGGGTCCTGCCTTCCCATGTCAGGTATAAAAAAGCCCTGAAAAACAGGGAGTAGGTCTTCCATTTAATTATAACACTGCTTTCGCATATGCAGAGTTATCACTAGTTTGCAGGTGGATTATGTTTGGCTTTACAGAAGGTTCATAGTTCAGTGGGCAGAGCATATGCCTTGCATGCAGAAGGTCTCAGCTTCGATTCCTGTGATCCTTGGTTTCATTACCTTCAGTTGTAGAGAGATCTCAGGTAGCAGGATCGAGATGATCTCTGCTTAGACTCCCTTACCAGTAGACAAAATAGTCAGCACTGAGGCAGACAAGAGCATGGTCTGACATAAGGCAGCTTCCTATGGTAGTATATGAACTCTGGGGCACCATGCCATAACCATTCATGTGGCAATTTCTCCTAGTTGTGAAAAGCATGGAACAGCTGCATACATTTTGCACACCATTGCAATACCTAATGTCACCGAGTTTCCTGTGGCTTGTAAGCAGTAAAATCCAACATGTATAGACACCCTAGATACAGATCTCTTGCCTTGGTGAAGGAGTCACTGCCACAACATATTTTGTGCCACGACAAAATCCAAATGGTGCCCATCATAGTGGTAGAAAATAATAATAGACTAAAATACGTAAGAACATAAGAGTCTGCTGGATCAGGTCAATGGCCCATTTAGTCCGGCAACCTTTTCTCACAGTGGTTAACCAGATGCCCACAAGCAAAATCTGAGCACAACAGCAATCTGCCCAACTGGTATTCAGAGGTCTGCTGCCACTAATAGTGGATGTGGATGGAACATTACCAGAATTTGCTGCAATTTAATTGTACCGCAAAACATACTACCTGAGGAATGCCACCCTGCCTGATGGCAGTAGGGCCCGAGTCTCAGCTGTCACCTGCATGAGGGTCAAAATAGTTAAGATGCCAGAAGATCCATGAGTGGGAATACGGGTACTTCAAGATTGTTGCTATTTTCAGGTGGTATTCCATTATATGCTGGCAGAGTAAGTTTGCTCATATACAGTTGATTGGCAGGTCTTGTGCAATGACGGGGAAATGCACTGTAAAGTGAGAAATAACATTTGCTTTGATGCCACATCATCCAACCTCCCTACAAACAAACCAGGTTGATTATTCAGTAAAGAGATCACCTGGAAGTGCCCTGGGTCTCTTTGTGAGTTTTGTCAAAGGTACAACAGCAGGTGCAGATGTCTTGATTTGGTTTTGGACCACAATACTAAGGTTAGGAATCACCAATGCCATTTCCCCAAAATAAATTGCCTCCTAAAGCTGCTGTTTGCCCCATGAGGGGAAGTTACATGTGAGGAAAGGGTTGGCTTCTCTCCCTAATTATGTGTGGTCTGATCTGAATTGTCATCCCAACCCCCCAACCCCATGTTCCCTGTTAGCTTTGGGGAAACCCACAGGAGATCAAGTCACCCATTTCCCATCATCTAGTCTAGTTTGGACATCAATATACAATACCAACATTGGCCCAAGGCTTAATTGGAATGACCAAAGAGCTCCATAAGTTGTTTTTACATCCTACATCCTTCTAAGACAGCTGAAAATTGAATTTTGAAAACACAAGAAGCAATTTTAATGTTCTAAGGAGTGGACTTTGCATGGTGGAAGAGGAGGGGTCCTGGTAGCCCCACGTTTCTCTCTCAGTCTTCGCCTCTCTCAGGGCTCGTGATGGCCCACCTACAAAGGAAGGCTGGCACCACTGCAAGGGTAAAAGGAAGACAAGTAGCACTGTAGAGTTTAGGGAGGGTCTGTCAACTCATCACAACCAAGAAAAGGGCAAGAGCTGTCCAACCCACCTTCTGCCTTTGCAGTTTTGAGGAGGAGGACCTAAAAAATGTGGGAAAGGCATTCTGTTTGAAGTCCATATGGAAAAGGGGACACTTTTGTCCAAAAAAGGAACAATCCCATTTTTATAGGGATGAGTGGCAACTCTATTGGTATCCCAAAGTAGCTACTAATACAGTGTGATCATACCTTGCATTTATGCAGCACATGTAAAGTGTTCAACATGCTTAGCATGCATTATTTTGGTTCTTACAACAAACATATAATAAATTGTCCCCATATGGGGGGGGGTGAGGACTCAGGAACTGAAACACTTGTGATTTGCCTGGGGTCATCCAGTGAGCTAATAGCGGAGGTGAGGTTTGAATCTGAACTTCACATTTTTAGTTACTTTGGTGTTCATATAATACATATAATACAAGCCACATTAGCACATATTTAACTGAACTGTAATACATAGCTATGGTCTGCCATCGTGATTAAAACAGGACACATCAAAAGGCCACATTGAATATATAAGCAGCCTGGCCACAGCTGCCAGAACAACCAAGTTATCCTAATTCCACTATCACAGGAGCAGTCCAATTAGGAACACATTTTTCTTTATTCTTAAAGGATCTAAATTGTCTTAAGACTGTCCTAGATTCTCTCCAACTTTAAAGTTGTACTATTTCAAACTAGTGCTACCAAAAAAACCCCACAGGATCATTAACCTAGTTTTTAGGTTATGGGTCAGCACTTTTTTCTAGATCCATAAAGGCTAGAAACTAAAGCATAATCCTCAAACTAAGTAACTCAGGCTTGCCCCATTAAATTCAAAATTCAGTAGATCCTTCCTGGATTTGTGAATTGATAACTGCGGTCCAACATTTAAAATTTAAAGCATCATGATGAATAAGATTGCTCCTCCCACACACTGCTTTTCTTCATTTACAATAATGACCCTGTTTACTCTGTAAGAACCTGAAGACACTGCATATTTAAAGCAGTTTAATCACTATTATATGTGAGGCCCTGGGATGTCTAACAGATGTTTAACATCTACAAAACTATAGTGTCCTAAGTTCCTTAGGGACAACCACAACTGTTAAATTGGTTTGCAATCTGCTTGTAATGCCAACTAGTGTGTCCTTGTTTTCCACTGTTTTTTACTGTCACGGTTTACTGCATTGTATGGCTGAAACTGTATAAATATCAACATCCACTCCTTGTCTTCAGTTAAGTGCACAGGATTTGTGAGGAGTTACAACATAACGGGCCAACATCCAACACGTTTAAAGCCTATCAAAAGTAATACAGTGGTACCTCGGGTTTAGAACTTAATTCGTTCCGGAGGTCCGTTCTTAACCTGAAACTGTTCTTAACCTGAAGCACCACTTTAGCTAATGGGGCCTCCTGCTGCCGCTGCGCGATTTCTGTTCTCATCCTGAAGCAAAGTTCTTAACCCGAGGTACTATTTCTGGGTTAGCGGAGTCTGTAACCTGAAGCGTCTGTAACCTGAAGCGTCTGTAACCCGAGGTACCACTGTAGTCTCAAGTGTTGCCTAACTTGACTTTGGTGACTAGCGAATACTTTGCCCATGGAAAATGCTGCCCAAATGCATTTTCAACTGTTGCCTGGCCTGACCAAAACTTTGTTGATGCCAGTCCCGATCCAAAGAGTCACATGACTCCATGTATCCTGCCTTTAGGAAACTGTTTTTGAGCCCCAGGAGACTTTCCGAAGGGGCTGCGGCTAAAAGCAAAGAGAGAAACTCTGCGCAAATTCCTGGGCAAACATCAAGGGACTGCTTGGATCTTGACCACAGTATTTATTTACTAGGTGATCAGATGTGAAGTACAAATGTGAGTTTCCTAAATGAAGGAATGAAAATCCTCATTAGCATGCCAGTCCAACACCCTTCTCTTCCACAGCCTCCCCCTTTGCTCATTTCCATGCCTATTGTATGCATCTGTTGTGACAAAGAGCTTCTATATGTACAAAGAGTTGGCAATTTTTCATTCCCAGTGACTAGCTCCATGCCTGCAGTTACTCTATGTCAACCTGGCTTGAAGAACTCTTGCAACAAGTTTGGTGAAAGGCTGCAATTAATATAACAATTTAAAAATCCGTTTGTACTTGGCACTGAGACAGACTTTGTTACTCCATTGCACATATGTAACATATTGTATCTGTGCAGGCATGAAAAGAGTCAGAATTGGGATTCTAATGAGATGTCACCATAGTAAAACAATACATTGTTTTGTTTGTTTTGTTTTAAAAAAAGCTTACAGTGGCTTGCTGGTGGTATTGTGGCTCTTCTGAAAGGCTACTTGGATGATTTTGGAAAAATGTATTATGATGAGAGACATGTGCTCCTAATTATTTAGTGCTGCTTACAGGATATAGTAATGTTTTTAAAGAACAAATAAAATGGAAGTAGATAAATAGATGGGGCCTACTTGTAAGTAAGGGGGCACAACAGCGCTTGCTACTGTGGCTCAAGTGCTATGCTGTACAATTAAAATTGCTGCTTTATACAGTGATCCTGCGGTAGATCCTTTAAAAAAAGAGTAATCTCTGCAGAACGTGACCTGTCATGTAGCATGCAGTATGAAGAAAACATGTCCTAATTCTCAACATTTGGCATTTTCCCGGAAATAAAAGTGGTATATCAGTTATGGTTGAGGGCACTTAAATATAGTCCTGTTAGCAACCTTACATGTTGCAATGCAAGTGTTAAGATTAAAGACTGCTTATATGTTTTCCAGTGTTTAAACCACATCAAAATTAAACCATAAAAGTTAAGCCAATTGAAATATACTCAGAGTCGCAAAGTGATTTCATGCTCTTTATTCAGCTCATAGTGGTGAGGAGGAATGAATGAATGTCCCCTCAAAGTATCTGCTTTATATACATTATTTACACAATGGGCTGCACATGATTGGCTAATTCTGGAATTCTACTGTAAGCCAATCAGGTTGTGGATTCACTTCTATCTGGAGCATGATTGGGTGGTTCCTGCCAACCAATCATACTGCTGCATTGTTCTAGGACCAGTCAGACTGCTGCATTCTGAATCCTATTGTTCTAGGACCAGTCAGACTGCTGCAATTTGGATCCTATTGTTCTAGGACCAATCAGACTGCTGCAGCTTGGATCCTATTCAACTCAGTACATAACACCAATATATAAGCCATATTATATTATAGAAGAAATGTGTGCAGCAGCTACACGATCTAGATGCATGCGAAATCTCAACTATACAACCTTCTCCCTAAAATAATAGCATCAATGTTACATCACAAGTAACTTTTATGAGTCGCGTTTTGTTCAAAAACTAGCACGAGTTTTTAATGGGATCTGCGTAACTGGTTTCAACTGCTGCCTGTGCTAAGTAACACACCCCATACTCTCAAATAAGTGAGCATACAATTGCAGACTAAGCTTTTATCTTATTTTAAGCAGGAGTGGATGGATGCAAAAGGGTGGAGCACCCACACAGAGAGCCATTAACAGAGAGCCCATATTTCCTCATTTCAAAAAGGGGGCATTAGCCATGGTAACTACAATGCATAGAATTGAACTGTAGGTTCAGCTTTCAGAGACAAATGAAGAAGTATTCTTAATTCCTGGGTTTCAGCCTACTTTATCTGGCTATAGTGTTGCTGCTGGTATAAGAGTAGTAAAAGAAATAAACCTTGCATTTGCTCAGAGAAATACAAGATTACTTCTCATTAAAACGTCACCTATCAAATAGGTTCCTATTGAACAGTCTGGATACTGATGCTCCCCCCCCCCCCGACACGTATCCAACAGTTTGGCTCTCAAAGTCTACTTTTGGCTTATCAAAGCAGGGCAACCTTCTTTAACTCAAATATAAACCAGTTACTGTGATACATGTATAAACAAACAGGAGCAGTCAATTAACATGCCATTCATGACAGTGACTGCAGCTACATCTAGTATATAAATGAGGAGGCCTTGCAACTAAACTTTAGAATGGAAAACGTCTAACTATTGTGCGTTCATAAGCAGTAAAAATCCTCTTTTAAGTATTTATAAAGATCGCTTATGAATGAACTTAGTCAGTTTCACATAACTGGGGAAAACAGCAGCTCTCAGCCTCCAGGCATTGAAAATTCTCTGTACTCCTACAGCAACTTCTGTGCTTTCAAAACAAAGTAATCTCTTATTAGTGTTTCTAAATATGAAATGTGACACTAAGAATTAATTTCCATCAGATTCTAACTTTATCTGGTGCAGTTTTAGATCTACATTTTAGTTCCATCAATGCCTGCCTTTAGCAACAAAAACTAGGCAGACATCAGCCAAAATTATATTTAATGTCATTTTTAGTTTAATTGGTCTGGTGGTGGAAGAGCTGATACATTGTACTAGTGGCAACTGTAAGATCACAGCCACAAAGGCACTCTGTACTGTGAAAGTTCAGATGGTCATGTCTAAGCTTAATAAACCAAGTTATTAATAAGTCTCTTGGACTTCTCCCTTCAGAGTGGGAGCTAGCAGTCTAGGTTTTACAAAGACAATACTTTCCTAGTTCATCCGTTCCAAGAAACTATGGTTAGCAGTTTTGGAACGAGGCAGGATATTAAGACAAATGCAATCTATGGTTTAATATTCTGGCTTGTTCCAAAGTTGTTAACCAAATTATGTATGTTTGTATGTATGAATGTATGTATGTATGTATAAATGACAAGCAGTATGCTATTTTATACAAATAAATAAAACTGAATAGTTTCCAGTTGTGTGGACCAAAAACTTTTGTTAATGAAAGACTTCCTGTTTTTTTATGCTGATTTGTGCAAAGAGAGGTGCAAAGGGGCTCTGTGCAGGGCTAAGAAGCCCATTTGTATCTTATTAAGCTGATTTATGGTTATCCAAGTCTGGCCACTGTGTGAAAGCCTGGGCATGGCTTGCAGTTATGCATTCTCTTAGAGCTTAATTCTCCCTCCATGTGTAACTCTGCCTCTCCTTTTCTCTCACCAGTGTGTCGCTTATGTATGTCCATTCCTTTCCTTATTTTTCCCGTGGGCAAACTGGTCCTCCACACACACGGCCTAGAAAAAGATGTATTTTAAACATTATTATTATCCCCTTACATATTTCTTGAAATGCCTCTCTCCATATCCACCAGTCCAAGTCCTAGTATTGGGAGGTAGGGTGGAAGGCTGCTTGTAGTATCACCAAGTGGTGTGACCGGGAACCTGGAGCAAGGCCTTCTCCGTGGTGGCCCCCCAGCTATGGAACTCGCTCCCCACAGAACACAGATGGCCATGCCACAGATGGACTTTCACCGCCTGGCGAAGACGTATTTATTCTCCCAAGATTTTGGAGGCCATGTGAACTTTACTTCACTTTTTAATGCCTCCAATCCTTTCTGATTGCAGTAGCAGCCATTTTTATTTGTTCAAATGCATAAAATAAATAAATCACAACTAAATCTGTAAAAAGAACTTCTTGATATAATGCGGTATCAGTTACTCTGACAAGGCGTTTTGTGGCTTTGTATTCAGTCCTTGAAATATATGACTACGTAATAAACCTTGGGACTTTGTTTTTTTTTTTATAATTAATATTTATTAAGTTTTCAAAGAATAACAACAAAAATTTCCAAAAAAATTTGAAAATACAAAAAACAAAAATGATAAAGAAATAAAAAAGAAAACACCCAACCATAAAGAAAAAAAGAAAAAAAGAAAAACAAAAGTATAAATTCATTTACGATCTCTGTTAACTTCCTTTCTAGACTTCCTCCTCCTCCCCTCTCTTGTTTCTTAATTTTTAATTTTTACAGCAAATCCTTTCTGTTTTTTCATAACATTCTATCATTACATTTCCTTATTCTATTTTCCCTCTTGTCATATAAAAACTTTAAAACTCAAAGCTTATATTCAGTATTTACCAAATTCTTACATCATTACCTTTTGCAAATCATTTACCAATCATTACTTAAGCCATATAATTTCATTCAACATCTTTCAAACATTTATGAACGTTCCCAATATTGAAAAATAGAAAAATAAAATAAAATAATAAGTCAGACACAATCCAGTCAACTTCCAGCGCCCCTCCCCTGGACCCGGGATTGTCAGTCCTTTTAACCTCAATAGTCCGGCTCCTTAACCTGGTTGTCTCGTGTCCGAGGCCCTCAAATCTCTTTCTTGCCCCTTTCGCAGCTCTTCTTGATGTTTCCCTTTCAGTCGTGGGTACTCCAGCAGAAAGATACTTTTGACCCTTTGCAGCAAGTCCATCTCATGCCCATTGTCCAAGCCAGACAGCAGATAATACCACTTCAAGTTTCCTTGAAACTTGGAGGCTCCGACTACTCCAATCCTCTGATGGCCCATCACCAGACTCGGAAAGTCCAGATAACCATATAAAGGGGGGTCACTCCATCCCCCATTTCCAAATCTAACCACATTTCATCTTTCCGAATCTGATTTATCCCAAGTTCATTTATCAAGTTCAAAGGCTGATCCTGCCGGTCCAAAGGTCCCTCCATCTCTGAAGCCTCCATCACTACAGCAGGTTCATATACTTGTAGATATTTTAACTGAGTTCCATTTACTTGCTGCTGTGCTCTGGTAACTTCCGTCATCAAGGTCGTCTCCTGACGCATCTGGTCCAGCTGGGCAGGGACTTTGACTAATCCTATTGATTGACACTGTGATATTTTATACAAATAAAAAAGAAATAAAAATTGCTGGATTAGAAGGAGACCTAAATGGCATCTAGTCTGACTATTTACACGACTGCAGATCCTTACATTAGCAAAGGTAATTGGCAGTGTAATTAAGACTACAGTGCATAAGATCCTTACATTAGCAAAGGTAATTGGCAATGTAATTAAGATTACAGTGCACAAGATGCTAACTGAAGGAAGGACCAGGGATTAAAACAGTTTATGGTTAAATTGTCATATGGATAAACAAGTTATCACTATGTTACAATTTTCTCAAAGCAGTAAATTCATATCAATGCAAATGTAAACAGGATTTCCCCCCCATATTTGCACTATCAGCAGGGGAAGATAGGAAATTGCTTGACCTCTCAATGCTGGTCACTTACCTGTGGTATCGCATTGTCATATACTGTATACAAGCCCAAAGAAGGGCAGATGGGGTTGCTGTCACTTTCCTTTTTGGCATTTTTTCATGAAAGCTTTGTTAGCAAACATGGTTTGTACTATGTATAGACTCGAAAGGGTGCATTAGCCTTCCCCAAAAAGATCTTGACCATTCAGACCACAATCTACCTGTTGACTCAACACCATTGTGACCTCATCTGGCAAGACGGTGAATTTTCCAACCACAAGGGCCTATGTTGAAGAAGCCAATGAAATCTAGATGTAACTCTGGCCATTAATTTTAGCCAGGCAAATATAATTACTTTGTGCTGTTATGCAGGTTATCTACTATAATTTGGTTCCCTGTAATTGAATTCCCTTTGCTTACCTTAGTCCTCCCCTGTTTTAATGTTGCATGTTATCTCTATGTTATGTGATTTATTTCTATACTTTAATCCCAGAGCCATTTAGGTATTGAGTAAAATTTTAAAACCTCTAAATAATATTAATCAGCATAATGAATATTCAGTCAGATTATTAGCTTTCAACCGTATATATTTTAATCTGGCAAGCTTTTCAAATCCTTTACAAATGAATTATTGTACCTACTTATCAATAGAGGAGAATTCAATTTAGGTTAATGATTTTTAAAATAAAGATATAATAGTATAAAGCAGCCCTTCTCAATCTTGGGTCCCCAGATGTTGTTGGACTACAACTCCCATCATCCCTAGCTAGCAAGACTAGCAGTCAGGAATGACAGGAGTTGTAGTTCAACAACATATGGGCTCCCACAGTTAAGAAATGCTGGTAAAAAGATATAATAGTATATACAAACATGTCTGAAGAGGAACATGCATTCATGCATTAATTGAAAGAAACTGAAATAATTATGTATGTCCTCTCCCAAGTTTTTGAGCTTAACTGTATTTTTAAAATTTAGGTAGACCGTGTAGTAGTAAATAACTAGATAACTAATTTGTTATGGATAGGCACGAATTGTGGTTTTGATTAACATTTTGTATCTTCTTATGTATAGGAAATAATGGTGGTTCTAATTATCACTAGAATTATTATTGTCTTACAAGTTGGCAAACAGGTATCGTATTTTTCGCTCTAAAAGACGCAACCGACCATAAGACGCACCTAGTTTTAGAGGAGAACATGAAAAAAAATATTCTCTCCCTCTCTGCGCAGCGCCTCTCCAGCAAAGCGGGAGGAGAAACGGAAGGGGCTCAGTTTCTTCTGCCGCTTTGCTGAAGGGGCGCTGCGCAGCTTTCCCTCTCTGCGCAACGCCTCTTCAGCACTAAAAAGGCACTGTACAGAGAGGGAAAGCTGTGCAGCGCCTCTCCAGCGAAGCAAAGTCAGAACAGCAAGAGGGATCGCTGTTCAGCGATCCCTCTTCCTGTTCTGGCTTCTGAGATAGCAGTGCCAAGCCTCTTCAGGGCAGGGGGAGCGTTCCCCTGAAGATGCTTCGGGCGGCTATCCCTGAAGCCAGGAGAGCGAGAGGAATCAGTGCGCACTGATCCCTCTCGCTCTCCTGGCTTCAGCGATAGCTGCGCAGCCTGCATTCGCTCCATAAGACGCACACACATTTCCCCTTACTTTTTAGGAGGGGGAAAGTGCGTCTTATAGAGTGAAAAATGCGTATCTCTTGGCAAAATCAGTTGTGTAATTGGCACTTGGCATGATCTAGCCCAGAGGTTATCACAACCCTTTTGTGTCTGGAATTTTGGAAAGTTTGAGAAAGTGTTAAGGGCACCGATCACAAAATGGCTGCCGCCAGGGTTGTGGCCAAACACAAAATGGCTCCTGCCTCCAAAAGGGCAAAGAAAGAAAGAAAATAAATGGAAACATAAAAGGGTTGTAATATGGAAAAGGGTTTTTATTTTTCCCAAAAAAATAAGTTTGAACAACTTTCTTCTTTGCCAGATACTGCTGAGTTGTTATGTTGTCTGTTACTGGTGTGCTGCTGCAAATTAGAGTTAGAAAATAAAATATAATTGAATCCAGAAATTATTTTGAATTACTACAGCATACTACAGCATACACATGCATAGTTACAAATAAAAAGTCGTACATAATGCTGGCTAAGAAGTTTGTTTGTTTGCTGCTACTATCGCTATGAAATGTAAAAGAAGTACAAGGAAATTACACAGAAAATATATATAGAGAGAGAGTGGTAGATGAATAATACTAGTAATATTGCTGCTGCTTTTGCAAGGTGTTCTGCTCTCCCCAAACATAGTGGGAGCCAGACAAGAGGAAATAGTGGTGATAATAATGAAATACCTCCACCTGCAAAAACAACACCACATGGTAACAACCAGGGAAAAGATTATAATTGTTATCTCTATCATCATTATGATGCCTCTACACTACACTCTCCCCCCCCCCATGCCAGCAAAAACCACTTTGGAACAATTTCTACTATAAGAAACAAGAAAGGGTTGCTATGTCTTCACCTATCTTTAAGAGCTGTGTGCTCCACATACTGGCAGGCAGCAAAATAGACAATGCAGCAATGGGAGCATTCTTGCGTTTCTTCCTCTACCACCATTTTTTCATAGTTTCTCAAGCAAGCCGCCTCCGACTGTTCACATGGTCAGTGGACAACAAAGTCCCATCCTTCTTTCCCTACTCCAAACACACCTATTGAAAAAGCCTCTCAAGTAGGGCTTGCCAATTGCTCGATGCAGCTGGTAGGCAGCAAAACAAAACAAATACTGCAGCAAACACATAGAATCAAGAAATAGAACATAAGACAGGAGCAAGAAAGCTCACTAAAGGGGAGGGAGAAACAGCAGCTTTTTAGTACTGCAGGGATTCCTGTCACCTGGGGTCCAAAGAACTTGGTCCTCAATCACAGCTCTCTCTACATTCATTAGCTAAAAACACTGAAATGTGGGAGCAGCCATGCTGGCTCATTTCACAGAAATTGCTTAGAAGGGTACCTGGACATTTTGCTTTGTAACTTTCCTTTTAGGAGGGCTACAGATTTTATTTTATTTTTTAAATGAAAACTCAGACTCTGGGGTCCTTGCAAGAGGCACCAATGAAGGCTTTTGTGGGTACCATGGCATCCACAGGTACTGGGGTTGGTGACCCCCCTACCTAGCCAAAGCTGTGCACTTTAAAATCCTATCATTTCAATGGCAGAGATTTATGTACTTAACTATTCAATTAAAATGAATGGAACAACAACTTTTACTGGATCATGCACTCTCTTATGAAGTAGTCGCTGCCACCACAGTCTGATTTAGGAGTAAGCAGGGCTGCTGTTTGTTTTGACAGTTCTAGCCTCAGGCCTTATTTTTAAATAGACGTAATAAAAACATTACATTACATTCATGTAAAATACTTGTTTTCAGTATACCACTTTTCTAAGGCTAGCAGTGTGAATGAGATCTACATTAAGGCATTTTTATGCATGATCCACATACACTTTTCATACTTAATTCCCTTACTTAAGCCTCAGATACTTAAAAAAAAAAAGCATTATGCAAGAGAGACAGGAAATGTAGATTGAATTTGCATACATTTGCATTAAATATGTGGGAAATGTAGAACACTATTTCCAGATGCTGCCAGAGGCCTATGCTTGTAGGAGGCTGCAGACTCCCGGGAGCCTAAAAGGAAATCCCTTGAGAAAAAGGGTGGAAGACTTGCACAAGCTTCTATACTACATAGGTTAGGTCCAGATTACATTGGAAAATCATGTTGACAATGAGCTGGATAATGATTGTGGACAATGCCTGCCCTGCCTTAAATGAATCAGCCAACATCTTATTGAAATACCAGAGTATATGAGGAACAAGAAGAAATCCAAAACATACACTTAGATTTATCGGATATAATGGGCATTGTCAAGATGCTACTGTGCTGTCAGAAAAGAGCTGGCTTCCAATTCAGTCATGCTCAGAGTAGGTCCACTGAAATCCATTGATTTAAAAGGATCTACACCAAGCATGTTTTAGCTGGATACCATCCAAGATTTATAGATGCTGAACTGTCTTTGAAGCTTGACAAAAATTGGTCTGCTTCTCAAAATAAACAGCTGACGTTGATAGGGTTGCCATATTCTGAAGAGCAAAAAAAGAGGACACAGTTGCCGACTTCCACTTTTGGATCGCTATGACGACTTTACCCATTAAAAAGAGGATGTGCCCTGGAAAAGAGGACAAATGGCAACCGTGAAAGTAGTACTTGCTGTTTTAGTTCTTCACTGCTTGTTCTTTGGCACTATGGAATGGAAGGACAAGTTGCTTTTCAAACAAAGGCAGATCTAAAGGTTAATAGGTAAAAATCCAAACATAGTAGGTAAAGGTAAAGGACCCCTGGCCATTAGGTCCAGTCATGACCGACTCTGGGGTTGTGGCGCTCATCTCGCTCTATAGGCCGAGGGAGCCGACGTACAGCTTCCGGGTCATGTGGCCAGCATGACTAAGCCGCTTCTGGCAAACCAGAGCAGCACACAGAAACGCCATTTACCTTCCCACCGGAGTGGTACCTATTTATCTACTTGCACTTTGACATGCTTTCGAACTGCTAGGTTGGCCGGAGCTGGGACCAAGCAACGGGAGCTCACCCCGTAACGGGGATTCGAATCGCTGACCTTCTGATCAGCAAGTCCTAGGCTCTGTGCAAGTAGATAAATAGGTACCCACAGTGCCACCTGCATCCTGATAACATAGTAGGTACCATCTAGCTAAACAAATGCATGCTGGAAAGATCTGCAGCATATTACCTCTGAAGTGGCATGTAAATATACCTTTGGTATATATTTTCGCAGGACATGTATTTGGCCGGATTGTGACCATTAGGATTTGCATGGAAATAGCATGTTTTGAACCAAGATAATCATATTCTTCCAAGACATTCCCCTACAATAAGATTTTAGTAATCTTTAGTTACCTCAATGACACATGGTGTAGAAAAGTTGGATATAAATGACTGCAATAAGCAGGTCTTCTGTGTTTTAATATGGTGCACTGCCTTGCTGTTTTATTATATGGCAGTACTGAAAGACTTCCACAAAGAAACAAGTGGCTATTTTTCCTGCCTGTGTTTTGTCAGTTAATTTGTCTTACTCTACTCAGAGAAAAAGCTGGCATAGGCACAGCCAATATTCTACGAATTATGTTCCCACTCACTGCATTCTGGAAGACCTGGCCTCCCTTCTTTTGCTTCCTCCCACTAAAATGCATTAACAGTTCTTTATTCTTCACTTTGCTACAAACCTAATTTAAAATGGTAATAAGACTATAGAGAACTGTAAAGGTCTTTCTTCTTTTAATTTGTATATAGACCAGTTGTCCGTGCTTACATGTTTCGGACAAGGTCTGTTACGAATGCAATGCCAGCAATACTTCAGGGTGGCAAAAGGGCAGTCACTCTTAAAAAACAACAACTGGTAAGAACACTTCATTATGTGAAGAGAACAATTATGACGAAAGATAGCCACTGTACCTGATAAGAGACCAAGGCCTGGTCATCTTCATGCATGGGAAGCCAATGGGAAGCCCTCCAGAGTTGACCAACTTAACTAGAGTTCTGTCTACCACCTTGTACCTCCCTTATTAAACAGAACTTTAAAAATGCACATTTTGAACTGGGTCACTCGTTTCATGATCATGGAGGACCAGAGGACCCCAGCAGGTGTAGCATTTGTTTGAGCTGTCTTAACAACGGGCATTATAAGTATTTTATGTGTACTTTAGTGAACTGAATAGAAAGATTATGAATCACAGGGGGCATGGAGAGAGTGCATATGAACTTAACAATGCTGAGCTTATTTTTTTAGTTGCCCTTTTGTTAACGCTGTTTTATAGATGATAAATGCCATATCAATTAGTTGCCTTTTTGTTATGGCATTTATCATCTATAAAACAGCATTATCAATTGCTAATCGTGTTAATACGCCTTTTGCTGCAATTGTGATGTTTGGCTTATTTTTTTAGTTGCTGCTGTGTTAATAGCGTTTTATAGATTGCAATTGTTTCATGCGTGATGTAAATCATGGGCGCTTTTTCCATTATGTTTTATTACATTATTGTTATTTAATGTTTGTAAGCTGCTGTAAAATTCATTTCAATGAAAAGCGGCAAGGAAACACAATAAATCAAATCAAATGAGAAGGCCCCTGGTATCTTCCGCTGGGGATAAAGAGACCTCTCAAGACTGCTGCCAACCGCTGTAAACTCAGCTGGACGGAGGTTAGAGGTATAGTAGCTCTGAATGAAGCAGGTGTCATCGGAATCCTGTTTTTATATGTGTTGGAAACCGACCAGAGTGGCTGGGGCAACCCCGCCAGATGGGCGGGGTATAGATAATAAATAAAAAAATTATGATCCTGCAAATTGGTGTGAGAGTTGTCTCAAGCAGCCTACATACTCAGGCAACCTGCTGCAGTTCTAAGAGGGAAGATCTTTTCTGGGAAAAGATTTATAATGAATTTTTAAAAATGTTGAAATAAACATTTATAAAGAAACCAGAGGCCTTTCTTGTTGGAAGAACAGGTTTGGAATTGCCCAAGAAAGATGTTAAATTATTTTTGTATGCCACAACTGCTGCTCGTATTTTGTTAGCTAAAAAGTGGAAAACCCAAGAATTAACAACAATAGAAGAATGGCAGATGAAGATGATGGGATTTTTCAGAGCTAGCCGACCTAACCGGAAGAGTCCATGACCAGAAGAAGGAGGAGTATCAGGAACAGTGGATTAATTATTACTTAGTTAAATACAGTGGTACCTCGGGTTAAGTACTTAATTCGTTCCGGAGGTCTGTTCTTAACCTGAAACTGTTCGTAACCTGAAGCACCACTTTAGCTAATGGGGCCTCCCGCTGCTGCCGCACTGCCAGAGCACAATTTCTGTTCTCATCCTGAAGCAAAGTTCTTAACCCGAGGTAATATTTTTGGGTTAGCGAGTCTGTAACCTGAAGCATCTGTAACCTGAAGCGTATGTAACCCGAGGTACCACTGTATGCTAAGTTAAATTAACTGAAAACAGCTTGCAGATACTTAATTGGCTTAGGATTTTATTTATGTTAAGCGATGAATTAATATGTTTAATTTCATAAGGTGAAGATCTAAGGATGTTAATGTTGAAGTTAAATTTTATAAGAACTGTGATTTGTAAAACCGTTAAAAGGCTATGCAATGAAATTCAACCAAGGGGAAGCGAGGAAGTCACTTAACAATGTTAATAAGTGTAATTTTCAATAAGGCTATGATTTATGTTTGTTTGTTTATAATGTTGTGAAAACCAATAAAAAATTGTTTGGAAAAAAAAAGAAAATCTAAGAGGGAAGATCCCGCAGGGAGAAAAGGCGCGTGAAACAGAAGCGCCACCCCTTGATTCTCCATCCTGGAACCAGATTACGCCTCTCTCCCCGAAGCCTTCGAGAAACACTCGCCGAAGGAGCTCGCATACAAATCCCCATTACGGCGGCCGAAGAGGTTTCTTCCTCTCCTTTCCCCAGCGAATTCTTCCCCGGTCAAGGCGGGGAGCCTACCCGGCGAGCGGCAAGGCATTCCGCTTGGGATTTACGCGCCGCAGGGCGGCTCCAAGGTGCGCCCCGGTCCCCCGGCGAGGCGCACGAGGCCAGAGCTCGCCAAACCGATCGCCAGCTGCGCCCGATCCTCCGAGCGCTGCCGGATCCCCCTCGGCCCTTGTCCCGAGGCAGCCATAGCGCCTGCCGCCAGCCGGGCGCCGGAGGAGGAGGAAGAAGCCAGCCCTGCGCGCTGCTTGGCCGGGGCTGTGCCCGGCGCGCAAGGGCGCACGTCACGCGTTTCTCCGGTGTGCCCCGGAACAGCCTGAGCAGCTCGCCGAAAGCCTGCGGGCCTGAGAGAGAGAGACCGCCCCTTTCCCCTCCTCCTGCCGCTGCTGCTGCTGCCCGGGCCTTTAGTTCGTGTGGAGAAGCTGGGCACGTGTGCGGCGAGGCTCGCTTGGTGCCGGCCGGGGCAGCTCCGTGCGCCCCGGTTCCCTTGGCCAGCCGGGAGATCGCGAGGTGGGTCAGGGTTTCTAGGGCAGCGCCCCGGCGGATGCCGGCGCAGGGGGAGAGCCCGGCCGGGTTGGGGGGTGGAGAGGGACGAGGAGGGGCGAAAAGGCGCCCCGCCGCCCTCGCCAAAAAGGGGGGCTCCTCTGCGGTGCCTTTTCTGCATGGACCCCCCAACAGAGGCAAAGCGCTTTCGGAGAATCTTCCTTCGAAAGTGGGCGCCGCGGGGGAGCTGTGCCTTTTGCGCCCCCGCCCAGCTGCCTTTCTGCGACGTGCACGCGCGCGCGCGCTCTGTTGTACGAAGTAGACACTTGACATTCCAAACGGCAAGGGGAAAGTTTTCACTTCCTTTGATTTCAGGCTCGTGGCGTGTCCGGGGACCCCGCCCCTCGGAGCCCCGATTCTCCCGTAGCCTTGCCATGCTGCCCATGACATTTCTTTGGAAAATCGGTGCACGTTGCGCTATGCCAACTTCAAACTTGAATTTGTGCTGCCTTTCCAGCGAGGGGGAAAATCGCGGATTATTTTTTTTAACTGTATTGGGGTTAGGGGAACAGCGTGGGGGGCTAAGTATATTTGGACTAGAGCCACTGAAATAAATGAACATAAATTAATTATGCCTGGTAACTTAAGTGGGAGTATTATGAGTAGGATTAATATTCGATACAACTCAGTATGTGTATAGCAGTCCTGAATGTTCCAGAGCTATAGTTTGGGCAGATTTTAGGCTTGTACTTTGTTTTCCCCACTGAAACCCCAAGGCACACCAAGGGGAGCCAGATGTGCGTTGGGAATTTAAAGGTGGACCCATATGCAATATGTTGACTTGGGGGTTGTAGACACTGGGATAATAATAATAATATTAATAATAAATTTTATTTCTACCACTCCCTCCCCAGCCACCTGCATATACAAAGTGCACATCTATATCTGAGTTCTGATCAGGGATTTCAATAACCTGAGCGGTTGGGCAATGGAATTGTTGCAGATCAGATGAGATCTACCAGTAAATCTCAAATCTTCTGCTAACCCCTACTGTAGAGGGAAAATATTCGGGACAAAGGAACTGGTCTGCTGCTTTACCTGATGCAAAGGACAAATATATTTAAAATTTTTAGGAAGATAAGGGTATGCAAAGTCTTGTTGTTCTTTTGTGGAAGTATTTATCACTGATTGTTTCCATAGAGCATGATATTCTTTTCTGTTCTTCTATAATTTTCCACCTTTGCCTATCCAAGAGGGGACGTGGAAGCTCCTACTGAAGCACCCTGTTCCGAAAAAGTGAGTAAACAGTATTATTTCTTGTAGCAAGTTTGCTCTCCCCTTCCACCTCAGGGAGCCTGTTCACTCTCCTCTGGTTTATTGGAGGGGAAGGTTTTTAGCTCTTTGTCAACCTCCAGGTGAGTTCCAGAAAGAAGGCAGAAGATTCTCTTGGCGATGGGGGTGGAATCCAAGCAACGGGGGGGGGGGGGAACTGGTGACTCTTATGTTGTAGGCTGGATCAAGAGCAAATAACTACAGATAATTACAGATCCATCAGGAAGACATGCTAGGGTTTTGAAGCTGGTAGTAAACTAAGGTTTGCTCAGAGTAGACGTACTGAAATTAACAAACATAATTAAGTTAGGTCATTTCATTTTCATGGGTCTACCCTGAGTAACACAGCTTAATATCACCCAGAAAAATCTACCCATTCCACAGCAAAACTGTTCCTAGACCATATCATTTCAAGCTGTAGATGGACACATTGAAGATCATCTGCACATAGAAGCTAGGTATCAAATAGGGATCTAATTTATCCATTGGTCTAATGTGTTATTGTTCCCCATTCTCCCTCTTGTGTCTTTTTCGGGCCTGTGCCTATGCACCTCATTTTAGGATGCAAAGGCATATTTTTGTGGGGTAGCAGTCCTTCATGACATTCTCCCTCCGATAGTCTCATAAAACTACCAGGGCAATGGTCCTGTGCCTGAAAAGAGATGGAAAACTAGCTTGCTCTGCCATGTTCAGTTAAAAGAATGCATTTGCCTTTGTTGGAAGGTTGTTTTTTTAAAAAAATCATGGGTGCAACACACAATGCATAGGCGTAACACAAAACAGTCAACACATACCGTATTTTTTGCCCTATAGGACGCACTTTTTCCCCTCCAAAAATGAAGGGGAAATGTGTGTGCGTCCTATGGGGCGAATGCAGGCTTTCACTGAAGCCTGGAGAGCGAGAGGGGTCGGGGCGCACTGACCCCTCTCGCTCTCCAGGCTTCAGGAGAGCCCCAGCGCCAGCCCCACCAGGTGGGGGGACAGATGGAGGGGGAACGCCACCATCCCGCAGTCAACCGACGGGGTATGGAGGCTGATGGCGGGGAGACCCCGCCGCCAGCCCCGCAAGCTCCGGGGACAGCTGGGAGACGCAGCGCGTCTTCCCGCTGTCCCCGGACCTGATCTGAAGGCGGGCAGCGGGGAGAAGAGCGCTTCTCCCCGCTGCCTGCCCCGCAAGCTCCGGGGACAGCTGGGAGGCGCAGCGCGTCTTCCTGCTGTCCCCGGACCTGATCTGAAGGCGGGCGGCGGGGAGAAGAGTGCTTCTCCCCGCTGCCGGCCCCACAAGCCCGGGGACAGCTGGGAGGCGCAGCGCGTCTCCCGCTGTCCCCGGACCTGATCTCAAGGCGGGCGGCAGGGAGAAGAGAGCTTCTCCTGCTGCCTGCCCCGCAAGCTCCGGGGACAGCTGGGAGACGCAGCGCGTCTTCCCGCTGTCCCCAGACCTGATCTGAAGGCGGGCGGCGGGGAGAAGAGCGCTTTTCCCCGCTGCCGGCCCCACAAGCGCCTGGGGGGGAAATAATTTTTTTTTTCTTTATTTCCCCCCCCCAAAAAAACTTGATGCGTCCTATGGGCCGGTGCCTCCTATGGGGCGAAAAATACGGTAGTTGTCCCCTGTGTAACAGAGGCCTGACGGGCATTAACTAGAATTCAGATATTTAGTGTCATTAGTCCCGTGACGTGGAACACACTTCCAGCAGAGATTGTGCAGGAATCCTGACTTTTAACTTCCAAGTATATCTTGAAGATATTTCTGTGCCTACAGGCTGATGCAGCTGTTTGAAACTTTCTTGATGAGCTAATAGTTTAGTAGCATTTTTAACGGTGCTTTATGTTTTGTTGTCTACATATTGCTGTACGCTACACTGATATGTCATGAGATGGTGATATATAAACAAAAATACAGGGAATATCTTTTTGGGTTAAATAGTCTACTTTTCCCCCTGCAGGAGATCATACCACCAACTCTATGCTTTAAAAATGGAAGCGGTAGAAATGGATAATGCATCCCTTAAGCGTCCTCATTCTGAGGACAAAGAGGCTAACGTGGATGAAATCAAAAGGCAAAAGGTCTTGGAAGAAGCACTGAAAGAAAGAGAGAATACTGACCAAAAGACTGAAGCTGAGGCAGAGCTCAAACCCATCAAACCTCCAGTTGAGGATGCAAAAAAAATACTTCTTAATGAGGCAAGTGCAGGCCAAGATGAGGAAGAATTGGAAGAAATTGATGGAGAAGGAGACCCAGAGAGCTTTGCAGACATGATGAAGCACGGCCTGACAGAGCTAGATGTTGGCATAACTAAGTTTGTTAGTTCTCACAGGGGCTTTTCTGGAATATTGAAAGAGAGGTAAGTACTAACTCTTCTGCTGCTCAATGTGGATGGATCAATGCTTAACGTAACCACTTTTGCTGGTTCAGCTTTAACATGGGTCCCATCTGCGCAATGCATTTAAAGCGGTAAAAAGTCATGGCTTCCCCCCCCCCAAAGAATCCTGGGAACTGTGGCTTGTTAAAGGGGCTGAGAGTTGTTAGGAGACCTCTAGTCCCCTCAGAGAGCTACAATTCCTAGAGTGGTTTTAACAGTCCAGTCCCTCTTCACAGGGAACTCTGGGAATTGTAGCCTTAGAAAATAAAGCAAGTAACCACGTCAATCTGCAAAATCTGTAGTCGGATGGAGGGGGTAAATGTATAGCAGGGGTCAGCAAACCTTTTCAGCAGGGGGCCAGTCCACTGTCCCTCAGACCTTGCGGGGGGCCGGACTATATTTTTTGGGGGGGGGAAATGAACGAATTCCTATGCCCCACAAATAACCCAGAGATGCATTTTAAATACAGTGGTAGCTCGCTTTAAAAACCCTTCAGGTTACAGACGCTTCAGGTTACAGACTCCGCTAACCCAGAAATGGTACCTCAGGTTAAGAACTTTACTTCAGGATGTGAACAGAAATTGCACCGTGGCAGGAGGCCTTGTGACTTCGTAGAAACACAGCTTGCAGCTATTAAAATGGCAAGGATCAGTAGAGAATGTGTATCTCATTTACACAAATAATTATTATCCTTAACTATCAAAATGGCTGACGTTTATATCTCTGAAGAAGCAGGGGGAGCCTTATACTATTTTCTTCACCCTTTGGATTTTAGGGAGCACAAATTAGCAAGATGTACATTATCAGTGCTTAATACCTAAGCTTGATATATATTGCAGTCTCATTGATAACTTTTGCAGATTGACTTGGTTACTTGCTTTATTTTCCAAAGCTGCAGTTCTGTGCACACATATTTGGAATTAAGTCCCATTATACTTCTGAATCAACTTGCTTAAGGTTGCATTGCAGAACTCGTAGGGTTCACTCTCTGCAGGTGTCAGGTTGGCTCCTTGTAAACTGAGAACCAGCCTTTTTCAATGCACGCTTTCCCCCCTTTCTGGAGCAATTTCCCCTTTATATTGTAAAAAATGTGAGGGTTAGCTTATAGCATTGACCATGTCCTTGTGTTGTGTGTTCATCTGCACAAGCCATTGTTTTCTTTTATAAAACAGAATTTGAAATCCTAGCTTGAAGTGGGTTTGCAAACTGCAGCCATGAGGAATTCTGATTTTTGTTGATCATGGTTGGTATTGATACAGGACGCGGGTGGCGCTGTGGTCTAATCCACTGAGCTTCTTGGGCTTGCTGACCAGATGTGTAAGGTGAAAACACAATTAATGCCAGGAAGAGAGAGGGAAATAACTTGGAGCAGGAAGGGGATATACATTTCCCACTTTGGCTTTCAGTCAGTCAGTCAAGTTTATTGCTTATAGCCAAAGGCTGCTGCAATGTATGCAGTGTCAATCAGTAAAATATATACTAATTTGATACAAAAACTTAAAACATTTGCATTGTCAAAACATGACCTAATCTGCACAAAGCTATAGAAACTCCTTAGTATACAAATTAAAACATTAGACAATAATTATAAGCTAAAATCACTGCGGGGCCACTGATATATGAAAAGTAATGTTAAATAATACAATAGACAATTATGTACAAAGTTTAGTGAGAAAGAACTTGGTGTAGATGGGGTCGAGTAAATTCATCTCCTTTACTGTTGATAGCTATCCCGGCTATATATTTTTTTCTAATTTTCCTGGCAGCAGTTGCAAAAAGTGCCACACGCCAGGTCACATACTTATCAATGTCTGCAAGGAGATACAGCGGTACCTCGGGTTTAGAACTTAATTCATTCTGGAGGTCTGTTCTTAACCTGAAGCACCACTTTAGCTAATGGGGCCTGCCGCTGCTCCGCCACCACCCGATTTCTGTACTCATCCTGAGGTAAAGTTCTTAACCCAAGGTACTTTTTCTGGGTTAGCCTGAAGCGTCTGTAACCTGAAGCGTCTGTAACCCGAGGTACCACTGTATAGAATCATGTCAGAGGGATTCTGGCCAAGGGACCTTATCATTATATGTGTCAAAAACCGTTCACTTGCTTCAAAGATATAAGGGGCAGCACAAGATTTAATGCATGAGGTCCTCTAATTCAGGGCATCCCCTAATACGAACGCGTTCAGTTACTGGTTACTCTATGAGGCTTTCAGTCTGTAAATTACGTGTTTTAGGGAGCCCATACTGTCTCTTCATTAGACTGTGTTTCTCCTTCTTGTTCCTTTTGCAAATGAAACTGCTGAAGTAGAATAAATCCTACATTTAGTACCCTACCCCTTAAGCAAGATTCTTCTTCTTTTTGGTTTCTTCCTTTTTAGTTTCTGGTGTGAAAGGGTTAATAGACCTCAGTCCCAAATTTAAAAGGGTTGCAATTTAAGCTGAAAAGGCTCTTATTTGACATTTGTATCCCATTCTCTGTTGACTGTTCTGTCTTGTTTTCTACTTAGATATTCAGATTTCGTTGTTCATGAAATAGGAAAAGATGGGCAAACCATCCATTTGGATGACTTCTCTGTGCCTTTAGATAAAGAGGTAACTTTTCTCTGCCTAGCTTCCATCATCAAATGTGGAAGGCCACAATTCAAATCTTGGTTGAAAGATTTCCATAGATTTCTACATAACATTTTGTGGTGTTTATAGGATCCTTCTGAGGAGATCTTCACAGTGTTGTCAGCTGAAGACAAGCAGCGGTTAGAAGACCTCCAGCTTTTTAAAAATAAAGAAGGCAGTGTGGCCATTGAGGTAATTGACAAAATATCAGAGCTAATAAATAAACAAGTTAATGATTGGCAAAATGATGCAACAGGATCAAACTCTTTTGGAAGTTGATTTTGTTCAACTATGCACCTGTGAAGGGTATATAAAAAGATGCAAGGCTTCTTTGTGAAGTGTTTTAACTTAAATTTCCATAAAAGTTGGGAATAACTACAATCCTCTACATTCATCACGCTGGTAAACAATGCTTTTTGTGACTAAATTTACATATAGGAGCAAAAAAGGCCTTTCCCTCTTGGGAATATACCCTCCTTCTTGCCTAAAGGCAAATGAGAGTGGTATTTTTTTGTAGTTTGTTGTATTGGTCTCCTTACTATTCTAAGGGGTTATGAAAATGGGATTAAATGATTGCATCTGTTAAAACAATAACATAATTACAAGAAAACTGAATTTAATAATAAAATAATTTATTATTTATACCCCACCCATCTGGCTGGGTTTCCCCAGCCACTCTGGGCAGCTTCCAACTGAATGTGAAAAACACAATACAGCATCAAACATTAAAAACTTCCCTAAATAGGGTCACCTTCAGATGTCTTTTAAAAGTAAGATAGTTGCTTATTGCCTTGACATCTGCTGGGAGGGCGTTCCACAGGGCAGGCGCCACTACCGAGAAGGCCCTCTGCCTGGTTCTCTGTAACCTCACTTCTGGCAGGGAGGGAACCTCCAGAAGGCCCTCAGTGCTGGACCTCAGTGGGGTGAAGATGCTCCTTTAGGTATACAGGACTGAGGCTGTTTAGGGCTTTAAAAATCAGCACCAACACTTTGAATTGTGCTCGGAAACGTACTGGGAGCCAATGCAGATCTCTCAGGACCGGTGTTATGTGGTCTTGGCGGCCGCTCCCAGTCACCAGTCTAGCTGCCGCATTCTGGATTAATTGCAGTTTCAAAGGTAGCCCCACATAGAGCGCATTGCAGTAGTCCAAGTGAGAGATAACCAGAGCATGCATCACTCTGGCGAGGCAGTCTGCGAGCAGGTAGGGTCTCAACCGGCGTATCAGATGGAGCTGTTAGACAGCTGCGCTGGACACAGAATTAACCTGCGCCTCCATGGACAGCTGTGAGTCCAAAATGATTCCCAGGCTGCGAACCTGGTCCTTCAGGCACACAGTTATCCCATTCGGGATCAGGGAGTCCCCCACACCAGCCCGCCCCCTGTCCCCCAAGAACAGTACCTCAGTCTTGTCAGGATTCAACCTCAATCCATTAGCCGCCCTCCATCCAACCGACTCCAGACACTCACGCAGGACCTTCACCTTTTCTAGACTATGTCACTTCAGATTTGGGCACCTGAATTGTAGTCCCTGCATACAGAAAAATCTAGCAGGTCAAATAAGGGTTTCTTTTTAAATGTGCAAAGAATTCTTTTTCTCCTGAGGAGCATTCAGTCCTAACCCCCACTGGCAGTCTAACATAGTGATGGTCAGAAATGGGCTTCTGTCCTCATCTGCTGTTTATGAGATGATGTTTACTTCTCCCCCCCCCCCTTTCTTTAAGTTTGTTATTTATTGATTTTCAGAGTACACAAAATAGCAATACAGTGAGGACTTGCAGGCCTCCAAATATAAACTACAAATATACAAAGAAACTACAAATATAAAAACCAACCAAGCTATCACTTTTTGTATTATTATTTTCTATGCCGCTGCTTAGGTCATTGAAGACACTAAGGAAAAAAGGACCGTTATGCACCAGGCTGTAAAATCTTTGTTTCCAGGACTAGAGACTAAAACAGAGGATCGGGATGGGAAAAAATACATCGTTGCTTATCATGCAGCTGGAAAAAAGGCTCTTGCAAGTGAGTTTGACCTTATTTGAAACTTTCAAAACAAAAATGGCTCCGTCGTATACCCGCGTGTAAAAATCTGTCTTAACTGTGCAATTCCAGGCATGTATACTCAGGTGCAAGTCCCGTTGGGCTCAACAGAGTTCGCTTCCAAGTGAGCATGTGTAGGATTGCAGCCCAATTAATCAAAATCAGCATTAACTAGGCATTGATTGTGTTATGTTTAAGTCACATAGGATGATAGGAAGTCTTGGAGGGACATTAAAACTCTGTGTACTTGCTTTTGCTTAGTGCGTTTTTACAAAGCTATGGAAGAATTGTCCTTAAAGAAATAACGGTCTTGTAACAGACAGTCCATAAGTATGTAGTGGAAAATTGTAATATTCTAGTTTGGGTCTGCACAGAGATTTGTGTAACTGTAGAACAAACAGATTTGATGTAAGCTTAGCCTTTCCCCTCCTTTCAAAATGCGGTTTCTGTAGGTTTTTTTTGTTTAAAGGTCTGAACATGCAGTCAGGTTGTACAAATAAAGTTAAAAGAAGTTGCAGGGGTTACATGATCAACCTATGTTGCTGAAACACTATTTTGTATGATGGAATTGCTCAAAGAAAATAAATACCTCCGTATAAACCTGAGGAAGCAAGCATTAAACAATCTGTGAGGATTTTAGAAAATGTATCGTTTTTAAAATAAATGCTAGTCTTACTGTCTAAAAATGGAAAAAGTTTGGAAAGGGGGGGAAAACCCTGTAGGCTGCCATGCTGATATTATTATTATTATTATTATTATTATTATTATTATTATTATTATTACAGTGGTGCCCTGCAAGACGAAAAACTCGCTAGACGAAAGGGTTTTGCGTTTTTTGAGTCGTTCTGCAAGACGAATTTCCCTATGGGCTTGCTTCGCAAGACGAAACGTCTTGCGAGTTCTTGCGAGTTTGTTTCCTTTTTCTTAAAGCCGCTAAGCCGTTAATAGCCGCTAAGCCGCTAATAGCCGTGCTTCGCAAGACGAAAAAACCGCAAGACGAAGAGACTCGCAGAACGGATTAATTTCGTCTTGCGAGGCACCACTGTACATGGGAATAAGTCCCATTGAACACAGTTCCTTCTGAGTAGCATTGGTAGAGGAGAAAAAATATCCAGGCTGAAAATTAAAGCATGGATGGCTAACCTTTTGCTCTCCAGAGGTTGCTGTGCTGAAATTCCCATCATCCTGAACTATTGGGCTTGCTGGGTGGGAATGAGGGGAGTTGGAACCAAAACAAGGCCACAGGTTAACCACCTGTATGGGATGAATGGACCCATTGCAGTCTGGTGCTACTTGAGGATGGGGCTAAATCTGTCGTGCCCCACTTCTGCACAAATTTTATCTGTTCGGAAATACAAATTATCAATAAAAATACTTACTTACATGAGGCTGTCAGAAGGTTCCAGCGCTGCCTGCCTGGTGCTTTCTGATCTAAATCCGTGTTTGTTCCTTTTAAAATTGACTAGAAAAAACCCCGTCTTTATGTACTCTTTGTGCCTTTAAATAAAAACTAGCCAACCAGTAGGTTGCTCTGCAGCTCGGCATTTTTCCAGCATATGCCAAGATTGACTGGGAGAAAAACACCCCGGCTTGCTTTCTGTGTCTTTATTGGCATCTTGATCTGTTAAACAGCAGTCAGTAGATGATGCTCATCTCCATAGAGTGAAAAACGTCAGCTTAAGCAGCTTGATAGGGCAGATAAATTTCTCAATCCTAGCTGCTCTGTGTCTTGGAATTAGAATATTGTTGCTCTTCACAACTGTGAAATCTATATTGCCTATTTTATTTTTATTATCACGGCCTAGGACCCTCGTACCTACGGGACCGCCTCTCCTGGTATGCCCCACGGAGAACCTCAAGGTCCATAATTAGCAACACCCTAGAGGTCCCGGGCCCTAAGGAAGTTAGATTAGCTTCAACCAGAGCCAGGGCCTTTTCAACACTGGCTCCAACCGGTGGAATGCTCTGTCTCATGAGAACAGGGCCCTGCAGGATCTGATTTCTTTCCGCAGGGCCTGTAAGACAGAGTTGTTCCGCCTGGCCTTCGGCTTAGAATCAATTTGATTCCCTCCCTCTCTTTCTTTTTTCTTTTCCTTTCTCCTCCTGCGATGAGGCTACATTTTAATATTTTAATGTTTCAATATTTTAATGTTGTGTTTTAATGTTGTTTTTAATTTGTACTCATTCAACTTGTTTTTATTATTGCTTGTTAGCCTCCCTGAGCCCGCCTTGGCTGGGGAGGGCGGGGTATAAATAAAAGTTATTATTATTATTATTGTTATTATTATTAATTAATGTGATTCAAAATAGGATATTAAAGATCTGGGGGGAGATGTGGTTGTCAATTGCACTGAATTTATTTATTGCACTGAATATATTTAAGTACAGTCCATGTTTGCATGCGTTGTGCATGGAGCATGCATGTTTACAGGTACAAACAGAAATACTCAAGCCATGCTCTCCATCTTCCCTACTGTTGGAGCAAAATGCATGTGTTAGCATATGTTATCTGGGTGATTTTTCTAAAATGGTTGAAGGGAGGGGGTGATGTGAATGTCTTTGTATGGTGCTACCAAACTTCAGGCAGTGACCTTTCAGACAGTCGTACGTTTTCCCAGACGTCTAGTACAAGTGAATTTCTCCAGTGCATATGAACAAACTTCCTCTTGCGTAAGAATTTGCAAGTTCACTGTATTCTGTACTGGTGGAGGGACGACACAACCTGACTCATTGAAATTTGTATTAATTAGACTCTCAGTTTTGAACTGGATTCTGCAGGCGCTTCTGTTCTAAACACATGGAACGCTTAATAACCTTTGTTTATCCGCTCTTTGCGTCGCTGCCCTCAGTGTAGTTTGTTGCGTGTGTAGCTGAAACCTTTCCATTTGTTCACTTCTCCCTCTGCACGATTCCATTGCATAGCTGTCTAAATAGACGTCAGTCGCCACATTCACTGTTGAATGCTCCAGACATCTGCAGTGTTACAACACATAAACTTGCATGTTCCCATCTGAAGCACTTTGATGCCTTTAAAAGATAAAATAAAAATAAAACATTGCTCTCTTATGCTCTTTACCCCATGCCTATGAACAGAGGTCAGAACTTCAACAGGTAAGAAAGAGATGTTGGCATTTCATGTTAGGAAAAAATGAAATGCCAATCCCATCGACAGTAATTTAGACCAGCTAAACAGTTTTCCAATTTCATGACTAACGGAAATAAACCTTTCTCCAGCCCAATCCTATCTATCATAGAATCATAGAGTTGGACCACAAGGATAATCTAGTCCAGCCCCCTGTAATTCAGGAATCTTGTTGCCCATCATGGGGCTCAACCCTGGGCTGCCCAGATGACAAGACTCTCGTCTCAGCCTCGCAAAGGAAAGCAGAGCAAGACATTTGGCACGAGCTTAGCTGCCAGAAAGGGGTGTATAAGGCACCACCCAACTGTCTTAGGGACTCCACTCTGGGTTTGTGTAGGGTTCGCTCCTTAAGCCTTTTCTTTTCCCTCAGGGCAGTGGAGATTGAGGACCAGAAGATGGGCAAGTCTCATCTGCCCCTCACTCATTTTCCGTGAGCCACCCAGAGAAGCTACAGCATACAAAAGCCATAAATAAATCAATAAAAATAAATTTGTCCTCAACAACTATGATCCCTAATTGTCATAATATAGATAGCCCCTTTGAGAGTTAGGTTTTCAATATGCTCAGAATTCTTACATTCTACATAGCTTTTTTGGTAAACTGCCTTGAGGGTTTTCCCCGGCATGTAAATTTTATGAAATAAAGGATAAATAAAATAGTTTAACCAAAGTAACTTGGAAATAATCCCAAGTACAGTGGTACCTCTAGTTACGAACTTAATTCGTTCCAGAGGTCCGTTCTTAACCTGAAACTGTTCTTCACTAGAGGCATGCTTTCGCTAATGGGGCCTCTTGCTGCCGCTGCGCCGCCGGCACACAATTTCTGTTCTCATCCTGGGGCAAAGTTCTCAACTCGAGGTAACTCTTCCAGGTTAGCAGAGTTTGTAACCTGAAGCATTTGTAACCTGAGACGTTTGTAAGTACTGTCCCTCTGCTTGGTTGCAGACCATAGCAGTTAATCATTCAGAAAATTATAACCCATTAATATTGTTCTCTCTATATAATGATTTTCCTTGCACTTGAAACAACAGAAGACAAGAGAATTAAGTGTTAAAAGAAAAAAGTTCAAAGGCCCCTGAGGATACATTTGCATCATAACACTTAACTGTGGTTAATGTGAACCATGGTTTGCACGTTCTGACCATAGTTTCTGCCCAATTTTGAACCATGGTGTAAATGTTCACCATATCTAACCAAAGTTAAGGAGAGCAAGCAATTCTTAGGCATTATGTCTTCTCAGTGCCTGTTTGAATGCAGTGATGTACCATAATTGATTGCTGTGGGAACAAGGTTTGTTCTTGGCTACAGATAGTGTTTAGCGAGGAGAGTGCTTAACCACGGTCCCAGGTTTGGATGACACGCTAAGCCTAACCTCGACTTAACTGAGTGCAGCTCAGAGTAAAAAAGGCCAGGGAGGAGTGAAGCGGTTGCAAGCTCCTCCATGGGAGCCTTCACAGTCCAGGCAGACCATAGGTTGGTTTACTGTGACATGGGAAGAAGACCATTGAGTTTGTTCACATGTACTACCAAACCATGGTTTAGCACTTTAGGGACAAGTCCTCTGCTTGCACAACGTTGTTTAATTAGGTTTGTCAAAAATGGAGTATGAGGAGGAGCATACTAGCCTCAGGCTTGGTAATATAACACTAAACCATGGTTTGGTATTAAGTGTGAACCAACCAAGTGCGCTTTTGAAAACCACCCAAGAGTCTTCATAAGGAAAATGCGATTTGAACTTCCTTGTTTTCAGTCCCAGTTTTCAGTCCCATTTGCAATGAATGAAATATCTGGCAAGAAGTGTAATCGTTGCATTAATAATGTGTGACTTTGCCCTAAGACTATCCAATATAATATTTTTTTTGTTGGTGGGACCCTTGCCATCTCTGCATATGGGCAAGCTACAGCAAACAATCTTTTTAGGTGGCGACACTTTGTTTTGCCCAGTACTGTTTTGTGGGATGAATTACGTTGCATAGTAGTAGCTCTTTGCAGTGTTCTGATGGACTCTTTAAAAAGTTGCCAAGAGGAATTTAGCATTGTCGAAGGAAGAGGTAAGCCTGATATATTCCACCCCCACAAAGAATGGATAAAACAGCAGCAAGTGTACAAATGATTTGCAGGGGGTGGGGGGAGGAGAGAGAGATTTACGCAAGATTTTTTTTGTGTGTCTGAATTACCAAAAAAACACAACAACAAAAAACCACCCTAAATGGAAAACAATGAAAATGGCCATACTTTAATACTTTGTATGTTTTAACATTTTGTCTTTAAAGATCCAAGAAAACATTCTTGGCCCAAATCTAGGGGAAGTTATTGCCACTTTGTCTTGTACAAAGAGAACAAGGACACCATGGATGCTATCAACGTGCTGTCGAGATTTTTAAGGTGGGTCAACCTTTTGACAAGAGAGGACAGTAAATCTGCAAAACTTTCTGATAGGTGGTAGAAATGCCATCCTTTGAGACGGTTGGTTTGGGCAACATTGCAGCATGCTGAAGGTAAAGTGGCTGCTTTTTAGTGGTCAGTTTTGGAAATAACGTGTAGCCCGTGTGTAACAATTTGTAATTTTTGATCCTTGTGGAATCCTGAGGCGGTAAGACTCCATTACAAAAACGGGAGGGAGAGAGATAGAAATTCTGTGCATTGTAATAACCATAATTTTATTATTATGCCCTGCCCATTTGGCTGGGTTTCCCCAGCCACTCTGGGCGGCTCCCAACAGAATATTAAAAACGCAATAAAACATCAAACATTTAAAACTTCTCTAAACAGAGCTGCCTTCAGATGTCATCTAAAAGTCAGATAGTTGTTTATTTCCTTGACGTCTGATGGGAGGGCGTTCCACAGGGTGGGCGCCACCACCGAGAAGGCCCTCTGCCTGGTTCCCTGTAACCTCACTTCTTGCCGTGAGGGAACTGCCAGAAGGCCCTTGGAGCTGGACCTCAGTGTCCAGTCTTGTGTGTGTTCAAATACTTCTTTCCAAATTCAGTCTTGACATCAGCTTGGGCACAGTGCACATTGCTTTTGTCCTGCCAAGCTGACAGCTTCTAAGACTATAACTGGCGACACATAATAGAAGCAAAAGGTTGGCTTTAAATTGTGCGCTCTGGCTCCTAATTGCGGTTAACCGTGGTGAGACAGAGATGTGTGTTTTTCGCCTAGACTGTCGGAAGTCCTTTCCCTGAGTTTTTGTTCTGCTTTGTACCGAACTTCAAGAGAAGCAGCCTCAGCATAAGCGCAGGGTAGAAATAAATAAAAAGTGTGCACTTGGCATCGGCTCGCAAGTTATTTGAGTGGTGGCAAACAGAAATCCTTATGGATGGTTTTTATTTGGGAGAGGTATTTTTTTGGGGGGGATGGCTCTTAACTGGATCAGATTGTTGTTATGTCTCTCGAGTTTCTCTCCTGTGCATGATTATGAATCAAATCAGCAATGGGGAACCTCAGACGAGGAGGTCAGACGTGGTCCCCATGGCTTCTCTGACCCTCGAGACTCGTGCAAGCCCTGTCCCTTTCCCAGGCCACCCTCTCTTCCGAGACCAGGCCTCTGCCCTTGCTCAAGTCCTATTACAGGGTGGAATGTGTCCTTTAATTGTAACAGTGCTTCTCACTTGCCTGGATAGAAAGAAGTGTGTTTTTGTAGGAAGCACTGACATTTATGCAGGGCTGGAAGGTAGCCTGCTGTACAGAGGTAAGAGTCACATCCGTTACGCCACCAACTTTGTCCACCTGCTGACATTGCAGCCCCTTTCAAGGTCGCCCTAGCGGGAATCTGGCCCTCAAATTTATTTAAATGATACGCTGTTGGCAAGCAAAGGTAATAACTTCTAACGCTTCTTTCCCCTACCTGTTTTGCTAGTGCTGAACATTTTTCTTTCTCATTTTTTTAAAGAGTTAAGCCAAACATATTTTCATACATGGGGACGAAAGACAAAAGGGCTATTACAGTTCAAGAGATCGCTGTCCTCAGGTAAGTAGAAGCAGGGTGGTGTTTAAATGTTACCTGGCTTGCTGACATAAATATAATAATAATAATAATAATAGTAGTAATAATAATAATTTGTATACTACCCTATACCCAAAAATCTCAAGGCGGTTCACAAAATAAAATCACAATATAAAAATAATCTTATCTGTGTGCAAGATGGAAATAATTGATTTTATAAAAGTGTTGTGGCATTCTGTAAGTACCCAAGGCATTTGAATCAGTCATCCCGCAATTCTGCAGAGTAAGTGGCTGCAGTTAGATTTGAAAACCTTCAGTTTTAAACTGGGGGCATGAATGTTAAAAGATGTAATGAACGGGCTGCTGGAATCACGGTTTCAGAAATAGGTTTCAAAAATACAGTTTGCACCTGTGCTTCAGTCACTGTACAGTAACTCCAAAATCAATTATCCTGTGTGGAGACCCCGTTTTTGTTAAATCTTTCCCTCTCTATCTCCATGTTTAGAATCACTGCACAAAGGCTGGCTCACTTAAATAATTGCTTGATGAATTTCAAGCTTGGAAACTTCAGTTACAAGAACCACCCGCTAAAGCTGGGAGAATTGCAAGGAAATCATTTCACAGTAGTTCTCAGGTAAAAGTTCTGTTTTCCAAGGCTGCTTTGTTACAGTTCAATGCTTTATGTTAAATCCCACTGTGTTGTGTGAAAGATACGATAATCACAGTTGACTTGGTGTTCTATATATTTTTTTCTGTTGGAGAGATAGAAAATCCATTCATGTAAGAGTGGGGGCTGTATTAAAGAGACTTCTGGACTTCACAATCGTCAACAAAAATGTGTCCAGCTTTGTTTTTCTTACCCAGAGTTATAGCGAAGATAAAACAAAGGGAGGTGATTGGTCTGGTAGCATCAATGTTAGGAATATCCCAGATTTAAAGAATGGTGGGTTAGATCCAGATTAAATTTGTTGCATTGGACCCACTGGGTTCTATTCAGCGCTGCATGAGCAGCGTTCCACTTGTGCATCATAACTTCCCCTTTCTCTCCTTTGCCTGTGTGCCCCCCAAAATCTGATCCCCCAGATCAGGAGGGTATGCAGGGGGCTGCGGAGGAAAGGACGGTGAAATTTCATTGCAAAAGCTGAAGTATGTTATATGAGTGGGAACAGCAGTGTTGATCTAAGCAATGTATTTATATCTAAGCATGTCCCAGAAACTCCAGCGGGTGCAGAATGCTGCAGCGAGGCTCCTCACGGGGTCTCTGCCATGGGAGCAGATTCACCCAGTGCTTTTCCAGCTGCACTGGCTGCCGGTGGAGTACAGAGTCAGATTTAAGGTGCTGCTTTTGACCTTTAAAGCCCTTCACGGCCTAGGACCCTCGTACCTACGGGACCGCCTCTCCCGGTATGCCCCATGGAGGACCTTAAGGTCCATATATAGCAACACCCTAGTGGTCCCGGGCCCTAAGGAAGTTAGATTAGCCTCAACCAGAGCCAGGGCCTTCTCAACACTGGCTCCAGCCTGGTAGAACGCTCTGCCTCATGAGACCAGGGCCCTGCAGGATCTGATTTCTTTTCGCAGGGCCTGTAAGTCAGAGTTGTTCCGCCTGGCCTTTGGCTTGGAGTCAATTTGATTCCCTCCCCCTCTTTCTTTTTTCCTTTCTCCCCCTGTGATGAGGCTGCATTTTAATGTTTCAATGTTTTAATGTTGTATTTTAATCTTGTTTTTAAGTTGTATTTATTCAACTTGTTTTTATTGTTGCTTGTTAGCTGCCCTGAGCCCGGCCTTGGTTGGGGAGGGCGGGGTATAAATAAAATTTATTATTATTATTATATTTCAGTAGGACCTAAATTGTTTCTAATGGGACTTAAGTGTGTCTAATTTACCCTGAACACGATTCTTTCTTTTTAATACTTTTTTAAAAAAATCTTTTTTGCACAGCCTGATTTTTCTTTCTCATGCCTTTTTCTTCGGGATGGAGCTCTGCTTTAACAGCTGCCAGGGCAGCGTTTGCATGCCTGTGCAGGATTGCTCTGCGGTTGTGGAATCTGGAACTTTGCCCCGGGTTTGGCTGCTTGACAATCTTAAGCAATTCGGGGAGCAGTCATCACAATGACACCAGGTTAAGTTGGTATAAAGTCTTCTTCTTTGGCAATCCCTCGTAGCCGAGTAAGATTGTCTTCCATAAACACGCTTTTAACAATGAGTCCGTAAGTGACTGTGGAGGCCAATTCTGGACCCACACGTCCTTCCACAGTGGGGACATTGGTTTCTGGGTGGGAGTTGATCACAGTGTGGATTTGCCAAGCGTGCCTTCCTCTTAGCACGTTTCTCCCTTGCGTCCTGAGTTCGAGCGTCTTCAAAGCCCATGACACCTTTGGTAAAGGCTGTTCTCCAACTGGAGCTCTCGTAGGCCAGTGTTTCCCAGTTGTCAGTGTTTATACTACATTTTTTTAAGATTTGCCTTGAGACAGTCTTTTGTTAACCACCAGTATTACGCTTTCCATTTCTAAGTTCGAAATAGAGTAGTTGCATTGGAAGACTATCATCAGGCATCCACACAACATGACCAGTCCAACGAAGTTGATGTTGAAGAATCGTTGCTTCAACACTGGTGATCTTTGCTTCAGAAGTAGGCAAGGGTCTGAGAACTGATCTAGTCAGAAAAGCTATTTTTGCAGATAAACTTGATTTTTCTTCCCTGCTCCTGTTGACTCAGGGCTATAAATCTAAACACTCAATGGAGAAGCAAGAACTGAACAGAGTGGGATTGACCTCTGAATATATCTGTGCATAGGATTGTGCTGTACACGTGCCAATTCATCGTCTTCACGTTCTAACGCACGCTGTGTGCCTGTGTACTTTTCTCCTAATATAGTTTTTTCTTTTATCAGAAACATAACCGGGACCGATGATCAAGTTCAACATGCCATGCAGTCTCTCAGGGAAATTGGGTTTGTTAACTACTATGGGATGCAAAGATTTGGAACCACAGCTGTCCCTACATATCAAGTTGGAAGGTGAGCTCCTTTTATTTGGCATATATGTGGCACCTTAAAGCAGCTGGGAGCCCAGTGAGTAGGAATTTGGGGCCTGACAGATACGGATTCAAACCCCAGATCACCTGTCGCCTGTGGCCGGGAATGGGCTGCTATTTCTCAGCTTTAGCCCCTGTCAGTAATAAAAAATCAAATCAAATCATAAATCTCCTAGTCCATATGAGTGTGGGAAGGATTGCATATGGAATACTATGTTTAAAATTTTGGCTGTTGAATGCACACTGTAAAAAGTTTTCATTTTATACGAATGTCTTTCCTTTGAAACCTTTAGTAGAACTAAGTTTGCAGCCCAACCCACTTGTTTGCTGGTTCAAGCGATTCTGTGTTTTGCCTTGGCAGACTCATAGGATTTTCCTTCCTTGCTGGCAATGCAATATTAACCAGATGTTCTTCTATATTTTTAGAGCTATACTACAGAATAACTGGAATGAAGTCATTGATTTAATCCTAAAACCACGTCCTGGAGGCAAGCAATTTTTTTTAGCCATTTTGGACTCAATTTCATTCAACAGTGGTTTTACATACTGAAAGGAGCACGTCTATATAGTTTGCCTGTTTATGTTTTGAAAGCAAGGGATTATATTAATAAAAATATTAATAAACAGCTACAGTGGTACCTCGGGTTACAAACACTTTGGGTTACAGACTCCGCTAACCCAGAAGTAGTACCTCGGGTTAAGAACTTTACCTCAGGATGAGAACAGAAATCGTGTGGTGGCGGCACGGCAGCCACAGGAGGCCCCACTAGCTAAAGTGGTACCTCAGGTTAAGAATGGACCTCCGGAACTAATTAAGTTTGTAACCAGAGGTACCACTGTATTCATTTAAAAAAATAGTAATAGAATGGTTCACCGCAGTCATACATAAAACCATACAATTAAATCCATATAAAAATTTAAAATCAGAAATCTACTGAGAAGGATATTTTCTTCATGGCCAGCAAAAGTTTGGCAGCATAGAACAGTTTCCAACAGCTGCTTAAAATTTAAAAGAAGCGGCTGAATCTCTGTTTGCAGAGCATTCCACAGGACTGGGCCAATAATGGTAATGGCACATTTTCTCGTTGCTGTCAAATGAGCCAGTGTCCAACATATAGATCCTAATTCATTTCAAATTGTGTCCTGATTCTATAATGCTAAGTATCGTAAGCTGATGCTGTAGGATGGAGCTTGATATTTAAATTCAGAAATGCCACATCCTGAAGCTTTAAAATGGGGAAACAAAAGGATATGTGGGTTGCAGGGTAGGGAATACAGTAGTTAAAAACCCAGCTAATAGCACAAATTGAAGATGGAAATATAAGTGGCCCACTTGATATGTAGGGACAGCTGTGGTTCCAAATCTTTGCATCCCATAGTAGTTAGCAGTTAACATGAAGCTCTGGGGAAAATGGATTTTAAGGGCAAGCATGCTGGTTTGTGGGTCTAGATGTCAGACAGCGTACTTTGCAAATGCACCCAGCGGATAGGTATTTGCTGAAATTCAGAGTGACTTTGATGGCGCTAACCTCAAGGAAGTTGAGTAAGGTTTGCAATATATAGCATGTTGCCATCTGTTCCAGGTGGTTAACTGAAAATGCAGGATAGTTTTGAAACTGGCTGAGAAGGATTTTGTGCTATAGATACCATTGACTTAGGTTCTGTGTGGGCCTGTTTTTGAGCTGAACTCCTTTTACAAATAAAAAGGAAACCCGCTCACATGGGTTGAAATTAAAGCGCTTCCCATTTATGCAAATGGTCGTTGCAGCTGAAAAGGGATACTTGGTAAAATGCCGAGAAGAGTGGGCAAAAACGAAAGACCCAGATGCGGCCCTCAAAAAACTGCCCGTGAAACGGTGTGTGGAGGGACAGCTGCTCCGGGGACTTTCAAAGTACGGACTGAAGAATATAGTCTCTGCATTTGGCATAGTAAGTTGCAGCGTTTGCTTGTTTTTGTAGACCGTCTCTGGGCATGTCTGAAAACAACTTGGGGGTGAAGTCAAATTTATGGTGAATGGTAAATGGCCTACTGGAGAAGTATTTTCCCCTCCCTCCTTCCTTCCATATTTTTCATTAGGTTTTATTAGTTCTGACTCGCCAGGCCAAAGGGAGTTGTTTTTTAAAGATGTAAATTGAGCCAGGGGCTCCCTAGTATTGTCAGGCATGTATTTAAACCATTAACAGTGCCGTCCTTACATATGTCTGCTCAGAATTGAGTCCATTGGGTGGCGCTGTGGTCTAAACCACTGAGCCTCTTGGGCTTGCCAAACAGAAGGTCGACGGTTCGAATCCGCGCAGTGGGGTGAGCTCCTGTTGTTTTGTCCCAGCTCCTGCCAACCTAGTAGTTTGAAAGCACGCCAGTGCAAGTAGATTAATAGGTACAGCTGTGGCGGGAAGGTAAACGGCGTTTCCATGCGCTCTGATTTCCGTCAGGGTGTTCTGTTGCGCCAGAAGCGGTTTAGTCATGCTGGCCACACGACCCGGAAAGCTGTCTGTGGACAAATGCTGGCTCCCTCAGCCTGAAAGCGAGATGAGCACCACAACCCCATAGTCGTCTTTGACTGGACTTAGCCGTCCAGGGGTCCTTTACCTTTACTTTACCTTACCTTACCCCAGGCATGCGCCTTACAAAATTAGCATCATGTTGATTAACACTTTTTCCTGGTCTGCAGATCCCAAGAAATAATCGTTTGATGTATATTCATAGCTATCAGAGTTATGTATGGAATAACATGGTGAGCCGCAGAATAGAAGAATATGGGCTTGTTGCTGTGCCAGGAGATCTTGTACTAAAAGGAGGTAAAATGTCAACATTGCTTGATGTCAGGGCGTGTGTGTATGTGGTGGCACGTAGTCAATAATACATTTTGGAATATTTTCCTAGTATCTTGTTCTCTAAAACTAGAGATGAGCACATACACCCTCTCGTTTATTTAGAATTAGGCTTGGCAGACCAAACTTTTAAAGTGTTAAGTGGAACAAGATTTTTTTAAAAATGCCCAATCCTGGATTATGCTCTTGGTTATATCATTGGAAGTTCGATGGGATCTGAAAGTCCTTTGAGTCCTCTCCCTTCTGACTCTGGAGATGGCAGCGAGCTCTTCCTCCCAGTAGTTGTTCCCAGCTGGATTCTGGTATGCTGTGGGGTACTACATTTCCCAGGTTACCTGAGCTCTGGAACATGGTTGTTTGGAAGTCCCCTGTGTTGACAGGGAAGAGGGCTTTGCAGGAAGGGCTTCAGTGAGATACTGCCATCACTGCCTAAGTTAAGTAGGAGAAGAAAGAGGTTCGGTGGGGGTGGTCTTCAGAGGGCAGAGGCACGGATTTTGGAGAGGGAGGACCTGGTGATCCGACTCAGCAACCCTAGGACTTAGATTTGCCAGTAATTTGTCAGTGTACCTACCAGTGACAGTCTGGTGCCTTCCGTTGTGTACAATTTTGTGCTACCCAGGCTGCTTATCCTGTTTGAAACTATATGTCCTCTTTGCTTTGTTCCTTGTTAAGGAGCTCATAAAGATAACACTATCTAGAAAAAGATTTCTCAGTAGGAAATCTGGTTGAGATGACCTGGAAATTACTTGAAACATCCTCTTGCTTTTAGGTACAGCTGTTTATATCGAAGAATCAGATGTTGACAATTACACCATCCATGATGTCGTGATGCCGTTGCCTGGTTTCGATGTTATCTATCCAAAGCACAAAAGTAAGAATTCTATTTAAAGTCAAAAGTGGATGATATGTGCATAATCAGGTTTGCTATGCTGGCAGATAAGTGCTGGGGATGAGTGTGTACGTGTGTCTGTACAAAAGTAACTAAATGGGTTTTGTATCTGATTTCAATAAGCACAGATTAAATAGGTCCATTGACATTAGCTGGCTCCATTGATTTCAGTGGATTTACTAATGTGACCTAACATTTGATGTATAAATATTGCTGTATATTAATGGAGAATTAGGAGTATTTTCTGTATTTGGATCAACGGTAATTTAGTTGTAACCATATTTTAAGGGAAGATCATTCAGTCATTAAATAGTGTTCTCCAAACTAGTAGGATCAGGCATTAACGAAGTGCGGCTAGCAGGAGAAATAGAAAAGTTTTTTTTAAGAAATATTCATCAGCTTGTATGCTAAAGGGAGAAGGAAGGAAAGAGAAACAGTTTGTTGGAGACAAATAGTCTAGCAGCATCCAGATTTAGGGCATGTGCAGTCATTACTTCATTCCTCTATCCCCAACTGGTACACTGGAAGCATGTTAATAGATATTTTTAATAGGAGCGGAGGCACATCTAACTAATAGGGGCTTATATGATCATGGGCTTTGCTGCCACCCTAGTTCCATTTAAGACGATTGCCTCCTTACCAAAATGGCTTGAAAGTCGGTTTTATATCCCAGGACCAGGGATTTCCTACAAATAATTTCTTATTAAATAGAGCTGTAAAGAAAAAGACTACGCTTTTGGGCCACGTTTCAACATTACTGGTCAGAATTGCATCAGATGCAAGAGGGGAAACTTACAACGCATTTGCCCTGAATTCCATGTGACCATCCATATATATATATGTCTTTTTACGGCAGTTGGGAAAGCCTACGAGGAAATATTGGCCGCTGACAATCTCGACATCAGTAATATGAAGCACAAAATTCGAGACTATTCCTTATCTGGAGCCTACAGAAAGATCATCATCCGACCTCAGGATGTGAGCTGGTAAGTAAATAGCCCACAGTTTAGTAGCCAGAGGAGGAGACGGATGATAAGCCTAAGAACTGCTACTAGAAATGATGACTTTATTGCTTCCAGAGTGTACCAGTTGATTGATCTCAAGTGGGAGAGGGCTGCTGCGTTCATGTCCTGCTTTTGAGCGTGGAATATTGGACTAGATCGGTCTTTGGACTGATTCAGCAGGTCTTGTTTACGTTCTGAACCATGTGCTTACTGATGTGTGCTTGATGATGGTTGTGCTCCACTGCTTATCTCGAAGAGCAGCATGAAGCCACAAGTCTATACTGCTGCTGCTCCTCAGTTAAAAAGGAGATAAAAGTTCCATGTTTAAAGGGGAACCCAATATGTATGTAACAAAGGTAACATTTAGCGTTTAACCTTTGTTAGAAAGAAATCCCAAGTCCTCCAAGATTCAGGCGCAAGACTCTGCAGAGCTACTTGAATAAATCCCATTGGTTTCAGAAGGAACCGAGTAGGCGTGGAAAGTATTGCAGTGTTTAAGCCAACAGGCTTTGCACTGAAAACAGGTTGCCATCTTCAAGCCCGGGTGTGGAGAGCCATTTCTACCAAGTATAAAACAGCCTCCTAGAACAACGTTGCAGTGAGGAATTTCTAATACAGTGGTACCTCTGGTTGCGAACGGGATCCGTTCCGGAGGCCCGTTTGCAACCTGAAAAGAACTCAACGTGCACGGGTCGCGATTCGCCACTTCTGTGCATGACATCATTTTGCGCGTCTGCGCATGCGTGAGCAGCGGAACCCGGAAGTAACCCTTTCTGGTACTTCTGGGTTGCCACAGGACGCAACCTGAGAACGCACAACCTGAAGCAAACACAACATGAGGTATGACTGTACAGGTATATGATTCTTATTGCTGGGCACGTTTTAAATCTCTCTCTCTTTTTTAAAGGGAGCTAGTTGTGTATGATGACCCCAAGATTCCATTATTTAATACAGACTTAGATAAACTGGAAGGAAAACCACCTGCAGTTCTTGCAACAGGTAATATTTTTTCAATTGTGCCATATATGATTCTTCAGCCATGCATGTTCCAATAATAATAATAATAATAATAATAATAAAATTTAAAAAAACTTTTTTTTGTATCCCGCCCTCCGTGGCCAAGACTGGGATCAGGGCAGCTAACATCAAATATATAACATTGGTATAAAATCAAATAATAATTAAATTACCTCCTAAAAACAAGTCAGGATCAAATTAAAATCTAATTAGATGGCTTTCCGCAGAATTAGGGTTGGGAACAGTAGATGTTCATAAGGCCCAACAGATGCTCACAGAATCTAACTGCTTAATACAATGGTGTTTTTTTAAAAAAATAAAATGTTGGGCTGAAAGCTTTAAAAAGTATGTTTCTTCCCAAAATTAGATACTGAGCTAATAGACAGAGTTAAAACAGCTTACCAGAAACATTGGTACTTTTGCAGTAGAGATAAACATGAGCTGGCCTCTTTGAAGAGATGTGAGATACTGCTGATGGAGGCAAAGTTGCTGCCAAAACAAATCTCCCATTTGAGGGACAAACTGAAGAGAGCCCTCAATACTTGGTCACCTCACTCTCTTTTGCAATAATTGCTCAAGGATATCAGATGCCTCTTGGCAAAAATCTGGTTGCCAGTCTAAAGACAAAATGTAAAAAAACATGGCGCAAGCTCTTTCAGGGGCAACTGGACTTGCTAGCAGACTGGTTTTGTTGAGTTGATCCTTCACTACTACCTTAGAGATGTTGTTGGATTACAAGTCCCATCATCCCTAGCTATAGTAGGACCAGTGGTTTGGGACGATGGGACTTGTAGTCCAACAACATTTGGGGACCCAAGGTTGAGACAGGCTGCTATAGAGAATTTTATCTTTTTTACTATAAAGGATGTGTGTGTACTCCTGTAATGACACCGCCCAGGGAACACCCATTATTTCTCCCTCGCTCTGTACATTCCCACCCAGGAGATCAGATTCCGAATTCCTGCAGATGTGTATTTCTCCCAGCCTGCATCTTGTGGCTTGATTTGCTTAAAGGCATCCGTCATTGTGACTTCAAATCTGCAAAGTAGGTTGAGAGATCCCACGGGAAGGAAGTGGCAGCCCACCTGAGTGTATGTTTAACATTAAGATCTTGGGAGTGATGTAAACTGAGCGGTTGGAGGCAATGTGTCTCTGAATACCAGCTGCTGGAAACCACAGGAGGGGAGAGCACTCTCTTGCTCAGGTGCTGCTTCCAGGTTTTCCACAAGCATCAGAGAACAGGATGCTGAATAGATGGGCCATTGGCTTAATCAAGCAATCTCTTCTGAAGTTATTACGTCAAACTTAACACTGGTTGATATTTTGCTCCTTTGGGGGATGAAGTCAGCTGTTTGACAAACTCTAGGCATGTTTGATAACCCGTGGTTTTCTTCTTCTTCTCCTAAACATTAATTTACTTATGACAGAAGGCAAATACAAGGCTTTGAAGATGGACTTCTCTCTCCCCCCATCAACTTACGCTACAATGGCCATTCGAGAAGTGCTAAAAATGGACACAAGCATAAAAAACCAGACACAGTTAAACACAATATGGCTACGCTGAAGATCCTTCGCAGTGATTGGATGAAAGTTTTAACATGAAACTGGTTTCGTATTTACTAGTTCTATCCAGGCAATTTCTAATTAAAATTGTATTTTTGTATTAGCTTGAGGTATATAATTTCAAATTCGTTGTAAAATGGTGTTTACAAAAATGTAACTTTTGTTTTTAAATAATCTGAGCAAACACGGTGCTTGAGCTGTCTGCACAGTGCAATTTTGCTGGCGTAGAAGAACATGGATGGCTTTGCTAGTATTTTCAGGTCTGCAGAAAGCGTTTCTAAAATGTTTTCTCCAAATACAGTAGTAAACATGGCTTCATGAGCTTGGTACAGATGAAAACTGATTGCAGGCATGCGTAACACTGCAGTTCAGGAAATCTAATTAGAATAGGGTACTGATGAATGCATATTTATAACCAGTGAACAGATATATTTAGCCTTAAGAGTGCTGATAAGCTCTGCACTCACAACTGGCAGAATGTTCATGTCTTTTATGCGTACACAAATGTGTACAGCTGCTTTTATTTGAGCTGTAGTTCATTAAACTTTTGTGTTGGTTTTTCACAACCTGTTTCAGTTTCTGCTGTGGGTAAAGCAGTGAGCGAACTATGTCGGAGTTTGTACCCTCAACAAACAAGGTTTAGCTCTAGCATTTATGGTTTGTCTGTTGCTGGCAATGGATGAACTAGGAAAATCTCTGTCCTGGCATGTCAGGATTAAATAGCCATTCTGAATTGAACAGCTATGATGTTGTACTCTCATTTTATTTCTAACACTCAACAAAAATATGTTTTCTACTGCTTGGTTTATTAAAGAGTGTACTGAAACCTCTTCCCCTTTTTTGTTCTTGTGCCCCTAATTTCTACCAATATTATTTATGTATTTACAGGCAACTCCCCCTTTCCGTGGCAGTTGTGTTCCAGGTCATTGTGCGCTTGTGTGAAATTGCGTATAATCAGAACGCCCATTGAAAAATCCTGCAAACACCCCATTCTGCCCCTGCCACGATCCGCCCCTTTTTGTGACATTTTTGAGTCACTTCCTGGTTTGGCATGATGCGTGTGTGTGCGGTTGCGCACATATCGGACATGCCTAAAATGGTTGCTGCCTGCATTCGACTTATTTAGTCACTTACTACAAAAAAAGTTTCCAAGCAACTTACTAACAGGATAAAAGCCAAAAAGGCTTTCTTCATTATCACACAGCAAAAAATGTATTTCTGCACACATGCATGTGACAAATGTACAACTTTGGAAAAAGTTGTGCTTTTGCAAACAACTCCACAAATCCAAATCAATTTACCCCAAAATTTACTAAGTACAGTGGTACCTCGGATTAAGTACTTAATTCGTTCCGGAGGTCCGTTCTTAACCTGAAACTGTTCTTAACCTGAAGCACCACTTCAGCTAATGGGGCCTCCTGCTGCCACTGCGCCGCCGGAGCCCGATTTCTGTTCTTATCCTGAAGCAAAGTTCTTAACCTGAAGCACTGTTTATGGGTTAGCAGAGTCTGTAACCTGAAGCGTATGTAACCTGAGGTACCACTGTACTGTAAAAACCAAGATCCAGGTAGGTAGCCATATTGCTCTGCCGTAGTCCAAACAAAATAAAAAAAATATTTCCAGTAGCACCTTTGTTGTTGTTTAGTCGTTTAGTTGTGTCCGACTCTTCGTGACCCCATGGACTAGAGCACGCCAGGCACTCCTGTCTTCCACTGCCTCCCACAGTTTGGACAAACTCATGCTGGTAGCTTCGAGAACACTATCCAACCATCTCGTCCTCTGTCGTCCCCTTCTCCTTGTGCCCTCCATCTTTCCTAGCATCAGGGTCTTTTCCAGGGAGTCTTCTCTTCTCATGAGGTGGCCAAAGTATTGGAGCCTCAGCTTCAGGATCTGTCCTTCCAGTGAGCTCTCAGGGCTGATTTCCTTCAGAATGGATAGGTTGGATCTTCTTGCAGTCCATGGGACTCTCAAGAGTCTCCTCCAGCACCATAATTCAAAAAGCATCAATTCTTCGGTGATCAGCCTTCTTTATGGTCCAGCTTTCACTTCCATACATCACTACTAGGAAAACCATAGCTTTTACTATACGGACTTTTGTTGGCAAGGTGAAGTCTCTACTTTTTAAGATGCTTTTTAAGTAGCACATTAGAGACCAACTAAGTTTGTTACTGGTATAAGCTTTCGTGTGCATGCACACTTCTTCAGATACCTTCAGGTCACCTTAGTTGATCTCTAAGGTGCTACTGGAAGGAATTTTCTCATTTTGTAAAAACCAAGGTTTCTGTTTTTAAAATGGATAAAGGCAAACTCTGAAAAATGTTTGCCCCATGCCTATTCTCTAAACAGGCAAGGGGCAATCATTTTTCATCCTGTTCCTTTTCGTTCAAGCTAGAGCAACTTCACAATGTGGCAAGGAAATGTGTAATTCTTTTCCTTCTGGTTTAGAAATGGCCCATAAGAGTGACACTCATAATCTACTTACTAATCTACATAATATACCTTGCATCTTGTAGGTAGTGAGAGGTAAATATAAATAGGTATCATGAAGCCTTCATTAAGGAGAGAGTTTGGGGCAATAAATATTTATAAAGCCTTCCCCCCAATGCAGTAAAAGAGCTAAAACTGCTTAATTTTGGCTATAATGAGCCCAGTATTTATTTGACAAGCCAAATTCCAGAATTGCTATAGTGTTGGTGCAGTTGTTATTACACCAGGAAAAGTCAACTATATATAATGGAAATACTAGTTTCTCAAAAGTAAAATATGAAATCAAGTAGCTTTAAATCAGAACACTGAAGATTAAAATGCTTCCCACATTTCAGCAAATTTTTTCATCCTGAGGGAAAACAAAAAGCAACAATTAGAATGTATAATGGGCGTACCATTCACTGTTCACAATATACAGTATGAGGCTGAGAAGCATGTCTTAATTACATTGAACAGAGAAATTTCCTGCATGTATTTTGTTTACTCAACATCATTGCATGCTAAATCTGTTCTGGATTGTGGTCATTTTATTTTGAGTACCGAATCTTCTTCAAAGAATCTTTCCTCTGCGTTTGTTAATGCCACTTATTTCTATCACAGCTCACACTTTCCTAATTTTTCCACAGTAAACATGGCAAGTTTTCTTTAAAGTTAATTGCCTTCAAATGCCGTAAATTTCTGTGGGAGAGATTTGAGCATTCACTTAACTCTCACTGAAATAAGTGTACCGGTAACTTAATGCTAACTGGCTAGTTTGTGTTCCCAAAAGCTGTAGCAGGGAAAATTGAGAAGTTGTAGTTGGCATCTATCTGTCTTGAGAGACAATGGAGTGCGCCTCTGGGGGTGAAGTCATACCTCTGTGTTAGCAGCACTGAAGTGACCTCCCTGGGGCGCAAGCCTGAGCAGTGTGCATGGAGGTCCTGGCTGCCCACCCGACAACACCTTGCTTATGTGGTCCAAAGGAAACAAGGAGTTGCTGGAAGGAGGTGTACAAGACGCCATCCAACTGCCTTAGGGACCATCCAACTGTGTATGGTTTGCTCCTTAGCCTTTTCTTCTCCCACAAGATATCCCACAAAGCAGTGGAGGTTTAGGATCAGTTTTCCTGCACCTAGATGGGCTATCTTCCCAGACTGAGGAGCCCTATCTGTCTCTCACTTCCCTCTACAGCATGGGAAGGCAAACTAAGGCCCGGAGGCCAGATCCGGCCCAATCGCCTTCTCAATCTGGCCCGCAGACGGTCCAGGAATCAGCGTGTTTTTACATGAGTAAAATGTGCCCTTTTATTTAAAATGCATCTCTGGGTTATTTGTGGGACATAGGAATTTGTTCATATATTTTTTTTCAATATATAGTCTGGCCCCCCCACAAGGTGTCAGGGATAGTGGACTGGCCCTCTGCTGAAAAAGTTTGCTGACCCCGGCTCTACAGTATGTGCAGAAACAGCCTTCTTAACCGTTGGACCCACTATTGGTCTTGTCCTCTCAATCTGCCAGAGTCTGTCTCCACATGCAGAGTAAGTCGCTAACTCGTAGTCTACCCTCACCTTGCTTAGCTGTTCTTGGGGTGTGGCGGCTGTCGCATGCAGACAGCTTCTAGGAGCCACAGATGAGAGCTGAGTGCAGTGTGAGGACCAAAGGTGGACAAAGTACCCCAGAAGGAGCATGGTATGTTCCCTGTCAGAGGTACTACTCCCCTAACACTCCACAAACCCCAAGTCCATACATATTCCAATAATAATCTTGGAGGAAGGGCTAACTGGATATTTTAAAAATGTTGACCTACCCAGAGAAAAACAGCAAGATTGGCAGAGTAGTTTTAGTTGCCAATGGTTCCAAAGTTCGCAAGCACTAATTGATTAAACATCCGAGCACGATAAGATTGAACTTCTTACCATTATAAAGCTTCAATCTCTTGGCCTACATCCATTAGATTTTATACGTTTAAGCCCTATTCAGACATTACAAACATTTGGAAGTGGGCAGATACACGAGGATGGTAAATGTAGGGAAACAAGTCAGGTCCATATTGGTCAATCTAGCCCAGTATGGCAGGAGCAATAGAAAAATCTATAATTAAAAAAATTAAGCAGTTGTGCAACATTCAAGTTCAACTTACACTTTTCCCCTGAACTCCTCTGCTGTCATAATGTCAGTTTCTTTATAAATTTCATCCTGGATACTTAATCCCAAAGATTCAAGTGCTAAAATATGGGAGAGGAGATGAAAGATGCTTAGAGAAATGGCTGCTGAAGCATACATAACTCTTATAGTCAGTGCATTCTTTTCCGTCTTCAGTTCTGCTTAGACCTTAACTAATCAGATGTGGATGGGACAAAAACCTCAACCCAGCAAGAAACCTGTACATGCACATATCCTCCCCTACCGCTGCATAAAGTAATGAGAATCACATTATACTGGGTTTATATAAATGAAGGGGATCTTATGATGGAAGGCTGAATGAGGTCAGATCATAGATTAGGCAGATCTGACATTCAAACACATATAGTACAGCATAACTCGCATGCCGTTATCTCCATATAGCAAAGAGATACCCCTATCTTCTCATATCCAGTATCTAAAAACAAGGCTGGTTTATGATGGGTGGGTGAGAAAGGAGAGATGGCTGCTGAAGAAGAACCCAGTACGCTTTACTGTACTGAGTTTTTTTTACAGGACATTGCTCCCAAATGTTACTTGTTTCCTTTTATCAACATCAGGAACAACTAACAAACAGTAGAAATTTACTTAATATAAATCTAAAGGATTTGTTGTTTTACTCACTAAATTTCTGTAAAGATTAGGCTGAGAATAATCTTGAAGCTGTTTTTCTCATGCCTAAACTTGCCACATGTGGCCATAATAACCTACAGCAGGGGTGGCGATCTACTCACAGAGTTAAAAACTTGCAGTGATGGGTCAGGTGAAAGTTGTTAAGCTTTTTTTAGGGAGGAGGAAGACCCATTTTTGGGGGGTGCATGTTGCTGACTTTTATGTTTTATGGGAGCAAAAGTGTTGAGCTTCTTTGAAGGGAGCCACTTATCTACCGCAGACGTCCACTGATCTAGATCGCAATCTACCTGTTGGGCGTGTCTGACCTACAGTATATGAAATGAAATGTTCATTAAAAAAAAATGAAGGGCCACTAACCTCCTTTGTACTGTGGTATGGTTATGTAACCTTGGCCTGCAACGTCTAGCATTCCAAACATTGCATCCACGTTTGACTCGTCCATAAGATAAGGAAAGTCCGTAGAAGTCATTTTTGCATACTTTATCTTTTCCAGTGTCTTTATCAAAAACTCTCTTGGTCTGTCTGTAAGATAAAAAACACACATACATCCCCACTTCAACGTGTCCTGGTAGATATTCTCACTAAAACGTCTAATGTTTTCTAGGCATTGTGCAAAGGTTAAAAAAAGATGCAGGCCTTATCTCCAGACTTTCAGACTAGGATACAAAAAGAAACAGGTATGGGGTTGGAAGAGGAAAACAAGCAAATTCAGGTACCAAAGCTTGCCAGTAAGGTCCAGGTTGAATGGCCACTAGGTAGTTCTGGAAGAGGAGAACCCAAATGACAATTTGTCGTAGCCAAACTGTTGTTGGGAATGTTTCTACTATTGTTCAGAGGCAGCTGGGCATCACTGGCTCATTAAGTTGCACTTTTCCTGGGAACTGAAGCACTTACTGTATTTAATCATAATTGGCAATGGTTTTCATGACCATGTTGTGGGTTGGGAGAAACAGACCATGATTCCATGTTTGGAGGCACGGAAAAAGCCAAGCATCACGAGCAAGGTGAGAGTGGCAACTGGGCGGTGTGTGCTAGCAAACTGCTTGTTCACGGTAAGCTATTTAACCGCGGATGCCGGCAATGACAAAGTTCCATTTGTGAAAGAGGGTTTTCCTATCGCCTTCTGTAGCATCACTGAAGTTTCTTCCGACACAGTTCTGTTTTCACAGGAAAGATGCATGAGCTCTCATCTACAAGTCCTTGCCCCTAAAACACATGTCAGCCCGTGAACATTGTGAGGGGCTTGGCAAGCAGGCCTCAATTCCACATGTTCTCTGCACTTTAATCCTCCCTACTAACTTCTTTTACTAACGGGACGCGGGTGGCGCTGTGGGTTAAAGCACAGAGCCTAGGACTTGCCAATCAGAAGGTCGGTGGTTTGAATCCCCACGACAGGGTGAGCTCCCGTTGCTTGGTCCCTGCTCCTGCCAACCTAGCAGTTCGAAAGCACGTCAAAGTGCAAGTAGATAAATAGGTACCGCTCCGGCGGGAAGGTAAACGGTGTTTCGGTGCGCTGCTCTGGTTCGCCAGAAGTGGCTTAGTCATGCTGGCCACATGACCCAGAAGCTGTACGCCGGCTCCCTCGGCCAATAAAGCGAGATGAACGCCGCAACCCCAGAGTCAGTCACGACTGGATCTAATGGTCAGGGGTCCCTTTACCTTTACTAACTTCTCCACCAACTAAGTGCTGCTGGGTTAGAGGACTGAATTGGCACCTCCGCCACACATTCTCACATACGGACACCCCCCCCCGGGAAAAATGGGTGAGCGAAGATCTTCATTGGGAACAAGCAGGGAAGAAAGACTTAACATCCAGGATCTGCTGCCTGAGTGGATCCTTTTCCCCTGAGGCAGTCGCCTCACCTTGCCTCATTGGCAGGCCGGCCCTGTTCTTACATTTGCACCCGTGGCAAAATTATCCGTGTAACGTGGCAGTCAGGACCAAGTGAGCTGTGGCTATTGGTAGTAGGAAGGAGCACCCAATTTGGAGCAGCACAGATGGGTCCCCTACACAGGGTGCCAAGCCGAGAGGGGAGTAAATATTATTAACAACACCAAACAAACAACAACAACAAATAATAATAATAATAATAATAAACCTATATTTATATGGGCACCTAACAAGAAGATCCATTTAAAAGCAACTGTACCAAAAGGAATTATTGTGTATAATGATTCTTTGGGTGGGTGGGTCAAATACTGCCCATAACTGTCAACGTTTCCCTTTTTTTAAAGGGAAATTCCGTTATTCCTAATAGGATTCCTCGCAAGAAAAGGGAAAAGTTGACAGCTATGAATCCTGTCCTCCCTCCAGGCACCATATTTACCTGAGGGGGGCAAGAGGTTTGGCGTCTGGCATGGCCAGGGTGAGGCGGGCTTACCTGGCCGGTGGTAGAGCAGCAAGGCGCTCAGGTTGTGCAAAAGCTCCGGGATTTTGTGCTGCGCCAGGTAAGCGCGACCCTCCGCTTCGCGGTCCATCGCCGTTGCTAGGAGACCGGAGGGAACGCAACCGCGGCGGGGGGGAGGGAGGGGCGGGTCACGTGACGAAAGGGCTTGGCGGCGGCGGACCAATAAGGAGAGAGCCTTTAAGCCCTATTTATTTTAGTAGCGCGAGTACCGTCCAATTATTTTACCATTTATTTTAGTGCCGCCCGCTCGGCTGCAGGAAGCACAGAGCAAGCGGGGCATGCATGGTTGCAAGCCAGCAAGAGAGAAATTCGGAATTAAGCCTCTTCTGAAGCGGAGACTCTCTCCCTCTTGCTGAATTTGGGAAGCAACCTCCGCGGCAGCAGAAGAGGCCCCTCGATCCAATGATATGGAAGCCCCAGCGGGCGAAAACTAAAATCCGCTGCCCCGCCGCACCACAATCTCTGCTCGTGTTTTATGATACACAGGAAGGGCCAGGGTGGGATTATAAGAATAATAATAAATTTTGCGTTTTCTCAGGGCTTCCCTACCCTTGCGGCTCCTTTCCCACTCAGCTCCCATGAGGGAGGTGGCGGCATTGCGAAGAAGCTCCCCGGGTTGCGAGGATGAAGCGGGGAAGAGAAGCATGGACAGCGCCTTGAGCTCCCTGGAAGAAAAAAGTGGCATAGAAATGTTATAAATAAAATAAAGATATGGGAAGAATGAGCTCTTGAGCGGACGGTTTTTCTTTGGTTTCCAAAATTAAAAACACACAAAATTGGACCTCAGCAGGATATAGCTCGGTCGGTGGGAGCAGAAGCCTCTTAATCGCAGGGTTGCAGGTTCGAGCCCCACGTTCGCCAAAAGATCCCCGCATTACGCTAGATGACTCTTGTGGCCGCTTCCAAGTATATGATTTTATACTTTTTTGGGGGGGGGGCGCGATGCAGCATATTTTGGCTGCCCAGTCACAGCTACGCTGAAACACGCCGACAATTTTGACTCTTTCCCGCTCCTATCCGAGCGCAGAGGCGGTTTTCCCAAAGCCAACCCGGAAGCACGGCGTGCGGGCGCGGGTCTAGAGATTTACAGCGCTACCTTGCGCAGGCGCACTGGGCGGAAGCTCTTGCGTCTAAACGGCGCGCCTCCGTGCCACGTGACCCCGCCCCCTTTCCTCGCGCTGCTTCCGCGCCGACGCGTCGACCTGGAGGCGGCGGAGTGGGCGTGGCTTGAGCCCGGTCCGCCTTCGCGCCCCTCTGAGGGGACGGAGACTGCGTGGCGCTCGAGGCTCCAGCAGCGGCTCTTCTTCAGGTGGGACGCCGGGGAAGGAGGTCGCTGAGAGAGCCGGGGTGGGGTGACCGCGTCTGGCCGGACATGGTGGACATGGGGCAGGGGGAGGCTGAGGGGTCGGCCGGAGCAGTGCCCCTCTGGTGGTGGCCCAATAAATGTGATAATTTAAAGGGAAGCTTTTAATGTTTGGTGTATTACAATATTTTAATATTTTTTTGGAAGCCATCCAGAGTGGCTGGGGAAGCCCAGCCAGATGGGCGGGGTATAAATAATAAATTATTATTATTATTATTATTATTATTACCCCTCTAAATCCTTGAGTGTACTTCTAATAGAGAAGTTATGGTAGCCTGTTACTTTATGAAACTGCTGATTTTGCAAGTTGCTGCCCCCCCCCCCAATTGGGGCAGAAATACAGCTAATATGTGAATCACAAAGATCCAGCTCAAAGCTAGAACATAAGTTGCTACATGGTGCAAATGGCTACACGTAACACAGGTTCCCAACATGCACACTAACACAATGTAACAGAACACGGTGGGAATCAGAACTTAATCAGCAGAAATTGCCAGTGCTTATTGTGCATGTGTATTAAACATGAAATGAGGTAATGATGTTCAGTGAATGCTCGGGTTGCGAGCGTGATCCGTGCGGGCTGCACGTTTAAAACCTGCAGTGTTCGCAACCTGCAGCGGCGCGTCTGCACACGTGCAGGTTGCGATTCGACGCTTCTGCGCACGTGCAAAGCACTATTTAGCGCTTTGCGCATGCGCGACTGCCGAAACCCGGAAGTAACCCGTTCCGGTACTTCCAGGTTTCGGCGGCTACGTAACCCGAAAAAACACAACCTGAAGCGTCTGTAACCCGAGGTATGACTGTATATGATTAATCAAAGTTGAAATGCTTTGTTTGAAACTTTATAAATTCACTGCCTGAACCACCAGGCGCGGTTGCAGTTTTGCAGAATGATCTGACTAACCTATTGCTTTGCAATAAACAACATTGGACTCCTAACTCCTCACGTTTCTGAGTTTTATTGGCATGAACTCAGGAGTCCTGTTGTTCTGTGTAGCTGTTGTGGACAAGGAAAAAACTACAAATGAAGGTAAATCTTAAGAAGACCAGTAGTTTGAAGTTGCTATTACAAACATCAGAAGAGCCCTGGTGAATCATCTAGTCCAGCATCATATTTTCAAAGTGGCCAGCCTACAGAAAGCCTTCAAGCAGGACCTGAGTGCAACAGCATTCTTCCCAGGTGTCATTCTGTGCTACTGACATTCAGAGGCATTTTGCCTTTGACAGTGGAGGTAGCATATATAGCCGCCATGGCTAATAGGCATTGAGAGTTTGGATTTGATATCCCGCTTTATCACTACGCGAAGGAGTCTCAAAGTGGCTAACATTCTCCTTTCCCTACCTCCCCCACAACAAACACTTTGTGAGGTGAGTGGGGCTGAGAGACTTCAGAGAAGTGTGACTGGCCCAAGGTCACCCAGCAGCTGCATGTGGAGGAGTGGAGACGCGAACCCGGTTCCCCAGATTACGAGTCTATTGCTCTTAACCACTACACCACACTGGCTCTCTAATGGGTTCTAATGGGTACATACATTTGTTCCAGTGAACCCCTTTCAAGTCTCGTGTGCTGGGTGCATTTTGTGATTACATCCAATATAATCTCTATTTTAAAGGCAGATCGTTTGATATTGGCACACTTCTTAGTGTCAAATTATGCTGCTTGGTTTGTAATTTTCTGAAATGTAGATTATTTTTTTCCTGCAGAAAATATCCCTTCAGAGTGGGCTACAATGGAGATGGTTGAACCACTCTTGAACAGTGATGCAACTTTGGACCTTCAAGAGGCAAGTGAACTTTCTTTCACTGTTTATCTATTTTCTAGATTTATACTTATAATATTTTTGCATTTCCAATCTGCCCATCCGAAAGCAGATGTAATGGATATTGCAAGACAGTGTTTCATTGCTCCTGAAAGCTGATATTGAAAGGAGGTGGACTCAAACTGTGCCTCTTTATCTCAGCAGGAGACCAACAAAGAGGAAGGGCTAGGAGGAGAAACAGAAGATTCTGAAGAAGCTCAACTTCTATGGTGGGTACTCTCAGGGCTCTTCCAGACAACCTGTTTATTCAGCATTCATCCTGATTTACATGCCCAAAGCTTATGCAGTGGTTAGATGCTGTTCAGTCCTCATTGAGCAATCACTGATTTGTTTGAGATGAGGTTATATAACAATGAGCATTTATCCTGATTTGCTTGCATGGTGTTAACATGTCTGCCCATTAGTCATTTGTTCATCTCCCACTTTTCAGTCTGTTTCTCCATCACTTTCCAAACAGCAAAAGTTTTGAGTTGTTGTTTTTAAGTGGTTCTTTTCATACAAGGACAGCAAAGCATTTGCATTATATTAAAGACAAAGGGCATAGTTCTGGTATATGGCTAGGAGCAGATTCCAGTTTTGTGACATTGCAGTAATACTTTTTTCTCATTGAAAAATGTCTCTGGAGTAATCTATTCTGAAGAAAATAACCACTCAGATATTTTCCAGCTTATATTTCCATATTTAATAAAATTTGCACACCTCTTTCTATTAGTATTTTTGTTGAACTGAAGTTCAATTAATATATCTTATTCCAAATGGACTTCACATTTGCTTTGCATACAGGTTAACTCAAACCTTTTTAACTCAGTGCTGCAGGTGATCCAAAGATGGAAGCCCTGGACAGCAGAAAAGAGAGAATTCCTAGAGACCCAGAGAGCTGCGATATCCCTTTTTATGTGTCTGAATTTGTGGAAAGGGAGGTTGGAACAGACTACGAGTCATTAAGCAAGCTTGGCAGACTTATTGAACAGCTGTCAGAAAATAAAGCAAAGCTAGAAGAACAGGTGAGTTGCATATGTTTGGTACATGAACAAAGCGCACCCTGTTCACAAACTTTGAGCTGTGTTGTCTGTACAAATGATGGGGAGCATAATCACTGATATTAGGGCCATGTCATGTTCACATATTGGGTATAACAATTCACTATATTTAAGAATGCCGCCCCAATCTGTCCTTCAACATCTGGGAGGGATTTTTTTAAAAAAACAGTTGCACAATTTGGCATGTGTTGTACTTGCAGATCATATTGAAAAATCATGTCCTATGCGTGGATGGAATGCAGAATGGACACAATCCCATTCTGCTGACTAGTTGGAGGCCCATGCAGTTAGCCCATTCTTTGCAATTTGCATCTTCACCATCTTCACCATATGTTCTTCCATTTATGCATGCTTTCTGTATCTCCTATGCTGTAGGTATCAGCCCTTTGTTTACTTCTGCGGTTTCATTTCTTTAATACAGTTGCTATATTCCTTCTTTTATGACAGTTATTTAGCTTACATAAATGAGAGCATGCTACTAATAATGAATCAATTACATTTGTTTCAGGGGAGGTGATATGGGAACTAGAGGAACTTTGGCCAGAGTCCAAAGCAGATTTAAAAGCTGTCGGGATTTTTTTTATTTTCATAATTGCATTTCATTCCAGTTTTAGGTTGTTCAGGCTATTCATGCATATCTGAGAGTTGGTTCCACTGAACACAGTGACCTAGTCCTCATGTCATATTAAACCATAGTTTAAAACAACCTAAGGTTTCTATGTAAATAGGTAGCGCTCATTTACATTAAATTCCTGCATTCTTATCCATGAATGAAACAAGCCAGTCTCCTAGTTTGTTTCTCTCCACGCAAACCATGAGTGGTTGCCAAGACTGGTTCTGACCATTGGCCATGCTAGCTGGGCTGTTGGGTGCGGAAAACTGGCAACATCAGGAGACTCACAGGCTCCCCATCCCTGTTACAGATGATCAGAGGTGTAAGGAAGCTGGGATTAACTCAATCAGTAGGGCATGAGGCTCTTAATTTCAGGGTCGTGGGTTTGAGCCCCATGTTGGGCAACAGATTCCTTCATTGCAGAGGGTTGGACTAGATGACCCTCATGGTCCCTTCCAACTCTACAAGTCTATCATTCTATGAGGTCTAGTATAGTCTTACAACTGAAACGAGGATTTAGGGATTGATCTGTTAGATTGCATGCTTCTCTTGCCTTTTCCCTCTTCCTTACGAAGTTCTCTCCAGCCTGCTCTCTTTGGGTTTCCTGTTACCTGTTCCCAGGGCAAGAAGAGAGAAGCAGTTTGTGTACAATCAAATCCCATGTAGCCCTTATTACGTCTTAAGCCTTAGTTTCAATTATTTGTCTGAATTGGACGAAATCAGCTACATATGTGTTCCTCTGCCACATAATAGAAATGTCTTACAGTGTACAGATGCCTGTTGCCTCTTTAACGTATATTTATATAGGTGCTCACAGTTTCGTCTGAAGTTCCCAAAAGAATTCAGAAGGCCTTACAGAATGCAGAAGACTCTAAAAAATCTCTCAATCAGCTTCTAGAGAAGGAAAGCCTGTTGTACGATTCAATTAATGATCACTTGATGACATCCAAGCCATGGATGGAGGATCTTGGTGTACTGATAAGTCAGATAAAAGAAGTTGAAAGGCACCTGGCTTATTTAAAATGGATTTCACAAATAGAGGAGTTAAGGTAAATAGTACCTCACATTATGTGTTTTGGGCATGATGAAAGATTTAGAGTCTCCAAATACTTTAAATTGTTTTTATGTGTTGCATTATATCTTGTCAATTTGTTTTGATGCTTTTTTTTTGATAAAGCAACAACAACAATAATAATAATTACAATTACATACATACCTTGAAACAAGGTAGGGTACATAGAGCCCCCCTCTTTAAAATGAAAGTTGCAATCCTATTGGTTACTGTGTGACGCAGAAAGGATATATGACTGAATCAAAAGCCTTGTGTTCCCTCCCAGATATCTGATTGGTAGAATTCTTATGTTTTTGAAAGGACTCTGTGTTGGATCAGAGGAGTTATGTGCTCTGCATTTGCATATGCTATTCCCCATCCGAAGAGATCATTGCTATGGGTCCATTGTTTTATTTAGGTGTTTTTGTGCATGTGTGTGGAATTTTTTTTAGTTTGCAAGCTTCTTTGAACAAGCTATAAATGGTTAACACAATCCAGATTTATTTGGTTTAAATAATTAAAAACTCCATATGCATTGTAAATATTAATTTCCTACACAACAAAGTAGGAATATGTGGAGCCTTCAGTTGGGTGGGGCAAGATAATCAAAATAGTTAATAGATTTTGTGGTGCATCTGAATTTTTATAGTTTCTTTAAATTGCTTGCCATGTGTCTTAGGTTGAGGTTTTTAACATTTTTAGCCTGATATTCTCTTGGTGTCCTGATATGCAGAAATCGGCAGCTGAAGTTTCTTACAGCATGGAGATGAACACTGATACCTGCTAATCCCTGCAGATCCTGTTGGTGGATATTAACTTTTCTGTTTTGTTGTTTTGGTGAGAGGGTTCAGACAGATTTCTAAGACTTAGATTTCTTTACATGATTTTAAGTGCAATTTTGTAGTGGTATTTGTTCAGCTCCTCTGTCTACAAACATGTCAGGTGGCCATCTGATAAGGCGCACCAGCAACTGTAATATTAAGCACTTCATAAATAATTGTAAAATCAAGCAAGATCTTTTCACATTAGCCTGCTCACTTTTTTCTTTTCTAGCGACAACATTCAGCAATATCTCATGACTAACAATGTGCCAGAGGCTGCTACAACTCTAGCAACCATGGCTGAAGTTGATATCAAGCTTCAGGAGTCATCTTGTTCTCATCTTCTTTCTTTTGTAAGATCTACTGTTCAATTCTGGCACAAGATCCTGAAGGATAAATTGTCAAGGTAGGAATATGAAATAATTATTTCAATTTTGTTTTGCATTACTAAATCAGAGTAATTTTTATATGTTCTTCTATTGCAGTGATTTTGAGGAGACTTTAAATCATCTTCATTGGCCATTTGTTGGACCAACACAATCCCAGCCATTTGGCTTGGCTACACCGCCAGCCAACGCCCAAGAGATATACACAAACTTCGAGACACTCTTTTCTCAGCTTCTGAAACTACAAACTTCGTATCCTTGGAAAAAGCATAAAGCTGTTCCTTTCCTAGTGGGCATATGCATAAGCTCCAAAGTAGTGTAGATTAAAGGTAAAGGGACCCCTGACCGTTAGGTCCAGTCGTGGCCGACTCTGGGGTTGCGGCGCTCATCTTGCTTTATTGGCCGAGGGCGCCAGCGTACAGCTTCCGGGTCATGTGGCCAGCATGACTAAGCTGCTTCTGGCGAACCAGAGCAGCGCATGGAAACGCCGTTTACCTTCTGCCGGAGCGGTACCTATTTATCTACTTGCACTTTGATGTGCTTTTGAACTTCTAGGTTGGCAGGAGCAGGGACCGAGCAATGGGAGCTCACCCCGTCGCGGGGATTCGAACCGCCAACCTTCTGATCGGCAAGTCCTAGGCTCTGTGGTTTAACCCACAGTGCCACCCGCTGTGGTTGATTACCTTGTGCTAAATGAATTATTATGGCATGCTAATTTTGCCACTAACTGGGAAAACAAAACAAAGCGGCCTGGCATGCTCTTGTGCCTTGATCTGCAGAAACCGGCAGGTGAAGATTTTCACAACATGGAGATATGCAGTGCCACCGCCTTGCAACTGCAGATCAAGAAGCAGACGTTAAGGATGGGATCCAGACCAAGCTTGGTCCCATCAGAATCAAGAGTCAAAAATTAGTCATGTCTAAGTTTCAGTGTGTGACCAGCTTGTTATGAATCCAACCAAATTGTCAGAAGTCAAGAATTCTGTGTTTATTTTTAAAGGTTTGGACCAAGAGAAGTTTGAGCAGAGTTTCATTTCTACATTGGGATTTTATTTATTATGCAGTGTACACTGTTGACCTCCCTGTAAAGCGGTTCCTGAGGGTTATGGGGATCCTCCAGAACTGTGTGAGATATGGGGCAAGTGAGCTGTAGCTAATATAAATCAATGCTTCTTGTCGTAGCAAAGTGACTTAATAACACTAATGGAGTCCAGAAAGATAAGCCTTGATGACACTTTGCTAAGCAAACTGAACAAAAACAGGGTATAATTTGAGGAGGAGTGAAGAGAGAGGCTTTGTCTTTCATTTTGTACCCTGTAGATAGCAGGGAGGCGTACAAGCAGATCACACTACTCTGCCTGCTTATCATGATCCCTTCCAACATTTTTCTCACTTAGGATGTGGTCCAGACATCTATATGCCTGTATCTGTATCAATAAGACGTTTAACTTTGACTCTTAAAAATCTCAGAGATGAACTATTAACCAAACCAAAACAGCTTCCAGAAAAATACATTCTTCCTCCATCTCCACCTATCATACTACCTATGCAGATCATGCTGGCTCCTCTTCAGAAAAGATTCAAGTATCATTTCACAGGAAACAGACAAACAAATGTGCTGAGCAAGGTAGGTTGATGGTGTTGTACAAAATCATTGTCTTAAATAGAACCTTCTAAAAGGATATATGAAGGAAGGGGGGTGGAATGGGAGGTGCATATGTGCCTCTCAAAATTTACTAGTCTCCATCCATTTTCAGCCTTCATTTAAAATACATCCTTTAGCTCTCTAGATGTTGCTGGACTCCCAATTCCCATGCGCCCCTGTCAGCATGGCTAATGGTCAGGGACAATGGGAGTTGTAGTCCAACATGCAACAGGCCACAAGTTCCCCATCCCTGATCTTGCTCTTTTAACTCACACAGCTGCAACAGCAAAAATATGCAGACAACGTCTTATTAGTCAGAAGTAAACCTCTCCCTGCATTACATTAGGAAGATTGGCATGTATTTGGCATTTTGTGCATCTTTTAAAATGTACAAAATACCGTATTTTTCGCTCCATAAGGCTGCACCTGACCATAAGGTGCACCTAGTTTTTAGAGGGGGAATTCAAGGGGGAAAATATTCTTTAAAGGGAGCGCTTAGGAGAGCCTGGGATGCATCCCAGGCTCTGCTCAGCGCTCCCTTTCACGAGCTGCGTGGAGTGTGTGTGTGGCTCTTGGGGGGTTTTCCCCGAGGAGAGAGAAGGGCAGTCCATCACTGACGGGCTGCCCTTCTCCCTCCTCGGGGAAAAGCCCCCAAGAGCCACACACACACTCCGCGCGGCTCTTTAAAGGGAGCGCGGCTCTTGGGGGCTTTTGCGGGAAGTGGGGGAAGTGAGAGAGCCTTGCTCTGTCACTTCCCCCACCTCCCGCAAGAGCCATGAGCTCTTTAAAGGGTGCGCGGCTCCTGCGGGCTTTTCTACGAGGTAGGGGAATTCCCACCTCCCACAGAAGCCTACAGGAGCCGCGCACTCTTTAAGGAGTGTGCAGCTCCCCCAGGCTTTTCTACGAGGAGGGAGAAGGGACTGACGCGGCCAGTCAGTCCCTTCTTCCTCCTGGGGAAAAGCCCGCAAGAGCTGCGTGGAGCTTATGTGCGGCTCTTGGGGGCTTTTCCCACCTGCCTCCCCCCTGCATTCGCTCCATAAGACGCACACACATTTCCCCTTACTTTTTAGGAGGGAAAAAGTGCGTCTTATGGAGTGAAAAATACAGTAACACATGATTTTAGTAACAACTTTAAGTGAACTCTAGACATCTTATAAACATATTGGACTAACTTGATCTAGGTTTTGCTGCTTTGCATGGATTTCCAATGTACCCCATTCTCCCAGTTTCCAGAAAGGTAGCTGTGTTGGTCTGTTGCAACAAAAACAACGAAGTGCCGCAAGAGTTTGGTGTTTATATCCCTTCTATTGGCCTGTGACTCGAATAGTCTATTTCCTATATCTTTTAAGGAAATTCTTGTCTGTACTGCAGCATACACCTATAGCAAGCATGTGTTCTGCTTATTAAACTATTTTTGGTTAAGCACTTCCCTTGCCAAGCACAAACCACTTAATTTCTGGGAATATAAAAAGCAGTGGCGAGGGCTGCTAGAGGGGAACTGGGCCAACAGGCTAAGGTGATGTATGATGCTATGATCGGACAAAATAGGTTGCATCTTTGACCTAACAACTGATACTGTGAATTCTTCTCCTTTCTCAAAAGCCTGAATGGTACCTAACCCAGGTACTCATGTGGATAGGAAATCATGCTAAGTTTCTTGAAGACAAAATCCAACCAGCTTTGGACAAGGCAGGTGTATCGGTGAATGCAAAGGTAAGCATCTCTGTATATTGTTAACATACTGATAACCATGAAATTATACATCCAGCACAGGATGGGCAGAAGATTGACTGGAAACAACTGTTACGATCACTGGGTGTTTTCCAGTTGATCAGCAAGGATTTCTGACTCCCAATTGATTATTGGCAGCAGCAAGAAAGTGACACATGCAGACTACTGAAATTAAGAAAGATTGGGGGGGCAGGATACTCAATTTGAAAGGACTGTGAGAAAATGTTCTAGGCTCAGGATTTTTTAATTCTAAATGTGTCTCTTTTGCGCATGGGTGTTGGGGCATTGATTTTTTAAAAAGTAGATTCCACCAGCCTGAAGTTTAACCGTTTCTGATACAAATGCAGTTGTCATCTGAATTAATCTCTTTGTTTCTTCCTCAGCTGGAATTTTCCCGAGCTTTGGTGATACTGATCCTTGAGAAGCTGGCTGCCGATATCCCTTGCTTGTTGTATGACGACAACCTCTTTTGTCACCTGGTGGATGAGGTACTTCTCTTTGAGAGAGAGCTGCACAGCGTTCATGGGTATCTCAACAGCTTGCCCAGCTGCATGCACATTCTCTCTGAAGAAACCTGTTTTCAAAGATGGTTAACTGTGGAAAGAAAATGTAAGACCTGACTTGGTTAAAAACCAGACCTGAAGAAATTGGGTGTTTGGGGAGGGGGGCCATTCCAAACTCCCCTACCTTGGGGGAATAACTGTTTTAAATCTGAACAAGTCTTGGAACTAGAGTTGTGCCCTAAATGTTTGCATTTGGGATAGAATTTACGGTGTACGTAGTTTTCTGCAGAGGCCCGTGATTGTAAGAAACACAGTCCGTGCTGCTGCTCCTAACAGTGTCAGGCTTTTGGTGGGGAGAGGTATATAGATCTGTCTGATAGTGATCCTGATGCACAGCAAAGGATATAGTTTGTTTCCTAATCAGGAGGCCTACTTGATAGCCGCTAGAGGGATATCCCAGGAATATTAGTTGTCAGACATAGCATGGTAGAACCAACTTTACGGGGAGAGGGTTAAGATGCCAATACAGTGGTGCCTCGCAAGACGAAATTAATCCGTTCCGCGAGTCTCTTCGTCTTGCGGTTTTTTCGTCTTGCGAAGCACGGCTATTAGCGGCTTAGCGGCTATTAACGGCTTAGTGGCTTTAAGAAAAAGGAAACAAACTCGCAAGAACTCGCAAGACGGAACGTCTTGCGAAGCAAGCCCATAGGGAAATTCGCCTTGCGGAACGACTCAAAAAACGGAAAACTCTTTCGTCTAGCGAGTTTTTCGTCTTGCGGGGCACCACTGTATCCATGAATTAAGGCTAGATTTTTAGCCATTGAGACTATTGAGATACGCTTCTAGGAAATGGCTGAGCTTGCCAAAGGAACACTGCTGTAACATCTGAGCTCTTCAGAGCTTTTTATCTACTGCAAAGCAAATCCCTGACAAAGAAAATAGAGGCAAGAACAGACTGTACCACCAGAGATCAGGCAGCTGATGCATATTTGCTTTCCATGTCAGATCCATCTTCCTATTTCTGCATGAATAGTACTCTCTTTGCTATTGTTCTTGTTCCTTTTATTGTTCAGGAGACTTTAAAGCAGAGAAGAAACCACAATAGCAAAAGCAACCTGGAAAAGGATGCATTATTGCTAATTACCCCCTTATTACAGTTTATCGTAAAATTGAAGATCAGGTCAATGAGAAGTTAAATTTGTAAAACCTATGAAATTCGAATAAACAACTGTAAAAATGTGTCACTAGAAAGTGTTAAGCTTTACTTTGGCTAATACTTGCATAAAGATAATACTGTTTGTCAGTTTTGTAAGGGATTTTAGCAGTTGGTATAAGAGAACTCATCTGATTCCAGGGCGTTATTGATAAACGTGTTCTCTTACTGGGTTCATATTGGCTGTTTTAGCTGTTACTAAGGTTCATTCAGTTAACTCCTTTAGTAGAAGCAGCATCTTAACTTTGATTTGAAATTGCCGTATTTGATACGTTTTTCCCCTGTCCCAAATTTCATTTTAAAAAGGAACAATTTGTTTCCCTCTTGAAATAAAATTTGAAATAATAAGGTAACTACAGTAAGTTATTCTATTTTAACTAAGGTAACTATTTAAATATTCTTCATTGGTTTTCTGTGCCTGGCAGTTGCTCTTCAAAAGATGGACTCGATGCTTTCATCTGAAGCTGCCTGGATATCACAGTATAAAGACATTACAGATGTCGATGAAATGAAAGTCCCTGATTGTGCTGAAACTTTTATGACTCTGCTACTGGTTATCACAGGTAATTATAACGTTTCTGGCATTGGGTTCTGGCATTGGGTTGTTGATTGTGTTACAGTTCTTGAATTATTCAAGAACGGTAACGCAATCAGCAAGGAAATCAACGTCCTATCAGTGGCTACAGTTGTCACCAAATAACAACAACAACAACAACAATAATTTATTATTTCTACCCCGCCCATCTGGCTGGGTTTCCCCAGCCACTCTGGGCAGCTTTCAACAGAACCTTAAAAACAGAATAAAACTTCAAACATTAAAAACTTCCCTAAACAGGGCTGCCTTCAGATGTCTTCTAAAAGTCAGATAGTTGTTTATTTCCTTGACATCTCATGGAAGGGCGTTCCACAGGGCAGGTGCCACAACCGAGAAGGCCCTCTGCCTGGTTCCCTGAAACTTCGCTTCTCACAGTGAGGGAACTGCCAGAAGGCCCTCAGTGCTGGACCTCAGTGTCCGGGCTGAACAATGGGGGTGAAGACACTCCTTCAGGTCTACTGGGCCGAGGCCATTTAGGGCTTTAAAGAAGTAAGAGTTGGAAATTGGAATTGCATCTGCATTGGAACAAATCGGTGTAGTTTCTGTTCATTCTTCTTTCCATCAGTGAATAATTCACAAGGTAGTCATGGCACTGTTAATACTAACAGCGTGGATATGTTGGGCAATTACTGCTGGGATAATGTACCTTTAAAAAAGAAAGACAATCTAAGAATACTCAGAAACCTAAAAGAAATCAAACATTGCTAATAATTATAGTATGGATTTTGAGTATACGGTAAGCAGGTACCTTACGCTTTAAGTAGCATGGAGCAGCATCAGTTAATTCAGAGGAAGTTAATTGCCCTTTCCATCATTATCTCATGCGTATTCCATTGAGTTGACTCACACTCAACTGTGTGTAGTATTTCAGGCTTAGGCCTGCTGAAATCAGTGGGGAAAAGTTAGTCATTGTTAACTTCAGGTCCATTGAAACCATGGTGGCTAACTTCCTCTCAATCCAGCCTAATGTGTTTTAGGTTGATACCCCTATTTTATTAAGTTAGTTAGCAGTCAGTGTTTGGCATAGAACAACAGACAAATGCCATTAGGGGAATGAAATGTGGCCTTTGTGTGTCTGCAGAACAAGTTCCCAGCCTGTCTTGTATCCATTAAAAATGCTCTTTCTGTGGGACAGCAGAGACTATGAAAAGGAGGCAAAAGTGTTAAGTGCCATAGCGCGAAGCATTGAGCACATTAATAAACAATTTTTTGTAACACCATTCCCATTCCTTAAACAGGGCCACTTAAGTCTGTGATGAAATCTTGGACGGTAGGTGCTTTCTAACAAAAGAGAGCCTTTAAAAATATGAAATAATTTACCAAATTCCTTGTAATGTGTTCTGCATAGATAGGTATAAACACCTTCCTGCAGCTGCTCGGAAGCTTCAGTTCCTGGAGTTGCAGAAGGAGTTGGTGGATGACTTCAGGATACGGCTCACTCAAGTTATGAAGGAAGAGACCAGAGTGCCTTTAGCCTTTCGCTACTGCGCCATCCTCAATGCTGTGAACTACATAGCAACAGTCCTGGCAGACTGGGCGGACAACGTTGTAAGTGATGATCGTTTTACATATCTACAGTTGATCTTTGTGGATTGCCAAAACTTAATTTCAAAAGCATTTTGTTACACAACTGCCCCTATTTATTCACAGTTTAGAATTGCCTTTCGCTTGCACTGATAGAATTCAGTACATTTTCAAAGTGCAGGGGATCAGATCGCGGCCATTTTAAGGTGCGACAATTTTGGGGCGACAGTGCATACAGCGGGGTCTTCATGTCTATCTAGTTCTTTTTGCAGCTTCAGCAGGCGGCGCTGGAAGTTTGTGCTGATAGCAGCGCACTAAATAAGCTGCAGCTAGGACAACTGGCTTCCATGGAAAGCTCCGTATTTGACGACATGATCAACCTCCTGGAGCGACTAAAGCATGACATGCTGACTCGTCAGGTGGAGCATGTCTTCAGAGAGGTCAAAGAGGCTGCCAGGATGTACAAAAAGGAAAGGTAACACTTTGCTGGACACATTTTAATTTGTACACAGTTTGGAAGGGAGTGAAGGGGAATTTTTTAAAATGTATAGCCTGCGTTCTTCTTCCCACAATACTGTATGCCATTACCTTGTTTTATAAAACCTGATCCTGCATCTGGCAGGATACAGATATCTGAAAGGAATGACTATTTTGAGGGAGAACAATCATCAAGGAATTATATTCCGTGCTTGTTGTGAGATTGATAAATAAATCGGCTGTTTTATCGTGCCATGAAAAACACTTGTGTCTTCAAGATGTAGTAACAATTTTTGCCATTTAGAGAACCCAGTTTTGTCACCTGAATATTCAGGGGGGGATGACCTTAGAGTAATTCTTCCAGTTCTAGAGTAGTTGTGCAGTTTGACCCAGTAGTGTTACAGCTTTGGAACACGGAATTGCTTCCAAAAACTGTCTTAATGTTCAAGATGGTTAAATAAAGCTATGTTTGTTTTTATTTTAAGAGTCCACTATGATTCCACTTTGTTTTATCGTATATCATATCATATATCACAGAGTTTGAAGGAACACCTGAGGATCATCTAGTCCAGCCCGCTGCAGTGCAGGAGCATGCAGCTGTCCCTCCCATTCAGGGATCGAACCTGCAACCTTGGCATTATCAGCACCATGCTCTAACCAACTGAGCTATCCAGGATGGATACTAGTCACTGTGGTTTTGGGATCTAGTAATGTGTGTATTAAAATACATTCCTCCCCCTTGCCCCACCCTGCTGGCAAGGATGCTGCTACTGCGTTCCCACCATCCCTGGCCCATTAGGTACCTTAACTGGGGCCAATGGGAGTTGGACTCCGGGAACATCACAGGTCACAGGTTCACCATCCCTGTGCAATGGAGAGATTCCTAATGCCAGTGGCAAAATGCAAAGACAATGTACTGGTTGTGTCTCCTAGACATTAACAGGTGTTTTTCTGGACTCTCTACTCCTTGAGAAGCTTTGAACCAGAATGTCAGGGATGGAAGCTGGGCTCTGCCATTGAGCTAGATGTGGTCCCCTTCCCCATCTGTCAAGAATCTGTCAAGGCTTATCTGGAATCGCAAACAGAAACAGATCTCATGAAGTGTCTTGTAAACTCCCAAGCCAACTTTGAGTAGGGTGCTGTCAGAAGCCTTCCTTTGCAGTGACGATTTTCTGTTTCTTTCAGGTGGCTGTCTTTGCCTTCCCAGTCAGAACAGGCTGTGATGTCTCTGTCAGCCACTGCCTGCCCACTGCTAATGACCTTGAGAGACCAGCTCCTACAGCTAGAGCAGCAGCTTTGCTACTCGTTGTTCAAAATCTTCTGGCAAATGCTTGCAGAGAAGGTGGACTTGTTTATCTATCAGGAAGTAAGTGTCTGTCCTGTGTGACTAGGGCCGTAATGATGAATCATGCCATAAATGTTCACTATGACCTGCCTGTTTTTTGTATGCTGTGTACAGATCATTCTGGCCAATCACTTTAATGAAGGAGGAGCAGCGCAGCTGCAGTTTGACATGACCAGGAATCTTTTCCCTTTGTTCTCACATTACTGCAAGAGGCCAGAGAATTATTTCAAACAGTAAGTAAAACATATCTCACTTTCTAGTTTACTTCAAAACTTATATATTGGGGGGGGGAATAGAGGAGTTGCAAGGATCCTCTTCTTCCTACCCTTTTGTTATGAACACTTTTCTGAGAAAGGGTGTGTGTGTGTGTGTGTGTGTGTGTGTGAGAGAGAGAGAGAGAGAAAGAGAGTGTCATCCCTTTTAAGAGTTTTAATAAAAATGTAGACTGGCAACAGACAGTGTGGTGTAGTGGTTAAGAGCAGTGGACTCGTAATCTGGTGAACCCGGTTCACTTCCCTGCTCCTCCACATGCAGCTGCTGGGTGACCTTGGGCCAGTCACACCTCTTTGAAGTCTCTCAGCCTCACTCACCTCACAGAGTGTTTGTTGTGAGGGAGGAAGGGAAAGGAGATTGTTAGCCGCTTTCAGACTCCTTTGGGTAGTAATAAAGTGGGATATCAAATCCAAACTCTTCTTCTTCTTCTTCTTCTTCTTCTTCTTCTTCTTCTTTTTCTTCTGCTAGCATTTACAGTAGGGTTGGTTATATTGCAATTTTATGTTGTGAACCGCCATGAGATCTACAGGTATATGGCAGTTAGTTAGTTAGTTAGTTAGTTAGTTAGATAAGCAAGCATATAAAGACCACTGCTTAATACTTTTACATCACTGTTGGGGAATAATTATGGGACAAGTTTAAGGCGTAAAAGCATAAGATCATGATCCTTGCCAAATTAACTGGAAGATAGTAGTTAAATAACATAACTTCTGCAAGCATGGGTTCCCTCCCCCGTTTTGTACAAAAAAGTGAACTTACCATTTACAGGCTGAGGTATTTAGTGAGATATTTGTCACTTAAAGAAAGAAAAAAGCTGATATAGCATGAAGATCTGTTGTTCCAATTTCTCTGTTTTAAATGTGGTTTGTCATGTGGCAGGATGGGCTGCTATATAAGCAACAAGCCTAAAGTTCCCCTCCAAGCGTTTGCATAGCTCTCTAGGTTTTCCCCTGTTCTGAAATGGGGACTTTCTCATTTTCTTTTTCAGCATAAAGGAGGCCTGTATTGTGCTGAATTTAAATGTTGGCTCAGCCCTACTTTTAAAGGATGTGCTTCACTCAGCCACTGAAAACAGAGCTGAAACCACCCTGAATTCAAGTCAGCCCACAGCAATGGCAGCATTAAATGAACTTGGAATTTACAAGTTAGCGCAGCAAGATGTCGAGATTCTTCTTAATTTGAGAACAAACTGGCCTAACACTGGGAAATGAGCAAATAGAGAGATTAATCACTGTTGAATTCTGTGAGAATCAAAGCCAACTTTATCAATGCTCTTACTTTTCTCTGTGCTAAACTAACTTTTTCAGTGAAGATGAAAGAGCTGTATACATGTCACAGTTTCAAAGATACTGTTTCGTGCTGGGTACAGTTCAGCAAGATTATAACTGAACAATGTGTTCAGCTGGAATATAGTCTTGTCCAACACCAGTGTGACAAATACAGTTTTCTCAGCTGACTTTCTGTGGTAATCAAGTAAAGTTATTGTCATTACAGGGCGTATTCTAATACATCTAATACATTGTGTACATACATGTACACAAGCAACAAGCCCCTTACAGGAACCAATTAAGAGTGTGTGTCTCTTAATCTCAAGGTTGTGGATGGGGCAAAAGATTAATGGGGCAAAAGATTAATACACTGCAGAGGGTTGGACTAGATGATCCTTGTCCTCCCTTCGAACTCTACAATTCTATGATTTTATTTTAGGATCCTTCTAGGAGTTTGTGGGAACTGCATTTTATGAGCTAACCTAAGTTGCTTCCCCTTGTTGGCTGCTCAGTCACACAGAATCCTGTTAAGTCTGGCTGGATTGTTGCTAGGGTTTTCCAACAACTCTTTGCAAGGGCTCTGAGCTGTTAACACCAGACATATTGCAGTGGTCCACTATCAACACTAGGAGCTTACAGCGGTTTGCAGCATTTTCTGTGATTTCTTCTATGCCTTCGTCTGGAAGTCTAGAGCACTCTGAAACAGCTGCAGCCCTAATCAAACTGAAGATCAGCCAGAGAGAACTTGAGAACTGGTTTGTCTTTTTGTCTTCCTGGGCTGTTCCTGTCGACATCCCCCGTTGCTGAGGACTGAGATTTTGCATTTTCCCTGATGAAGAGCAAGTAAACAGCTGTTTAATTATTTGTTTGTTGAAAAATTGGGCTGGGGGGTTGCTACAGGCCTGGGTAGAAAGAGGGGAAAGCAAAGGCTGGAGAAATAAAAAGGAGTGGTGTCAAGATATAGGTGGCCCAGCTAAAGACCGTGGCAGATCATGAATAGTGCAGTATGGATAATTATCTGGTGAAGATTGGGAGCCAGTGGCCAGGTTGGTCTGAGAGGGTGCCTTGTGTAAAAGGTTGCACAGGTAAGTTTTTAAAGGTGGCCAAACTCTGCCGTCAGAAGTACAGCCATAGGAGCTTTGGGGTGCAGAGAGAGTTTAGTTTGTTTCATTTCATAAAATTAATACACTAGTTTAAAAAACACAAACACAAGGCTCCCCCAAACCTCAAAGCGATTTACAAGAGAGGATTTGCCACAATAGCTGAACTGGGTTGTGAGAATAATTGGCTGGCATGGAAATGGGGGGGGGGGGGATTTGGCCTGCAGTAAAAGTCTCTTAGAGGCTGACTCTTGAGTCTTTGGAAAGACTGCAGCATGTAAATATCAGTATTTCCTTGGGTACAAAGGTTGTCTTTAATAAAGCAATTATCTTAGTTTAAAGCAGGCAAGTCCATAGTCCGTTTCAGGGGCCTAATTCGGCCCCTGTGGCAGTTTATTTCCTGGGGTAAAATCCTAAATCAACAAGGGGTGGGGATGAAAAAAAGCTCAAGAACTTCAATCCTAAAAAAAAGGCCAACAACTTTGATTGGTCTTTTGGTCGGCCCTCACGGCCCTTCACTTCATCAAATCTGGCCCTCTTTGAAAAAAGTTTGGACACCACTGGTTTAAATTCCAGCACTCCTCTCCAGCCAAGTGTCTCTAAAGATGGTTGGCTAAGAACAAGGTATATATAGCTTTTGCTTTCTTTGGGTTACTGTTTTCTTGAGTCTGTGCGATGGCAGGAGGAACATTGTGTGTGTTCCCTTCTTCAAAATGGAGCAGGTCCTAAATTTAAGGATGTAGACTAGAGCAGCACTCTTGACTAAGGTGTCTCACCACGAAGAGACCAAAACACTTGATTGTTGAATGTACCACCGGTTCCTGAGCTTGAAATTCTCCATCTTGGGGCCAGAACCATCTGAACAAGCTATGAATTGTGGACTCCCCATACCCCAACCCGCCTATCCCAGCAGCAGCCGCCACCGCCTCTTAAGTGGGAAGGAGTGGGGATGAAAATCCCCACAGAAACCTCCTTCTTCATGTGGGTTGGACCTTGGTGGATCAATGGTGACATTTTAGAGTGAACCCCAATCCTAAGTGATTGCCTTGTATTTACAACAGTGACAAAATGAGGTAACAGAAGCACTGGTTGACGCTGCATGAAACAGAAAAAAGTTTCCCAAAGGTAACTTTCCTTCAAAAGCTAATAAAAACGCTTCACCTATTTCTTACAAACATATAAATTATTTTATTTACAAAGCCATGTTACAAAAAATAATAATAATAATAAAGCAAAAACAAAATGTAACCCCAAAACAAAAGAAATACAATCGCTCACTAGAGAATATCTCCAGGCCTGGTGTTGAACTGTGGCAGTATCAGTCAGATACATGTTTGTTCTTTTTTCAAAACTGTAAGCCATAAAGTTTTATTATTTACACCTTACTTCCGACACAATTTTCACAAGCATGGAATGGGCTCTTTCTGATACTGCTAATACATAAAAGGTGCAGAACGAAGAATGAAAATACTTAGTGTTACAAAATATGGGTTTGTAGAAAAGAAACTGACTGTACACATATGGCATTTTCTTTTAGAATGATTGGACATGCTTTCTTCAAAAGTCTTCTGGAAAAAGATTCTAAAATCTGTAGTAGGAAAGCACAATACAGGAGGTGCAAAGTCATTTCTGTGCAACAGTTAATATTCCCCATGACTGACCAGCTATGCAAAACCCACAGAGTTTTGTTAAAGTGCCACGGGCCAACAGCATAACAAAATATAAGGTGTAAATAGAAAATTTTCTTTTTTTCAAACAATAGTTCACTGAGAATCAGCAGTAATAGAATATGCTGTATAAACTATTCTCTACAAAGGTTGATCAGCACTATGTACAATTGTTAACATTGATACAAAAGAAGGCATACAAGTTATCCAAGTCGCTTTTGTTTTTTTAATATGGCTGAAGGGCCTATGCATTGCGTATGTGTAACAACCAAAGCTGCTGAGCCTCTATTGCTGGAAACGAATCACAAAGTCTTCAGGCAAAGGTGGGAGGAAGGAAAAAGGAAAAGCTACTGTTGAATGAATGCTACACTAATAATACATTATAGGCTGGTCCAGTTCAAATCCATTTTTTTTAAAAAAAAACCTGCATTTCACTTTTCAGGCTGGACATTTTAGCACGTATAAAATCAATTGGTGATTTTTTAAAAAAATGCAGGGGATAAAAAAGGTATGAGGTTTTTACTTGGTTTCCAAAATGCTTTCAGACCGATGCCACTGAAAATAAAAGGATACATACATAAGCAGCAAAGAACACTCCCCAGTCCAGCTTCTTACATAACAGATGCACGTGAAGAGCTAAGGAATTCTTAACACGACTGAATTGCTCCTTCGGTCACTGAGTGACATTAATTCTCAGAAGCAGCCACTGAATCTCGCCACCCCTGTTCCACCTCTAAAAGTAAAAAACAGCAGTTCACTTATCAGATGGTGTTTTCTTACTGAGATTTTTAAACTCCTGCAGTTATACAACACAAAATAAATTAGTTTTTTTTATATTAAAAAAGAAGTCAACAAGGCTCTGTTCCTACAACTGAAGACAAAAATTGTGCAAAAATAACAAAGATATGTACACTTTTTTCAGTCTGAAGAAATGTACAATAAAACCATAACTCAAAAGTACATGAAAAATATAAGCATTGCTTAAAACTTTCCTAAGTTTCATATTGTTCATGAAACTGTTCCTGTCACTTCCCAAATATAGCAAAACATAAATTACAAAATTAACACTATAAAATTTTACTTTAAGAATATCTTCTAATTTCCCCCCAAAGGGCCTAGCCATGTTTACAATTGTTAAACATTGTATAAGCTTTAAAAATTTCCTTAAGCCTTCCACCCCCTAAAAGTAAACGGCTTCCTGCCCCCTTGAGATGTAAATAAACCAGCATTTAAGTGCACTTTTAACACTGTAGAAATAAAAATTAACTGCTCTGTAGTAATTTTGCAGTACCCTAGTATTATTAAGTTCCTGATTTCAAAATCTACCTTTATTTTTTTTAAAAGCAGTAATTCCTGTAAAACATTGTCAGTGCAATTCTAACTGATACAAATTCAGTATGCTCAGCTCCTGTCTTTTCAAAGAACAAATTGTTTCATTAAGGAAAACAGTAGCATAGATTCTTTGTGGCCCTCCATCTACAAGTGAGGAAATTGTCACATGGCGCTCCTATTAATCTCACTGGGAACAAATTGAATAAACCCTTCAGTACATTGAGCAGATTAGGAATACCATAATCAACAAGAGGTGCTGCACACTGAAATCTCTGAACAACGTCAGTGAAACTTCTGGCCACACAGTTGTTAGATACTGCTGAGAAATGCACTAGGACAATAATAAATAATAAATACAGAAGTTACTGTAAATTTTAAACAATGAAGGGGTGTTTTAAATATAATATAACCACACATTGCATTATTTCGGAATGTTCACTGCTGTCATTTGTTGCAAGAAACAAAAAGGGGGAAATGCAACAATTTGCTTTTAAAAGCTTGAATCCGAATCAAACCAGATTGCACAGATCAGAGGCCGATGTATATTGAAGAACTGAAATATGCCACAGTTTTATGTAGATTTAAAAACATTTGTTTTTTTTAAAAAACCACAAAAATATTAAGTAAATTTTATCTGCAGGAGACAGAAAATAAAATAATAAACCAGAGTAGGGCTGCTAAGACGAGAGAGATTATAGGCTGGTTGCTTTCCTTGTTATGGAAGAGTCCTTATTCTACCAGTCCGGTTTAACGTCTTCTGGAAGAAAGATAAGAGTTGATTGAAAACAATGCAACATTTTGCTACACTACAAGAACTTAATTAACTACAAACCCCCAAATTCGGGAGACCCTCCAAAGTGGTGCCAAAGTTTTGCAGTCCTTTTGCAGCCCGAACCCCACATTTTGCAGCAACCCACTAAACTGAGTAATTCATGCTCAAACCAGAGGTCCTAGGTATCACCCCAAAACCCAACATACTTCCAGTTTACAGAACCTTCCCGACAGTTGGCTAGGCAGAATTCTGACTTGCCAGACTGAGATGAGTGGCTTTTCAGAAGCCTGCATTAAATCATTACAGTACTTATTATAATGCAATAAACGTGTGCAGCTTCGGTAGTTTATATTAAAATCACTGGTCAACAAACTGGTTATATAACCACTTCAGGAAAATTTGTAAACTGCAACTCACTTGTTTGTTGTGCACTGGGTTCGGTGTACTTGAAGGACTGGACTGAGACAAAGCTACACTGCTATTTTTTCCAATCTGTAAGGTACAAACAGTATTCAGAAGGCAAGATGCAGAAACCATATAGAACTGCCATAAAAGCAAGCGTGCTCTCAAAATCTTTTGCAAACTTTTTCAGCAGGGGGCTGGTCCACTGTCCCTCATACCTTGTGGGGGGCTGGACAATATTTTTGGGGGGGGGGATGAACGAATTCTATGCCCCAGGAATAACCAAGAGATGCATTTTAAATAAAAGCACACATTCTACTCATGGAAAAACACCAGGCAGACCCCACAAATAACCCAGAGATGTATTTTAAATAAAAGGACACATTCTACTCATGTAAAAACATGCTGATTCCCAGACCACCCGCGGGCCGGATTTAGAAGGCGGTTGGGCCGGATCCGGCCCCCAGGCCTTAGTTTGCTTACCCATTATTTAACTCCCTATTAACATACTCTCATTTAAAAGCAATATGGAACATGTGGCTCTCATTTTCAGTAATGTATCATGCAGATGTCAGGCTATCCTGGGAAATGTTTGCGGCTGACCGTTGAGTAACCGTGGTATAAGAAACCAGGAAGTTGCCTCTGTAGCCAGGAGCGGAACGGGAGATGCAACCTATGTTCAACCTCATTGCTCACTCACAGGCCGACGGAGGGTGGCTGGAGTTGTGCATTACATTTGGGCACGAGGCTGATTGGGTGCTCCCGCAGCGGTTAACCTCTGTGGGCATCCTAATACACCCGCCAGACTGCTTTGCTCCTGCCAAGTCATGGAAACAAGACCCGACAGACTCGTGAAACCCTTACCTGCCGAGAGATGGAGCTGTTTGGAGTATCTGGCACCGTAGGAATAAGGTTGGCAGTGCTCTTTTTGTGGACGCTATTCATACCAGGCATTTTAGTGATTTTACAGGCTTTGCTACTAGAACTAGAGTTTTTGCGTTTCTTCCCTTCCGATTTGTCAAAGCAAAGGGGGAGAGAGGACACGGCGTTGTGTGCTGTTAGGGAGTGGTCCCCTGAATGGTGGAGGAGGGAGGGCACAGACAAACCGGAAGAGTCAATACTGCTTACTACGATGCTCATGTGTTTCACAGAGTCTGCTGAGCTACTTGATAACGAAGTCCGTCCTCCTGAGGGCTCCGATTTGGCACTGAGTGGGGTTGTTCCATTGTTTGCATTGTGCACAGACAGACTGTTATAGGAAGATGTGGCCTGATAAGAGTTCAAGGTCAAGCTGGGGTTCAAGACGCAGTTCTTTTTGTGAGACCCTGAAAAGGAAGAGGAGGGAGACGAGGAAGTCTGCAAAGATAGAGAGGAAGAAGAAGAGGGCGGCCTTTTCTTTTTGTTGCTAGAAGACTCATCACCGCGGCACGAGAGATCTCTGACTTTTGAGGATTTGCTGGTTTTCGTTTTGGATGGCTTGTGGGATGGGGGAGGGATAACGGCTGGCACAGGTGACATGGCCGACGGGGTCTTAAATGTCGAGTCTATAATACTCAGGCTGGCAGCCACGTGAGGGAACGCCGTAGTGTGCGACATAATGGAATTTGTATCCGATGCAGTCACAAAAGCCGCGTTGGACAACATGGCAGAAGTCATCAAGTAGGAAGAAGGTATTCTTGAACTGATGGGCGCCGAAGGAATATACACTGCACTAGGATTGCTGAAAGGTTGCAAAACCGATGCTGGAAAAGGGGTAGAGATATGTGCTGCTGGAGAGGGCATCGGACTATCCACCGCAGGAGGGATTTTCCTGTAACAGGAAAGAAAAATAAATACTTTGAGGTTCGGGCACCTCTTAACTCAGCTTCGCTACAAGGACTGAGCAAAAAAACACATACGCACAAATATGATTTATTAGATAGTTTTAATTTACCAGTTCCAATTCATTACATTTTGGGATTTATTTCCAGATTCTTTCAACTGGGCCTCCTCTTACTTCACACTGGACTGAGGGTATATGCCACTCAATCACGTATGCTCTCCCACCTTCCCCGCCCAGCCGTCTTATGTGAAATTTCCTTCCATTCTTTTCTACTTACCAGTTAATCAGGAACGCTCCTAAACTTACTTTGATCAATTGAGTTTAATCTGGGTTCTCAAAAAGAAGTAACACCACAGTTGTGCTGGTAGTACTCAAATCATATACATAACTGGGCCTGATCCACTCAAGTGTCAGAGTAGGTTTCCTAAGCGGTTAAGTCCTATTTCTCCCATTCTCCTGCCAACACCAGGAGACACTGCAGGGGATAGGAGATGTTGTTCATGCCTCCCCCAGCCACGTTCAGCCCTCCCTCCCTCTGCCACGCAAGTTCCTTGAATTCACCAGACAATCTACTCCAATCCAAATAACTTCAAATATAGAAGGACTATCATAAACATTAACAACCAATTAGTATTGGGATGTGCAAAGTTAACAGAAGACTATGTATCAAGTCTGACCCCCAAAGTTCCAACTATTGTACCTCATTATTATTATTATAGGGACGCGGGTGGCGCTGTGGGTAAAAGCCTCAGCGCCTAGGACTTGCCGATCGAAAGGTCGGCGGTTCGAATCCCTGCGGCGGGGTGCGCTCCCGTCGCTCGGTCCCAGCGCCTGCCAACCTAGCAGTTCGAAAGCACCTCAAAGTGCAAGTAGATAAATAGGGACCGCTTACTAGCGGGAAGGTAAACGGCGTTCCGTGTGCTGCACTGGCTCGCCAGATGCAGCTTGTCACGCTGGCCACGTGACCCGGAAGTGTCTGCGGACAGCGCTGGCTCCCGGCCTCTAGAGTGAGATGAGCGCACAACCCTGGAGTCTGTCAAGACTGGCCCGTACGGGCAGGGGTACCTTTACCTTTACCTTATTATTATTATTATCATTATTATTTATTGAATTTATATACTGTCCTATACCCGGAGGTCTCAGGGCGGTCATCAATAAATTACCACTAAAGAACAAGTGAGCAATGTTCCTTCAGGCAAATGTTACAAGTGGCAACATCCAAGTTCAAGACAGTGCAAATGGCAATCACAGCCCCAATCTTCGGAGGTTCACAGAGTTTGCTTTTAATGGCCTGGGTCCTGTGGGGGTCACACAGTGAACGAGGAAGAGGCACAAGATCTTCCGGCAGTTTTCTATCCTATGGTCACAGTGGAGGCTTCATTTAACCATCAAGACAAATAGCCTCTGAGAGCCCTTATGAATTGGTATAAATCCCTTTAAAGCCATCTCTGCCAGTGGATATCACCACAGATTATGGCAATGACACTGAATACATTGTGCAGAATACTACTCTCTTTGGGGGCTGCCCTGAATCTGTCAGGCCAATCAAGCTAGTTGAGTTGAGTATAGAACTTCTCTTGATCCACTTCTGAATCCTATCCATAATGGTATAAACCTGTTATGTCTCTCATTCACATTTTTTCCTGGTTAAAACAAAGCAAAACTGAACAAACATTCTAACCTTTCCCCATGAAGAAGGTCCTCTAAACTTCTCGATTGTTTCTGCACCTTTTCTACCTCTACAGTTGTGTGTTTTTTTTAGTTTAGTTAGAATCGAGTATATTCACTTCCAGAGTTAACACTAAATACATTAATTCTAGTAAATGAACCACCATAGCCGCTAGACTCTAGAGGGCCGTGAAAATTTGTGTCCCGGGATTTTTAGACTCCTCTATCCATGCACTATCTGAAACCAAAGGGGCCATAGAAGCCAACTTCTAGGGACCAAGCTCCCTTCAGCCCCTCCCCCAAAATAATGTATTTGAGGGGGCTCAAAGTTGATGGGCATTGCCATTCAAAATGGGTGCATGCACTGTGTGTTGTGATCAATTATATGCAGCACGGAGCTTACCTGCTCCCCCCTTAAAAAAACCCTTTGAGGTGACAGATGTGAAATACATTGGCGTTATTTTCTGCTCTCATACCCCACTCTTAGACCTGTAGGATAACATGAAAGCAGAAGCTGTTTACTTACCTCCACATCTGTGAGTTTAAGTGTCTTTCCACCATGGAATTCAGTGCTAGTCGAAAACGATCCCATCTTCTATCAAACACATAGTAACCTCTTCCCATCAAATGACTTCCAAAAGAACAAAACTGGAAAGGATAAAGGGGAAAAGATATAGGGATCTTGCAAAAATCAAAGGATGCTGCTGATCAATACATTGACTACAGAAGTTTAAAAATGCTATCTGTTTGAGTCTAGTGAAAATAATTGCATTAGTAAATACCTATGGCTTTCTCCTTTTACCCCAAATCTTGATTTCATTTTCAGGTGATTTGGATGTATATCACTTCTGGTATCTGTAACTAACATCCCTAAATTTACGCTGCCGTAAAAAAAAAATATTGCGGTCTCTGGCTTGCTGTGCATGCATCGTCTAGTAAGATGCAAGTCATCACAAAACACAACATGGGAGAAGCCACAAATTGCATTAACATTTGCATTTGCAAAAGCTACAGCCTTAAATACTATAATTTTAGAGGATGTTATTAGCTTTGTATTAGCTATTATCCTACTTTCGCTCCTAGGTCATCTACCTGGTAAAAAAGTATAATCTACTATTAGATTAAATGAGACAAGGAATTTCACACAAATAGGCTAAAACAAAAGATATTCATGAAATCAGAAGAGCTTCAGGGTATACTATAGGGAGCCAAGATTGCAAATTAGTTAAGGATCTTTGGACTTAACTGTGAAATCATTCTTCTAAATCAGGCATAGGCAAACTCGGCCTTCCAGATGTTTTGGGACTACAACTCCCATCATCCCTAGCTAACAGGATCAGTGGTCAGGGATGATGGCAGTTGTAGTCCCAAAACATCTGGAGGGCCAAGTTTGCCTATGCCTCTTCTAAATACAGTGGTACCTCGCAAGACGAATGCCTCGCAAGACAAAAAACTCGCTAGACGAAAGGGTTTTTTGTTTTTTGAGCTGCTTTGCAAGACGATTTTCCCTATGGGCTTGCTTCGCAAGACGGAAACGTCTTGCAAGTTTGTTTCCTTTTTCTTAACACCGTTAATACAGTTGCGACTTGACTTCGAGGAGCCACTCAGAGAACGCGGTGTGGTAGCCTTTTTGGAGGTTTTTAAAGACTTTGGTGATTTTTGAAGCTTTTTCAAAACTTTCCCGACACTGTGCTTCGCAAGACGAAAAAAATCGCAAGACGACAAAACTCGCGGAACGAATTAATTTCGTCTTGCGGGGCACCACTGTATATCTAAAGATGACCTCAGGTGGGACTAGAGTTCCACCTAGTGGTTGAAGTCAGGAAGTGCTGTTCATTTGCAGAAGCTTCTGGGTATCAATTGAACCATATGGCCGGTTCTTTTATGACAAGCCATACAGAGAACAGAACACAAGACCAGTGGCAATAAGGCAAAAGACATACACCACTGCTCCTGGCTCCTCTTTCCTCCAACCCAGTGGGAGAGATGGGCATCAGATGGGAACGCTGAAATCTCCTGAGGCACATTCATGATCCCAAACCATCCTCAAGCTGGGAGGCGCAGGGGTCATTTGCATCTACATTAACCATAGAGGCCAAAATACAGCCTTCTGGTTTGGCAAGAGAGCTGTGTGCATCATTTAAGGAAGCACAGGTAATTTTCCCTCTGCTTTTCCCTAATTGCTGCAAAACACTTTGCTTGGAGCTAAACAAGAAGTCTGGGGCACGACAGGTCTGCTGGAGACAGAGAAGGAAGAATGACTGGGGGCACAATCTTCACAAAGGAAAGGGCTTCTGTGGAGCAGGAAAAAGATGAAAATGGACACAGGTGACAAGGGCTCTTTTATTATTACCACTTAAAGGCAAAAGGTAGGAATGGGAAAACGGGGAGACCTCAGGAACTAGCCTAGGGAATGGACAGACAAACTGATATGAGAGAGAGAGAGAGTTTACTGGAAAATAGGCATCTAGATGGGCTCCATGGAAAACATACACACAAACCAAGAAGGGAACAAAAATACACCTAAATTGAAGGAAGGAAGGAGGAAGTGTGCACTCAACAACCACTCAAGGTGAAACCAGAAACAGAACCGGTCCCAGAGTGAATTGAGATCCAGGAGCTTCTGCAAATGAACAGCAATTTCTGCCTTCAATCACTAGGTGGACCTCAGGTCTCACCTGAGGCCATCTTACATTCGGTTGTTTTTCAATATTAATGAGTTGCCTTCTAGCTGAAACATAAATCTATTTCCCTACTAAGGATAGAAGCAATTAGATCTGCACGTTCACAGCTTGTGGTCTCCTTCATTCAACATGACTGACTGATCTGCAGCAATGCAACGGTACAATTGTGTAGACTGACGTTGGCATACAAAGTTTGAGCAACGTTGGGCAGGGCAGCTCACCAACTTGGGAGACCTCAGATCAGGGATGGAGAACCTGAGAACCTCCAATATTGTTGAGTTCCAGCTCCCATCAGCCCAGACAATATGGTCAGCTGTGAGGGGTGATGGGACACCAGCACCATCTGGAGGGCCCCAGGTTCCTCACTCACCCTTGCCTTCGATTATGAATTACAAAGTACCGTATTTTTCGCTCTATAGGACGCACTTTTCCCCCTCCAAAAATTAAGCGTAAATGTGTGTGCGTCCTATAGAGCGAATGCAGGCTGCACGGCTAAGCCTAAAGCCAGAACAGGAAGACGGAGCGCTGTGCAGCGCTCCGTCTCGCTGTGCAGCGCTCCGTCTCGCTGTTCTAGCTTGGGGTTAGCTGCGCAAAGCCTCCGCAGGGCAGCGGGGTAAAGGCACCCCGCTGCTCTGCGGAGGCTTCAAAGGCTGCGCTCCGGGGGCTTCAGGCAGCTATCCGCAAGCCTTCGGAGCACAGCAGGAGTTCCCGCTGCGCTCGGAAGGCTTGCGGATAGCAGCTTGAAGCCTGGAGAGCGAGAGGGGTCGGTGCACACCGATCCCTCTTGCTCTCCAGGCTTCGCTTCGCTGGAGAGGCGCTGCACAGCTTTCCCTCTCTGCGCAGCACCCCTTCAGCGAAGCAGGAGGAGAAATGGAAGGGGCTCCGTTTCTCCTGCCACTTCGCTGAAGGGGCCCTGAGCAGAGAGGGGGAGATTTTTTTTCACCTGTTCTCCCCTCCTATGGTCTGGTGCGTCCTATAGAGTGAAAAATACAATAAATGAGGACATGCCATGGAAGAGTTGGGTGGGGAAAGTCAGTATGAAGAGAGAGGGCTACTTCTGGAAAAGAACCCAGCACAGGTCTTTTAGCCTGGGGAGTATTTTCACTTTCCAACAGCCTTGCCTCTGCACTTTGGTGAATAGCTGGGGTGGGGTGCTCAAACAAACCAAGGTTACTCCAGGATCTTAGGTTTGGGTGTAATGACAAACCATGGTACCAAGCCACAATTCATAAGCCAAGCAATCACGAGTTCAAATGGTGGCTTGTTAAAATGTAAACCATGGTTACTTGCTCAGAGCAGGTTCAAATGTTTAGGCAAATCATACTCAGGTTAAGCAAACCATGGTTTAGCATCACATGCAAACACAGCCAGTTTGTTAATAAGATGTGTCTTTATATAACACACATGCTTTCAGCAATGAGGTACTTCTTTCGTAAGTGTATACAGCCAGTCACAAATGTCAGCAATGAAGAGGGTTACTGGAGATAAAAAGACATACCCCAAGAGGTCGAGGATGGTGTCCGGAATAGTGACAGTCTAACTTCTCAGATTCTTCGGATCCCTCCACTTCGCCCTCGTCACTAGATAATCTGCTAGGCAGATCTCCTCCCATAGAAGGCAGAGGCAGTTCTGGAGCGTAACCACCATGGTTTGAAGAACTAGTGCTATTTATGCTGTTTGCAGAGGAAGGCCTAAGAGGGTAAAATGACCAACACAAAGTTCAAACTCCACAGCTACCTTCCTAGCTAAAAGGAAACTTGCAGTAGGATACCGCAACACATACTTACTCCAGAGTAAATGTCACCATGCTCAATAAAACTTATTACATCCTAAGCATGTTTACGATGGAAGCCTTAGACACCTAACTCACAACTTACACACATTTATCTTGTGTGCATTCAGCTTTAGACACTTTGCAAAACAAAAACAAAAACGGGGGCTGGGCTTACAGGAAAAAAGACGTTGGCAATCCCACCCACCACTGAACCCAATGTGTTTTGACTATACACAATTTGGCTTTCTGCGCTGTCTCCTGAACATAACCCCCACTAAGTTGAGAGTCACCTGTACTACAAACACATTAAGTAAGCAGTAAGTCCTGCCATCCTAGCAGTTCGAAAGCACCTCAAAGTGCAAGTAGATAAATAGGTACCGCTCCGGCGGGAAGGTAAACGGCGTTCCTGTGCGTTGCTCTGGTTTGCCAGAAGCGGCTTATTCATGATGGCCACATGACCCGGAAAAACTGTCTGCAGACAAACATCGGCTCCCTCGGCCAGTAAAGCGAGATGAGCACCGCAACCCCAGAGTCGTAGGCGACTGGACCTAATGGTCAGGGGTCCCTTTACCTTTACCTAAGTCCCTCTGAATTCTTTGTTCCTGACTTCTGAATAAATGTGCATAGGATTGAGCTGTGTGTGTGTTTCAATAAACTATGCACATAAAAACCTTTTACAAAAATCCATCTTTATATGGTTCAAAATGCCATTAGTACTGAAACATTAAATGCATTACTGCTAGACAGAAAGTCTGGATCGGAAAATAGACATTTCCTACAGAAAAGGAGAAGATACAAAATGCTGCACCATTCAATGCCCCCACTACACAGAAAGCACAGAAGCTTTTGAAGTATAGTAGATTTACTACAACATTTATATCAGAAATTTAGAAAGGCTTGAAATCTGCAGGGACTTTTATCAGGAACTGAATTGCAGAATTCTGAATGAAACCTGATCATTTCCTACTTCATTAAAAAGGTGCAACTTTCAAGCCCTGATTGTGGAAAGTTGGAAAACAAGTTCCTGGTTTTTGCTAGAGTCTGAATAGAGACTATCCCCCAGTCTCTGAAATTTTGCACTGCTCATGAGGGATACACACACACACACACACACACACACAAATAAATATGATTTCCATAATTTATCCACGGCACTGAATTTGAGCTTGCTCATATCATAATTTGGCATTTCCCTGGGCCCACTACTTCCTGTGGAAATACTCACTGAATGCCAGAATTCTGCGCCTACTTACCTAGGAAATGCTGAATTGGGCAGTCTTGATTTTGCAGGCGACGTTCCTTTGGGTTCTTGCCCAGAGTTCACTGATGTTCCCGACAGAGCGTCTTGGACTAGCACAGGCTGGGGCTGATGAGTTTCCCTTATACATTGCGGATGCTCCTTGTCTTTTGCTACTTCTTTTTCCCGCGATCGAGCTTTGTGTTCAGCTAAGAGAATGTCAAACTGTTTTTTACGGCCTGGAACTGCTCGCCGGTGATTAAGTGAATGAGTCTAAAAAATAGGGTAGTTGAAAATTTTGGGGGGTGTAAATATAAAAATCAATTAAAATATTAATCTAGGAGATAGCTAGAAATATTTGACTGATCATTGATTTTATGACAAGACGAAACAGTTCTTCTATACAGGTTAGTTCACCTGTCCTTGGAGGCACATACAATTTAATGAAACATTATTTTGGTGATAAGAAAACTTTCCATGAAAACACTCTACACATTAGTAGCATTGTGGTTTTAAAAAATGGGGGTGTGAATATAAAAACAGAATATATTAATCCAGGAAATAGCATAAGTTCCATGATGTTATTGTGTAAATTAATTGCAAACCAGACCTGGAAATTGCATTCTCTGTACCTTCAACATAAATGTTCAATAGCTTTTCATCTACAAGTTTATTTATTATTTATGTCATAAAATTTATACACCAGTTTTAAAAAAATCCTCAAAGCAGTTTACAAAGAGAATAAAACCAAACCAAAAAAATAAGAACAGCTCTTTAATTCATTCAAAACAAAGTTGCAGGAATATTTTCCTTTCGTTTTTAAATTAATGGGTAAAAAACTGGTGTTCCTGTCTTTAGAAAAGGCAATATATCCTAAAGACAAGGGTGCTCAGTTTGGGTGGAGAGAGTCAATCAGTCAAAAATATGACCTCAATTTTCTTTACTCTGAAAAGGGAGCTGCAATGCTGAAGTTACTCAACTGCACCCTGACTTTTCCACATTTCTTAAAAGGGAAGGCAAATATTACTATTCTCCCCTACCCCTTTGTAATCTGTTAAATTATGGCCTTAAAAGGATTTTCCTTAGCTAAGGGAGTAAGTTGTCATATATGACAAACAGCTCAGGTACGTCTGTGTGCTTCAACCCTTTAATTGGAAACCACCAAATGGGATATTCCTGGTCAGATAACGTTGGTCTGGGCTTTGGAGGCCTGAGTTTGGGAGCTCCTGCGATGAGACAAGCTCCTTTCTGCCCTCCCCAGGACTGAGAAGAGACAGGGAAATGCTTACTCTACTTAAAGGGATTTTTGTTTGGTTCCTCTTGCTGTCCCTCCTTGCACTCCAATGCCTGAAACCTGCCATTAAATGCCTTGTCAGCCTCCCTTACTCCTCCAGCCATCAACACTTCATCCAGCAAACACCTGTGTCTTCAAAGCATCAAGTGCTTAACCCCTATGCATTAGCTACGAAAAGAAAAAAAGATAAAGCCTATCCATAAATGAGGACTGCACTACTGCATAACTATTGTTTTCATTCATTCATTCATTCATTCATTTTTGGCAATGAATAACCACGGTGCACAAATCACCCTATTGATTTAATATGGGGTTGCTCTTGGCTATTTAAAAATACACGACGTATCAGAATGACCTTTATACGTTAGTAAAAATGTCAGTCACGGCAAAGCATTATATATATTTAAATTAACAAGAAAACTACCTTGCAGGTGAGTGATCTTGTGCAGGGTTTCTTTGTCTCAGGATCCAATACTCCACAATGTTTATTTGGGTCAAACTCTCTTTCTGTTTGAAAATAATAATTATAATAAAGTGAGAAGATTTTCTCCCTTTTTTTAAAATAAAAAAACCTTAACATGTTTAAAGTGACATGAAACAAAAACTAAATACACTTTAATGGTGCAGATGAGAATAAATATATAAAGATATTGTACTTTTCCTTAACACATTCTGATTTTTAGCATACCTACATCAAGGTATGATGCTTGCAGACAACAGATTCACAGACACACAAGTTCATTCTCACACAGAAACTTAGCAAGACTCCTATCTAGTTAGTAACAAAGCTAATTTCTCTGTTCTGCTCTGCTTCTTGAACTGAAGCTTGAAAACGACCCCACCAGCATCACCTACCCCTTAACAGCAGAGCATTTAATGTAGCAAAGGGAACGGCTGGTGCAGGCCTGCTTCCCATGCTGTTCTTGTGTAATGGATGGATTTATTAGTACTTCACTAAGCTCAATATGAAATGTAATGAAAGACCTGGAGGGAGGGAGAATGATGGAGATTACAGGCTTCTTTCCATGGGCGTAGGTGTGCAGAAGAACTCGCATACCTGTTAGAAGGCATGTGGAACTATTCTTTTCCTTCCCTCCATTTCCTGTTGCTTGGACAACACGAGCTGCTTGTCCCAACTGCTCTATCAGAAAAGTTATGGGCTACTCATACTCTTAGGATCAAAGCAATGGCCAATCATCGTGTTTTGGTTACAGATCAGGGCTGACAACACAAAGCCCACAGGCCACGATCTGGCCTGCTAAGGGTTTTCGATCAGCTCACATGCAGTAGCTTACCTGTTCACTCTTCCATCCAGGCAAAAAGTTTTACAGAGCCAGGGGGTGCCATGCTGTGTGCATGGCCCTGGCACCAAAATTTGTGGGTGCCCGGCTCCTTCATGGAGACTTTTGTCAGTGCCCTAGGGCCCCAGGCAGTTGGCACCTATGGCTCACATCATCACTGCCTGTACTGGTCAATGGGAGTTGAAGAAAATTAGCATTAGGTAGAGCCATGGGCTCCCCACTTAAGGTCAAGGATTGGACCCAATCTGCATGCACAAAGGCATCATCAAACATGAAAAAGTGTTTCACTAATACAAAACAGTGTTTAGATCCTGCCATTTAAACAAAGCACAACACTAAATTTAAGTATGTGCCTTTCAAGGTATGTCATTCAAAAACAGAACAGACATGCCCCTTTCTCAATCTGCAAAGGCCAGAGAATTCTGGATCTCTGATCAAAGCGTGAGTGGTGAAATTAATGGGATCAGAAGACTTTCCCACAATAAAATGTGTCATTTTTACTATTACGTAACAGAGCCAAGAATGTGATAAGAATTCTCAGGATGGTTCAGAGGATCATTTTCTACCAATTTCTTGCCACTTGCAACTTTTGGCAGACTGCATGTTAAAGGTCCAGCATTAGCTCTTACGAATGGTTGCAAACACTCCTGAATATGGCATAATTATGCACTAATTACAAAGATCTTTCTTGTGTTTATTTTGTTCTATTTCTCCACCAAGGTGTTTTGTTTTTTTGTTTGTTTCGTTTTTAATGTCAGGAGAAAAGCATACATGATAGCTTGCTCATTTGGATGCAATTGCAAGCTATGGTTTGCCCAAAACTGAAGTCAGTGAGGGAACTGGAGTGCATGAGGGACAAGGGAACATGCAAGCCCAAGACTTGCTCATGTAATGCCAGATCACAGTTTGGTATTACATGTTTAACAGGTCATTTAATTGTGCTCCCTTACTAACTGTGGTAAACATACGTTCCCAACTTTGCTTTCTGACATTCTTTAAAATATTGTTCTGCCCTTAATCTTGTCTCGGTTACACATACCCAACTCCTTCAGCCTTTCCTTATATGACTTGCCTGCTGGACCTTCTGTCACCCTCATCACAGAATCCTCTGAACTTTTCCTCTTTGTTGACAATGTTCTTTCATTGTGGCACCTAGTGCAGAACACCATACTCCAATTGGGGACCAGCCAATGCTGAGAAAGAGGATACTATTCATTTACTCCGTATAGCATACCACTCACAGCCTTTACTATCAAACCAACATTGCCTCTTCACTATCATCCCTGGGCAGAGGATATTGTAAAGTGTACTTAAACTGAGAGAACATGGAGAGGTATTCTCAGATGAGTGTTCCACAACTGGGGAACTCCTCCTGTCGACCTATTAAACTTTGAGTCTGTAAGATACCCGTTTCAAGTAACCTACAGCTATACTTCAACTGGTGGGTCAGGACCCACAACTAAGTCAGACTAAGAGAAGGTAACGCTCACTGTTGGCACTAACATCCAAACACATGCATGGTAAAAAATTAAGAAGAGACCCCCCTAATCATGAATGAGTGCCAGATCTGTGAAGACTGAACAGTACTGTGCAACACATAATAAAGTCTAGGAGGACAGGGAGCTGCTATTATTAGACTAATGCTATGGTGGAAAGTTCGTCTCTTCTTAGAACATCTATATAACTATGCTAATACGAATGTGTACATTCAAATACTATCAGACCAATTACTGTTTAGTATTCCTAAGGTATTAATAAAACATGCCAAATAACCATTAATGATCAAATACAATCTTTCAATGTTCTTTTATTTCACAGGCCTGCTAAAAGTCAATTCTTTGAGAAAAATAAAACTTCCCGGAAAGCTTTTCACTCATTTCATAGAAGCATCACATTGCTGGATGACAAGGGCACACAGTCTTGAGCCAAATACACCTGATGCTGCCTTTGAACTAAACCACTAAAATGAGATAATGAAAACTATACATATACGAAGTAATCTGAATTGTCTGCTAAAAAGACAGCATCCATATTTGTGCATTTCCCATTTATGTGCTCTCTCATTAGGGAGTTATCAGTTGGGCTTGTCCAATTGCAAAAAGACACTGCAGCTTTGAAGCAACATGCACAAAGCAGCTGGATAATCAAAGGGGGCGAGTGGATAATTTCCTTCGTACAAGAGCTAGTATTTCAGCACACACAAATTTCTCCAAAATTGTAGTTTCCCTCCTTTAATGTTAAGCGCTAATACTTTACTCAGGCATTGCATACATTTCTCCCCCAACATTTGAACAAAGATGACTTGATTGTTCAGCTTTGCTTTCTCACCTCAAATGTTTCTTAATTATCATTTATTTTTCTTGCTCACATAACTCTCAATTCTAGACTTGCTTCACTGTAAGATTCTATTTTTTGGTCCTCCTATTTCTGACCTTTGTCCTACTCTCAGTTCCTTTCTTCACTTGAATTGCTCTGAATATTCTCCCTTTTCCTCTTGTTTCGATTTACCACTAACTTTCTTGCTTTCAAGCATCTTCGTACCTTTGGACCGCTACACCTTTCCTATTTCTCCATCTTCCACCACATTCTCCACTCTCCCATTAACCTTCCTTCTTCAATCTATCCCTTTCCTCCGGAGGCCCACTTTATGTTCCTTCCCTTTAAGAAAAGCAACCCGTTGAAAATAATCATTTCCTAAGCGTCCCATGGTTACTCCTCCTTTCCCATCCTCTATTCCTTTCTCTTGTTCTATTCCTTATCTTGCAAGTCTATCATGGCTACGAGCCCAGAGCCAATGATTATCTTTACTTTTCAAATTTTATGCATTGTCCAGATTTTAAGCGCTGAAAACAAACAAAACACCTTTTTAAAAAATCAGGTTCTTTCCTATATCATGGTCCAAATAGAATTGTACAAGCAACATCCCTGCATTAGAAGGCGTTCTGGTCATCTTCAGTACACATGAAATGATCTTTACTCCTTTAAGCTTTTAGGAGTACAGTAATAAGTCAACAGTTAGTAGTTTATACAGTGCATGACTGCCAGTTGAAATGCAATGAGCAAAGCTATGTGTCATTACAGCAATGCTTTGTTCCAACAAAGGCATGAATATTCACATGAAGGGAATGCTGACCGATGAGACAAGTAAAGGACACCTACCTTTAACCAAGAGAGAGGAAGTACTATGTGCAAATCAATTGCTTTTTTTTGCTTGTTCAAATTTGGGAACACGGGGTTAGTTCCAGAGGTTCCCACCTTCCACTGGGGCAAGGAAATATTCAGATCCAAATCCATTTTATTTAAATACCGCTGAAGGGAAGCGCAGCCAACAACCTCCTTTATGAGATAATCCTGTTTGATTTTTACAGAATTTGTTCCTTAGTTCTCCTACGTTATATTGCGTTTTGCAAAATTAAGAAATAATGCCAGAACACCAATATAAAGTGTGAGGCAAGTTGTGCTTCGGTATTGACGCATAAACAGATTTGACATGTGGGCCGAGATCACCATTATGTAAAATAATAGCTACGGCATATAATAAATAGCAACAAACGCTACTAACGAAGAATGATGGGATCTCATCAAGTCATGCTACAATGCTACTTACCTGAAACTCTCTTGTAAGACTTGTTACTGTTTTTAGTGCCGTTTTGGTGTTTCTTGTCTATTGATGGAGCTATGACGCCTTTGCCATTCAAAATCTTTTCTGGCGATGGTGGCACCAATTTACATGTCAAAGCAGATTTAATTGGAGCGGATGTGGTAGATGAAGAGGCCGAGGAGGTGGAGCTGGTGGTAGTGGTTGCAGAGTTCATTTTAACATTGGCACCATCTGCCTTCACTAGGTTAGGAATTTTCTCTAGACTGACTACGGGAACAGGAACACTGAAATACCAAAGAAAAAGTCTTCAAGATGTGTTTTCTGACCATGCGACATATAGTCTCTCAACTTCCTTCCATGCTTGGTTTCACATTACAGCCACTAACCCTGGAATTAACCTAAAACCGGCACATTTAGTTATACTGTTTATTAACATGTGCGCACACTATTTTCTTAAAGGCCAGTTCTAAACACAAAAATATAAGTGGTGGGATATGTATGTATTTTTAAAAACCTATGCGTACTTGTTTTTAAAATTGTTTTCTCTTTGATTATTATTATGCCTACTCTTGAAATAGTGTAAATTTATAAGGCTTACTGGCTGTATGGTGCAGGCCTCTATCACAGAGAATAAAGGTAAAGGTAAAGGGACCCCGACCATTAGGTCTAGTCGTAACCAACTCTGGGGTTGCGGCGCTCATCTCGCTTTATTGGCCGAGGGAGCCGGTGTACAGCTTCCGGGTCATGTGGCCAGCATGACTAAGCTGCTTCTGGTAAACCAGAGCACGCACGGAAACGCCGTTTACCTTCCCGCCGGAGCGGTACCTATTTATCTACTTGCACTTTGACGTGCTTTCGAACTGCTAGGTTGGCAGGAGCAGGGACCGAGCAATGGGAGCTCACCCGATTCGAACTGCTGACCTTCTGATCGGCAAGTCCTAGGCTTTGTGGTTTAACCCACAGCGCCACCCACGTCCCATCACAGGGAATAAAAGGAGTCAAAAGAATATTAACATTTTCAAATTTATCATCCAAACTAAAGTGTTTGATAGACAGAAGAGAAGTCTTAAAAGATTTTAATGGCATGCTTTTAAATATTGTCACAGCATTTAATAAATCTAACGGACCCTGAAACAGAGGAGCAGAACGGAACCCCTATGCGAAATGATCGCCATCTGTATTTCAGTTCCAAACTACTGCAAAATGTGGCACAAATTCAGACTCTCAGAATTGTAAGTCCCATGACTACAGAGACCTTTACTCTGTAGAAGACTATGTACACTGATTGTGTAATATTAACAGTGCTTCATTAATAAAAAAACAGTTTCCAGACACTGTGATGACAAATACATATTTTGAAGTGGAACTGGCAGAAGTATACAAAGCAAGCAAGAAGGATCATTGCACTCAGCTTTAAGTTCTCCCGGCTCCATTAAAGTCTTGTTGCTTTATGATATTATTACCATACTTAATTTCACTTTGTGATCTCAGTCAAACTTAGAAGCAGTTTTCACACACAAGACTAAAAACACATTCAGCTAATGTTGTTGATACAGGAGAAAAAAGAAAAGAGGAAACTGGCATTTTTAAAGATCTTCATTGGAGGCCATTCTTTGGGTGCCCCAGCCTTTACTGGTTAGGCCAGAAACCTCCTGCCCAGCCAATGGAAAACCATGGCAATAGACACTGGCATTGTGAATTATCTGTGTTGATTTCAGTGCCAAATTAAAACTAACTTATTTTGAAGACTTTATAACCAAGGTTTCTAGAAGGCTTTTCTGTTTTATAGTTATCTTGCTGGTATTTTACTTATTATTATTATTATTATTTAATGTATTTTATTTAGAGATGTGATTTAAGTACACTTATGTTAACCGCCTTGCACACTGCCCAGTGAAAAGGGAAAATACACTGAAACAGACACAAACATTTAAAAACCCAGTGTACAGTTTAACCAATACAGATTTTACATCCACGTATGAGATTTGGTAAATGTGCCGTAAGTCAAAATAGCCTGCATCATTAGGACATTGAGAAGATCTTTGACTGCCAAAAATATTTCACAATCAAAATTCTGGCCAGTACCTTTTGTAAAATTTCACATTAAAGTTAGGTTGTTGTAAGAAATGTTTAACCTGGTTGCTTTAAGAATTTGAAAAGGGCATTCAATTTTTCCCCTTTTAAAATACCAATTCCTTTTTTGTTGTTGTTATTCTTGTTTTCAGTACTTCAGAAGTATAAATACAGAGATAGAGATGTAGTCATAGGCAGAACGATAGCTCCATGCCTCTCTTGTCTCATGCATCCATATGCTCTCCTTTGCCTTCAACCCATATTATCTTTCTCCATTTCACGATACGCTATTCTTTCATTCATGGAAGATTTTCTACGTTCAGCATCTGTCCTGTGTTTACCAGTTTTTAAATTTCTCTACAGTTGGAAATGAGGGCTGTTGCTCCTTTAGTCACATGATGAGAGAATATTCACTGTGTTCCAATCTGTGCAGAATTTTAAAGGAGCCCAACACAGACTTAGCAGAAGTGCTGTCTGGCTATCACTGCATATGAGGCCCTATTCTATCATATCAACATGGTTAAACCAGCTCTGGCTGTGTTTTAGCATCTGTTGTTGGGCGCTGGAATTTAATTATAATGGAGTTATTTTCACAGCTAACTTGCATCAGCAAAGTATATCTCTACAATAAACATGATGGCATATACTTCCTGGGTAAGTGAATCATTCAGAACTTTATTTTGCACAAGGGACAATGACTGAGTTTTGAAACTGGGCAACTTGCAAGAAGATGGGTCAAAGCCACAACTGATTCCATGAAGCAGGTCCTATCCCTTAAAAAAACCTCGTAAAACTGCAATCCAGTAAAGGGGGACAAAGAAGCCAGACATTAGGATGAGTAGAGGTAGCCTAGTGATAAAGCTGTAGTTGAGAACATATGGGATTGGTGAAAAGACACCCTAGCCAACCGGAATACAAGTTGGGATAGCTCAGTTGGTAGAGCACGAGATTCTTAATTCCAGCGTTGTGGGTTCGAGCCGCACACTGGGCAAAATATTCCTGCACTGCAGAGGATTGGTCTTTTGGTCCCTTCCAACTCTACAATTCTATGATTCTAAGTGCTGCTTTTCAGTAGATGCTGGACAGAGGCTTGAAAAATTAATCTGGATCAACCTCTCAGTAGAAACAGGACTGTTTTCTCTGCTTTAAAATGGGTTTGAGTCTGTGGTTGCTACCTTTTGCCTATAAACGACAACTTTGGAATGGATATTGCCTGTTACCTATTGAGAATTCATACTCTTGACGTTATAATCCAAGAACAAAAAGTAGCAGACATTCCCCCAGGTATATAAAATAACTACTGGGATTAACTAATATTTCATCAGCTTTTTGCTGCCGCCATGTTGTCATGGAGTGGGGTTCAGCCATTTTGATGTGATTCCTCCTATCCCCTCCTCAGGAAATGTCTTTTCCAAAGGAAGTCTGAATTCCTTATTAACTTGCAAAATCACAACCTCTTATTGGGTCATATACAACTAACTTTTACTTGGAGTAGACCCACAGAATTTAATGGACCCAAGTTTGGTCTCACCGAATGTGGTCCAAAGGAAAGTCTCACATTGGAAACAGCACAATGGCAGCCGAGAAAATCAGTAACGTCCCTTTCTAATATTATGTCATTTTTAATTAAGAGCAAATGAACTAGCATACCCTCCAACATTTCTCCGATGAAAATAGGGATGCCCCATTCCATAATGATAATTTTACTATTTATACCCCACACATCTTACTGAGTTGCCCCAATCGCTCTGGGCAGCTTCCAACATATATAAAAACATAATAAAACATTAAGCATTTAAAAAAAAACTTCCCTATACAGGATTGCCTTCAGATGGCTTGGGGGTTGGATAACTCCATACCCTCCAACATTTCTCCAATGAAAATAGGGATGTCCTAAGGAAAAGCGGGACATTCTGGGATCCAATCAGAAATCGGGATGGCTTCTGTAAATCAGGGACGTCCCTGGAAAACAGGGACACTTGGAAGGTCTGAACTAGTGCATATCCAATCTAATTCTCACAGATAAAGGAATCGTCCTTTCTACTCTATATGCTACAATTACGATGCGTTCAACTTTTGTCCCTTAGGAAAGAAAACTGTTCAGTAATGGGCCTTGTCAAATATTAAAAACTGCAATAAAGATACAAGAGCCCATATCCTATCACACAAAGGCCTGAGGTTGCTCTTCTTCAGATGTTTCCAGGACAGAAATATCAAATGCAATATTGACAAATTATTATTTTTTCTAGAGAAAGCCAGAGCAAGATATGGCAATATGATGCCCTAGGTTTAGAGGCTGTTCTAGATTATAAATTAAGGGAGGGTCTATATACTGAAGACTGCCACAGGAATCCAGGACAAAGGAGACATGATGAAAAGGGTCACCACAGCTGTAAAAAATGATATAGTATATCTGACTTCCTCGCTGAAGTCCTAGTTTTCCAGATCTCAGGAAGTGCAGGCCCTGTTAGAGATCCTGACAGTCATTTAGCAATGCCTAAGGTTTGTTTTGCAAGGGAGACTTCCTTCTGTACATGTGCAGAGACACTAGTATTCAAGCATGTTTTAACTCTTTTGGCGTAAAGTGCTATTAAAAAGCAGCCCCAAAGGGCTGAAAAAACAGGTCCTCATTCAAAAAAGGTAAAGGTAAAGGGACCCCTGACCATTAGGTCCAGTCGTGACCGACTCTGGGGTTGCGGCGCTCATCTCGCTTTACTGGCCGAGGGAGCCGGCGTACAGCTTCTGGGTCATGTGGCCAGCATGACTAAGCCGCTTCTGGCAAACCAAAGCAGCGCACGGAAACACCGTTTACCTTCCTGCTGGAGCAGTACCTATTTATCTACTTGCACTTTGACGTGCTTTCGAACTGCTAGGTGGGCAGGAGCAGGGATATGGTTCTACTAAAACAGGCTTACCGAATCAGTTTTATTTATGCTTATCATTATTATAGCTTTTAAAAAGACATTTGATGGTTCTTATAAGCAATATTTAACGCCAACAGGATAAATAAAATCTATAATATTAATTTGGGGTATTGGAATGTTGGGTAATCTCAATGCTGAGTTTATGTACTGCTGGTGGCAATGGTTTAAAATCAAATTGGCATGGGCAACTGTAATAAATAAGAGAATTTATGGGGGGTTTTGTATATTTTATACCACTGTATCTATTTCTTCTCTTTCTAGGGTATATGAAGGATCTCATGGATGAAGAGAGTGCTTTTGAAAAAAAGAGTGGTAGAATAGATTCCCCAAAACAGACAAACATACAAATATTTGTATTCCACCTTTCCACAGTTCAAACCATGCTCAAGGTGGCTGACAACATGAAAAAATGCATGCAGTTCTTTAGGTAAAGGTAAAGGTACCCCTGCCCATACGGGCCAGTCGTGTCCGACTCTAGGGTTGCGTGCTCATCTCGCTCTAGAGGCCGTGAGCCGGCGCCGTCCGAAGACACTCCCGGGTCATGTGGCCAGCGTGACAAAGCTGCAGCTGGCGAGCCAGCACCAGCACAGCGCACGGAAACACCGTTTACCTTCCTGCTGGAGCAGTACCTATTTATCTACTTGCACTTTGACGTGCTTTCGAACTGCTAGGTGGGCAGGAGCAGGGACCGAGCAACGGGAGCTCACCCCGTCGCGGGGATTCAAACCGCTGACCTTCTGATCGGCAAGTCCTAGGCTCTGTGGTTTTTGAAGATGACGTTCTGTCGCATGCATGGAAGTCTGTTGCAGCAGCAGGGCTGCAGGGCTGATTACAGTCCAGAATGACAGCACAAATATAACAATAAACGAAATTATTGACAGTTTGATGCCTTTTACTGGTACCCAGAAATCTACTGTATCTGCTTAAGAGCTGGTTGGGCCTGCCACTAAACAAACATTTCCTATTAATGCCAATGGGGCTGCAACATGAAATGACTGGGGCGGGTTTTTTAGGTGTGCACATATGCATGTGTACACACACACATACCACAGGGCATAAATGGAAGTTTCCAGCTCTTGCGCCACGAATGAATTTCCGTATGTAAATAATTCACAAGGAATTAGTCAAATAGAACACCACAGGCAATTGGGCAATTGGGCAGATACAACACACAAATCATGCAGTAACAGTATTATTCTTATATACAGCTATTGTCTGGGATCCAAGTACCAAATGGGGAATTCTATACTTCCAGCTGTGCTCCTGGAGCTCCTCCTACCAAGAGCAACACCCAGAATTAAGGGGAAATTTTGGAGCACACAGCACAAGGAACTAAGGAGAGGCAGGAAAGTAGTGGGTGTGCACCTGCAGTATTGGCACTGAGGTACCTGCTTAAAACTCACCTGTTCACTCAGACTTCCTTTGAGGGACAATTCAACTATGTTGATAAATTCATTTGAGCTACTAATTTGCGCTGTCTTTGTTTTGTGGATATAATCTGATTGTTTATTTTATGTCATTTTGTGGTACACCACAAAAACAATATGCCCATCTTCTATTTAAGACACACACACACACACACACACACACACACACACTACTCCAACGCTAGAAGAGATCCATTATTCAGCCACATATTAAATTTCCTTGCCTGTTTTATAATAAATATTAAGAAGAAAAAGGAGAAGGGAAAAAACCCAAAAGTTTTCCAGAACAGCAACTTACCAAGGTTTATCCCTTGATACTTTCGAAGAAAAGACCATGTGCTGTTTGCTAGTGGAGGTAATTAGATTGTCTTTGGGCGTTTTGAATGGCTTTGAGTTGTTACTGACAGGGTTATGGCCGCTGATACAGGATCTCGGTTTCATCTGTATAAATGATGCCCTGGAATTGCAGGGTGGAGAAGCTGGAGATGGGGAAGGCTTACACATTGAACCGTGTCTTCGTTCTAAAGCAGGGAGGGGAAAACCCAGAGAGAATGAATAGGCAAGACAATGGCAGCTACGTAAGAAAAAAGAAAGAAACCCAAGCAGTATAGAAACCACAAGCCCAAAGCATCCTGAATAAAACTGATTTGCTATTCAAACATTATTTATACTATAATATATATTATAATATACAGATGGCCAAAATAGTAATGGAGTACAGTGCCACACTGTGTGCTTGGTGAATCAATGCTAATGGCTATTGCTGAGCTAGCATTGAAATACAGTCCTTGGAAAAGCCAAATGGAAACCAGGTGGGACTCTTATGTCTGATGAGTAGGCTGGTTTGCAGGTATCTTCAGCCTAGATACAAGCTGTATGGATAATAAATAGAATTCTCCTTAACACTTCTTCACTCTGTGCTATTCAGCTTAACAGGGTGGCCGAATAATTACACAACAAAGGTACAGTTCCCTCACAAAAATAATTCCCAGCATTCCCCCCCCCCCCACGTCTTGTTTGTAGACTTGTAATTAAGAATAGAGAAATGTTGAGACTAGGGCAAATAATTTTAGACGTGGTGGCAATTACCATGATCTTAATGGCACATTTGTAAAATAAAAAGTGAATCACCAAGGAAATGGCTGCTGTACATATATGTCATCATGTGATCCCATGCTTGAGCAGCAGAAAATAAAAGTAACTGGCTCACAGATCAGTTACAAGCTTTGAAACAGCCCTAAACTTTTTGTCCTGACTTCCTGTGCCTGTTAGCAAACACAAAATGATGTACAGTGGTACCTCAGGTTACATACGCTTCAGGTTACATACGCTTCAGGTTACATACACTTCAGGTTACAGACTCTGCTAACCCAGAAATATTACCTCGGGTTAAGAACTTGGCTTCAGGATGAGAACAGAAATCGTGCTCCAGCGGCGTGGCGGCAGCAGGAGGCCCCATTAGCTAAAGTGGTGCTTCAGGTTAAGTACAGTTTCAGGTTAAGTACAGACCTCCGGAACGAATTAAGTACTTAACTTGAGGTACCACTGTACTATGATATGCAAAACTTCAAATTTCAGCCTTTTCATTTGCTCATGATTTGATCTGCAGTAACAGTTTGCACATACTCGTTCTCATTAGGGACCATTAATTACCACATTTCTAGGAAATGCCAGATCCTATCTTTGCAACAGGGAAGAAATTGAACTACGAACTGAATCTGAATGAACTGCCTAAGTGTTTATACTGATCAGTATTTAACTATTTATATTAACGGTCATAATCAATTAAAAACAAAAGGGCAAGAAAGACAACATTAATTCCTTCTTCAATCCTTCAGTAAAATTAAAGTGAGAAGCCCATGGACCTTAAAGGTCACATTCTGTCCAACCAATACAAGGGGAAAGACGCTCAATGTGTCAGAGTCAAGGGCCTCTCTTAAGAATGCCCTCTCTTCCATTCCTCAGCACATGCACATATCAAATGTCTAAGCTGATCTCTAAACTGGCTGTACAGTCTCATGCATGCAAAAGCCAATACCTCGTTATACATTTAATTCACATACCCCAATGTTAAAACTGTGTGGATTAGCTTTATGTCAATAGATTATGAAGTCGGATAATTGATCTTTAGTAGCAACATGATCTCAACTGCTCAAAAATGCCCAGTGCTTACTAGAGCTCTTAAAAAGAACACAAGCCAAGTATCACAAGTAACGCTGCAAACATTAGAAAAAAGAGTAAAGAAAATTGGAATGTGTGAAAAGAACAATGCCTAGAAGAATGAATATTTATGCCTTTACATTATCAAAATCTAGCATATCAGATCGTGTTTATTCATGCTACAGTCTTCAGCCAATAACTTGTGCATATGCCGGAATAAAGTTTTGTCATTCCTGTTTATTATCCAGGGTTGTTTATTTGTATTGAATTTTGAACTTTGTGATTACCCAAGTCACCATATGCTACAGTGGTCAGTTATTCAGAGAAAAACACAAAAAGGTGAGAGCCAAGAACTCCAAATTATTACTATGCTTTCGTATTTCCCCCCAGGCTTACAGATTAATTGCTGATTGGAGTGAAACAAATCATTATCATCTCAGGATAAAGAATCATATGAAAAGCCCTAGGAACAACAAATGCAAAAAGGCAGGAAGTGAAGTAAATTTCAGTTGCGCAGCCACAGGATGCTAAGTCAGCGGCAGAAGAGTAGAAATGAGTTACTAAAGAAAAATCGATAAAAGGAACTTGGTGGGCTAGGAATGCGACTATTTCAACCCCATTTCTGCTGATTAAAGCATTTTTCCTTACTGGACCAACCATAAAAGGACTGCTGAGCCCCTTTTTGGTGCTTTTTGAAAAAACTTTTCTTAGATATGCTTCCACTGCCAAAGCAATCAGGCCAGTGTCCCCCCACCCTATCAGATCATGTGTGGTTGATTAAATGTAGCGTCTTTATCGCCAACAACATTCTGTTGCAAATAATCATAGCTGCATCAGGGCAAAAGCTCTCCCATGCAATGGTGGTGGGCAGTAAAAACACCAGCATAATATGGCAGATCTGATAGTATCAGCCTTGCTGCCTAGTCAATGAGATAAGTTTCCTCTCTCCATTCACAGTTAGGATAATAAGAGAGCTTAGAATTCCTCCATTGATATTCTGTCTTTTTAAAACCCCCTGTATTTTTTTTAAAGCTCTCTATAAAATAGAAGACTTGGACTAGGCAGTGATATGATGTCATTATGTTCATTGCATGATCCTTGATTGGCATGGACTATGCCATGACTATCAGCATGGACTAACCCCTTCATGGATCACCGCCTTGCCGTGGCGAAGGGGCTTGAATAACTCAGAGAAGCTATGAGCTATGCCGTGCAGGGCCACCCAAGATGGACAGGTCATAGTGGAGAGTTTTGACCAAACGTGATCCACCTGGAGCAGGAACCGGCAAGCCACTCCAGTATCCCTGCCAAGAAAACTCCATGGACAATTGGTGCTGGAGGAGACTCTTGAGAGTCCCATGGACTGCAAGAAGATCAAACCTATCCATTCTTAAGGAAATCAGCCCTGAGTGCTCACTGGAAGGACAGATCGTGAAGCTGAGGCTCCAAGACTTTGGCCACCTCATGAGAAGAGAAGACTCCCTGGAAAAGACCCTGATGTTGGGAAAGATGGAGGGCACAAGGAAAAGGGGACGGCAGAGGACCAGATGGTTGGACAGTGTTCTTGGTCTTGAGTTTGACCAAACTGCGGGAGGCAGTGGAAGACAGGAGTGCCTGGCGTGCTCTGGTCCATGGGGTCACGAAGAGTCGGACACGACTAAACGACTAAACCACAACAACATGCCATGAAGAAGCCCTTTAAAATAAAATGAGACAGCAGCAGTAATTCAACAAATAATGGTTGCAAATAGGGTGCAAAAAATGCACGAAGTAAGTGAAGGGAAGGTGTGCAGTTTGCCAGATTCTTCCAACTTACTGAAAGGGCACTTTTTACATTGAAAAATGAGCCTCATGAAAATAGAGCATAGCGTTATATGAAACCCTGCAGGTCACCACGGCCTTCCCAACATTTAAGCGCTCAGAGAGTGCCAGATATGGGGACATAACTCTGTGGGCAGACAAAATACTGGGAGCAAAAGAAGAACAGAGGCAACAAAAATTTTACTTGTCTCAGGCAGGCTTACTGAGATAGAGCTCAAGATCCCCAGTGAAAACTGGAAAATCAGGCCACCACTAACCCAGCTAGAAAGCTACTTATCAATGTTAGCTTACAAAATTGAAAACCAGAGACTCAGAGCAAGGTAGGGACTCATTTACAATGGTGTTAATGTGCTACTGCAATGTACTTCCTGTTAATATCGCAAAACTATAGATTGACACACTTCATTTGGAATTTTCATTAAGCATGCAACCAAACTGATTTCGTACAGGCATACCCGTCATAAGTCAACAACTTTGTAGGTTACTATCTTAGTAACTGATATGACGTATGCTTCCAGTTTAAAAGGTTTAAACATTAAACCAAATGCCAAGCATATTTTAATACAAAAAAGCATACTCTTGTAATGAGCCAAATAACTTGAGTCATTGGGGAGATTAGGGATAACAGGCAGTTACTTCACAGCCAATCGCCATAAACACCTTGCTAAACACTTTCATTTTCCTTGTGACAAAGTATAGCACACACTGTGGTCCATTAAATTAAATAACAGAAAGGAAGGAAGGGAGAGGGAAAGTCTGCTAACAAATTAGAGCGTTGTAGGAGTGGTAGAAAATATCCAAAGAAAAATGTATAACCTGAGAGAGTTGGATAAACATAGTTTCAAGTTTGGTTGAAAACAATCTTCAAACTGAATCCACTCCAATTGTATTTGCACTGTTGAAAAGGAAATGGCAGAGAGTTTAGCTTTGGCTCTTCGTGTAAACTGACAAAGGAAACAGACTGCCGGGTCAAAGAAGAGTACTGATGTTTTTGATTAAAAAAAAAGCAATTTAAGAAACTTGTTAACTCCAGAGACATAACTGGAAAACAATCAGCTGAAATACCCACCAACTTGCACTTTTCCTGTATTGGTTACACACATTGTCTTCCGACATAAAACAGCTAAAAACTCCTCATTTCTGCTGGGGAGGGGGAAATCAGCAAGAAGACACAGTATACAAAACAGCTTGCTAGAAGAAATGTAAACTAAAAGGACTTACACCGAGGCCCAGTCTGCCAAGTTAATCCAATTCTAGGGCGACTGTAAACAACTTGTACTGCTGGAACATGAAATGATTCACGTTACGGACACTGTCAGAGAATGACAGCAATATGATTAAGTATTCTGCAAAGGCTGGAAGTGAGGCAGGCGACTGCTCCAGCACACTTGCAGAGCCAACTGTTTTGACTACAGACACAAAACACCATCACTAACCAGGTTTCACACCCTACCAGTTAGACAATATAACTTTTTAAACAGCTTAAAAAAGAGAAAGACAACTACCATGTATTATAAAAGGAAAATACTCCGCACATTAATAAAGTTTTGTTGGGGGCAAATCTCAAGGTGACTAAGTAGGGATGGCGGTAAACTTACCCCCCAATTACCATGGCCTTTTGCATTTTGAAAACACAGCTTAGGACTACCACACAATTAGGTACTGTCTGTGTACAATGTGGCTTAGCATTGGCCAGCAACTCTGTTCACACGAAGACAACTACCGTATTTTTTGCACCACAACACTCACTTTTTTCCTCCTAGAAAGTAAGGGGAAATGTCTGTGTGTGTTATGGAGGGAATGCCTACAGGTGGCATGCCTACGGATTTTCCTCCTCTAAAAACTACGTGCGTGTTATGGTCGGGTGCGTGTTATAGAGCGAAAAATACGGTATCTTGTCTGTTGTTCAATCAGTCAAGAGACCATCATTTCTTTTTCTACTGTCAAAAGTTTATTCACTGCTCCTCAGTGTTTCTCAAGCTTGAGTGACCAGCTGTTGTTGGACTACAACTCCTGTCGTCACTGACCACTGGTCCTGCTAACTAGGAATGATGGGAGTTGTAGTCCAGCGTAAGCTGGGCACCCAAGTTTGAGAAAACTGTGCTACATATTTTGGTGAGTTCTGCAACCAACCGATGAGGAGGCATACGCATAACAACTATTTCCTTTGCTGCACAAACATACGAAACTGTCTTATATGGTGTAAGATTATCGGTCCAGCTATTCCTGGACTTCAACTCCCATAATTCCTGAACAATGGCCATGTTGGCTGAGGCTGTTGTCCAAAAACATCTGTAAGGCCACAAGTTACTTGTCCCTGCTACTATTGTGACTGGCACCAGCTCTTCAAGGTCTCAAGGAGAGGTTTCCCCCCACTTTATTACCCAAGTTTCATTTATACTGAATTAACCTATAATATTTTGCATGCAAAACATGTGCTCTACCCACTGAAATATGGTTCCTCTATAGAATCAAAATCCAGCCAAATAACCCATTTGTGCGTTTTATGTAAACAGAGGAGTGTCATAATGCATTCTAAAAAACCAATATATTACAAATGTTGACTAGTCATTTATACCAATAAAACCTGGTTCTGTTTTAACAGTGATCATATCTAGGGTTGGGGAATAGATGAGTGACCCCAAACTCTGAAAGTAAAGCCATGTTCCCAACAGTCCAAAGCACGCTCAAATGTTTCTGCGCATGCACTGTGGGTTTTTTTTTTGTGAGGCATGCATGGAGCTTCACAAACCACCGTTTGATTCCCCACTTCAACAGTCAATTAGAAGAAGCAGAGTCTATTAGCTGAATACAGGCAACTTTCCCCTTCATTCCCACTTGATGAATTTCTACCTCCCACATACCTTTCTCCTAAATATTTTGCCAAAGCTCCAATTCGAACTTAACTGCTACTTTTAACAAAAAGCATAGGAATGTGAAAAGCAACTTTAACCCAACCCCCTCAAAGTAAGTTGCAGTACTGCTTTCAACAGAAGCAAAAGTTCTCAATATGTGGCGGTGTCAGTAGCTGCTCTTTGTAGCTTATGGTTACAACACGTCCCCGTTTCCCGGGGACAGTCCCTGGATTTACAAATCTGTCCCCGGACAAAATCGGTCCCCGGATTTCATTTAACGTCCCCGGATTTATATTTTAAGTGTTGTAGATTTATTAGTAGGGAATGAATGTTGCGTGATTGGTTCAACGGCACAAGACACATCATATGGGGACTTCCGGTGAGGCAAAATGGTGGGCGCCACGGCAGCGAGCAGCTCCTGAAGCCAGCCAGAGCCAACTGCGCTACCAGGCTAACCCCAACCTTGCTGCACCGCCACTGCCACTGCTGAGAAGAGGTAGGAGAGCACCGGGAGGGCAAGGACATGTGGCAGAGCCCAGGCCCGACCCAAGCCTACTCCACAGCTGCTAGCGCTCCAAGAGAGCAGGCTGGGGCCCAGAGGAAGGCCGCGCAACAGAGGAGACCACAGAAGAGAAGATTTTTTTATTCTATTTTTAAAAAAGTAAGAAGTAATAACTTTTTTTCTCTCTTTTCAAAAAAAAAAAGTGTCCCAGATTCTTTGAAAAAAATCTGGTAACCTTACTGTAGCTTGCTTTGTAATTATTTGACAACGGAAACTACAGAAATGGCTTGAGACTGAAGGGTTAAAATTAAGGGGTGGCAAAATCATATGCAGAACAGACCCACTGAAATCACCCTCCTTCCTAAAGCCTAATTGGTGCTTTCCCAGCTTTGGGAAGGCGGTGGGAGGGCCTAGGACCCTGCCAGAGCCTCATGCCTCCTTTTCAAAGACTGACACTTCATTTAGCTGGCTTTGGGAAAGCAGTGCAAGGACTGGGGTGTGTGTGTCAAATTCTGGCCTTGCTGCCTCCCCCCCCCCCCCACGAATGCACAACAAGGCAGCACGTGGCCCGCGGGTTCCATGTTGATCTAAAAAAGTTGGGTCGCCCTGCTCCAGATCAGCTTCAAAAAGTAAGGAATAAGCATAGCCAGGAGGAAAAGCGTGGAAAGGAGGGGTTTGTATGGACAGGGAGCAGCAAGCAGGGCAAGGGTTAAGCACCACCTTCTCCCATAGAGTCTCCCCGTCATATCACCTACATTAGTCAGCAGACATGGCAAAGGAACATGACCTGCCAAGGTAATATGCAGTCCCTTACTCAGCTTCCTCCAGACAATTGTGTGCGGCCTGCACATAAACAAGCAATCAAATCAGCCCAGAAATCCCCTGACCGTATTTGTTACTCATCACCGATGAAACTCCGGTTGCACCTCACAAGTGGGCACTGCTAACTAACTACAGAAAGAGAGCCTGTGCTTATCTCTAATTTGGTGAAATAAAATAAACAGGGCTCAACAGAATATTAAAGTAATTCCAGGCGGAAAGAGGACGCCAGCCTGCAACAGTCACTCTTGTAACAGAAAAAAAACAAACCCTTGAATAACAACTAATAATAAATTAAATATACATTGCTCCTCTTGGGAAAGCCATCAGGTGATTATCAAGTGTGGAACAATAGATCTAGTATTGGATATATTTTTGTTCACGTATGACATGCTATGAGATAATTCTGCTTCAAATCTTATTCAGTTTAGGGAGGGAGCAAGGAGGGGAGTGAGGAAAGCTGAAATCTGTTTCTACACCTTACCAAGTGAGATGGCAAGAATTACACCTGCAGAAATGAAAGCATTTGACTGCAGCTTTCTACTGTTAAAGCCTCCTTCAGATCCCAGAAGAGGCCAATAGTTGCAAGGCCAAATATGTAATGATATGATCTCCCTCTGCTGGCTATGTATATGCAAGCAGCTGAGAAGCTATGAAAATCTGAGTGTTCCAATAGGACACTTTTCAAACGACAGGAAAAAAACTAAATTAAGTTATTGCCACATTGGGAAATTAAATAGCCTTTTCCTCCTGTTCCTGTGCTGAAATTCCTGAATAAACCCACGGGCCGTGCAAAAATACAAAATTGAATGTAACAGTGGTCAGAGTTCCTAAGCTATGGTGTGAATAATTTCAATCCACACACTGTCTTGCAGGCACACATATTTGGAAAGACGTCCCCCAGCCTCACCACTCCCCCCATATCTCTAGCATGCTATACAACTTTCTTAAAAGAAAAGAAAAATAGCTGAAAGGCATGGAAGGAAGACATCCCATGCTGGACACTCGCATCATCCCAAGGTGCCTGATGAAAGATTCAGCCACAACATAATAGCAAGCAAACAACTGTAAAAGATTTACAGCCATACCTATATGGCCTATGGTTTGACGAAGCGCCTTAACATTGTGCGTTTTGAATTTCTTCCCCCATTCTTAAAAAAAAATCTAACTCTTATCTACACCTCATTCCTAGATCTCTTGACGAGATAAAGGTAAAGGTAAAGGGACCCCTGATCATTAGGGTCCAGTCGTGGCCGACTCTGGGGTTGCGGCACTCATCTCTCTTTATTGGCCGAGGGAGCCGGCGTACAGCTTCCAGATCATGTGGCCAGCATGACTAAGCCGCTTCTGGCAAGCCAGAGCAACGCACGGAAACACCGTTTACCTTCCTGCCGGAGCGGTACCTATTTATCTACTTGCACTTTGTGCTTTTGAACTGCTAGATTGGCAGGAGCAGGGACCACGCAACAGGAGCTCACCCCATTGCGGGGATTCGAACCGCCGACCTTCTGATCGACACGTCCTAAGCTCTGTGGTTTAACCCACAGCGCTACCCGCGTCCCGTTGACGAGATAGCAAGTCACAAAATATTGTGGTGGTTTACTGTACTGTGAGAATTACAGTAAGAGAGGGTTTTTTTCCTGATGACCCACACCTACTATGATTTGCGAATGGGAATGTTATGATCCGTATGCTAGACAGAGAAATAGAGATTAAACACAGTTTTAAATAATAATATTCTTTACAAAGGGGCCACAAAGTCACATGTTAGACCAGCTTTATTTCACACTGTAAGAGAAGCCCCCGTTCTTTATCAATAAGATCAGTCGGTGTTGTGGCCTACGGTGCCTTCGGCTTTTACGCAAGAGGTAGCTGTTATTTAAAGCAGCCAAGGAAGTGATCCTAACAAGTGCGTAAATGTGTAGGAAGCATTCAGATGCTGAAAATAAAACGAGGCTGTTGATTAGCTGTGCACTTTCAAAGAAAGGGCAGCCTAAAGAAGCAAACTGTTTAGCCACGAAAGTTATCTGAAGCCTTTTCCTCTACTTATACAGGCAATCAGTAAATTTAGCACAATGGAATATGCTGCTCCATCACACACACACACACACACACACACACACACACGCCTGCCAGGATGTACCTCCAGATCAACATAAACAGAGTTCGCACTCACAGCCAATACTTTAAAATGAGGTTTATCTCCAAATAGCTCAACTCTGCATTATTAAAGAGGAGGCAATGAATATAGCACGACAATAAGAAAACAGCACATGTGGCTGATATGAACTCCAATATTTAAATTGAGTATTTTGCTGTGCCCATTCACTTGCATCAGGCTACTTTTTCATACGGCTTGAATACCAATTTGTGGGGCCAGTGTGTTGGGGGTAGAGATTCAAGGTGGAAATCTTATTTGTTCACAGTTGGCACATGTTCATTCTAATGCAATACTCTTTTCGGCAGGGTGGATCAACATAATTTCAAACCAGAACCTATGTTGATTGAAAGCAAATCTCGCTAATTTGAAAGGGAGTGGTTTGCTGAGTAAGGATGCTTTGAGGCAGGAACTTCCCACAGTCCTGGTCTGCTTGCTTTTGTGATGAAGCGCAGAACACACTTGCTTAAGCAAGAACTGCAAACAGCAGGTGCCTTTCTTCAGGAAGCTTGTGGAATTCAACTTCTGCCACATGCACACCACACATTTAAAGCACACAGTAAACCCACAATTTATGCACACTGAACTTGTGTGCATTCAGCTTTACACAAGTGGCAAAAATAAAAATAAGAAGGCGGGAAAGGGGGCAGGATTCAGGGGAAGATTCAAAGTGCTGGTTTTGACCTATAAAGCCTTAAATGGCTCAGGACTGCAATGCCTCAAGGGCTGCCTCTCTCCATATGAACCCCGAGATCAACTTCTGAAACTCTTTTTCGTGCCTCCTTGAGAGGTTTGGAATGTAGCAATATGAAAACGGGCCTTCTCTGCAGTGTTTCCACGTCTGTGGAATGCTCTCCCCAGTGAAGTTCGCCAGGCACCTTCATAATACACCTTTTTAAAACGTTCCTTTTTAACCAGGCCTTTGGTTGATTTCATTGACAAATCCTATGCCCTTTTAAATCATGGGGTTTTTTGTGGGGGTGGGGGGTTATTAGGTTGTTGTTTTGATTTTGATTATATATTTTGTGGTATATTTTGATTTTGTTCTGTGAACCGACCTGAAACCTCTGGGTATAGGGCAGTATAAAATTTTAATAATAATAATAATTTTAAAAATGCATTCAGCCATGGACTGGCAGGTCTGTATCAGTCCTGTATTCATTGCCGCTTGCGATGTGGACTGGTGGGAGCTAGCATAGGAAACAGTCCCTGATATTTCACGGAACAGAGGCAGCCCAGCTATAAAGCAAGGGAAGGCTTATTATGGCCCAGTTCACACAGTCCTCATGCTGCACAGATGCTATGAACAGTGGGGGGGACAGGACTGTGTCCAGCCTTTCCACATCATAGATTCCCAGGTTGCATGTAGCATACTGACTGCAACATCTGGACCCATGTGCAATGAGTTCTACATACCCCCCTTTGCAAATGTTGAATAGTTTCTGCCTAGTAAGAAAGTAATCCAAACTTGGCCATTGAAGAGACAGGCAATTCTGATCCATGGGCATAAATATTTGTTTCAATGGTGGCTGCACAGGGATAATACCTCATGTCTGTAGGTTGTCCCCTGTGTTAATTAGTGGCAGCAATCAACAGAATGTGATTTCCTGGCCAGTCAAAAATTAATTGCAGCTGGGACCCTCTTTATCCCAAGTGTCGAATGTACAGCAAGCTCGTGGGAAAATCTGCTCCTCTTTCTAGCTGAAACCTTGTGGCTAGGAAGGAGAGGCAGAAAATCAGAGGCTCGCTCTGCCTCGGCAACTTCTCTAATCTTGGCATGTACCGTGTATGCAGAGCAAGCCAATGCACATCCACCTTTACCCCTTCAGCTCACAGGTGCATTGACCTGCTTTGCTTTTGTGCCCTACAAACACTCAGAGCAGCCCCCAGGCACGGAAGAAGAAAATGAAAAGCGCAGGAAGAAGCCTCTCACTAACCCCTGTAGCTTGGAAGTACAGAAGCATTTGACTTTTGCCTCCAGGTCCAGAGACTAAGCTCACTCAACAGAACCCGTCTCCCTTCTTGCCATGCCAAAGGGATGAGTGAGCCTGCAAGCGGGACCTGAGGGCAACAACTCTCTCTCCTCCTGGTATTCAGAAGCACCTCCTCCAACAATGAAAACAAAGTGCAGCCATTAAGGTTTTCAGCTATGGATAGCCTGACTCTCCATTAAATGGGCCATCCTAGTTGGTGGCCATTGCAACAGCTCATGAAAGCGAATTCCATAGTTCAACTCTGCACTGTGCAAAGAAGGGTTTTCTTTCGTCTGTCCTGAACCTTCCAACATGCAGTTTCATCGGATGCCCCTGAGTTCTGGTGTTTTAGGAGAGCGAGAAAAACTTTCTCCAAGCCAAGAATAATTTGAGGCATCTCCATCACGACTCCTCTCCTCACCTTTTCTCTAAACTAAAAAGCCCCCAAATGTTGCGCCAGCCTGGTCCTTGCCTGGTCTTCTCTCCTAGCCAGCAAGTGTGTTTGCGCTGCAACAGATGTTTGGTCTGTGTATCATCTGGTTGCAGTGTCTGCGCTGTTTGTAGTGGGGATTAGTGTTTTAACTGCGGGCTAAGTGAATGCAGCTGGGGGTGCAGCTGTGATCTAGGGTTCGGCCCCGAAGGGGACAACACGAAAGGGATTCGCCACTTTTGATCGCCCCTTTGGGGAGATGCTCTGTCAGTCAGGGTATAGAAGTGTAGGCCCGGCACTGTGTGAGACAGGTTTGTGAGCCTCAGCCAGGGTGAGAGCCTAGCTGAGGGGAAATCTGCTTTGGTGGAGTTCCCCCTGCGTGAGAGGCAAGGGGAGGAGAGCAGCTAGCGGAGTCAACAGCTACCTCTGAAAGTGTGGGGTGCCTATTACCACTGGGCCTTAGTTTACTGTTCTGTGGTCCATGAATGGTGGCGTCAACAACTTTTCTGTCCGGATTTTCACTTTTTGAAATATGGCAACCCTAGGTAATGCTCCTGAGAGGAGTGGCAGTTGTGAGGCTGCTCCAATTCCAGTGGTGGTGGGCAGGGGAAAGCATGACTGGAGTTGGGGGGCTTCATTCTTTGTTCCAGCCCTTTCACTCCACCGGAACTCTCTGTGGGATGTGAAACACAGAGCAGTCAAATACAACATTCCTAGAGTGGACATAAAAAGGGGATGTCTGGACCAGCCAGTCGGAACTTCCTGTTTCCTCCTGGGCTGGGACAGACTTCCTCTGCATGTGACCAGAGGTGGGCGTGGCCTCACCTGTGCAGGTAACAAAATACCTCAGGGGAAGCAGACACCTCTCTCTCTGACTCCATTCCTCAAGGAAGCAACATCTTCTTAGCCTGAGATGCTCTCTTGGCTCCCAGCCAAGAGAGGTCAAAGGAACTATCTCCTTATGGGATAGATTCCAGGTGTATATATTTAAGTCTGCCTTCTGGGATCCTACTGTGAACAGAATGTAAACTATTTTATATACTTTTATACAAGACTGTGTCTTGTCTATCTTTTTATGAGGGAATAAAGGCGAATTACCAAGGAAACTTATTTTAGAGGCTTATACAAGCCTGGCAAAGACGTTATCCGCTGTACAAGTTTAAAAAGGGGAATGTTACTCTGCTAAATTGTAGAACTTGTTAACACAAGTTGGGAAGGCTATAATTTAACAATATATCCTCTCCTGCCTCCCTGAACATTCCCACACTCTCTGGTAGCATATCCGCTGAGCCCTCTGATCTGGTGGTTCTGTTGCTGAATCACAGATCAGTCCACAACAAACTTGACTGCGGATGAGCAGACTGATTTGCCTTGTGTTACTGAGACTTGGGTGAGTGAGCTGGGTGGGCCTGACCTTACCCAGCTGTGCCCTGCCTCTCGGGTTTTTGATACTGTACCAGGCTAGACTGGGGGGCGGGTGTCGAGGTGGGGATGCTGCTGTTGTCTACAAGAAGACCATCTCCTCTTGACCTTGGAATGGGCTTGGGTCTGCATCTGGTATTGAGCCAGAGAGACACCTCAGGGATGGTGTGCTCTACTGATTTCTTTGCAATCCTGACCAGGCTGGCTTAGGTAGTCTCTGTTGGAGGACTCTATAACAATAATCCTGGATTATTTCAATATCCACACAAAGGCTGCTGTCGGGCCAGGCGAAGACTTCATGGCCTCCATGACAACCATGGGTCTTTCTCAGATGGTCATCAGTCCCACACACCAGGCAAGGCACACTCTTGATCTTTGCCCCAAGTGATACAAGAATGGACTGGAGATAGGGGGACCGCGATGCACTCCCTTGTCAGGGTCCAACCATTACCTGGTTAAGTTTGGACTAACAGTGGCAATTCCTCCCTGTAAGGTTGGAGAGCCCATTTGAGAGGGCTCTCAAATACTGATGGAACTTGGTGTGTTTCTGAATGCTCTGGGCAGTCAACATGATCATTCCTAAGCGTCCTCCTTGGTGTTTGGGAGTCCAAGTGTCCCTTCGCTACTCTGAGGATTTCCAGACAATCTGGATGAGGACCAGAGCACAAGTGGCGCAAATCTCACTCTGCAGCAGACCTAACACTGGTCAGTACACATAACCGTGCCTACCATGTGGCAGTATTCCTTTTGGCACCTGTTGAAAGCCTGCACAGATGTTTAGAAAGTTCGTAGGAGTTTAAAATTGTTTTAGTCTATTTTATTGCAACTTTTAACCTTCTGTATGTTGTAAATTTTTGTCTTTTTCGTAAACTGCCCTGAGGTTTATTTTCTACCATCAAGCGTTATATAAATTTAATGAAATAAATAAATAAACCCCAATGAGCAGGAAGGGAAGTGCCACTTGGATTTTCTCTCCTAGGTAATAGATCTTTTTTGGACTGGCTTTGATGAGCAACAAACATGCACCTGCCATCCCACCCTTTAAAAAAAGTGTTTTCTGTGCGTTTAGGGTTCCAACCTCGGCAAGGTAAGTGAATTTCAAGTGGTTTAACAAGATGAGAAGCTCAGCTTGAAAAAGAGGAAGGAGGAAGTTAACTGCTAATGCACCATTTCTTTTGGGACATGTACAGCGAGCCCGTAATCCAGGAACAAAAGTTTTCACTTACCGCAGTGTGACTGGAAAACCTGTGGCTTGACTACCTGATTGCAGATATTGCACACTACTAGATAGAAATCATCATGAGCTGGATAATGGCCAAATAAGTGCATATCTGTGGGAAAGTTAAAAATATATATATACAAGTATTAGAAGTTGTCATTTCAAAAAAAATATGTTTTTTTTAAAGAAAAAGTTAAAATTCTACCATACTGTATTTTAAAAAGACACTCAGGGAAAAAATATATTAGTATCACTACAAAGAAGAGAATCTTAGGAATACAGCTTTTCTAACTCTGTAAAGTCTATATATTTTTTCTTTTTAGTATACCAGGGATGGGATGTCTGATTACCTCAGTGCAAAAAACAACATGCTCAATCACTGTGACTATCAAAGGTAACTGGTGTTCAGGTAAAAGAAGAACCAATGCAATTGTTATCACCCCCATCCAAAAAGAAAAAAAGAATCAGTTTCTGAAGTTATTTCAAGAAGGAAGCTTACCCAAAGTTATAGTCATATAAAGTTTGGCTCCTGATGAAATCTTAAAAGAGTGAGGAACTAGTGACAAGGCAAGACAGAAAGAAGAACAAGGAGAAATGTCCCCTGGTTGTGTTGGTAGTCACAGGAAATGTCAATGCTGATTACCAATCCTCAACCAGTATTCCCAAGGATGTGTCCTACACAACGCAGACTGAAATGAACTCCCGGCCAAGGACCCATTGTTTCCACACACATAAGCTGCTGAGGTGCAGCCTTCACTTTTCTCATTAATTTTTACAACCTAGGGGTGAGGTATAGAAATGATTGGCATAGAATTTTCCATCAACAACAAACCTGGGAAAACTCTTCAGCTAATTAGGAAACAATCAGCAAAAAATATATATGACTAGTTTAGTCTGCCCTCGGACTTCTACATCCACGGAACAGAAATCAAATATGAGTCATGGTCTCAACACGGAGAGCAGTGATGGTGCATCTGCGCAGTAGTGACTGTGTCATCCCCAAAAACCCACTTAAAGTACTTGCAATCTCACTCCCCAGTCTCTTTTTAAAATATAGTACATGCAGCAATATACCTATAAGGCATTCTCTTTCACTCTTAAAGAAAGAGGATGATTCAGCTTAAAATGCAATGGTCAATAACTGTCAACATGAGGACTCGCAGCACTGCTTTTCACTAATAAGCATAAAAAGCTCACTGTCTGCAAATACCGCATTTACTCGAGTGTAAAGTGCCATGGAATGGAATGCACACCACAATTTTCAGAACCTTGAAACCAAAAGAAGTATTTGTTGGCAAATGTAAATGTGCCATCAAATCGAAGGCACACCTTAATTTTCACAACCTAATTTGGCCAAAAAAGGTGAGCATTAGATTCGAGTAAACACAGCATTGTGAATTCAAAGGCTTCCTTCTTCCACAGGAGGAAGGCTCTTTCAAGCCAGAGGAAAGGAACCTTGGGATTCGACCCTTTGCATTTATCATTCACCTCCAGTGACTTCAATTAGTGACCTAACAGGTTCTCAGATAAGGGGCAATTCTTAACTCTCACATGCTAATAGGCTTGCAGCGAACACCAGCCACCGTCTGAAATATCCCTAACATTTTCTAAAAAGCCTGAACTACCAACTCCATCCATTCTTCAATGATTATGAGGTCAGTCATTCCCTGGTGTTCCATCTCTTCTCCTGCCACAATTTCAACTCTTTCTCTTTTAAAGCTTTAATTTTAAGCAATCGGTATTTTGATTAACCCTTGTTGAAATGAATGGTAAAGTGGAACTATGAATGGTTAGACTAACTGAGAGTTCATTTATCTCCAGCAACACCTTAAAAAAGGGAGTTATTCTGTGCACGATGTCAATGAGGTGCACACCGTCCTGTATCAGATACACTACTTGTACCACTTCCAAAGTCCTGCTCTTGACTCCTAAAGCAGCCCTCTGCTCTTACCTACGAGAAAACAGAATTTTCTCCATTTCTCCTGAAAATTTTATCACAAATGCCACCAGCTTTTAATTCAAGTTGTCCAACGGAAGCCCACAAAACCCCCAGCACACTAGATTCAACAGTGGAAGAAGTTGCAATGTTAGATGCTAACACATTCAAGGTGCAACGCAGAGAAAACGCTGTGTGCCTACCATTCGCTGAAAATAAAGCGACCGAGCCTAGAGCACATAATTGTGCACCTGAATTCTACAGACCACAACAAAATTTCGACACCCAACGTCCCCTAGACTGCACCCAATCCAATGAGATGATGCAGTTCAACAGCCATTATAAAGATTCACTAAAGAGGATTACAGGTTTGAAGTTTTAAAAGCACAGAGGGGCTGCACCAATGATTGCTACCACAGCTAAACACACACTTAACGAGGTGGTGGAACTTTTTCATAAGAAATCACTTTTCAGACTGAAAGGTATGAAATTTCACCTCAATAATGTGTAATTTGGGGGAAATGGCAAATAACCCGACAGTGTTGAAAATAAAATATGTAGGAGGGCATTGGCAGTGTTACCATCCTATCTGCAGTCAAAATATGTAAAGCTAATGCACTTAAAACCACTTCATCTCTCTCCCCCCCTCCCATTTGTTTCCTTCTTTTTGGTCCTCTGAGAACCATCAAGATGGCTTATAACAGTGGTGTCCAAATTTTTTCAAAGAGGGCCAGATTTGATGAAGTGGAGGGCCGTGAGGGCTGACCAAAGATGTTAACCTTTTTTTTAGGATTGAAGTTTAAGTTGTTGAGCTTTTTTTTTTGGATTGAAGTTATTGTTTTTAGGATTTTACCCCAGGAAATAAACTGCCACAGGGCTCCCCGAAACGGACTTTGGACATGCTTTGGACATGCTATTTGGGTCCATGGAGCCTTCAGTGCAAGTGAAGCACAGGTAACAAAGAATAACACTGTTTTCCAACTCCATGCTAGGTAGCGAGACACTGGAGGTTGTAGCCGTTGGTAGACAGTTGTGGCTTCTCTTGTCATCAATCCTGGTTCTTGACAAAAAAAATCTTTTCCTCTCTTGACTGAAGGGAAGTTGTGTGAGCTATGTGCAGGTATCTTCCCACGGTTGTTGTCTGGGCAATATATTAAATGCCTGCTATTTTCTTCCCTTTCTGTGTTCAAACACAGTACTTATGAGCCGGGTGTCCTTCACGTCCAGCCAACATGGGGAAGTCCCTGGGTGCCCATGATAGGTGGGCACAGATGGTGTTGCCATGGGTGCTGGGAACATGGCTGGTGTTGCTCCATTCTGTGCCTTTTGGAGCAGTTTGTTTTCACCCTCCAGTTCTGGGCTGGAAAAACAAAGGCTATGGTGGACATCATGCTGACTGACATAGGGGTGGCATCTTTCTCCCTGTACTGGGGAACAAGGATTGCTCTGTCGATTAAGCTCAAACGCAAATTCATCTTATCTTCTCAAATGATTTTATTACCCCAAGCAAACTAGTTTACCAGTGGGACTCCCCATCCCCTTCAACTTGGCCTCTCTTCAGCAGCATAAATCCCAATTCAGATTTCTAGGGAGAAAAATGGGAATCTAGGCTCCATGCCACTCTTGAAATTTTCAATATCCCTCGCCCAGCACTAAAAGCTCACTAACAGAAGAACAAATTCACTGCCACCATTCAGTTCTGTAATTTGGTTAAAGTAAGCTCATAAAAAGGAGGTAAAAAAGAAATAGTGGGTCTTCAAAGTAACTCTTTATAAAGGTAAGATACTTAATTAGTTTTTCCCTCCTGCTTTGGAGCGCAATCACAGATGGTGTATAAAACTACTGGCAATATTTCCTCTCCCCCTGGAAAAAACCCCCCCATAATTGCACAACTATAGCAGATCAAATACATTCATTTTGTTTCCTGATTTGTTTGTTTGTTTGTTTGTTTGCAAGAGTGCATGTTTTAATGTTCTCTCATAGCTGACTCAGAATAGATGTTTAGATTTCCAAATCATTTATTGGCATTTTAAATGAGGATATTTGAACAACATCACAATAATTGTTTTTGATAAAATGATGATCATCCCAAATGAAACTAGAAATGATTTGTGGTTTGAAGTTATACATATGTCCTCTGTGTGTTCTCTTATGTAAATATGTAGATATATTTATCTGTATAAACACACACACTTCCAAGGAGAAGATAATTTAAAGACCTAACCTGCCAGTATGGATTTTACACAATAGAGTTGAATCACACTACTCAAATCACAGAAAAAGTATTCAGGACTAACAAGAATTCAAAGACTAGAACCATGCAATCCTATCATTATCCTTTGAATAAGGTCAAGATGTTCCAAGTGAATTATACCAATTTAGCTGTATGACTCTTTCACAGGAATCACACTCTTACGTCCCCACAATGGAACACACGCCTAGAATGGAACAACAATTTCCAAGTAAATAACTCAGAAATCACTAAAAACGTGGCATGCTGGCCCTGCAAGTTCATTAATCTTAGAAGGGATCCCGATTTCATTTAGTGGGGGTAAATGTAAAGTTGGGGACATGCGCTTTCAGTGGGCAGAGGAGTGCTCAAACAAACAGGTTTAATGAGGAAAGATTAAAAGATTTGCAGTTTGACACCTGCAAAAAACGCTCTGGTTATAAGCAGTAACAAGGCAACATTTGGCTTTCAGACAAATACATCCCCTTTGGGTGAAAGCAAACATGGGAAGCACAGACAAATTATTTGCGGAGGAGATAGCACTAAAGCAGATAACAAAAGAAATCCGGCAAGTCATTAAGAGAGTCTCTTGGCAAAGCTTTAAAACTTCTTTAGCAATTGTGCCAAGATTTGTGAACTGTTTTCACATAAACTGTGTGTGTGTGTGTGTGTGTGTGTGTGTGTGTGTGTGTGTAGGGTGGGGAGAGAGAATCAAGCAAAAGCAGCAAAATTCAGCTGTTTGGAAAAACCCTGGAATGGGAGATATTCCCAAACAATTTCTCTATGGGTCAGAAAGGAAAACCCAATTTTGCCAAAGAGTTCTGCAAGGTGCAGCCAATCATGGCTCTCCAACAAGTGCACTTCTGTAATACACGTATTTGCCATATTCACAACTTTATATATATTTTTAAGTGAGTACCTAAAAAATAACGTAATGTATAAAGGGATCCTAGGATCAAGTAGGGAAATGCTCCCACCACTTCTAAAAGCTGCCTATCTTTGACAAGCTGAGCTTTTTACAGGCTGAGCGTTTTATATGCAACACATTATTTTATTTATTTATTTCATAAAATTTATGCTCCACTTGGTTGTTAAAAAAAAAACCCACCCCATAATGAAAATGATTTACAGGTGGTACTTAACCCCAGTCAAGCTAGCAAAAATCTATCATTTGCCAGATAGCAAATGTTGGAAATGTAAAGAGACTGAAGGTACATTTTTTCACCTTTGGTGGACATGCCCAAGGATTAAGGCTTTCTGGGAAATGATATATAATGAACTGAAAAAGGTATTTAAATATACCTTTCTGAAGAAACCAGAGGCCTTTCTTCTGGGCATGGTCGGGCAATTGGTGCGAAGGGAGGATAGAACTTTCTTTATGTATGCTACAACAGCAGCAAGAATACTCATTGGGAAGTACTGGAAGACACAAGAATTGCCCACCCGAGAAGAATGGCAGATGAAAGTGATGGACTATATGGAATTGGCTGAGGTGACCGGCAGAATTCGAGACCAGGGAGAAGGGTCGATGGAAGAAGACTGGAAAAAATTCAAAATATATCTTCAAAAGTACTGCAATATAAAAGAATGTTAGAAAGAGGTTGGAAAAAGAATATTAGGTCGTTCTGGTAGATATGATATAATGGACTAAGCAAAAATGAGTTGATGAAATTGATGAATTAGAGGAGGTTTAATCACATTATTTTAATTTTAAAATACGTAAATGAAAATAAGGTTAGAAGGATTTGCTGGAAACACGATCTGAACTAGAATACAAAACTGGGAGGTGAGAGGAGGTCATGGAAATAAGTAAAGGGAAAAGGCTATGTAAAGGTTTAATCTGTTTTTGTTTTATTTTAACTCAATGTATTTTTATATTTTTTGTTAAGTCTTCTTTTTTATTCTATCTTATTGTTCTTTTTTACTTGTTTATTTCTTGCTTTGTTATGGCTAAAGTTTTCTTTGTATTTTGTATGGTTTCTTTTTTTTTTCTTTTTTGTAACTTTAAATCTGGAATAAATATTATTTAAAAAAAAAAAAAACCCACCCCAAAGTGGTTTACAAAAAGATAAAGCAATATAATCAAGAAAAATTCACAACCACACTTTAAAACAAAGTTAAAATACTAAAACAGATAAAAAATTACCTGAAATGCATCTGATCCATCAACGGGAGAGGGGGAAGGCAGAAGGCAAGGAATCCAACTAGCTTACTGACATTCCCCTTAAATTGCCCACAATTATGAAAAGCAAAAGATGGATTCAGGGGCCTGGTAATCTCATAAAGGTTTCAGGCTTTGAGGTGGAAGGGACTGCAAAAGCACCAGCCTGTTTGCACCTGAGAAAGCCCTCGTTCCAAGAACAGTTACTCAAAGTAACTACATACTGAAAACCAGTGGGTCTTCGAAGTCAACACACTTCAGATCACGCTGAAAGTTGTGCTGTATCTTATTTAGAAAGACAGTAATATATATGCCATAGAACAGTGCATAGGTACAGCATGCTTTTCGCAAGCATACTAAGTCCCAAAAGACACGACCTACAGCACAATATTTTGCGTTTGCACACTGTTCTCTGGTCCCTTTCCTTTGCAACTATTCCTGACAAAGTCCACCATGTAGAAGCCACAAGTGACAACAGATCCACAGGCCCATCGCGAGGGGTGAAAACCATTTGTTTATCACTAAATTGCTGAATTTCTTGGACCTGTCTGTTCACAGACTGTAAAGCCGTGGTGCTGCACATAATTAAAGCGCTAGGCCTCTCATGCAACAGTCAATTTGTTATACTGAGCCCATTTTAAGATAATATTCACAGACAATTGCTTTTTCACCAGAATGCATTCAGAGTGAAGTGTGGCGTGCTTAATGAGGATGGCCAACCATGATCTCAAGAATGTGTGAGAAATACATTGACAGATTAGTTGAGAAGGGCTGAACAGAGATGCTGCGTTTGGCAGAGAACGCGGTTATTTTTACTATCTCACATTGTGGTACAGAGTTAAGATTACCTGGCTCAGGAATCTTGCTATCTTCTCACCACTGAAAGGAAACAAGAAGTTCATGTCCTTTACTTAGTATTTTTAAGCAATGATGCACATTTGTGGTTAATGCCAAGAGACACAATCCACCAAACATTTCTCCAACAGAATCCCAACAGGAAATGAATGGATCACACTGTCTTAATAGACGCTCTAATATTCACAACAGCACAATGTAAAATTGCTACACATCCAAGGATGAACCTGAGAATGGAGCAATTAAACAGGCCAAATTGGAAAGGTGTGTTACATTTTAAATTCCACAACACAGGCAGACATGCAGCTAAGATTTCCAATTTTACTGCACTATAGTAGCATTCTTAGAAAATACACACTGTATTTTACCAACTTAACAGTTATAGAAATAAGACATTATCAAAAGAAGAAAACAGATTTATTCTCCAATAAAGATATAGTTGTAACAATAAATCCTGTCTTGAATGATAAGACTAACTTAAACCATAACCCTACTACATATTGTGGGCCATAGCTGACCCCAAAAGTGTGTGTGTGTGTGTGTGTGTGTGTGTGTGTGTGTGTGTGTGTCCCCAAAAAAACCCCTGCCCCCTCCCATGGGAAAACCCCCTTTGCTATTTCACACTTTCTAAACTCTCCTACAATAAAGAGGCTGAAATGGAAACACCTCAGAATAAACCCCACAATCTCTGAAATTTGGTTCTGTTCTTACACCGAGGATTTCGCTGAAAGACAAAGCAGACTGTTAGCCTCCAAATAAAGTGAATAGGGGGCAATCAAATACTTTATCTCAATGACATGGGGGGAAGGGGTGTTGATGACTCCTACACAGTGGAATTATTTCATTTAACAACACGATAGGAATCTATGCTGATGAAAAGTTAAAACAAGGTATGAAAGATTCAGTTTTTTTGTTTTATTTTTCAAAATTCATACTTTTTAGTTGAAGGCAAACTGAATTGCTAACAATGAGGCCCATAACAAGACTCCAGAGACCATCTTTCTGCACTTCAAATAATAAAGTTTCATTTAACATTGCACACCACTTTCATTTGCCTAAATTTTACATTGTTATGATTTAACTCTTTGATTCCAATATTGTATTAGTAAAAGACTCCTTATAAGTATAGGAGGGTTTTATAAAAAGCATAAATACTGCTGCAGAAAAAAAGCAGCTTTAGCTTATTTGCAATACCATGTGACCAAAGGCAACTTAACAAGGGCTCTGTTCTTAAAGGGGGTGGGGGAACTATATGTCTGCCTATCGGAACCGGAGGAGGACTTGCACCGGATCCTCTGCCTCAGGCGGCATCTGAACCGAGTCTGGGGCCTGATCCTGAAGAGTCCCAGTCTGCACAGGTTCCCCTGCACCAAACACCAGCTGGGCGAAGCCAGGGGCCTGAGCCTGCCCTGGCTCCAGATGCGGGGATGACCTCGTTGCCTTCAGCTGGGCCATCACTTACAGCTGCTCCACTACCGGTTGGGTCAGGGGAGGCTGAGGCGGCCTCTGGGTCTAGTAACCCACCAACGTTTCCCGAGCTGCAGAGACTCAGGTCTGAGAGAAGGAGAGACCTGAGTACTCACAGGAGGAGTGCTCGCCTTCGGGCGAGACAGGGAGGTGAGTCGCCGGGGGTCAGGACCAGCCGTTACCCCAACAGAGATAAAAGACTGCCGGACCCCGCCCCAGGTTGCGGGAGCAACATTGCTTCTACCTGCCTGTTACCCTGCGCCTGACCTATTGGAAGACACAAGACCTACCCACTCTGGAAGAATGGCAGATGAAGGTGATGGACTATATGGAACTGGCGGAAATGACTGGCAGAATCCGAGACCAGGGAGAAGAGTCGGTGGAAGAAGATTGGAAGAAATTTAAAGACTATCTACAGAAATATTGTAAAATTAATGAATGTTAGAATGATGTTGGATAGAAATTAAGTGGTTTTCAGCTGTAATACTATAAGTGGAATATGAAAATGGATTATTAATAGGTAAAAATTTAACGTTACAATATTTTAAGATTAAAGACTAGGATAAACAAAGAGGGTAAGGATTTGCTGAACCAACAAACCGAACTGGAATACAAAAAGGGAGGCGTGAGGAGGTCCGGGAAACAAGCTAATGAAAAATAAGTAATGGAAAGATTGAGTTGTTTTTAACCATTTTTATTTTGTATTTTCTTCTTTTTTTATTTTTATTTTGTAATACTTTGAAAATCTTAATAAATATCTTATAAAAAAAAAAAAAAGAACGGTTTCGGGTTAAGAACAGACCTCCGGAACAAATTAAGTATGTAACCAGAGGTACCACTGTATCAGTTGCTGTAGCTACCCCCACCCCCAGCTTTAAGAGAGACATCACAACATACAGTCATACCTCATGTTATGTCCGCTTCATGTTATGTTCTTTCAGGATACGTCCCACAGCGACCCGGAAGTACCGGAAAGGGTTACTTCCGGGTTTCGCCGCTCATGCATGCGCAGACGCGCAAAATGACATCACACGCATGCACAGAAGCGGCGAATTGCAACTCACGCGTGCGCAGACGCGCCGCTGCGGGTTGCATTCTGCTCATGTTGTGAATGGGCCTGTGGAATGGATCCCGTTTGCAACCAGAGGTACTACTGTACTAGAAAGATTAAGGGCACAATGAGAAGGGGATGACAGAGGACGAGGTGGTTGGACAGTGTTCTCGAAGCTACCAGCATGAGTTTGACCAAGCTGTGGGAGGCAGTGGAAGACAGGAGTGCCTGGCGTGCTCTGGTCCATGGGGTCACGAAGAGTCGGACACGACTAAACAACTAAACAACAGAGAAGCACAAACTTTCTCTTATCTGCCCCACAGTCACCAAAAGAACCCTTCTTCAAAACAAAAACAAACAATCCATGATGGATATCCACAGCCTTGCAGACCTAGAAAGAATCCTTGCTCACGCCATTTAATACCATAAGCCGATTGTAGTTACCCTCTTACATCCATATGAAACTTGGAACACCTTCAAGTTTTTTAACCCTCTTATTCTCCTGCTCCAGCTTCCTGGCATTTATAGCAAAATATCCAGCAAACCTTGAAGAGGGGCTTTTTGGAAAACACTCTTTTATTCAGAGCACACTGAAGCCAGGTGATCACCCTCAAAGTTAACAAGTTTCTTACCCTGTACATAAACTACTGGTGCACAACAGCAGAAACCTTTCTGCCCAGAAATGGTGCTGTTGAAAGAACCATTAGCTGCCTTTGGTGAGCAATTAGAGACAACTGTAACCAAAGAAAACCTTTAATAAAAATTATTTTAAAAAGATTGCTTTAGTAGCCTCAAATAATTAAAAGAGAGCTGGAAAAGAGGAGGACCTATCAAGGTTTAGCAATTAAGTTGTCAGGACGATTAACTGTCTATTTTTATTTTTTATTTTTTTGGTGTATCACTAAAAAGTCTTAGCTTCCCACCAAGACAGTAACCTCGTCTGTGGACTGTAACAATTTCAAGCTGCAACTGGGCTCACATAACTGAACACTTCCCCATTCCAAAGAATACAATAAATAAGAATCTCTGTAGTTGGAAAACTAGAATGTCAGGGGAAAACATTCTGCTTAACTTACTGGTTCCTTATGTGTAAACTTTTTTTTCATACCAACAAATGAGCCCTCACTCACTGTCTAAAGTGGTTCTCATAAGACCCAAATTTGCTACCCCAGCAAGAACTTGGTTAAAGGATATGTAAGCATTGAAAACATTAGCAAAACTATTTATTTAGCAGCAAAAAGGACTACATAACTTTATGCTATTATATACTGCGATTTGCTATAATACTCAAAGGTAGTCAGCACCATAACATGATGAGCAGGCAAATTTTCAAAATGGATTAACATCACATGGTAATTGTTGGAGAAAGAGGTTTGGAAGAGAGATTTCTTACTCTCTTGTAGCAGCGTTAAACACAACAGCAATTGCTTTGAGCACATTTAAATTTGGTTAGATTTTGTATCTGCCCCCATCCACAAAAATCCACTTTAAGCAAATATTCGCCGTGAAAATACTTAGGGTAGAATAAATCACAGACACTTGGTCGTAGATAAAGATGGGGGGAAAGGTTCCAAACAACTTAAAAATAAAAGTACAAAGTTTTCTTACAAAAAGGATAATGCAATCTTTGAATGAGCAAATATGCAGGCTGTGAAATCTCCTTTTACAGAGATTCAGTTTACTTGCAGGAAGCCCTGCCCACATGGCTTCTTGCATGTTCCAGATAGCACAAAGAGAAAGAGAATGAGAAGGGGGGAGCAGAGGCTGCTGAGAGCCACCCACTTGCAGCCTGAGCTCAGATTAACCCAGGCATAGGCAAACTTCGCCCTCCAGTTGTTTTGGGACTACAACTCCCATCATCCCTATCTAACAGGACCAGTGGTCAGAGATGGTGGGAATTGTAGTCCCAAAACATCTGGAGGGTCGAGTTTGCCTATGCCTGGATTAACCCTTTCATACACACATACACCACTAACAGGACCAGTGGTCAGAGATGATGGAATTGTAGTCCCAAAACATCTGGAGGGTCGAGTTTGCCTATGCCTGGATTAACCCTTTCATACACACAAGTGTGAATTAATAACTGTATATTGCAACAGTAAAGACAAGTGATTCCTGCATTTCCACTTCATTAATTCCTCATGACTTTCCAGAAGTTCCTCTTTTTAAATCATGATTCTGTGTCAGTACAGTGGTACCTCAGGTTAAGTACTTAATTCGTTCCAGAGGTCCGTACTTAACCTGAAACTGTTCTTAACCTGAAGCACCACTTTAGCTAATGGGGCCTCCTGCTGCTGCTGCGCCGCTGGAGCACGATTTCTGTTCTCATCCTGAAGCAAAGTTCTTAACCCGAGGTAATATTTCTGGGTTAGCGGAGTCTGTAACCTGAAGCGTATGTAACCTGAAGCGTATGTAACCCAAGGTACCACTGTATTAGGAATCAGCAGCTTACTCTCAATACCTGGTTTTGTATGCTACTTTTTGTGGTCAAACCTGTGGCTGTTTGAAAAGCAGATGTTCTCTGTTATGAATTGTCTGTACAATAGAAAGTATGAACACCCTCCCCGATCACACATGCAATCAGTGTACATCACAGCTGAACACCCCCCCAATTCTCAGAGGCTTTTTCACCGATTTCACTGTTATTAGGACTTAAAAAAAAAAAAAGTTGTGCTGCTCATCTATGATGCAATTCACGATTTAACATAATTTCTGAGGAGTTTTGTTTTTATACAGCAGTTGAGGAAAAGACGAAGCTGCAAAGCCAGGTCACTGGTCTGTATAGCTCAGCACTGTCTACCCCAGCCTCTCTCTCAACCTCGGGTGCCCAGATGTTGTTGGAATACAACTCCCACCATGATGGAAATTGTATTCCAACATCTGGACCACAGATGCTGAGAAAGGCTGGTCTACACTGAATGGCAATGTGATGGCAGTAACTCTCTTTCTCTCTCTCTCTCTCTCTCTCTCTCTCGCATGAGTTAGCATGCCCAGGTAAGGAAAGAGATATTTATGGGGTTTTTTGCACAATCTCCAGAACCACCTTAAGCCATCCAAGCCTTGCTCTGGGCCTCTTCCGTGCAAACACTTTTGCCAGTGCACTAGGAGCACCTTCTCTGACACCTTCCCAAAGTATGCCTGATTTTGACAAGGCAGCGTAAAGGCCTCTTGCGATGCCGGCGCAGCCCTAGCACTGCATTCCCAGAGACTTTGGAATTCCTGGCATATGGGAACTCCAGAACCTGAAGAGGCGAGTGCCTGGTCACTTCCACTTCCAGGGTACAGCTTTTTGCACTCCCAAACCTCCGGATATTTTGGCCTTTTTAAAACATTCCCCCGGACGCTATTTTCGCTGTTTGAATCCTGGACGTGTCTGGGGAAATCTGAACGTATGGCAACCCTAAAGCAGGGATACGCCCAGGGTTCGAACCTGGAACCTTCTGCATGTAGAACAGATGCTGTACCAAGATATGGCGCTTCTGAAGTTTAGGAAACTAACAGACAAGTAAGCTAATGTAAATGTACAGCGCCCACACTAAATAACAAGTTCTTGTGGTGCAGGCATGGCCTCTGGAGCAGTCCAAAGGAGAATATAAATTAAGTGATTGAGAAAATGGAGGAGTAAACAACACGTCGCAGGGCTCAGGAAATAATATGTTGCAACAATGTTGCAACCACTCCAGCAAATAAATCTTGTTTCCGATGGAAGAAAGTAACGTTTCTTTACATCGTCCCCTTTTTGATCCAGTTCACCTCTGATTCAATTGGGAACGACTGAACCCTATACAGTAAATACATTTACTTTAAAAGAAAGAAAGAAAGAAAGAAAGAAAGAAAGAAAGAAGTCCCTATCCTCAGGCTTACAGTCTAAAAAGATATGGCAAAAGAAAAATGGATCATAAGAGTTGGGAGAGACCCTGAGGTTCATCTAGTCCAGGTATGGCCAAACTTGGCCCTCCAGCTGTTTTGGGACTACAACTCCCATCATCCCTAGCTAACAGGACCAGTGGTCAGGGATGATGGAAACTGTAGCCCCAAAACAGCTGGAGGGCCAAGTTTGGCTATCACTGATCTAGTCCAACCCCCTGCAATGCAGGAATATACAGCTGTCCCTTATGGGGATTGAACCTGCAACCTTGGCGTTATCAGCACCATGCTTTAACCAACTGAGCTAGGAAATAAGCAAACTCAGGTTCCAGTTCTTAATTGCAAGTTGTTCCAATTACCAGCCGGGATGGAAAGATTCAAGGAGAGGAGGAACCAAAAGATGCTGGCCTCCCAGCTGTTCTGATGGAGTGGCCCTGCATCCCATCTCCTCCCTCCTCTGCTGCAGACTGATGTAATGTTACATCCATGTCCAATTATCGTTGGCCGGTATTCAGTTTCGATCTTTGTTTTTATGGACAATTACGTCAGCTCCCTAAGATAAATGCCATATCTTTTGAGAATCCATAAGCAGGGTGGGCCAAGCAACCACTTAGCCTGCCACCAACCTGCGATCATCATCGGAGACCCTTCTCCGCGTGCCTCCCCTACAAGAGGTCCGAAGGGTGGCAACATGAAAATGGGCCTTTCCTGCAGTGGCTCCCCATTTGTGGAATGCTCTCCCCAAGGAGGCTCACCTGGCACCTTCATTACATCTCTTTAGGCGCCAGGCGAAAACATTTTTCTAAAACCAGGCCTTTGGGTTATTAACATTCTACGGCTTTTTAAATGTGCTTGTGGGAGGGGGTGGTTATTGGTTGGTTTTTGTTTTATTATGTACCGTATTTTTCGCTCTATAAGATGCACCAGACCACAAGACGCGCCTAGTTTTTGGAGGAGGAAAACAAGAAAAAAAATATTCTGAATCTCAGAAGCCAGAACAGCAAGAGGGATCGCTGCGCAGTGAAAGCAGCAACCCCTCTTGCTGTTCTGGCTTCTGTGATAGCTGCGCAGCCTGCATTCGCTCCATAAGACGCACACACATTTCCCCTTACTTTTTAGTAGGGAAAAAGTGAGTCTTATAGAGCAAAAAACACGGTATTTTGTGTTCTCATTTTGTATTTTTATTCTGCGAACCACTCTGTGTTCTTCGGATGAAGGACACTATACAAATGTAATTAACAACAATACAGTCACACCTCAGGTTACAGACACTTCAGGTTGCGTTTTTTCGGGTTACGGACGCACCAAAACCCGGAAGTACCAGAACGGGTTACTTCCAGGTTTCGGCGGTCGCGCATGCGCAGAAGCGCCAAATCGCAACCCGCGCATGCGCAGACGTGGCACTGTGGGTTGCAACCGTGCCTCCCGCACGTATCAGGTTCGCAACCCGAGAATCCACTGTACTAGCAACCTGATGTACACGGGTGTAGCACACCAAGAATACCAGACTGCAAGTAAGTAGCTTTGTGTTCTCTTCTACACAGTAGTCAGAGAGAGAGAAAGAAAGAGAGAAACATAGACACTAAGAGTCCTGCTATGTCCTATAAAATAGCTGCTGTAGTTACTGTATAACCTTATTAGCATTAACCTGTCTCCACAGCACCTTGTAGAAAGTGTGATCACAAATGCAGAAATGAATAGAATTAAATGAATAGAATTAAAAATTCATTCCTTTCCTAAAAGAAAGCGGGGGGGGGGGGGAATTAAATCATTCTCAGACTATATCATAACAATAAATAGAGAAGTAGGCTATCTAAGCTCGGTGGTTCCTACTTCCCCACCAAGACCACGAACCACTTGAAAATGGCTTGGTGGACTGCTTTATGATTTTTCTGCCTGTCCTAGCAATTACATCTTGAATTCTGTGGAATTACAATGCTTGTAAGATGTGCTGTCTACTATCTACAGCCACAAACCAACCCGCATGTCACAGATCACCTGAATGAAACTCAACCAAAGACCACAGTTTGGGAGCCCCTGATCTTGCTGGCTACTGTACAATGTTCTGTCTGGAAGCTGCAGCTACAGCAGAATTCACCTGTGCATTTAGCACCGGGAACTGGCCGCAGGCAGTCAGATTTAGGGGCGCGTGGGTTAAACCACAGAGCCTAGGACATGCCGATCAGAAGGTCGGCGGTTCAAATCCCTGCGACGGGGTGAGCTCCCGTTGTTCGGTCCCAGCTCCTGCCAACCTAGCAGTTCGAGAGCACGCCAGCGCAAGTAGATAAATAGGTATTGCTCCGGCGGGAAGGTAAATGGTGTTTCCGTGTGCTGCTCTAGTTTGCCAGAAGCGGCTTAGTCATGCTGCCACATGACCCGGAAGCTGTACGCTGGCTTCCTCGGCCAATAAAGCGAGATGAGCGCCGCAACCCCAGAGTCAGTCATGACTGGACCTAATGGTCAGGGGTCCCTTTACCTTTACCTTTAAACTGTTTGGTTATGTTGGGTGCAGAGCCTCGCAGGCACTGCAGAGGACACCACAAATATGATTTAGAATGCTGCGTCAGAGGCAGGGGCAATTTTTTTTTTAGGCATCACTGAAATTTGAGACCCCCAAGGACCGCCAACCACTGCAGGGTTGGCAAATCAACACTGACCGATATTGGTCCAGATCTGAGGGGTTTCGAAGGAACTTTAGCTGAAAGTCCTAAAGGACCTGGGATGAGCATATATGCCAACCTTTCCACTCCTTATATGCTACCGGATGAGGCCTTGCTCCACATCCCTTTACTGAGTGAAGTAAAACCAGCAGCACCCAAGGATGGAGGACATGCTCTGTATTAGCATGTCCCTGCATGCAAATGGCTAGTCAGGGGTCAGCAAACTTTTTCAGCAGGGGGCCGGTCCACTGTCCCTCAGACCTTGTGGGGGGCCGGACTATATTTAAATAATTAAAAAAAAATTCCTATGCCCCACAAATAACCCAGAAATGCATTTTAAATAAAAGGACACATTCTACTCATGTAAAAACACGCTGATTCCCGGACCATTCGTGGGCCAGATTTAGAAGGCTTCTGGGCTGGATCCGGCCCCCGGCCTTAGTTTGCCTACCCGTGGGCTAGTGTCTATCTCATTACTTGCATTTGTGCATAAAAATAGAACCTTCTTATTCTCCTGTGCTTTAAAGACACTTTAAATTTTCCCATTGTTTTCTGTTTTCATTTATCCAGTTGTTTCTATTGTCATGACATTCAAATTGCCTTAAGGAAGTTTTAGTTGTTATTTTTATTATAAAAAAGGGAGCAATTACCGTATTTTTCGCCCTATAGGACGCACTTTTTCCCCTCCAAAAATGAAGGGGAAATGTGTGTGCATCCTATGGGGCGAATGCAGGCTTTCGCTGAAGCCTGGAGAGCGAGGGGGGTCGGTGCGCACCGACCCCTCTCACTCTCCAGGCTTCAGGAAGCTATCCGCTAGCCATGGGAGACGCGGCTCTCCCACGGCTAGCGGAGACCTTGCCGGCACCCAGAAGCTTGGGGCGCGCTGAACTCAGCACGCCGCAAGCTTCGGGCTTTGCGCAGCGCTCCGCTAGCCGTGGGAGAGCCGCGCGGAGTCGAGCAGCTCTCCCACGGCTAGCGGATAGCAGCCTGTTCTGGGGGCTGGGGTCGGGGGAAGCTCGGGCTTCCCCCGCCCCAGCCCCACACCTGGGGGGGAAATAATTTTTTTTTCTTTATTTCCCCCCAAAAAAACTAGGTGCGTCCTGTGGGCCGGTGCGTCCTATGGGGCGAAAAATACGGTAATACTTTATTTTTTTAAATCAGCAGGTTATGTCTTAAGTATTGTCCACTTCAGCCTATATTTATAAATCTCATTAAGGTTACCTTCAAAAACGCAAACTATAACTTCAGGTAAGCAATATTTTATATAGTTTTCTGGGAATCTTCACTGGGATTGTTTAAAATGTTTCCCTCATATAAATTAGCTCTCATATCCTGGCAGTTCTTCTGTCTCTGTTTCAGCAGCAAAGCCTGTTCAGTAGAACAGCATCTTATAGCAAAGCGCAAAGAGATGGAAAGTGACAAAAAAAACCCAACAACCCGAAAGAATAAAACAAACAAAAACATTCTTTCTAGTGGCATGGCCAATTCTCCCTTCACAGCAGTGGTAAGAAGCAATACTTTCCCTGGGGCACTCATCATTTGTAACACCAGACTCCTCTTTGCCAGACAAAGGGGAACCTGTTAACCCACTGTATGCCGACATTCTTACTATAACCCAAGTTGCGCCCCTCTCTCAAGGTTTTAAGGAAACACAGAGCAGTTCTAACCTTGATTCACATGAAGGGAGAGAAATCGTGGAAGAAAGTCAGTGTTCATACATCATTCCTCCACTAGATTCACCATGAAAATATAACAAGGAACCAGTTATTATAAATCAGAGTCTCATACATGGCATCTTTTTACAGTTTCTGTGAAAATGCAGTGTGACACAATCGATAACCATAGTGAAGAAGCAACACAGCAAGTGTTGTGGTGCAGTTTGAAAGCTTAAAAACACATTCATCAGAATTCTCGCAAGAAAGCAAAATACGAGAAACCACGCAAGGTGTTATCTCAGAAGCACCAATTCATGAAATAAACACAACTGGGAGGCTGCCACACCAGCCTCCATCAACCTGGTCCCTTCCAGATGTTTTCGACTATCATCCCATCATCTCCAGCTGCCACAGTTGTGTCAATAACAACTCCAACCAAACAACTAAGACTGAAAAAAATAGGCTTCTGTGACACAGAATGGAATCCCTCAGTTAAGGGAGACCCTGGTAATTTACATAAATCTTAGAACTATTAGTGCAAATGTTATTCATTAGCGTTTAGCTGCTTAGGCAAGAGTAAAGCGAATGTTTTCAGTTTGGGATATTACAAAGCCATAAGAAACAGGCAGGGTTTTTCAGCTACATCAAAACTGGCAATCTGTTGAGGAACGTGGAGATCATTTTGTTCTGGATTAGTAGTCGACTTGTCCTCATATTATCTCCGACAAGCATGATGGCGGTGGTTGTTAAGACTTAGGTTTTAATGGAATTTTTACTATTTTCTTTCCAAAGAAGTGATGAAGTGACAAACAGAAATGTTCAAAAGTTACTATTATGGTTTTAAGTCTGCAAAGTACTTATTTACAGTCTTACAGGAGAACCCTTTGCTTGTCTACATAGATGAAAGCGCCACTAAGTTTAACGGGACATATCCCAGACAAGTGTGCATAGGATTGCAGCCTTATGATGTGTTTTGTCATCATAACTATCTTCAAAAGTAGATTGATATGGGCCAAAGCAGATGCTCTCTGGTTTTGCTTCAGCGCAAGGGTTAACATTTAATACTGTGCTTTACAGGTGAAATAGTGAAGTGTATGTGAAAGACACACACACCTGAATTGGCACCATTTTACTGATTTGCAAGGGAATACAGTCGTACCTTGGAAGTCAGACGGAATCCGTTCTGGAAGTCTGTTCGACTTCCAGAATGTATGAAAACCAAAGAACGACTTCTGATTGAAGCCGCGGGAGCCCCATCAGACGTTCGGCTTCCAAAAATAGTTGGCAAGCCAGAACAGTCACTTCCAGGTTTTGTGACATCCAGGAGCCAAAACGTTTGAGAACTAAGCTGTTTGAAAACCAAGGTACAACTGTAACTTGCTCAAGTCCTTCCAGTGAATCTGTGGCAAAGGTGGGACTGTAACATCAACAGACCTACGAAATCCATGCCTATCTAATTTCTAACCATAGCTGCTCAGATGTGCAATCCTAACCCCACCTGCAAGAAAGCTTCACTGAATTTGGTTGGAACATGTGCAGAGGAGGGTGACCAAGGTGATCAAGGGTGTGGAAACAAAGCCTTATGAGGAACAGTTGAGGGATCTGTGTATGTTTAGCCTGGCAAAGAGATATGATGGTCAAATATTTAAAGGGCTATCACATGAAAGATAGAGCAAGCTTGTTTTCTCCTGCTCTGGAGGGTAGGATCAATGGATTCAAGCTACAAAAAAGGAGATTCCGACTAAACATGGGGAAGAACTTTCTAACAGTAATACCCGTTCCAACAGTGAAACAGGCTCCATTTGAAGGTGGTAAACTCTCTTTCATTGCTTTTTAAGCAGAGGTTGGGTGGCTATCTGTCACAGATGCTTTGGTTAAGATTTTTCATAGCAGGGGGTTGGACTAGATGACCCTCGGGTCCCTTCCAACTCTACAATTCTATGATTCTACTAATTAAGCTGCTACCCTATCAGCATTACCTATTGAGCTCATCTGACAAACACAAATACATTTCCAAATTTGCTGCGTCAGGCAACCATTTGAAAAGAGAAACTAAACCTTAACCTATGTGCTGCAGCCTTCCATGCAATTATAGCTAAAACAAATGAAAATCATCATGCCTGCTATGGCTGTTTTACAAGATAAAGCTGCCATGTGAGGACTGCATTCAGGAAACCTCTGTGGGCCACAGTTGCTCCAAGCAGTGAGCTTGCCACCGCGATGGCCTTCTACCACACAGTTTGGTTTCATGCTGCTGCCAAGCTGTTGTCAAGAGTTGTTTGGTGGGAACATGAAACAAAACATTCTAGGATCTGGTTCACATGACAGCTGCACTGAGAAAAATGAGCCTTAAGTACAGTGGTACCTCGGGTTAAGGGGATGCGGGTGGCGCTGTGGGTTAAACCACAGAGCCTAGGACTTGCCGATCAGAAGGTCGGCGGTTCGAATCCCCACGACGGGGTGAGCTCCCATTGCTCTGTCCCTGCTCCTGCCAACCTAGCAGTTTGAAAGCACGTCAAAGTGCAAGTAGATAAATAGGTACCACTCCGGCGGGAAGGTAAACGGCTTTTCCGTGCGCTGCTCTGGTTCACCAGAAGTGGCTTAGTCATGCTGGCCACACGACCAGGAAGCTGTACGCCGGCTCCCTCGGCCAATAAAGCGAGATGAGCGCCGCAACCCCAGAGTCGGTCACGACTGGACCTAATGGTCCAACACCAAGGGACGGTGTGATTTCAGGATCCCCAAACAACCAGCAGCATCCAAGCCAGACAAATACCAGGGGATAACTGTAGAACACAATACACTATCCCATTCCAGAGGCCTGAAATGGTTGTGCTATTTTATATTCAATCCACTACACTGCAAGCAGCTGATGCAAACTCTGGCCTTTCTCTCTTCAAACTCAGCCTTACTTACTTCAAACTCAACTTATGCCCCTTGTTTCAAAACCCTACTGTAAAAAAGATGAAACATGCAAAACCGAAGTTCATCCTGTATTATTTTCCCACTTGATTCCCTCCCCGTTTTCTTTGTGTCAGACTGCAGGCCCCTTAGAGTACAAACCTGTCAACTTCTTCTTTGTGAAATGCCATATATACTTGTCTATTTATAAAAGTATTTCTGTGCCACCATACTGTAAGATATTGGGGAAGGGAACAACAATAAAACATAAAAACAATGCGAATTAAAGTAACTAGCTAATTAAAGCGCTGCAAATAATAATAATAATAATAATAATAATAATAATAATAATAATAATTTTTATTTATACCCCACCCTTCCTGGTTCAAAAACCGGGCACAGGGAGGCTAACAACAAATTTAAAACACTTTAAAACACTTAATTATAAAAGCAGCATAAAATATAGTATAAAAACATGAATAACAATAAAAATCAAAAATCAAAAGGCCTATCGGCACAGAAACCTATTCAAGAGATGCCTGGAAGTGAAAACCAAGGATGCCTGCTGAATCTCTGCTAAAAGGTTAATGCCCAACTTCCGGCTGAAGCTAAGACGGGGAATAACCTGAAACTGGCCTGGCAGCATATGGGCAGCCAATGTAAATGTTCTTGCAGAAGTGCCACATGCCGTCAGCCGTCTGCCCACACACTGCCAGCAGTCTAGTCACTGTAACAGCTGGAACTTCCAGAGAACATACAAAAACAGCAACTACCATTGCTACACCGAGTTGCCTAGGCGGGCAAAAGCAGCCACGGAGATAGGTCCAGAACAAGTTGCGCGTGATAAGCAAACGCTACTGGAAGCCCACATAAGACTGAAAAAGCAAGGTGCCAGAGCAGTCTATGCCATGGAAAGCTATGCCAGAGGCAGCCTGATAAACATATGGGTAAAGCTTATGCAAACAGTACCAAGGGAAGAAAAAGTTCATGTCTTGCTGATAACCAAGCTTCTGCATTAAAGATATGGCCAAATTAATTATCCATTTCCTGCCTCCACTGTGCACCAAAGCGGGAAGGAAAAGGCTCGTGTCATCACCCTCTCCCAATTATCACTTCCTCTGTCTTCCACATGCCGAGTTTGTACAAGGAAAATTAATGTATCCACGCAGAGATATTACGTCAGGCCATGAGATACACAGCTGGGTCATCAGCAGCATATTTGGACATGACATCACCCATCTTATAATTTGAACAGGAGAATCAAGAGTGAATGTGTTGCATTCCCAGAGGACATTCCTTTTCCTAGATGGGCTACCTTCCCAGGTTGACATGCCTCATCTGCCCCTCACTTCCTGCTACAGCACGTACAGAAACTAGCCCCTTGACCATTGGACCCACTACTGGTCTTGTCCAAGCGATCCACTGGAGTTTGACTCCGCATGCAGGGCAAATCCCTAACTCACCGAGGGTTTGAGACCTATCAGCTAGCTTCATCTGGTTTATCCAGCTAGTAGAAGCCGTTCCCAGGGTACAATGCTGTCGAATGAGCTTCTAGGAGCTACAGGTGAGAGCTGAGCACAGGGTAGGGACCAAAGGTGGATGAAATACCCCAGAAGAAGCACAACCTGTCCTCTACCAGAGGTACTACCCCTCTCACAACACCCCATACACCTGTAAAGGCTGCAAGGAATAGCAGTAACCAACAGCAGCCACATGCAATATTTCAGACTTTACTTTCAGAGTGGTCCAGGGTATTGTACTAATCATTTAGTAACCGATAGGCTATTCTGTGGCAATAGGGCAATGCTTCACCATGCTTTGTGTCCTTCCACTGAAATCTATTTCCAACTATGTGATCATCAACCTTATAGGTAAAACAATCATATGCCATATAGGTAAAACACCTGTATGTAAAAAACCGCACGCCTTATAGGTAAAACAATCGTACGTCATAAATGAGACCTGGAATGAATTTTGTCTCAAAAGCAACAAAATTAAAATAAGTTCCACTGGAAGGCAGCAACATATGAAGATAAACTGAATTTTCTCGCTGTAAAAGAAATCCAACATATTCTGTCTTATTAAAGTTTTGCTCAAGATGGACAAAGTAAAAGCTTGTGAACTGAACCAAAGTGTTCAATGAGCATGGAACCTTAAAAAGTATTTTCCTCCCTCTATCACTAACTTTCAAATAGTGTGCCTTCATACCTAAATGTTAGGCTTCACTGACGACAACAACGACAACAACACTAATGGTTTAATTAGTACAGGCGGAATTTGTATTTGATGGAATTTCTCTCCACATTTGTCTTCCATAAGCAATAGTGAACCTGTGGTCCTCCAGACACTGCTGGACTACAACTCCCATGATCCCAATTGATTGACCATGCTGGCTGGGGGTAATGTAAGTTGGGGACGCAACATTTGGAGGGCCACAGGTTTCCCACTCCTGCTTTATAGAATACAATTTCACATTCAGAAGGACACGTTTCAAGTCTGCCAAAGAAGCTACATGTTCTTCAGTTGGGATGGGAAGGGAATAACCATGAGTTATTCTGCAGAAATGGCGCAGGAGAGTTAAGATACACTAGCTGTTTACGTGAGAGTCTAATTTGTTTTGCTCAAAGTTAACAATGTAAGACAGAAGTGCCTAAAAGGCTCAACATGTCCTGGATATCTCTTTGTTCTCCGGAAATTTTCAGGGTTCTAACTTCAAGCATAAGAATTTTTTACTGCAAGCACGAGGATTCATCCATTCTCTCTCCCACATCCTTCATTGCTGAATGAAAATTTCAACCAAAGGCCTAGGAAAGAGCCCCTGCCTTCTGTCTTCCTTTATCTTGCCCATTGGCCAACTATGCAACATCTATCTCAACAGATGCATAGTGAACACAGTAAGTAATAGGGAGGCCTGAGTTTTAACATGCCAAATTTTAATGAGTCACTACAGAGTAATCTATAGTTTGCATTTGTTGCACTGGAGATCAGTGTTCTGGTTTCTTACATGGTGCTATAATAATCTTTCTTTTGCGTATTTTATTTTATAATAATCTCACACATTCACACTTAGCCATGATTTGCGCTATGTGCAAACCAACCAATACTCTGCAACAGGGAAAACCTAAATTTTCTTAAAGTAGCAGATGAAATAGTATTGTTCAAGAAAAAGGGAACGACAAAGAGCAATTATTCTGCTCAAGACTATTAGGGAAAGGAGACAGCCTCAGCCTCAAACTTCAAATAATGAGAATTTATTCACACAGTGTACTTGCATATTATAAGGGCCAGGTTGATCTTGGGAGATCTCGGTCCCCCAATAAATGACATGCAACATGCTGAAAAAATACATTAGAAGCTTCCCTCCAACACAGATCTGAACTACTTTCTTCTTTTTCAAGATGTTTTACAAAGATCAATCAAGCTCTTCCAGCCTTGAAGAAGCCAGCAGGAGACGCCTATTTGGTTCCCCCACTCACAGCATCAAAGCCAACGAGCCAGTTTCTGCCACTCCAGACACAGAGGTTCAGTAACAATATCGGCGCCGAGTCAAAAGAATTTCTCAAGTGAAGTGCTACAAATACAGCAAATGCACAGCTAACCCTAACACTAATCCTAAATCATATCACCACTACCCTGCCTTACACTATGACGCATATGCAAGGTTTCCTCGTATTGGTAAGCTTCATTCCAAAGAATCACCTAGGTGAGAAAGATTTCTTTTCATTCATGATCAAATCCCCTAACAACTAAAAACAACAACAACCCACAAGCATCTACTCCATATGCACTTAATAAAAGTATCGCTGCAAAACACCACAATGTAAGAGTTGATTCAGAAGAAGAAGAAGAAGAAGAGTTTGGATTTGATATCCTGCCTTTCACTCCCCTTCAGGAGTCTCAAAGCGGCTAACATTCTCCTTTCCCTTCCTCCCCCACAACAAACACTCTATGCGGTGAGTGGGGCTGAGAGACTTCAGAGAAGTGTGACTGGCCCAAGGTCACCCAGCAGCTGCATGTGGAGGAGCGGAGACGCGAACCCGGTTCCCCAGATCACGTGACTACCACTCTTAACCACTACACCACACTGGCTCTCACACCGTTGTGTGGCATAATGGCTAAGGGATGGGACAGAACCCACTCCTGAAACTTGTGAAGGCAACCCTAGACAACAAGTCATCGTTTTCAGCCTCCACCCCATCATCTAAAATATAGGAATAATACTGACAGACCTAACATGATTATAATGATTTATAAGGGCGCTTCCAGACTGCTGCCGTTTTCAGGTGGGATTCAATCACACCTAGAAATTCAGGTTACATGATTAAAGTTGATTCAGTGTTCTTGCAGAACAAATCCGTCTGTAGCCACCACCAGCTCACTGGACTTTTTGCTGTAAGAAAAGTGACAGGGAAAAGCATTGGAAAGTGGGAGATAACACTTACTTGACATAACATTGTCTAACCTCTCTGAAAACAAATCAGAACAAATACTCAATAAATAGCCAACATCATCTAACCTCCCCACAAACCTTGTGCAAACAAATCAGTATGAAATGTTCAATAAGTGGGTCATCTGGAGGTGACCTAAGAGAACACTGTAAGGATTACAGGCAACTCCGAATGACGCACGATCACACACATGCGCACAGCTCAGAACTCGGAAGTAGCCCCAAAACGTCATAAAGACGTCATGAAAAGGGATGGAGCAGACTTACAAGCGCAAAGTTCTGGAACAGAATCCCTTCACCAAACAAGGATTGCCTGTACTACAAAAACACTAAAAGTTCCCTTACACAAAGATCACTGTGCCTTCTTGGTCAGTACCGTCTGTGATGGCTCAGTTTGCAGGTAATGCTAAGCCAAACTACGGCTTAGCTCCAGGTAACAAGACAAGGAGGGAGCAGCAAAGCAGCTGCAATTTTTTACTGTAACTACAGTGCGTGTGTTCATGCTTAGCCATGGTTTGGCTTAGTGGTACATGTGAACTGGACCACTGACATGATTTAAGGCATGATCTCTCCCAGCCCTACCTAAAGGTGCCAGGGAACGAACCTGTGAACAACTGTATGCAAAGCTCTCCCAACCACTGAGCCTTCGTACTATTTTGAACATTTCAAAGATACATGCCAAGTATCACTTTTTTCCGCATTGCAACTGACTGCAAAAGCTGCTCATGCAGGCGGTATACTCATGTGAATAGTGTTAACATCGGAAGTGGCACTTACAGAAGGTACATAGCGGCTTCTTCCCGGGAGCAGATGTGCAAGAAACAGGGAGTTGCTTTTCAATGAAGTAGCTACTGTAATCTTTCAGGAGCCATAGTTCCTCCACCATGACACTGCTTATGTGAGTAGATCACTTACACACACACACACACACACACACACACACACACAGAGTTATTTCCACATATTAGCCAGTCAGATTCTGTACAAACTGTTTTTCAACCACTGGGTGGTTTGAAGAGATTGCATGGGCAATGCATGCTATGGCACCGAAACAAGTAAATTCTGTGCACAGATTACATTTGTATCAAAGAGACTTAAGCACACAGTGCTCTTGGGATGAGGTCTCTATTCCCCAAGCTTTATTTCTCAAAAGAACAAGGCTCTAGATTCTCTAATGCAAGAAAAACATTTAATATTTAAATTATTATAATACATTTCAATGTTGTGCAACAACATATTTTTACTACAATATATTCAAGCACATGGTCTGCTTAAAAAACAACAACACCCAGTCAAGATACTACTTCCATTTTATAATTTGGGTGTTGTTTTATTGTCCCATTTTCCGTGGATTGTTTTTATATGCACCACTCAGAAATGCAAATAACTAAGTGGTATGTAAATGTCTTAAATAGATATTTTGAAAGGACTATTATATATAACCTGTTTGCGGTATAATTCTAACCAGAGCAACTCTTTACTAAAGCAGAACTGCGCAAACCAGCCATCCTTGCTCCCTAGACTGTACTGACAGCCAGTGGCGGAGCTTCAGGCGTGTGTCTCGGGGGCATTGCGAGCCGCCCACAAGGGCGTGGTGTGTGTCCTGGGGGCGTGGCGCCAAAGCGGGTGGGGGGACAGCTCCCCCCACACTCCTCTTCCTCCGCCAGTGCTGACAGCCAAGCCCCATGGACCTCACACATTTGCTACCAAGTCAGAACTCTGAGCTCTAAGACTGACAGGCAGTGTCCCTTGTGGTGTGTGATAACATCAGTGTGCAAGAAGAAGCAAGAGCAGGAGGCATTATTCCGCGATCCTCCCAACCAACAGAATAACCACTACCACTTAGTAGGGCAGGGGTGGGGCAGTATGGCTGCAAGGTTGAGGCTGCGCAGGTGTGAGTACTGGACTGGCTCTGCCAGTGTGCTCGCAGAGCCCCAGTTTCACCCCACCACCTGCCTTACCCTGCCTCACTAAGTGGCAGCACAGCATTGCTCCTGAGCAGAAGGGACTACACAAAATATAGTGGAACCTTGTTTTGCAAACAGTCTGGTTTGCATACGTTTTGGATTACAAACACGTCAAGTGTGTGTCCCTGTTTGCAAACTTTTTTTGGATTACAACCCATTTTTTTTGGATTATGAACATTTTTTTTTTTTTGAGGCCCCATTGGCAAAAGCGTGCCTTGGGTTACAACCTGTTTTGGTTTACAAACAGACCTCCGGAACGGGTTATGGTTGTAAACCAAGGTACCACTGTACTCCCTGCCACCTTCGAAATGGGTTTGTTACCCCAGACAGTGAAAAATAGCTAATGATGAAAGACAGCTGATGAGGAAGTCCTGTGCATGTTTACTCATAATTAAATCCCACTGTGTTCAAATAAATGTGCACCAGACCGCAGCCCAAGAATGTAAGCCAGTAGGTCCCTAGTTCAAGTGAAGGCAGTATTTCTCAGCATCCTACCACTTGCCAAATGAAGATATCCATAATAAAATGAAATCCTCAGTTCGCTGAGAACTGACGTGAAGTGTGCTCTAAAAGCACTTTATAGCTGCTTAATATCGCCGTAAGATCAAGATGTCAAATGGACAGCATCTGGTGCTGTTCTGGGATCTGGGGACCTGACCCCCAGAAACTGATATTACAGTAAGCTGCGAGATAAACTGCAAGATAGCCAAGCGAAGTTGCCCACCCATCCCGGTAGTATTTCTAGCTGTGTCTAGGCAGTCTTCTGCTACCCTTCTGATGCCGAGAGAGCCTAGTGCCACAATGGTAGACGTTAAGAGAGTACAAAAAGGGATGTGGGTGGTGCTGTGGTCTAAACCACAGAGAGTACAAAGAGTAGTTCTCAATTTGAAAGCCTCACTTATCCAATACTGTAGATTAAAGTTATTCTCCAACCAAACAACAAGTATAACCAAAGCTCATTTTGACAACTGGACCTTCACGCACGCCATTCAACGGCTCAGCCTGAAGGCATGTTACTTTAGGAGGCAAATGCCGACAATGAGGTACATCAACAGCTATGACGGTATCAGAAAACATGGCACTACTCTGCTCTCACACACAGGATAAATGCTTAACATTGGTGTTGGGGGATCCCAGCAACAGAACTTTGCCAGCCAAACACTTTTCATTCTCACATAGATTCCTTGGCTAAACTATTCAGGTACTAAATCAAGAATCAACATTTAAGCAAACAACAACCACAACCCCTTTTCAAAAAGCTGCCATCAGTTACAAACAATGAAAACGAGAGCCTACAGGTTGCAGCAGATTATATTGTGGAGAAAGGAAACTTTTCAGTTTAGGCCCAACAAAGGGGGTGCCTAAAATAAGCTAGGAATATACTACAGCTAAAAGTAAACTTTTAATATGTTATGTTTACATCATAACAGGTTTAATTTGAATTTAGTAATTGCACTGTGTTTTAAAAGCATAAAGTTTCCACCTCCCTAAGAAATAACTATGGAGGGGCCAGTTTCATCGCAGAAGCAACAATGTTTTTAGGGGAGCCATTACAGCAGAATGTGATCCAAGGGCTTTTGCAATGTCAAGGAATATCCCTGGGGCGTACCTCTCAGTTCACTAGATTCATGCAGAAAAGCTGCTTCAGGAAGTAGCGCATCTTGAATGAACCCTACAACAAATATAAAAAAACACTACTGTTTTTAAAGACCCACGTCATACAGGAGCTGAAATTGCGGCAAGCTCAATGACCCTGTCTATATACAAACTAGTGCAAAATACATTCATCCACTAAGTTCTCGGTCTTCCCTTCTACTGTATTATCTCAGTTATCGAAATATTACATTAATCTTCATATTCAGGGTCATCAAGAAATTCAAAGCAACCGCACAGCACACTTCCTGGGAAATAAGTTCAGTTAAAATATGTGAGGACTTGAACAAGGAGACATATTTAACACTATTTTAAAAATTGGAGAACATTTTTAGCCTGCAACGTTTATACTACAGTTCAAGTGTCCTCCTATGGACCACACTATGGACCAGGTGGTTCTACAACGGAATTTTCTGAGGTACATCTGGAGGCAGTTATCGTGAGAGAATTTTCAGCTCAGTCTGATATAAATTGGGAGGGGGATTAATTTGAATTTATGATATATCCTGGCAACAGCAATATTACAAAATGTTATAAAACCCTAACTATTCCCCAAACGTATGCTTGTGATACTGAAAATAATTAATAATATTGGTCCTAGACTTGTGTTAAGATTTATTAGAAGCTGATGTATCTATTCTTAGAGTTGAATTTTTCTTTCAAGGTAAATAATTATATATCCTAATCTGCTGGTGGAGCATTGCTGCCCCTTCCGAAAACCTCTTAATACCACAAAAACTCAAAAGGGTGTAATAGAGTTAATTTACTGTTCTTGGCTTCAGGGCAGATAAATGGCACGCGGTGTGCAAGCCTGGGAATGTAAGCCTCACAATATTTAATGGGGCTGACTCCCAGTTAAGTGCTAATAGAAATGTACCCTTAGAATGTCATCGTATGGACACCATCAACAGAACTAAGATTATAATCCTTACATGCATTTACCTGACAGGAATCCCCACTAAATTCAAGAGGACTTGCTTTTGAGTAGGCACAATTAGATTTATAGCTTTACCTTTGAGTAAAAACACTTAAGAATATGCTGACAGGTGCCACTTAAAAAGCTTATTCTCACTCATTCCCACACGTCCACTTAAAACAAATAGCCCTTGCACAGCTCAGTAGAGTGGAAAAGGAGCAACCCGTGGCTCATCCTGCTTCTGTGCTTGGGCCAGAGTTCGGCACCTGCACCATCATGGCAGAATGAGCTATCCACCTTCAATGGTCCTGGAATCTACATGCCTGATCTTGATGAAGTATTGTCTCAGCACATTAGTTAACAGGATCTAGCCATTAGCTTGTCCTATCAAGTTCCAAAAATACAGTGCTTTTCTACAACATACACACTAGTTAGTTTCAGTTCTGCTAAAAGAGTGTGTCAAACCCTTGCTCATGCCATCATGAACCCACGCAGCTTCTTCAATGTACATAAAATCTGACAAATGCTTGCTGATAAGTCTATGGATCACATTACAAAACAAATCTGTCAATAGGAACTGTCTGCAGTCATTAGTTCTTCCTTGATAGAAAGTATAGGCTTGTTTGCCAACTTCACTCACTCGTAAGTTGCACACATGCTCACAAACCTGGTGCCATATTAACAATTCTCTGAATTACAATTTATGTATGCTTCTTTACAAATGTCAAAAATGCTCATTTAGTTTGAAAAGTTGCCCAAAACTTAAATACTCACTATGCACTGCACCTCTGTGCACCAACAGCTTTATCATCATGAAAATCAAAGCTTATGTTGAACATTGATCCAACATCTGGTTATTATGACAGACCTGTTTTCAGCAACACTAAAAGTAAAACTATGTGACTGTTTGATTCAGCTGTTGCCTTTTCAGCTACAGAATAAGTTAGTAAAAAGAAAATTAAAAGCTGACTAGCCTGGACGCAGATGAGCAGATATAAGTGTGTACTTACTTGCATATTTAAAACACAGCACTGTCTCAAATTAACAATGGGATAGCCATTTCCTTATAAAACAAAAGCTGAAGAGAACCATGCAAGTACTGAATATTCATACATGGAACTATCTCAACACATAGGCCCAGTAAGCCTTGTTTGTGGTTAGATTCAATAGGATCCACATGGTTGTGACGCCCCAGCCATACTTGGCAAAACAAAAACAAAAAACCCCTGAGCTCTCTAACCAGAGCCACGCGGAGAGCAAGGTACAATAACATATGGTCAGACCCCTGGCCCCTTCCTTACCTTCTTTATTAAGCCTCATCACCTCCCTGCTTTTTCCACCCTCTTTTCCAGCATCTTCTAGCTCTATACCTGCAGAAGAGAAGCAAAAGTCAAGGGAGAGCAGAGGCAGAGGCCGCTATATCCGAAGAGAGCGCTAAAGAGTTAAAGGGTGCTCCGCTAGCCAGCGGCTGCAAAAAGGCAAGATGCAACAATCGCTGCATCTGCCAGGCAGGAGCATCCCCCGGGCAGCCTTCAGCCAGGCAACAAGCATCCTTCCTGCCTCCTCATTCCGCACCCAGCCCTCACGCAGCAGCACCCTGGCCCAGATCGCCCCCCCAACCCCCTCCCCAAATGCAACGGCATTCTCCTGCCCCTCCCCCCGTCCCTCTGACAGCCAGCCACCCAGACAGCATCTTCCTCCTCTCCTGCAGCCGGAGGTGCCCAGCAGGACAGCACCGGCCGGGCACAGCGCACCACCCGCACACATGGATGGATGGATGGATGGGGGTGGCTGGGTGGGTGGGTCTCCATGCAACTGGGTGACGGGGGCGGGAGCAAACCCCAGTGCCATGGGGGTCTGTGCAATGCAAGGCAAGTGCAATGCATTGGGTCGGTGGTGTGCTGGGGGGAAAGAGGCGGCAGGGCATGCAAGCTCCCTCCCTCGCTCGCTCGCATCCACCCCGCTGGGCTGCATCGCATGTGCGTGTCCGGGGAGAGGGGCGCCTCCGCCAGCCCCCCACCCCACCCGCCGCCCCGCCTGGCCGGTCCTTGTGCGCGGCGGGCGCCCTTACTGTGCGGGGGGGCGGCGCAATGCGTGTGCGGAAGGGCGGCCTCCCGGACCCAGGCGGCCCAGGGCTGGCCCAGGAACGCCTCGGGACTGGGCACGGGCCGCTCCAGGGCCGCCATGGCGCCGCCGCCGCCGCTCCTCCGGCAAGGCTCTTCCTCCTCCTCCTCCTCCTCCTCCTCTTCCTCCGTCTCCTCCTCCGCGCCGCTCCTGCCGCCGCCGCCGCCGCCGCTCCTCCTCCCTCCTCCTCCTGGCTGCTTCTTCTTCCCCCGTTCCCTTCGGCACAGGCGAGCGAGGAGCCAGCAAGCGAGACACGGGGTTCGAGAACGCCGCACGTCATCCTCGGGACGTTCCGCCGCCCACACGGGGGTAGTGTCAGCCCTGGCTTTCCCTATCAGATCGGGCTCCCCGGCCGCCGCCGCCGCCGCGCAGGCGCGGTGCGGGGAGGCGAAGCCGCTGCCCTGAAGAGGGCCGCCTCCTCCCGCCCGAGTCCGCGAGGAGGGGAGGCGCGCCGAGAAAGGGGGCCGCCGCCGCCGCTCGGGAGTTGTGAGGAAGCTGGGAGGGCGCTGCAACCGACCCACGCAGTCCAGTGACCAGAAGACCCCCGGTCGGGCCCCGGAGATGAGAGGAGGCGCCGGCTGGACTGTCTCCCTCAGGTGGCTCCGCTTCGGAGACCGCGCTGAGGGGACGAGGCTCGGAGAAAGTAATTCGGGTGTGACAGAGAGCAAGGGGGGGTGAGGAGGGGAGGGTCGTGGACGGACGAGGCTCCTTCGCCCGCCTCAGCTGCTGTCCCTCGCGCGCGGACACGCGGGTGCGTCTGGATGCTCGGAGTTTCTCGCGCTCCGTGAGGGAAGCGGGAGAAGAGACACCTGTCAGAAAACAAAACCCGAAGCCCAGCGCGCGCTGCGTGGCGTCGCGTGACGGGGGGGGGGGAGGGGCGGGCGAGGAAAGTTTTCCTCAGGCTCCCGCTTCGCAGCGGGGATCGGTGCCTCCTGAGGCGTGGGCCAAAGAGCCTCCCCTCCTCTCAGGAGGCTGGCCAGGCAGAGAGGCGCGCTGCTCCTCCGGGTTTCAGAATATCATCCCGACCGCCGGGAGAGCGGAGGGCTCCCTGCAGGGAGATGGGAGCTCTTTACAGGAAGGAGAGTCCGCTTCTTCGGAGCGCTTCCTCGCTGGCGTGGGTTTGGGTTTGGGTTTCCCTAGCTCAACATCAAAAAAACGAAGATCATGGCCACTGGGCCCATCACCTCCTGGCAAATAGAAGGGGAAGAAAGGGAGGCAGTGAGAGATTTGACTTTCTTGGGCTCCATGATCACTGCAGATGGTGACAGCAGCCACAAAATTAAAAGATGCCTGCTCCTTGGGAGAAAAGCAATGACAAACCTAGGCAGCATCTTAGAAAGCAGAGACATCATCTTGCCAACAAAGGTCTGTCTAGTCAAAGCCATGGTTCCCCCAGTAGTGATGTATGGAAGTGAGAGCTGGACCACAAAGAAGGCTGAACCCCAAAGAATGGATGCTTTTGAATTCTGGTGCTGGAGGAGACTCTTGAGAGTCCCATGGGCTGCAAGAAGATCAAACCTTTCCATTCTGAAGGAAATCAGCCCTGAATGCTCACTGGAAGGACAGATCCTGAAGCTGAAGCTCCAGTACTTTGGCCACCTCATGAGAAGAGAAGACTCCCTGGAAAAGACCCTGATGTTGGGAAAGATGGAGGGCACAAGGAGAAGGGGATGACAGAGGACGAGATGGTAGGAACATACTGCGGGAGGCGGTGGAGGACAGGGGTGCCTGGTCCATGGGGTCGCGAAGAGTTGGACACGACTAAATGACTAAACAACAACAACAACAACAAAGGACCGGGATGAAGGTAAAACGCAGTCTGGAGTGAGGGGCATGGGCATAGCCAGGATTTATGGGGGGGGGGGGGTTGGGGGGACCAGAACCTCAGTTAGTTAAGTATTGATTGACTTGATTGGGAAGCAGGGCAGCTGCCCCTCCTTGTCCCCCCTGCCAGGGTGAGGGGTTGTTATTGTTTCATTAATATTAACCTACAATGGCGTATTAAAATGCGAGGGTTTTTTGGGGGGGGGAGGACTTACTGGGCTGTTCTTGATTTTTTTTTTGATTCTGCATTTTGTGTTTTTGTATTGTGGCTTCATCCCATGAACCACCCTGAGACCTGCGGGTGTACAAATTTGAACGAATCTACAAATCAGCTCGCGGGGTTTCATCCACCTGGGAAGGCAGCCCATCTAAGAGAAGGAAAACTCTCTTCCTAAACCTCCACTGCCTTGCAGGACATCTTCAGGAGAAGAACAAGCTAAGGAGTCCCTAAGGTGGTTGGGTGGTGCTGTGAACTGCTGGCAACTCCTGCAGCCAAGCTGGTGCTAAATGTCTTGCTCTGCTTTCCTTTGGACCACATCAGTGAGGCTGAGAGGGGGGTTTTATTGTCTGGGCAGCCCAGGACCTCCAGGCAAGCTGCCCAGGCTTGTGCCTAGTTGAGGTCACTTTGGTGCTGCCAATATAGTGGTTTGACTTCGGAGAGGGCTTTACACTTGGCAACAAAGTCACAGTAAAAAAAATATTAATGTGTGTTTTTCTTCTTTTTCTTTTAAAGCAGGCCAGAGCTACCAAAAAGCAATATTGACATCCCAAAAATCCAATGTCATTTTGAAAATGCTCTGATGAGGTCAGTTAAGTAATCATGGCCGTGGATGGAAATGTGTTGAGAATTAGACTGCAGCAATGTTTACATAGGAAGCACCAGGTCAACGGGCAGAGGAAGGAGTGGGGTTTGACCTGTTACGGGTGGAGCTTGGTGAATTTTTGGTGGTTCACTGACTGGAGTCTCTTGCAGATTTGGTTTGAGATAATTTATTTTCTCAGTGATACTGAAAATCAAATCAGTCGGGGCCTGCTGATTAAAATGTACTGGAAGGAAAAGCTGTGTTGGTTTTGTTTTGTTTTTGTGAGTTTTATCTTCAGAAGCAAAGAGCAGTAGGATTTACCAGCTTTTGGGAATGGTAACTAATATTTTAGTTTGTGGCAACTTTTGCTCCTACTGCATTTTCCGTTGACCACTGCTGGACTGCATCTGAGCCCAGTGTCTTCCATACTAGGCTTTCCTTATTTGTATACAATTTCTCTCCTGGAGACTGATTTTCTGAAGTTACTCTCCCCAAGTCTATATACCCATGTTAAATATTTACTCCTTTTCGACTGCTGTCTTTCCTCGCCCCCACCTTCTTCCATTTCCCCCATGCATAACCTTCTCACCTGGCCATTGCACAAAAATGGAAGATACTGGAGGGTTTGAATTTAGACTTGTGATATTGCAGTGCATGGGATATACTGGTGTCTGAGAGAAAGACTCAGGCAAGAAAACTCCAGACAGATTTTATGTCCTATGGCACACATTTATTGAAACTTTTCATCATGTGGAACAGAAACACAAATATGAGTTTGGCTGTTCTGCTGACAAATACTTTGGGACTATAGCTTTTGAATGGATACGCCTTTTGAATGGACATTTATATCTTGATTTTGCGGGACTTGAAGGAAGCAGAGGAGATGAGAGACATACTAAATTGCATTGGCTGTGCATTTGGTTGTGACAACTCTTTTCTTGCTGTATTTGCTGAAGGATCTGGCTAATTTCATATGCAACTTAACACACTTGTTGTTGTTCTTGTTTGTTTCCTGCTTTATTTGTTTACTGTTTGACCAATACAGCATTTGAAAACGACAACAAATTTAGTAGGGGCAGCACAGAAAAATAAATAAAGAACTGCATGATCTTATCTGATCAACTGCCTGCTGCTTATGCATTTTGGAAAATTTCCTTAACACTCAGTTATCTTCCAGGCAACACTTTCAGAGTGCTTGGTAATGTCCATCAGGAAACAAGGTCTGGATAAACACTTCCTACAGGACGTTGCCACTGCCACTTTGGCATTTCCTTCCCTTTATTTGCCCCACCAGCACAAGGGCTATTTGCCACTTCTATCATCTCTATTGATGCTTCACATGTTTGTGTGGGTGAGGAGCTGGGCTGTGATTTGTCTTCCCATGCAAATAAATGCTATTTGGATTATGAGTATGTTTAAATTTTAAAATAGACACTGGTGCTATGTTTCCTAATGCTAATCACCTAAAAGGTTAATTTGAAATTAATCAGTTTGCCTGGCATTTTATCCATTCGTAATAGCACAAATTGTTTTTTTTATAAAACTGTACCTTTTTTAAAATAAAAAAAATGTTCTGCAGAAAAATATAGTAGTAGGACAATGTCCATTCTATATTCCTTTTAATATGCACATTCATATTTCTTTTGGTTTGGTTTCTGCTCCCAGGGCTTTGAAACATTGCAGAAACTGCAAGTCTTGTTTACTAGAGGCAAAGGTGGGGTGAATATGCACAGCACTGGCAGCAAACCTTCTTTCTCCCTTCAGCTCCTTGTCTCCAGGCTAAAGCTGTGGTAGGAAAACATGATTTCTCTCAACTTGCCAATATCTGAATTTGCCTTTGTTAATACAGACTGTGATTTCAATATAAAACAAGTCTTTCTGTAACATATATGATGTTTTCTGAGTGCAATCAATTAGATATTTTAGTCACATGCAAACATTTCAGGTTTTGCTGAAGCTGAGGTCAGCTGGAGCCTGACAGAGACACTCTGCCTTTTCTTACCCTAGCAGTGCGAAACTTAATCGCTGCCCTATTAAAATGAGCTAACACTGTGTGGAGTCCCTGCTCAGACTGTGCACTAGCAGCTGTAGCATCCTAATAAGAACAAGCTGTGATTTTAGTTTTGCCTTCAGGCATGGCAGACTGGAGAGAGTTTACCTTTTCAAAATTGGATGCTGTTTCCTGCCCAAAGCTTTTCTTAGTGGATTCAGTAAATGAACAAAGTGCAAACACACAACCATTTTTGACACCTGTTTTGCTTTGCAAGGAATCAGAGGGGTTGCTAGTGGAGCTGGCTTTCAGTCTTCTGTCCTGATAAAATGAACAGTTTATAGCAGTATGAACAAGAGCACAGATGTAATTCTGCAGGAAGATAATCTATTGTCTCTTTAAAACCAGTATGAGGCTTACTCAGGAATTAGTATTATTTGTCTGCTAGCATTTCCTGAGTCTCGGGGAAGGTTGACAACCACATTTCTGGTAAAGTATAAAACCATATTGACTCCCCAAAAGGAATGGGTGGTGGTACACAATGTGCAGGAAAAACCAGGAAAACCCCCAGTCCTATTAACCCAACTCTCACAGAGGTAGGAATTCTTTAAAAACTGAAAGGAAGAGTCTTTGAAGCATAATTGCCCTAGTCCATGATAAAATGTAGGGAGAGGATATGCTCAAGCCAGAACATGCTTATAAAGTGTAGCAGTTAAGACAATGAGCTTGAAATCCCTAGTTAAAATCTCAGCTCAACCATAAACAGAGACTATGTACACATCATTATTTACTCTGGCTCCAGCAAAGTACACATGATGTTTGCCATATTCTATAGCTCAGGCATAGGCAAACATGGCCCTCCAGATGTTTTGGGACTACAACTCCCATCATCCCTGACCACTGGTCCTGTTAGCTAGGGATGATGGGAGTTGTAGTCCCCAAAACATCTGGAGGGCCGAGTTTGCCTATGCCTGCTATAGCTTCTTGAGAAATACTCCTGTT